AGTCAGTGAGACTTTGGCGGAAGATGGGATAATGCAGAAGGCCGATAGCCATGCGCGCGTATTGCGCGCCTTGCCCTGTGAAGACGAATGAGAGATCGGGGGCGGAAGAAGTGCTGCTGAATATGCTCGGCGAGACGAGGGCTGTGAGATCGTCGGTAATAGAGGAGACAACGGCGAAGGAACGGTAGCTGAGTAGCGATCGATGCGAGGAGAGGGTGTAGGTTAGGTCTGAGAGGTAGTCCGGCGCGTGGGGGGTATCGCGTGAAAAGAGGAAGTCTTGGAGGGTCGCTGCTTGGCGCGTCGTACCGTCGCTGTCTGCTGCTGAGAAAGGGATGATGGCGTAGGGGGTTGCGGATGGGAGGGCGCCGTTGCCATTGGTATGTCCGTTGGTATGTCCGTTTGTGTATCCGTTGGTGTGTCCATTGGTAGCTGTGGGCTCGCCAACCGATTGATGCAGGCCTTTCAAGCCATGACTGCGCAGGTAGTTGCATGCGTCGTCGAGAATCACATGGGCGTTGCTCCCTCCATATCCGAAGGAGCTCACGGATGCCCTACGAATCTCTGTTTGCGGCCATGGTACTGGTTCCTTGGGAAAGGCAAGCTGCAAATACTCTGTATCAATAGCAGGATTCGTCTTCTCGAACATGGCGATGGGCGGAATCACAGCCTTCTCCAGCGCAAGAACGGCTTTGATCACACCAGCCATACCCGAAGCGCCCTCCAAGTGACCAATATTGGATTTTACTGAACCAACATACAGTGGTCTATCGGACTTGCGACCATCGCGGAAAGCCTCTCCTATAGCGGCCGCTTCGATGGGGTCGCCAACCGGTGTTCCGGTGCCGTGAGCCTCAACATAGTCCGTATCAGCAACATCAAGGCCTGCAACACGATATGTGTCTCGCAACAGATCAAGCTGCGCCTGCTGACTTGGCTGTGTGATACTGGGTGTTCGACCATCTTGATTCGCACCCGTGGCCCGGATCACTGCCCTGATAACGTCTTTATCTCTTATGGCAGCTTCCAGCGGTTTGAGCAAGACGAAACCAAATCCTTCGCCTCTTGCATAACCATTCGCCTTCTCATCGAAGCTATAACTCTTTCCGTCAACGCTTAGAAACCCCCCGTTGCTGAGCGCAAGTGCTTGGCTCTCGGGTGTAATAAATGTATTCGCGCCGCAGACAAGCGACATGGCGCTCTCACCTGCGAGAATACTCTGCACGCCGAGATGCAAAGCATATAACCCCGATGAGCAAGCTGTATCAACTGTGAGAGACGGCCCCGCTAGATCGAAGAAATGGCTGACACGGTTGCTCAGCATGGATGAGCCATTGGCAGTGGCGTGATAACGCGACTGTGAAGCAAAGTCGCGTCCAGTTATGGTTTCGCCATCTCGGGAGAAAGATGCACAGTAGACTGATGTGGGAGAGCGAGACAGTGTTTCCATGGGTATACCCGCGTTTTCGAACGTGCGGTAGGCGCCCTCGAGAAGACCGCGCTGCTGCGGATCTAGAACTGATGCCTCTGCGTATGACATGTTGAAGAAGGGTGCGTCGAAACTGCGGGGGTCTTCTTCCATGAAATGTGCATGTCGGATGCGTAACTACCGGAGTCAGCTTGGTTGATTCTCAGATGTCAGAAATCGTCGTTTGGACTCACACTGTCTAACCGATTCGGGTCCGGATGGTAGAAAGCATCTATGTTGAATCGATCGGACGGTATCTCTTTTGATACGTTCCTCGCACTCATCAGTAGCTCCCAGAAGGCTTGTGAAGATACTGCATCGCCTGGGAACTTCATGTTCATGCCAATTATGGCTATGGGGGTCGTTCTGTCCGTAGCCATGGTTGCGATATACAGTATGTGACTCGCTGAATCCGATTGCTTCTAGGTATTATGTTAAAGTTTGTGAAGCGCTGTTCGAGACAGTAGCTGACACAAGGAGAACTGGGGATTCAATAAAGTTGATCTTTTACACGAACATCGACGAATCTATACTAAATACCTAGGTACACTTGACGACTGGCCGAAAACTACACGCCAGCCTCGCATCAACATCTGGTTGAGTAGACACACCGAGCTGATTCCTGAATAGTGTCATGGCCAAAGCGTTTCTACCTCATCCAGAAGGTTGAGTAAGCCCGAGCTGTTAGCTTACGGTGATACTGTGAGAGCCGCATCTGCAAATACGACGCTACAGGCACCCCATGTTACAAGTCGAACGGGTTCTTCCATGAGTAAACGGTCAAGTAGGCCCGAGTCATTAGCCTACGGTGATACTTGGAGGGCCACGTGTAGGTAGAGGATGCAAGCACCCCATGTTGTTGCCTGGCTTCGGGTCTTTTTGGTTCGGGGTGTTTGAGAGGACAGAAGACGAGAGGACTAGTCGATGAAAGTTGCCTTGCTGTTAGTTGCAGCGGTGATTAGATAACCGTGCGGCTGATGACAAGCTCCACCGTACAGGTTAGCGCGTGGCTCGGGCTCGTGCCGAGCCACGTAAGAACTTCAGAGAAACCGAGAGACGCTCCGACGCGCCAGCTACATCTTCTTGTCTTCGTGCTCGTGCCGTGATGACCCGATTACGACTACTCTAGGCTGGTTGATTATGTGACGGCGCTGGTTTACCGGCAGCGTCGGAAGTGGTGATCCGGGGGCGTTCGCGATGGTGAGTGCCATGACTGCCATCACTGCGAATACGCGCCAGCTCGAAATTCGGCTTCTTCAATCTACCCGGACTCACTTCGGACTGTTATCATAGAATTAGTCGACGAGTCTAGTGCCAGAGCCAGGCTATGCGATACGTGCTTATGCCGTCTTTCTGCAGTCTGGAGTTTTTGACTTCCTACAGGACACCAAGCAGTAATCGTTCAGATCTGGGAACTCACTCACGCCCAATGTTCGCCGTTTCTCATCAAACACAACTTACCGCTCCCTTCTCGTTGATGGAAACTTCCAATTAGAAAGCACGCAACTTCGAATATGAGCATTCTAATATCCTTGGACATTGACTCCTCAAAACTTCTTCTTTACGGCATTGTCACGATCATATTCCTCTCAGTTCTGACGTCCGGATCGCACAATGGCAAGAAGTCTAAGTCATCGATTCCGCATGCTCCGCGCATTCCATACAAACTTCCTTTCGGACTGGATATGGCTTGGAAACTCGTAAAACGTCTACATTCAAACACATTTGTTGAATACGTATGCGAGGAAGTTCTCAATACTCCTGGTCGTACGATCGAGATGAATCTACTAGGGGGTGACATTTTCATCACCGATAGAGCGGAGAACATCAAGGCTATCCAAGCAGATCAGTTTGCGGACTTTGCTAAAGGGCAGACGCCACATGATGTGTTCAGTAGTATATTGGGAGACTCTGTCTTTACAAGTGAGTGCGATCTCGGAAACTACATGATACAGCTGCTGACGTCATTCTAGCGGATGGCCCTTTGTGGAAGACGAGCAGGGAGCAACTAGAGCCGCATGTCTCTCGTGTTCGTCCGGATGATATACCTGTAGCTGAGGAACACATGCAGAAGCTTCTCAAACTGATCAAAAGCTCGCCCGAGAGGGTCGATGTGTACGATGTGGTCGACAGGTTTCAACTCGATCTAGTGAGCCAAGTTTTCCTTGGGGAATCCACAAACTCACTATCAGCGAACCAACAACCTTTCCGTAAGGCCATGGAAGATCTGCTGACATACAATACCAATCGTCTACTTTTTGGCCGCCTTGCAAATTTGTTTCCCGACTGGCTTTTTGCACCCAAGGCCTATCGCGAATTGACGCGTTACATCAACGACCTCATCGAAAAGACTCTGGCTCTGCCGATCAACAATCAGACAGATCTCAAGACAGAGAAAGAGTTTAACCTTGTGGAGGATCTGGTCGCCACGCATCCGAATGATCGATATTTTATCAGAGGCCAGCTCATAGCAGTCCTGATGGCTTCTAAGGATCCGGGTGCTATCCTCTCTACGTGGACCATATACCATCTGGCCCGGAATCCAGCATTGTGGAAAAGACTTCAGCAGGAAGTTGAAGTGCACATCGGCATGGATGCAATTCCTACAACAGCTCAACTGAGGAAGTTATACCTCCTAGCCAACACAGTCAAAGAGTCCATGAGAATGTACCACCCCCTCGGCCTCAACATTCGAGAGGCCAGAAGTGATGCGATTCTGCCTGTCGGCGGCGGCCCAGATGGGAGAGATCCCATATCGGTTTCAAAAGGACAGATCATTGTTTACTCAGTCGCTGGCCTCCAGCGCAACAAAGCCAAGGTCGGCGCAGATGCTGATGTATGGGATCCTTCACGATGGGACACTTGGTCGCCAAAGTACGGCGACTACCTACCCTTTAGTATCGGGCCACGTCAATGCCCCGGCAGAGTCTTTGGTCGATTTCAGATTCAATATATCCTGGTGCGACTTCTTCAAGAGTTTGAGAGGATTGAGTGGTGTGGACTTGGTGGTGATGGAGACAAAGGCACGGAAGAGATGAAGATCAAGGTCGAGCTCAATCTTAAGCCAGCTGAGGCCGTAGTTTGCAACTTCGTGCCGCGTCGCAAGAATACTGCTTAGCGCTGAGATTGAAAGATTTGCCGGCGTTTTGGGCGATCAGAGCCTGTGATGGATATATCCGACTAGCATGCAAGGAATGATATCCTCATACTCCTTACACTATGCTAGATGCAAATTTCTACTGACGCTGGATCGCGCCAGCATCTGGAATCTAGGCTACGTCCTTGTTGTCACGGTCTACAGGTCATCTAGGCGTGCATTTCCCCAGACGTTCCAATTCCGATCGGAACTTCTGGTTCAGGGTCCGCACTAACTCAGGTGCCCACAGCCTGACTCGCAAGCCACCGTTAGCATGAGTACTAGGTTATCCAGCGGTGTAATGCAAGAAATCTACCGAATGTCCGACATAGTGCCACAGACCACTGCTGACTACCACCGAAACTAAGCTCTTAGTCTGACGGGCATTCTTGGTCGTCAACAAGTTGAAAAGACAACATCCGTTTATCCAACAACCTGGGTACCCAGGCTGTATCGTGCATAGGCGGTGGAGCAATGCGGGTGGCTTACGACCTGAAAGTAGGCCGGTTGTGGAAAACGCCGAACAGACATGCGACATCGTACTCGGTTGGATCGTTGTTCAGTCATACATCTTCGCGGAATAATCCTTAGTCCACATTGGTACTGGGTACCGACAACTTCCGCATATCGTATATCGTATACGCAAGACGTTGCTCACGGATGAGCATTACCACACCGCGAATACGAGTGGCCGATTACTAGACACCTACTAAGCAGATATACCCACCAATCCCATGCTTGGATAGGTATCAACGTACACTTTCCTTACGCGTATTGAACAGCTATTCGCAACATTCGTGCTTCCATATACGCGCGATGGGCACCGCAACAATATGGTTCACTCGAGGGATCGCCAGATATGACGAGCTATCTTCGATCTGGATAATTATGGGAATAACTATATGCGTGGTAATGAACCCAACTGAACACCATGTAAGACACAAGTCCACTGACCTGCGTTTCAGGCTGTAGTGTATACTCTCTGGACTGTTGTCTACAACCTTTACCTCAATCCACTTAAACAAGTACCTGGCCCTTTTTTGTGGTCTATCTCGTCTACACCGCTTTTCCTGGCATCCATCTCTGATACGCCACATAAACAAATCCTCGAGTTGCATCAGAAGTATGGCGGGGTCGTCCGCACAAGTCCAAACTCCGTGTCATGTCTCCACGCAACAGCATGGAAAGAGGTCTACGGACACCGTAAGCCCGGCCAACCGGAAAACCTCAAACACCCAGGCTTCGTAGCCGAAGTCGCATCAGGTATCATTGGGGCCGACACAGAGACTCATACATACCAACGTCAACTAATAGCCCCGGGATTTTCGGCGCAAGGGATGCAGCGCCAGGAGCACATTATTCGGCACCATGTCAACAACCTCTTCAGCTGCTTTGAAGAACACTGTGCCAAAGGACAACCCCTTGATCTGGCCAAGTGGTACAATTATTTCTCGTTTGACATCATCGGTGATCTCAGCTTCGGCGAGTCCTTTGGGAACCTGGAGCGGGGAGATTTCCACCCGTGGATTGCGACGATCTTAGAGTTCTTCGTTGCGCAGCATGATATGGCGCATTTTCGGCGGGCATATCCGTTGTTGGAGGCAATGGTGGGCCCTCTTGTTAAGGTCCTTGCTGCGAAGATCATCCTGAAGCATAACACGTTCATGCGTACCCAGGTCACGAAGCGTTTGGCTTTGGAGCCTACTCGGCCAGACTTCATCGATGGTATGAAGTCTGACCATGCTAAGGGAAAAGAAGGCCTTTCCTTTGAAGCAATCTGTCATAACGCGAGCATCTTCGTCGTGGCTGGATCCGAAACGACTGCACTCGCACTTACCGGGGCGACTTACCTACTCTGTACCCATCCAGAGGTGCTCACCAAGCTCAAAGAAGAGATTGACTCATCTTTCGATAGTGAAGAACAGATCACTCTTCTCAGCGCGCAGCGACTCAAGTATCTTACAGCCGTCATAGATGAGACCCTGCGTATCTACCCAGCCGCTGTAGGCTCCGTGCCGCGACTGATCCAACGCCATGGCGAGGTAGTCGGCGGACACGTCCTTCCCGGAGGAACATGCGTGGATATATGGCATTGGGCAATGTATCATAACCCAGCTAACTTCACCGAGCCAGAGGTTTTTGCTCCCCAACGATGGCTTGGAGACCCTCGCTTTGAAGGCGATAAGAAAGTGGCATTCCAGCCTTTCTCAACGGGAAAACGCAGTTGCATTGGTCAGAATCTTGCGCATTCCGAGATAAAGCAGATCATGGCCCGGCTGCTGTGGAAGTACAATATTGAGCTCGTAGATCGCGAGTGGTACGACAAGCCATGGCATGATCAACCCGTGCGCGCTTCTTATGTGCACCCGCCGTTGAATGTTAGATTGAGTCTTAGGACAGAGCAGTTGAAATAGATTCGTACAGCCAGTCAGATGAAAATTACAATCCTATTGCAGCGTGGACGAAGGACGTAGCTCCGCTCAAAGATACTCGGGTGTGGATTCCGCGTACCGGAACGTTCCGATGCCGGTCGGAAGCTCCGGTGAACACCACAAGTTTTCGATCTTCTGACTAGAACTCATGCATTAAGTCCTCTGAGACGTCCAGGGATGACAAAAGATTCCTGGTCTCACTCAGAACCTTCTTCTGCAAATCCTCGCCGCGCTTTGAATACATCAGAACAGGATATCTAGCATGATGTCAGCGAAGACTGGTCGAAACGCAGTCGAGTGGACCTTCACTTACGGGCGTACTCCCCACTCGCTCAAAAAGCCTCCATGACTTTCTCGCCCTGCGACTGCCACGGCATGAACGTATGTACTGGCACCCTCTTTCAAGCTCCTGCCAAACAGAGCAAAGTAAACTGAGAACATGTATCTCAAAACAATACTTGTGTTGATGGTGCGCCAGATCTCCGTATCGCCTACCAACCCCGGGCAAACCGTGTTGATAATCACCTCATCCGGGTCGACCAGCGTTGCCAGTCTTCTCAGAACAACCATTTGCAACAACTTCTCGCGGGCATACCACTTCGTAGGATCGTACTTCTCGTCAAACTGCGGCAAAATTGGTTTCTCGTGATTGAAATCCGCAAAATATGCGGTGGTAGATGTCACAACCGTAAGTCTAGCTGGCTTTCCGCCCAGACCTCCTTTGGACCTTAGAGTCGGTAAGAGAAGCACAGCTAGCATGATTGTCGAGAGGTAGTTGACTTGGAAAGTCTGTTCTTTTCCTGTCTTGGTCGAGACAATACAGTCCTTATTCTGCACACCAGCGTTGAGGATGATAATGTCAATCCTACCTAAAGTCTGACCTTTCATGGCAAACGCAGAGACAGACTCGAAGTCTTCCATGTCTAGGATCCAGACCTCGACTTGAGCGATTGGAAACTCATCGCGGAGAGTTTCTGCCGCGGCATCGCCTTTGGCTTGAGACCGGACGGCTAGTATCAGCCGAGAGAGATCTAGCTGGAGAAGCTGCCGTGCTGCTTCGAGCCCTAGACCGGTATTTGATCCGGTGACTATGGCTGTCTGGCCGTCAAGTTTGACGTCTGCTGCGATTGGAGGAGGGTGCATGAACAATTGGCGGTATATGAAGCCTATGCCACTTTGGAAAATGAGGCGGCTGCGGATTGGGTCCCATGAAGACATGTTGACTGTCGTATCGATACTCAGAAGTGCTTTTCATGGTCCACTGTCGGAGTACCTTACAATATCAGTGACTTTGGTTGCAGCAATAAGCCCTAAACAATGAGGTGTCTCTATTTGTGGGTCGAAAAGGCCCTGCATCGTATTCGCAAGCCCTGCAGCAGTCGACTACCCCGGCGTTATCCTCTTTATCCAGATCTCAGAAAAGTAGAATCGTGGCCTGGCCAGAAAAGCTCTAGATTTTGTCGGTGAGCGCAAGAGCCACCGAATTTCCGCCTAGCTGAAAGACACCGAGTCGCATCCGGAAGTTCCCCAAAGCCACCGGATTACCGCCTAGCCAATCAAGTGGGTACCTTCCATGCTAGCGTGCGACTCGCATCGTGACATTCAAGGCATCGAAAGACAAGGCCGTTGGTAGTTATTTGTCTTTCTCTACCAATTCGCTCGAAACCATGCCTGCACTCGTGGAGCTCCCTTTCAAAGGGCTAACCCTCATCGCCAAATGTGCTTTCCAGCCGATCATCACCGGGACAATTCTCGGATTACTGCTGTGCACCCCAGAACAGACATGGGGAGACGCATTGGAAGCAGCGTCTTTCTCCGGAACCATCAACCCATCCAATCTGATTCGAACACTCGGTTTTCTGGTCACTGTGGGTGTGATGAGGGATATCAACACAGCGCTAAACGCGTGGGCTACAAATAACTGGCAGATACGCGCAGGACACGGTTGGAACTGGTCTTCTGAGATAGCAGTCGTTACCGGAGGATGCAGTGGAATCGGTAAAGCCATTGCGGAGACTCTGACGTCGCACGGGATCCGCGTAGCAGTGCTCGATGTGCAGGACGCACCCAATGCGTTCAAATCAAACAGCCTGCTAACATGCTTCCGATGCGACATCTCCAGCCCTACAGCAATAGCAGAGGTAGCCGACACGATTCGGAACGAACTGGGACGTCCCTCAATCCTCGTTAACAACGCCGGCATCACGGGTTCTCACACGATCTTGAAGACCCCAAGCGAGTTTCTCGGCCGTATCTTCGATGTAAATATTCTCTCGCACTGGCGGTTAGTCCAGCAGTTCGTCCCGGACATGGTGGCGAAGAACAAAGGTCATGTTGTGACGGTAGCGAGTGTGAACTCTTTTCTGACAAATTCGGCGAACGCTGACTATGTGGCGACCAAGACCGCTGCGTTGTCGTTCCACGAAGGTCTTACCAGTGAATTGAAGATCTGGTATAAAGCGTCGGGTGTCAAGACTACTATTGCACACCCAGCTTTCGTGCGCACTCCTTTAATCGAGGACATGATCTTGAAGAGTGGCCAGGATCCGAAGATTCTTGAGACTATGATGATGCCGGAGGAGGTCGCGGAGGTTATTGTCAGGCAGATTATTAAGAGACGCGGTGCGCAGCTTTTCATTCCTAGCTGGGGAGCGCCGATATCGTGGTTGAAAGGCTGGCCTAATTGGGCACAGGAGCTTGTACGGGATGCGTTCGGGAAAACCAGTGCTGTTACAGGTGGTTCGATGATCGCATACTGAATCTTGAGTCCAGTAAGCTTGTGTATTAGAGAATGAACACCGAATTAGTGCCGTGTAAGCTTCCCACTCGGAGCTGGTAAGTAGGTTAGCCTTGATTACCATGTATGCATTCTTGGCTTTGTAGACGTACGATATATATAACGTCTTCGCGCAGTCTCGCATGCCTCAAACCATCTTCACATTCTGTGTCCCTTCCATTTACTTAGACAACCAGTACTCAATCATGGCTTCCGAGTTTTCCCTAGCAGAGACGCCCATCGGCAGATACTTTGCGTCCATGGCTGAGATGGGAGTAATGCGCGTCTTCGTCGAGCACGGCATCTTCGATGCCATTCCAGATGAGGGTATCTCTCTCGAAGACCTTGCAACAAAGCTGAAAGTGGATTACAAACTCATCGAACGATTCGCGGCTTTCCTACTTTCCATCGGCGTGCTGACATCCCCGGCACCCGGACACGTGGCCCATTCACCCTCGTCAAAGGCCTTCACAGACCCGCGTGTCGCGCAATTCTACTCGTATCTCTTCGACTTCTTCATGGGGCCGACGACGCGCTGGACAGCCTATTTCGCAGAGAATGGGCTCGCCGAGCCGCCGAGATCGAATCGGTCGCCGGGTGGGTTCGCGCTGGGTATGCCTGACAAGACGGCGTACGAGATCATGGCGGCTATTCCAGGTCTAGCGACGAGGATGAATGGCGCGATGGCGATTGATGGCGATATCCCTGTCACGGGGGTATACGATTTCAGCTGGATCGCTACGTATGCTGCAGGGGATGAGAAGAGGGTGCTTATTGTTGATGTTGCCGGTGGTAAAGGACAGGCGTTGAAAGACATTCTAGAGGAGACGCCAGCGATTCCCGCGGCCAGATGTGTTCTGCAGGATCAGCCGCATGTTATTGACGAGGCGGTCGCAGAGCACAAGGATTCCGCTGTTTTGGGTCCAGTGAAGAAGGTTGGGTCCAGCATTTTCGGGGAACAACCTACCAAAGGTATAGAAATCGAGACTTCTCGCGATACATCATTTCGAGGATGAGCTGACCGAATGCTATAGGTGCCCTCGTGTACTATATACGTCGCGTTCTGAACGACTGGTCCGACCACGAAGCCCTCCAGATCCTGAAGAACGTGCGTGCGGCTTGCGCGGAAGATTCGCGCGTGCTGATTGCGGAGTACTTGCGTCCCGAACAGCCCAGCGTGTATACCAGCACCGTCGACATGTTCATCCTGAATATTGGCGGCAAGGTGCGCAGTGAGAAGACATTTGGGGAGCTTGCGGCGAAGGCTGGGCTGGAGATCGTGTCGGTGGCGAGGCATGACAAAACAGAATCGGCGGTGGTTGAGCTGGCACTGATTTAGTAGCTTCGATACATCACTTCGCCTGACGCATCATCTTTAGAATCACCAAAGCAGTCATCGAAGTATGGACACGATCAGTTCTTGGGTGAAACACCAGGCGTATTACGCGTCGATAGCTTGTCTTGCCAGGTCACGTGTCTTCGCGTTTTAGCGTCAAACCTTAGCTCAGCTTGTCAGCTTCCCCGCGCTGTACACCTCAACCGCCTTACATACCTCGATACCAACTATCAGCTTTTCCACATCATCTCAAGCAAAAGTGTGACTTGTCATAAATCTTTGGATAAGCCGTGGCTCTATCGTCATCGGACATTATCAGGCACAACCTCAGGCGTTCCTACACAACAATGGCTACTGCGGCGTCTTCGAGTTCATTCCGCTTCCGTGACCTTCCTGGCGAGGTAAGCCACCCAGATTTCCATTTATGTATCGTGCACTGACTCCGGAAATGACAGATTCGTAATAAGGTCTATCGTATCGTACTATGCAGTTTCCGTCCCCCACCAACTACGATAGAGCCCTCGTCTTTCTTCACTCCGGAACTTGCCAAACATGATATCGAGACTAGTACACTGCGTACATCGAAGGAAACATATCTTGAAGCTTACGATGTCATGGTTAAGAGTAACCGCTTCGTCAAGATCACATCGTCCCGAGGTCATTCCCTGCGGGGTCCCTTGAAAGGGCGGGCGATTCGGATGATCGCGATTGACGAAGAAATTGTCGACAAATTTAAAGGATACGTGCTTAGTGTGCACATTGGTTTCAAAAGCCCGCGGAAAATCTCTATCACCCATGATCCCGGACATGACCCTCATAGTCTATTTGAACCCGTCAGCGCTATGATCCTTCACAGTGACATGGAGAGTTTCTGCGACGCATTGAACGATGTACAATTACACGATTCGGGTTTTGTTAATAAAGTCAGGATTTCCATTACTATGGCTCCAGTTCTAGACTTGGTTCAAGGCAACAATACATCGCCGACCTTCGCCAGTTTCTTCACCAAACAGACGCAGGAAACGCTGTTGAAGCCTCTCATGGCCAAACTGTATGGATATAGATCAGTCGAGATTAACGGCCACGTGGACGATACCTTGGTAATTGCTGTTCGTCAAAGCCTCGCTGAAGACCGATATTCCAACCCTGCAACTGTTCTAGCAGATTTTGCTGCAGAGAAAGACCGGTATACACGAATATTCAAAGACAACAACATACAAGAGGCCTGCATGGGTTGGCAAGACACTGTATACGAGCTGGATAAGTTGCATCAGTCTGACTCTTGGCCAAATCTGGTTCGACGTGGAGGTGATGAGTTTGTGTCACAAATAGTCCCACTATATTTTCTCATGCAGCTCAACATTGCCCACATCCAGATTGGCAACATGCAGACCTTCGCATTTGGTTCCGAAATGTTGGCTGAAGGTGCACTCATATCCGCCCTTCGGTCGACGAAAGAAGGCTTCTGGAAATCCGGCTACAAATTCAGGCCATCCGCTCAGCATCTCGCGAAATTGCGATACCGGTACGCACTTTTCATGAGGTTAGAAGGAAATCCTCAGAATGCAGATCGTGCGTTGAAACACATCGATGCCGCACTTCGTCTGCAACCGGGGGATGCTGCACTCATGAGAGAACGCGAGACAATACTCGCATGGATACAACAGCTCTAGAATCAGATTCAGCAATCTCTACCTATGCTTAGGTCTTTTTGTTGCTACTGAAGGACGGTGATTTCCCTTTGTGTTCCTAGCCCTTGGTTTCACCGCAGAGCTTGGCGATTGGCTGGGGAACTATAATCGTTCTAGCCGAAGCGCTCGATTGCTACTTTCTCAATTCTCCTGCACTTACCTCTTTTCTCATCGCGCGCCCCTTTGGTGAGACGCCCTCAACATGGTCTCCGATAAAATCCGCCGTCTTGAAAGACGCGCAGAACAACCCTTCCGCTTCATGGACCTTCCTGGAGAGTTGCGCAACAAGGTATACGCTTTACTCCTTTGCTCCTTCGGATCTACCCCGGACCGCGCTAGAGAGCGCAGCGACGCCTTTCTCAACGACCGTTCTGGCTTATTGCATGTTGTCGACCTTCTGCACACGAACAACCCAACTATCCTTCGTACCAATAGCCAGATCTATCGCGAAGCCCACGATGTCATGATCAAGACCAACCGTTTCATTCGCGTTCGACTCACACAAGCTCTACCCCTTCGAAAGATCCTTTGCTGTCTGGGTGTTGCGGTAGTCGCGACTGGGCACCGTGCAGCGCAATCCAGCGGGTACGTCAAGATCTCCTAGCTCAAACTCTGAACTATTGCATCAAGTACACCCACTGATAGACCAGATACAGATATTTGGTAGACATATTTATGTCGACGTACCCACTCAGCAAATACCAGGGTCAATCATGCGACTCCCGATCGACTAGTATAATCGTTCGTGTCATCGATCTTGAGCTGTTCTGCCGTGACTTTAAGAAAGTAGACGCAATATCTCCAGTGCTATCTAAATATATAACAATGGTCATCGACGTAGCCCCGATGCTCGATCATAAACGCCCATGGTATCGGGACGACTTTGCCACTTTCTTTTCCGAGACCACCCAAAAGGCGATATTGAAGCCGTTACTCTTGCTGAGAGAAATTGCTAGCGTCGAATTTCGGGGCCCTGTCATGCCGAATATTGCGGTCAAGCTTGGGAACAGCATGATATCCGATGAGCATGAAGATCTTGACCACAGCTTTCATCTTATAACGTAGATCAAGGAACTTGGAGTCAAGTCGTATTATGAAGGCAATATGAAGAGTGCAATCTCAATTTGGGGAGACGCACTGATGAGGTTGCTGTGCATGCGTGAGAGTAAAGCCTGGACAAAGCTTATGGAAATGTATGGAGAAACTTCGATTAACAGGTTCGCGACGCTGCAATGCTCACTCGGTCTCAACTTGACACAAGCCGAGATAGTTCGGTGGCGCGAAGCCTCATGGAGTGCCACAACGGAGACTGGCCTGGATGTGGTCCGCATGTGCCGCCACCAAGGATACTGGAAGGATGGCTACACCTGGACCTTACCTAACGTTCTGGCTGCGAAGTACTTTTACCGGACGGCTTTGTGCATTAAACTCTGGGGACAAACCTCGGAGGCTGTTGTCGCTTTGGAATCCATCAGCCAAGCTCAGATGCTTGCACCTTACGATCCCGCCATACCGAAGGAGCAACGTAACACCAAGAGGTGGGCAGGCATGTTTTGATAACGGCATGGCGAACGGCGATCTTTGGAGAGGTTGTATTGACACCCCAACATTTCGAAAGCTCTCATCACATCTGCACAACGTCGCTTGACATGTCCGATGTAGGTGAAGGTATCTTCGCTTCACGACGGGACGTTGGGAGTCGGACCGATGCTCCAGATACTACCACCAGATTATGACCAATAAAGCCATATGAGATCGTCGGCATGCAATATCTTGCATCGTCTTCCCAATAAGGGCAGATCGACGTAGATAGCAATAGATGTACTCATTCATAGCATGTGACCTTTTGCTTGTTTGATTCTTTCTCTACGTTCAGAGGGAGACAGAATGAACATCTCGAAACTCTTGCGACTTCTATCTGAGCCTATGTCGCATATAAATTGCAACACGGAAGAGAACGCCGGCGACAGCAGAGACGGAAGGCAAGTATGGGAGCTATTCAGGAGTTAAGAACATAGTAATGGCGCTATCATTAATCATGCTGGCTACAATGATTTCTTCCATACTGCGTTTGCATGCGAGGAAATATCGGGTTCAGATAGACTTCAGGAAAGGCAATTGCAGAATGATATCCTAGAGTTACTAGGGCGTTTATCTACGCCTATCAAGAACGCGTACAAGTCTATATCCCTACGACTACCGGACTCGGCGTCTACGATGCAGAAGCGGCTATATGCAAGGCCTATATTCGACGCGAAGCAAACGTTAATTCTAGTGATAGGACAAACTCCTCTACACATTTAGACAGTTGCTCACATACTCGATAGTCGTAGGAATATCATAGAAATACTTTGATGTACATTCATATACTTCCGTTTTCAGTAAGATATCTCATCACCCCAATCTTCCCTGATCATCTCGCTACCCTTCTCAGCCACCATGTAAATACTCGCCAAGATGTTAGCATCCGGAAGTACCGGTACAATGCTACAATCAACAACTCTCAATCCATCAACGCCATACACTCTCAACCTACTATCTACGACACCTCCATTCTCCAACGGCAGCATTTGGTTCGTACCAGTAGCATGCCAGTTTGGAATCGTGTTCGCTTTGATGTACTCCAAGATAGCTTCATCATCGTCATCAGCAACCGCGGGGCCAGGGCTGACTTCACCAGCGTTCGGCCCGATTGTAAAGCGAGACAAGGCCGGGTGGCGAAGAATGGAGCGGAGGTACTTGAACGAGGCAATACCGACAGCGCTATCGGTGGGGTCGGCATAGTAATTGCTATTAATGAGGGGGCTATCAGACATGGAGGCACTGCGGAGGGTCACGGTACCGCGGGATAGCTGGACCATGCTAGAAGCCGTGACGGAGATGTAGGAGTCGTTCGGTAGTGGTGCCCAATATGGTGTAGGGATCCACGGGTACCAGACACTCTCAAATAGGTATTCAATGTGTGTTTGGTTCGCTAGACCGGCGTCGATGACGGCCTGCGCACCGATATCACGGAGTTGCTGCTCGGTGAGCTTCTGGAACCCGTTCGTTACGCCGGATGGAGCAGTGTATTGACCTGTGAGGTTCTGGTAGTATGCTTCTTGAGCGGCGCGCAAATTTTGGGGTGTGCGAGACATGTCGGTTGTGGAAGCATTATCCTGCGCACGCGCCATGATACTGAACACGGAGTGATCATTGAGGTTGCGGCCGACGTTTTCATTAATCACGACCGGCTGTACGCCGACCTTCTCCAATTCGGCAGCTGGGCCAATACCGGAGACCATGAGGAGCTGAGGCGAGTGGAAAGCGCCCATACTTACGATGACTTCGTTTCGTGCTCTTGCTTGACTTGAAAAGCCAGTCAGCTGGTTGATATAGCTGACACCAACGGCGCGCGGTCTGCTGCTAGTGGAGTTTGTCATGTTGCCAGATGGGCTGCTGAAAACGATCCCAGTGACAGGCGCGTCATGCAAAACCCGCAGATTTGTTCGGTTGCGAGCTTGCTCATAGAAGCTGTCGTAACTAGAGCTTCTTCGGAGCATACTGTTAAGGGTAGCCGTTCCGTGTTTCACACCCACACCGTCACCAAGATTGAGATCCTCGACGATAGGTATGTTCGCAGCTTCGCTGCAAGCGACAATGAAACCATCTGTAGATGGCGGGACATATCCTTGGAAGCCTAGCTCGAGTGGCCCTCCACCATACGCATCAGCGTCGAATGTCTTGTAATCTTGGCTGAACACTGAAAGCTCTGGTGTTGCAGTGGGCGCATTCATCTTTGTACTCTTCCTGAACAAGCGATACACATCGTTCCAGCCCCATCCTGGATTGCCCAACTCGGCCCAATTATCGTACACGCTGGCTGAGCCTCGTGCATAGTAAAGACCATTTGTCGTGCTAGACCCACCGAGGGTTCGTCCACGAAGGTACTGCAGGGTGCGATTGTTTAAGTGTTCTTGTGGTGTGGTCAAAAGACCCCAGTCGATAACACTGCCTTTGATGAACTGATTGCCACCAGGTGATTCGTGTGATAAGACCTGCTCAGGACTAGGACCGGCTTCGAGGACCAGCACAGAAAAACGTCCAGACTCCGTGAGACGATTCGCCAGAACGAGACCGGCTGTTCCTCCTGCATACTGTTAGTGGAATCATCAAGGTATGCTGACAAGCGAATGCGAATGGAATGTGTTCCTGGAGCAATTCATGATGGGACAGGAGTATATATACTACGTACCACCTGCGACGATGAAGTCGTACTCTTCGTTGAAGATGGGCTCTTGATCTTGGCCTCCTTGCTGCGGAAGGTCAGCCGGCCCCTGACGTTTCCCCAACTGTGAATTATGCAGGTTGTACGTCGGCCACGCGGAGGCTATGCTGGTCAAAGACGAGATCGAGAGCAATAGACATGTCGATGCCTGAGCCGCGGTGCAATACCGCATCTTGAAAGTATGCTTGCTCTTTCTCTTCCACCTGGGTAAGTGATCAGAAAAGTGCAAAACAAAATAGCTTCACTTTTTTCGAGACTATGGTACTGAGATAATCTACACGAACACGGCGGAGCGGATGTACCCTTTTATACTTAGTTGTCATCTCTGTCACAATGGGCGGAATCAAGGACAAAATAGCCAAGGCCTTGGGCATGGAATTCCTGCGCCTTGGTACACGCAATCGCATGCTGAAAAAACAAGCTCAAGATTTGCTGTCAGCCACGCCGAGAGTGCCGGACAGCTCCGCCATAGCCGGGGATGTTGGATTCCAAGTCTTGAAAACAACCCATGTCAGGATGAGCCCAATTCGTACGAGTCTTGGCTTCTTACAATGGGGGCATAGTACACGCTCCGGTGAGGGCGGTTCTCTCAAAGGTGCCTTGCTTACACCGGCAACGATGACTACAAGGAGGGGCAACACGTGGAGTAGAACGGCGTGCTGTGTAACATTGCCGCAAACACTTGGAAGTCGCAAGAAAGGGCCATTCGTGGCACCGCGTGATAGCGCATGTGCAACCTCGCACGATGGTTCCTATGTAGAATCCCCCGGGCCAAGGCAGAATCGTCATTGCCGAGCCTGGGGTTACGCGAGATCGCGGCTCAATGTCGATCTACGTACCTCCATGTAAGCCCGCCCAGCAGGTAGGGCCGGAGTTTGCAGTCGCAGAAATGTTGATGGTGCTAGTGACAGGTGCCAATGCGACGGCTCGAGGAGCGTTCTCCGGAAGTGCGGGGAAGCTAAGCCACCGCCAATGGATAGCGACGCGCACCTTCGATACATCCAAAAGTGTCTGGGTATGCAGAACGATATGCGCGTATGGAACGACTACTCCTTACGGTCGCACGCGATGCTCGTGGCCATGTACCTGTTCCAATGTTCGTGTAAGCCTCAGGAGTGAGCCGGTGTTCCGAGCCGGAATGCTCGCTTCTTGTCGACATGGCGCGTCATCTAGCTTTGAAGATATTCATCCGGCATACGATCGCTTGATGGATATGTGGTTAACATCAGCAGCAGATTCGATCCGGTCCATTGTTCGAGAAGACGTTGCTTGCGCATCGCTCTACACCCGTATGTGAGCAGGCTGATGGAGAGTTCCAACTGAACGGAATTTTCCTTTTGTAGGGGATCCGTGGATTACGTTGCTACACTTCTTCGTATCCGTTTGATTCGAGCGATATGTGATGGAAGACTGGGGTAGGACTTGATGAGAAGTTGGCTGGCGTCCATGCGCAAAGTGTCGAGAAAGAAGATGATGATAGAGCCCGGACTGAGAAGTATGAATGAAGAGGCGGCGTTCCATTACCTAAACAAGCCTCGCGATTACTCATCGGGCTGCCCCTTTGCACCTGCAAAGACTGATTCCGACTCCGCCTCAAGCACTATCTTCTTAGTATATCCACACATTCGGCGCATTCAAATATTCGGTGCATTCATTGTTCGACTTCTTAGACATTCGGTGTATTTACAGACTCAGAAGACTTATCAGCTATTAGAGAGCGGCGAGAATTACCTCATGCAGTTGGAGCGGGCACACTTGCACTTTCAACCTTACAAGAGAGTCTTTTCTTCTGTGTGCCAAGCTCCAGACCAGAAGCAGTGTAGCCCTGCTACTAGAAGCGACCGAGCTGCTTTGCACGTAGATACGCACATTGGACCTCTACGGATGGAATGTAGCACAAAGCAATGAACTGAGCACTACAACAAACATTGACCACCAAGCTATCCTGGAGGATGATTGCCTCGGTTTTACAATCTCTTAAGGTCTTGATCATGCCTGATCTCCTTGCAGGTTATGGTGAATTCGGCGCGTTCACATTATCGGTATCATCACGCACCGACACACGGTATCCTCACACACTCGGTACATTACGGGATCGGCATAGGCACGAGATATACACATGATGTATCGCGGTAGTTTGATCAGCCTGATCACATGTCGCATCGTTGACATGGGATGGACATGGCTAGGAACCTCTGGTATGGTGGTCATCTCATCCGAGGAGCTGTGTCTCTACTATCGATATCATTGTGACCGTAAGCCGAGCGCGAATGTATAAGTACTGCTTCAGAGAACCAGAGAGCAGGCCAACTTTCCCATCTCGGTTCCCAAACAAGACAAACAAGCCATCGCAACATGACGCTCGCCCAAGATATCCTTGACCTTTCCAACAAGGGACCTGCAGGCCTTGAGGAGAGTGATCGCCTCGCCCTACTGCAGGCCTCTGAGAAGCTCACATTTGCCCTGGAGAATCCTTTGGAAAAGTTCCTGCGCTACTTCTTCGTGCGTCTTTTCGATTGCAATACGACGTGCTAGAAGGCTAATGATACTAGTCTCTTTATGACCCGATCGTCATCATCATCGCCGTCGATCTCAAACTCGTCGACATCGCCGTGGCACATAATGGGCCCATCACTGCTACTGAACTAGCAGAGAAGAGCAAAGCAGACATCAGACTGATTGGTAGGACCTTCCATTTAATCAATCTAGCACAAAGAATCACGAGTTGACCACCTTCAGAACGTATCCTCCGACTGCTGGTTCCAGAAGTCTTCACCCCCACAACCACAACCAAAGCAGACTCCACACCAAGATATACTCCTTCTGCTTTTGGTCGCGCCCTGGCAACCGGCTCACCCCTCCGCAGCGCCGCCATCCACTTCTCGTACCACTTCCGCTCAGCTGTGAAGTTACCCGATTACTTCGCCGCAAACGGGTACAAACACCCTGTCGATGCGCGCGACAGTCCGTTCGTCAACGCCTATGGCTGCAAAGGCGAGACTTACTTCGATTACATGAACAAGCCCGAGAACGCACGCATGTTCGATGCATTCAATGAGACGATGACACTCCGGAAGCCAGGCGAGCACGACACGTTCGTTGCAGCGTACCCCGTCAAGGAGCGCCTTGCCATCAGCGAACCCTCGCGCGTTCTGTTCGTCGATATTGGCGGCGGTGTAGACCATCAAGTTCGCAAATTCTCCGAGCGTGCGCAGGGAATGCAGGGCGTGTGTGTGCTGTTGGATCTTCCCAGTGTGATAGCGCAGGCTAAGGAGCTGCCAGACGGAGCCGTGACAGTCGGACAGAGTTTCTTCGACCCTATGCCGCAGTCTTTGAAGGGTGCGAAAGCCTTCTATCTGCGTATGCTTCTGCACGATTGGCCGGAGATGCAGGCTGTTACTATCTTGAAGAACATTATCGATGCGATGGCCCAAGACAGTGTGGTATTGATCCACGAGGTCATTCTAGCAGAGACAGAATTCGATCACTTCGATGCCAAGATGGATTGGCAGATGATGAATTTGGCCTCTGGAGAACGCACTATGAGCCAGTGGAAGGAGTTGATAGGGAAGGTAGGATTGGAGATAAGAGACATCTGGTGGGAGGAGGAGGGTACGAAAGGTAAGAAGGCCTTGATTGAGTGCGGGCTGGCGAAATGAAGGAAAGTATCTCTAGCGTCGAGGCAAGAGCGAGCAGGCAAACGAAGTCTCTAAGCTAACACCGATCGTGTCTTGAAATAATCCATGCGACACCCAATAGAGTGGCGAATTTACAAGCACGAAGCTGACTCCGTGCATTCGTCAATGCTGCACCAAACTGCCCCCATTATAGGGTAATCCTCACTAGATACACCCAAGCATATTATGCCGTATAGACGATTACCGCCCACCCCGCGAGAAGTCAAGATGAAGTTTACTTGGTCCTTGAATAGCGTTGGTGGTGACATGCAGCCGCTATGTGGGGAGATCTTAGCATTGAGTTGGCCCAGAACCTGACGGATGCTGAAGTTCCGTGGCGCGGTTGAGGACACAAATGTAGGTGGGTAGTCGACGGCGGTCGGTTCGCTCTGGCTAGTCGCTTTTTCTACAGTTCATCTAGCTTCGCAGATGTCCGGTAGTCTTCAGCCGAGAAGAACGTGCCATGGTGGTCTAATCATGTCCGTACCAACACTACTTGATCCGCGCAGAAGCATATGAGAGTCTTGCCGAGTATTTGCCTTGAAGACTACCTTTACAGATTACACGGCTACTGTTCCGCACCTTCACGCTGCTTCTGAGGTTGTCGACTTCTGGTGAACATCAATTCCAGCGCCGATCATGAATGCTAGCTTGCATCAGTACGCACCGACAGCGAGAACATTAATGCTCAAAGCGATACACCTTTACGATGCGGCAGGGCTGGTGGGAGAGCGTTGGGGTGGAACTGAATTCCGATGCGGGTGATGGCCATGGAAGCCTCCGTATGCGCCGTTCTGAATTTGTACTGCCGAAGTGAAACCGGTAGTGCATGCCATTGCACGGCCAGCTTTTGTGTCCTGCGCATCGTTGCTATGGTAGCCCAGCGGAACAGATCTTCGCACGTAGTAGAAGCCGCGCGAATAATTATAATGAGTCAAGTACGGATTGGCGGTACATTGTGTCCTGCTGGAGAGTGTTGCCGAGGTTGACAAGATCTGCAAATTCGTTGTTGATTTGACCATGCGATGCCATGAGGCAGACAACCTCTCAAGGACGGATCGCACAAAAGTCATCTGAGATCGGCCTTCCGTGCTGATGGAATTGAGGGTAAATGTGTTCAGACCATGTCGCGTTATCCAGGAAGGTTGGGAGAAGACGGCGGCCCCGCCAGAATTGATGGGGCAGCGCTAAACCTCTTTTGTGTAGTGCATGTCTCATGGTGTTAGGCGCTGTATGGAAATTGTGGTGTGCCTCTCCGGCGGCATCACGATGCCTACGTTTTGGAAAGGTAAACTGACATCTCTGTCATATGAGACAAGATCAACAAGATCCTATGATGTAATCTACGCTCTAGGTCTTACTCTCTAGAAATTGTCAAACGAATTGGTAAGCACTGGTACGTGACAAGAAGTATGTACAGAAGGAGTTCGCGAGGAACGGCGTCCAATTCTCCCCTTAAGAGTGTGTGACGGCTTTCAAGTCACTTATTATGATAAAATCGCATCCCAGCGAACATTCACAGCACACCATTCACGTGCGTGGACGTTTGGCGCTCATGAATATTGCAAGACGCATTGTTTTTATTATAGCTAGAAGCCAGCTTCAGGCGAAGGTACAGTACATTCAGAGTGCTCGCGCACATGTTATTCCTGTTCATTCTTCCGCAGTTGGGTATTACAAGATCGTAAGGACAGAAAGGAAATCCGGCAAGTTTCCACGCTATGCGCAACGACAACAAAAAGGACAACAATGCTATCATTCGACCGTGTGCTCCGCGGCCATCCTAGGTAGTGTCCCACGCGAATGAATCGTCTCGCTCAATCCCATAGGCCTTTCATCCAGAAGTCTCCCGTCATTTTCTTCATCAACCTTCTTGAAGTTATCATGGACCAAGCCTCTTCGAGGATCCTCGTGTTTGCCGCTGCGAGTACTCTTTGAACGACCGGAGATTGGGGATGGAAACGTGGTGCCATCGCTTAGCACCATGGCGGAAGGTGGTGGAGCTTGACGCGGCAATTCGAGAGAGCTACTATCCAAGGACACGTGGTCAGGCATACGTCGAACTATCGGGTTCTGGGATGTGGCAGTTGGCGCATCGCTCTCGCCACGAGAATGTCGTTGGTTGGCTGCATTGTTCCTACGCTTGCGTAGCCACAGGACTAGACCAACGATGAGAAGTGTACCGATTATGGCACCGACAACCCCTCCAGCTATAGCGGCGACCTGGGACTTTTGCTTCGCGCCGGGCAAGACACGACACACTTGCTTTACCTTCGCATCCGCTCCTTTAGGATCGGCCGGCGCAACGACTGCAGGCGCGAGCTGGAAGTTTTGTGCGTCTGGATCGACGATGAGGTAGTTCTGCGTGAAAAAAGGAAGTCCCAGAGTGCCGATAGTGACTGAGCCGGCCGGGCCAGTTTGGTTTGTCACCGCCAAGTTAAAGACTGTCGCATTATCCACTTCGTACACTCCAGCAGCATTATATGCCCGTGGCCGGTTGTAGAGCTCAGTCGCCGGTATGACGGACTTGTAGGTGGCAACCGAAGGTTTCGATGCGTCACCACCGGGAATGCCCATGTCAGATAGCGTAACGGTGATGGTACCTGCCGGAGCTGGATCCGTAGGAAGCTCAAAATGGCGCGAAGTCTCATTCCAGACGGCAGTCTTCTCTGCAGCGGCGAGAGCATCCAGCATCGCAGCTGGAAGTCTTATGTCCGAAGAGAAAGGATCCAGATGCACAACGAGGGTGTCCGTCTTGGATGCGAACAGCGTAGTGCTCGTGCCACCAGCATCGTACGTGATGGCTGTCAAAATAGCGCATGTTGGACAGTCAGAGAACATAGGAAATGTAGTTGCAGCACTCTTCAGGCGGCTTTCATCGTAGCCACCAACTACAATCAGACCGTCTTGAGGTGTCTCTTCGGATTCTGATCCAGCCCATAATCCGAACGTCCGAGAAGAAGCTTGACCTGCATCAACGAGGAAGTTGAGAAAACTGGAGTCCAACCCCAAAGGCAGGGTCGCACGGAAATCAGGTTCATTCCTCATGAAAGGGTCCGCGTTCGCTAGTATGTGTCAGTGCTGTATAGATCGATCAATCTTTTGAACTTACTATCGGTCGACCCATTGGTATACATGGGAAATGTGGTGAACTTGTTTGCATCGGGTTTGAGACCGAACGCTGCGGCATCGTCGAAAAAGATGTAAGAGCTCGCGGATGCTAGATCCACAGACTCCCTACTGCCTGTCCACACCGCGTAGTTGACCTCTGCGAACGTAGTCGAGGCTGCACTGTCGTAGATACCACCAAGCTGGCCAATGCAGCTCGTGTTCGTAGCCGCCGTACATTCTGCTGCATTGTTGATGAAGAGGTTGTCGGAGAGGGTTGATGGCGTCAAGGAAAACGGTTGCGGAGGTGTGCCGATGGAGAATGAGATGCCCCTGGAGAGTACGGTGCCATCTGCAGAGACCGAGTTGTTCGTCCAAGGCAAGAGCAACGGCGTGGAACCGTTTGCGCAAGCCATCGCGACGATGAATGGCCTCCAAGAAAGCAAAGTCTGGTGTTGTGTTTGTGTAACAGCGTCAGCCTCGCACAGGCATTCTTGGGGTCAGTCATGACTGTCCTTGATATGGATTTACAGGGTTGCATGAACCAGGGGATGATCTGCTAATCTTGGAGCCATGGGGCCTTGGGCATGGTTACCTGGGCTCTGAGATCGGGCGTTGATAGCGACTGAAAAATCGGGTAAGGGAAAGATCCCCATTGGATTGTTCCACTCGAGGTTCTCCGGTACCTAGAGTCTCAGACTAGTACCTGGACGATAACAACAACCCCATCTCCATACACAACGTGATTCTCGCTCTCTTTCCCTCTGAAGTTCGCATCCAAAGCATCCGGGATTCCGTCATCGCGCCTAGCGGCCTGTGCGCGTTCTCGATGCTCTCCAACAGGTGATGACGTCACAGCGTAGATGTAGGTGTGGCCTTGATTTGCTGAAACCCGCGACTCGAACTGCAAGATTCCCTGAATCGAAATGAGAGCATGTTGCAACACTCCTGACAGGACGGGCCTTTTGCGGGGGTGCAAAAATGTCAAATTCGGTCCGTCAACGTCGGAACGTTGTTCAGCCACGCGGTGTCCCGCACATCGAGCCAATCAACGCGTGATGATTGACTAGCGTCATTCGGGGAAAAGTCTCGCGTCTGCAAGCCTTTCGCTGATCTCGCTCGCTTCTTTGATAACTCTGTCGATCGTTGTATGCCCAACCTCATAACCGGAGGACATGCCCAAGTTCGCCTCTCCTGGTCTTTTTGTTCCAGCCGCGATAGATCTCCTCGCTGATACCGAAGGTGGGTACCCTGGTCGCGAATCATTCAGGAACTATATCTTGCTATTGGATGGCTGGGGTGTCCGACGCGTGAGGAAACAGTCGCGTCGCATTACACTGCACTACAAATTTTGTCACTTACGTTGACCGTCTGTTAGCGCTCTGTGAACTTTTCTCAAGCATGGCGGCCTGACAACTGAGTAAGTCACTCGATGGCAAGAGTAGGAGCCGAGGTACTACAGTGAACTGAAGACATTGACTCTACTTCGTCAATTGTCAGTATCTAGATATGTTACGACCCAGCAATATCAGCTTGCTCTCTCACCGTACAAGTTTGCCTCTCTGCATACTTTGACTTGACCTAGCTCTCAATCTTCTTATCGACAGTATGTATAAGAACTTCGCCTGGGACCCTTGCCTTTCGGTATTGCTATAGCACAGTCGGCGATATTCGGCAATGCGCAAGTGTTACAGAGTCTCCTTACATCTCGTATTGGGCTTGACATGCTGCAAGCCATGATCTTGTCGCAGGTAGTCAGGCCTCCTTCATGGATCGTCCGAATGAGCGGTGTCCTCGGGTGTTGAGGAATCGCAACGCAATATTGGGTCTGCAGTGCTGCAGAATGTAGACGCTTCATATCGTTTCGGACTATTGCGTGTCTTTTCGGCGGGGTACATAGCGACCGAATCTAGATGCCGAAGGCATGGTGCCCTATACGGATGTGAGAGGCAATGTCGTTGGTTCACAACGTAGTGCGGGGTCTTGAGACGCAGTTATCAGGATACGTGAGACGGACGATTATGACATGCGCTGTACGATGCATCTTGTCAGGAGAGACACGCAACATTATTGCCACAATACCGCCGTCACACCTCCACGTTCGATAGTTTCGGGGCTTGGATGGAATAGTTGGGAAGAGTATCCTGAACTTTGGAGATGAGAGACCATGCAGTATATTGCAGCCTGCGTCATGTTCGGTTTAGACCTTTGGTCATAAGTAATCATCGACGAGTAGAGTTCCGTGGGTTCGTTCAGCGCTGGCCAAAATTCCGACCATCTCCAGCTGAGCGGGCGTGCATATGCGTAAATCCATAAACGCTCATTGTGTTCGAGCTGCAGATTTTGTAGAAGAGTACACAGATGCGGAACGCGGTGACAAGAGTTGTAATTTTCCGGTTCTGAAACTGACCATCCCTCCTGCAATAGAGATTTAGAACGACGATGGCGATTCGGACTTGGAACAGTAGGTGGAAGCAAACGTTCTGGCTTCTCTTGTTAGCAACCACTAGACACCAAGGACTGTCTCCATACGCTCTTTGCGTTATTGACTGGGCATCGCAATGTCATCGTTCCAGCGGAATTGCTGGGCAGCTAGTCACTGGCGGGATGAATAAGCCGTGTCGCAATTTTAGCCATGCGCCAGTGGTCGGCCCCATAGCTCCGGTCGCCACCTCCATGAGCACCTCGGCGCCTGGCTCTCGCGCAGATTACTTCTGTTGTGGCAAGTTCAAGTCCATCAGTATCGTGTCGTAGATTCGAAAAACGCCCAGTATGGCAAAGGGAGGAAATTGATGCGGCGCCGGTTAAATGGCTAAAGTCCAACCTTTTGTCATTGGGGCGGGACGCCCACACGTTATCCTTCACGCTAAATAAGGAAACGATAGATCGTGGCTTTACGGGTGGGCTAAATATACAAGGCTTCTCTCGTCGTCATTCATCGAGGGTTGCGAGATCTGCCGGTGAATGGAGGTTGGGGATAGAGACTGCGATATGGTTGCAGTAGCTGGCAGACACTGTCGCAATAAAAGGGCTGTTGGCTTGACGTGGAGAAGATGCGCGATATATTGTTGTGCATGTTGATCGCTGTTCACAGTGTTGTGGGTCGCGTCAATCAACCACGGGCGTGGACCCTGAACGGCCCGGCAACCAGGCACTTCCCCTCACTTTTCGCCATCACCCCTTCAATTAACATCAACACCATCATCAACGCCATCGAGTCCTCGGATGGATGGAGTGGGCGCTTGAGGCTGAGCGCGAATTCATATTACCCGGCTAGCTTCCATGGACGCAGCTATACCTGCATCCACGTTCACGACATGAGTGGGACCTGCATCTCACGTGCTTCCTCACCCCGGATGTGCATTTCGCTTAGGCAATGGACAGCGGCGCCCAGAACGTCTACCCCAGAAGCAGGAGCTGGCCCCGATGATCCCGAGGTCCAAGCCGGTTGATTTGTGGATTAGTCTGGAGAAACTCCGCAACCTGCAAGCAGGTGGCGCCATGCAGCCAGGTCAAAGGACTCGCAGCAACGAAAGGCAGGTTTGCACATGAGCCACGAGCCCGGTTAAACAAAATGACTGGGGTGAAGACGAACCGCGAGAGCGGATAGATTGATTGAGCATGCATACGCTAGAGTTCTAGAATAACCGCAGAAGAATATATAGCATAGCAGGCCAGTCCGCTGTTCAAAGGTATCCGTGGCAGACAACTTCGAATCGGTCAACACTCTCGAAGTCTCAATCAACATGCGTTTCTCCAGTATCGTCGCCAGCCTGGCGCTTGCCGGCTCTGCCGTTGCCAGCCCGTAAGCAGCTCGTGTTTCAGTCATAGCGACGACTCGCTAATATCTACATAGTACCTACGGCCATGGCAAGGACAATGACAGTCTTTACAAGTCCATGAAGAAGGCAGGACGAAGCTTCATCGGTACAGCTCTAACTCTCCGCAACGAGACTCGTGAGGGCGAAATTATCAAGGCCGACTTCAACTCCTTCACTCCTGAGAACGCAATGAAGTGGGAATCTGTCGAACCGTCCCGCAACAACTTCACTTTCGAGGACGCCGACCGATATGCGGCATACGCCAAGAAAAACAACCTCCAGATCCATTGCCACACCCTGGTATGGCACTCTCAGCTGCCACCCTGGGTATCTGAGGGCGGATTTGACAACAAGACCCTCATCGGCATTATGGAGAACCACATCAAGACCGTTATGACCCGCTACAAGAGCGTCTGCACACGCTGGGACGTAGTTAACGAGGCTCTGAACGAGAACGGTACATACCGCTCTAGCGTCTGGTATGACACCATCGGCGAGGCCTTCCTTCCCATTGCTTTCCGCTTCGCCAACAAGTACCGCGGCAAGGCCGAGCTTTTCTACAACGACTACAACCTTGAGTACAACGCGGAGAAGACCCAGGGTGCCCAACGTATCGTCAAGCTCATCAAGTCTTACGGCGTTCGCATCGACGGTGTTGGCTACCAGGCTCATCTTGCTAGCGAGGCCACTCCCACTGCTCCTGGAGCCGCTCCCGACCAAAAGACTCTCGAGGCTGCTCTTCGCGCGACTGCTGATCTTGGCGTCGACGTTGTCTACACCGAGATTGACCTCCGCATGAACACTCCTGCTACTGCCGAGAAGCTCAAGGTCCAGGCTGATGCTTACGAGCGCGTTGCCAAGTCTTGCTTGGCTGTTAAGCGATGCATTGGTATGACTGTCTGGGGTATCTCCGACAAGTACTCTTGGATTCCTGGTGTCTTCCCGAGCGAGGGTGCTGCCCTTCTCTGGGATGACAACTATGAGAAGAAGCCTGCGTACAAGGGCTTCCTCAAGGGTATCCAGAGCAAGAAGCATTAGACGGGGTCAAGAACGGTGGAATTATTATGTAGACATTGAGTAATCTGTACATTGTAACGAGACTCGGCTTTACTATCTCTGGTGACTAATAAGCTCTCACATTATGCTTCTCATCTCCGTCAAATGCTCATGTCCACGCAGAATCATGTTGTCTGTGAACTTCTCTTCTACGTTACATCACCACCATGTCGAATTCGTTTACTACACAGCATTCGCATCTACTAAGTACATCTAGTCGTCGCTTGAGTATGCTTTGCCATCTGAACAAGGGATAAACTGGCTGTCGTTAGAGTAAATATCACCATCAGCTGGTTATATGATCACCTCGTCGCCAACTGAGCAAATCCCGTTGTCGTCGGTAGTGACCATGTTCGCTGCCCAAGCTTCGGCCGTTCCGGTGTTCGATTCGCTTGAAGTTTGAGTTCTGCGCTGCATCAGCTTCCGGGTGTCTCCACAATCCTTCTTGACTACAGTTTTCTCTATCGTCTCAACATCCGACTCATTCGTTCAGCTTTCCCACACTATATCAGACATATTCAAAATAGTCTCATATGATGGTATACTGATATGGCCGCCTTAAATGACTCTTGCGCAGCAAGCCATGACCATTTGGCTATCGATTCGAATGGTATGTGCGCGTAGTTTACTCGAAGCAATGGTGAGTTTGTAGGTGGTGCTACCCAGTATGACATCGAGGAGGTGCCGGATGTAAAGAGGCTTTCCAAATAGTTTGCTTGGTGAGCGTGGGGATGATTCCAAGGATACGCTACACCTCAGACCTCTTCTAACAGCTAGTAAGCGTGTTAACAATCTCATCCATCGTCTGACATGTCACGTGTTATCGTCAATAAGATCGTGAAGAGAAACAAGCTACTAAAGATGACACGCGCGGGTTTGAAGAGACAGGCAAGGTGAGTAATTGTAGAGATACCCACATGGATTCATAGCTAAGTAAGTAGACCATGGCTTCAGTGCCGCCTTCAGATCGACGTATACAAAGCTACATACGGTGGATTCCTCCGCTGTGCTCATGAGACCTAGCGTGATATCGATCCAGTCTTGCCAAAGCCGATCCGAAACCTGATAGCGATCCAATCATGCGAGATTCGCTTGTAAAATTCGTGCTCTAAACAGTCTCAGAGCTAGCCACGCTAGCGAAAAAGGCGTTCAGGACTTCTTTGGTACGGCGTTTACTAAGGCCAGGATGGTTCAGCTCATAAGCTACCGCGGCTTTGTGTTCTGCTTGGAAATTGTTGGTGTGAACGAATATGCGAACCACCCCGTTCATGAATTTTAGAAGCTCCAACTTGGCTTTGTTGAAGTGTTCTTCGTCCAGTGCAACCATTTGGGACAGGGTGAAGTCAGATGCAGCCTGCCAGTCGTTGTTGACCGCACTAGCAAGACACTCTGCTATCTTTCCAGAAACACCGCATGTCAAAGTCGGATTTCCCTGAAACTCACTCGCATTCTTGAGTGCGGCTTTGTGAGTACCGAAAGGAAAGGCCTGATCAACCTCTTGTGTGAAAGGAGATTGATACTCTTTCCAGGTCCACATTGCTCGATGGATACCAAATTGTGTGCCGCCGATATCGATGATCCATACTTTCTTTGTCTTCGTCGATGTGACGCGAAAGATCTCGTGTTTGTGTTCGGGTTGGTATCCGGGGTAGCCCTGACTGTCCCCGTCGTTGACAAGACGGGTGATCACCTTGTGGACACGTGGTTTGAGAACTACGCGGATTTCCTCGATCTTAACGTCCAAACCTACGATGAGTTAGTGGTTTGCCTTGCGGTGAGTTCAGTAGATCTTACCTTTCGTAAGCTCACCAATGATGCTATACATCCAAGTTGCGGGCTCGCTGCGAACCAGAGCACAGAGCATAGCGTTCTCGGTTAGCTTGTCCGAGACCAGATGCTGAGGAAATTCGGAGATGTAGTTTGCGTGGCTGACACTAAGTGGTACACTAATGTATAATACCAAATCATTATTGCCAAGACGGTCCACCTTGACAATAGGTATGTCCCAGGTATTCTTGCGGAAGCCGTAATAGCCTTGTTGAACGATATTTGCGACGCGAGTAAGCTTCTTCTCAAGGTTCGTGTTCTGGATGTCCTTGCAAGCCTTCTTGTGAGTCGGCCAATCCTTCACTTGACAAGCCTTGCCGCAGTAGTGACGCGATGAGGTATCCAGCTTGCAAGCACCGCACTTGTTGTGAGCGGGCCCGCCACACACGACGCATGCTGCTTCTGCTCCTGTAGCCATGGTTGGGGGTTTTGTCTGTGAGACCAAGATGTATGGGTAAGTGGCAATGGCAATGTGTATAAGTGTGCGCGTTCTTGTCGTAGCGAGTTGCGTAGGTGGAGGCGGGCGATATTTGTTCCGGTCGTACGCGACAACGAGGTGAAGGTGAGTCGGGAGGCACAAAACACCCAAAATGGAAGCTAACGTCGTTGAATTACATGACATAGAAAGATCACTATGAGAGACTTTCGTGGACTGTGTCGAGAATCGAGGCGCGAATGCAAATGGTGATAAGCAGTGTAGATTGACTAGAAGATGTTACAAGTTATGTCAAGTCTTTTCCAATTAGACCATGCAATCTACACACACCTTACCTACCCCAAGTTCGTCGACCTTATTGCCGCCAGCACAAGATCCAGTTGCGGGTCGCTGAATTGATTCCTCAGCTGCACCAAGTCTTGAGCTGCGTCAGTCTCAGGAGCTGAATTATCAGCACGCTCCGCCGCCGTTCTCACGTCAACGAAGATGTGGCGGTGAGCCACCTCTTGTATCATGCCCTCACAAACAGTTTGATCAGTTTCGCGATGCACTGCACGCAGATACTGTCTTGGATCGTAACGTGCGACGTATCCACGTACAGCCTGAGTCAACACATTCGTCAAAGACTGTTTCCAAGCAGAGGGAGCTGTGCCAAGTTTACGAACGATACTTGCCAAAGCGTTGCCGAGCTGCTGTAGAAATTTGGAGAGTACTCTTCGCATGAGCCACGCAATGGCCAAGTCAATTTGTGTCAAAAACGAATCGGATCTCTGGATTTTGGCGCAAGCCTCCTCGAATTCTCTGCATTTTCCAACGTTGAAAACTCGGCAAAGCCTCTTGAGGTGAACCGATTCGAATTCTGCAGCCGGGAAGATGTTTTGCGTAAGTCCGAAATCGGCGCCAGACGGATTCATGTACCAACGCTTACCACTCCGCCTGTGAGTGATTCGTAAAAGCATGAGCCCGTGAAAAGGCCAGTTCGATTTTCTTGTGCCGTTTGTATGCACAAAAGTAACGGTTCGCATTGGGTCTTTCAGCTCGGCCTCAACTTCATGGAGATGAAATTCGCTTTCTAGGATAGTATTAGAACAATGATTGATTGGAAGGGGTTGTGAATAGACTCACGCTTGATAAGCTGTGTAATCAAGGATTCCGTCAACACTAAGGGCATAAAAGGATACCGAAAGCACATGAGCGCATGTTTAGCGACCTGATCTGGGAACCAGATATCTGAAAGATCTGAAAACAAAGTTTTCGTAGCGGTACCGTCCTCGTAGGCTACGACCTTCTGGTCCTCTAGCTCAACCTTTGAGATTGGAATTGGCCAAGTATATCCCTTCAATGTAAGCCAGGCTTGTTGGACGACTTCAGCGGCCATCGTAAGAGAAGTTTCGAGTTGAACACTTTCGCAATACTCCTTATGGTTGTCCCAATCCGCCCGTCGGTGGTCTCCGTTGCAGTAGACATGCGTTTTACATCCAAAACAAATCGTAGTCGCTGGTTTCTGGCAATGAGAGCATCTTTTCGCGTCCATGATGAGGGTATGTGAAGTGCTATGACGGTTGGAACGGAGAATAGGAATGGAATGCGACGGATGTTTGAGCGCTGAAGAAGAACGATGAACAAGGGAGCCTGTCTTTATAATTTATACTATTACCGTAGCAATCATTCGCACAAGCCGGCCAGCAGCTGACAGGACTATGGTCATTGTGAAGGTGCAGCAAACGAGTGTCAAACAAGGTGCCTTTCTGTGATACAGGATACACAATATTCAGCTGTATAGGGCATATAGCTCTATCAGACTAGAGACGAGTCGGGATCAAGCCACAATAGTGCTTGAAGCCCTTTTGTGCCCATAATGGAGTCGGCCCGGGCCGGAACGGGCTAGATCTGGAGTAGATGTCAACTTTGTGATTGCTAGTGAGGACATAAAATGAGTGTGTCAAATTCTTTTCATCAAAATCCGATATGGTCTAGTGGCTAGGATTTGCCGCTCTCATTAGCAGAGTCAGTTCACTGTACAGTGCCGGCAAGGCCCGGGTTCGATTCCCGGTGTCGGAAGATGTTCTTTTTGTTCTTTTTGCTCTTTCTGCATCAGTCCAGATGTGTAGGTGTTTCGACGGTATACTCCTGCAGTGAATTTTTGTTAGCGCGGTGCAGCGGTTCCCGAAGTACCCCGACAAACCCACACGTCCCCGATCGGGGTACCCCAGCCGCTGACTCCAAAGTCTTGCCATGGCGAGCACACTGCGAAGGCATTGTTTCGCGCATAGGCAGTCGCAAGATTATGTAGCCGTCGCTTATAAGTCTGCAGGCTTTCGAGTTCGCACCCGCCGACTTGAGGAGCGTGGCCACGAGTGGCTGTAGATGGTCAGCGGGAGCTGGTGCACCGCCAGAAGTGTATCTCGACCACCTTTTCTCGCCAATGCAGAACATCGTCATGCGGACGTGACAAAAACAAATAAGAGCACGGAATGTTCGAAAACTTGACATGTCTAATGATGATGTACCTGGTTAGTGGACCGAGGCGGGCTGTGAGCTTCACATGACGATCAGGCACGGGGCAAGGATTTTGGCGCAGTTCGCTAGCTCCTACGTCATCGTTCTCCGCAACCCAGCAACATAACACGACCTCTTCTCCGACCTCACACCACCACAGCAATTGCAAACTCAATTCCACAACTCCTCACTACCTTTAAATCCACTTCACATACCCCAATTACCTCAAATCTTATCACAATGGGTTGGTTCAGCTCCGACGAGAAGTCCGCTGCGGCTACGCACCCCGTCAACCTCGACGTCACCACAAAACACGGTTCCGCAGCCGAGCAAGATCGTTACGGCCAGCACTTCGGCGCCTCAACCGATGCCATCCGCCGCGGTGTGGACAAGGGCCTCGACAAGCTGCAACAAGCTGCCCTGGCCAAGGGTGAGGGTGCCGAGCAAGACCGCTACAGCGAACATCTGAGCATCGGTGACCGTGGCTACAACGCCATGAAGGACGCTGCCAAGTACAAGGGCGACGGCGCCGAGCAGGACCGGTACAACGCACACTTCAGCCCGGCCCTGCACAGCATCGATGCTGCCAAGGCAGTACAGGCCGCGGGAAGCGTGGCTGCAAACGGAGAGAAGAACGCCAAGTACTTTGGTCTTGGCTACGATGGTCAGCAAAGGGCGAAGCTGTTGGCTGGTGGCGGAATGGGTGCAGAGCAGGTAAGCTGGTGAATCCGTGCTGTCATGACGGCGATACTAATACCATTGCAGGACCGCCTTGGCCAGCATTTCCACCTGACCAGGGACGCCGTCGCCGATGCCGCCCAAAGATTGAAGGATGGTGCAAAGGATGTTCTCCCCAGGCGATAGACGAATAGCTGCTCGATGCAAACATGACCGCAACGACGACTTTGGCGAAGACTGCAACGGCCGTATATGTGTACAACACATTGTATGTTCACAATGTATAAGTAAAAAACAATAATTTATCATATGTCGAACTTTTTGATCCTGTCTATCTACAAGTGGTGTGCGAGGTGCTCGTGCAACACTCGGCGTCCATGACGTGACGATGGAAGATGGACCGCTCATGGTTGATGGTAATAATGAAGGGAGTCTATCGCTGATATACTCAGGAATAGTCTCGCTGCACACTGTCGCACTGTCCAATGCATTATGGCTCACGACCCATCGTGCTTGGTAGAAATGGCTGTGCAGTGCCTAGCATCTAAGGGAAACCAGGGCACCATACGCCGAGCTGATGTATGCACGACCTTCACAACCACCACGGAAGGCTCGATCATAAAACATCACAATGATCGTCCCCAAGCATAGTATCAATAATACGTCTTTGCGGCTCATTCGTTACGCCTTACGTACCCCACATCTCCCGATCTGACATCAGCCCAACGTGTCCGACCCCGGAATAGCGCAAACCATCAACAAGCCATGGTCTACGTTTCATGTCTACCCATACTTAGACGATTGTCAGCAAAATTGTTGTCAGCCTTATGATGGTTCGTGGTACCGAGCCATCTAGCATGTTTCAACAACAAACATTTCCTATGACAAAACAATATTGCGCCTCGTGTACTTGGACGTCGATGGCATACCGGGAATTGGGGAGATTAGAATAGATGGGTAAGAGGAATCTGATGAGAGACACGTACTGTCAACCAAGAGGATCAGTCTAAGAAAAGCGCTTCACAAGAGTACTATTTGTATCCAGACCATGAGAAGGAGTGTATAAAGCCAACATATCATGATCACTTGTCCTTTCGCATCATCTTCACTACAACCCTCCACAGCTTCAGCACCACGATCCTCACCACCACCAAAAACAACTATCAAAATGCAGCTCACCGCTCTCCTCACCCCCCTCCTCGCGGCCTTCGCCATCGCCGCTCCTACCGCCTCTGTCAACATCGACACCCGCCAAACCGGCAGTCTCCGCGTCCAACTCTCCAACGACGCCGTCGACACAGCCGTCCAGCGCGTCATCCCCGCCAATGGGTAAGTCCCAGCCATCTATGTCTTCTACAACAATCTCTTCCTTTGTCTTTTTTGTTTTACTTTCTTCAACATCTCCAGCTCACCACCGAAACGAGTTGAAGTAGTTTTCTGTTTTAACTAATCATACATGTTAGCTCCCGCGTTTCTCTCCGTGCAAACTTTGCTGGCCTGGGCCGCCCGGTGTTTGCTAACCGTGCACTGATTGTCGGTGCTGGGAATGGGCGGTGCAACATCTTTAGTGATGCGGCGGGCACGAAGAGGGTGGCTACTATTGTGTAAGTTCTGTCGTTCAAACTTTGAGTTGGAGTGAGGTTAGCTGGGATTAACATGATGTTAGGGCTGGTGGCGACGATGTCGATTTCGGCCAGACTCATCTAGATAATGGGGTTATTGTCTGTCAGTAAAAGTGACACGAAATACGTCGTGGTGTGGTTGGTAAGGGGAGCGTGGGGTGGTTTGTGGAGTCGAAGAGTCTGGGGTGGAAGAATGCTACATGAGGACTTTCATCTTACTTGTGTTTTTGTTTTTGTCTTTGTCTTTTGTCATGAAATTCTCTTTCTGCTCGAGCACTGTCGATATAGAATAAACGCTTGTCTTTCACCGTGTCCTCCTAGTTGCCCAGTATTTATGTGTTACATGCCACGCTTACAGATTCATGAATAATTTTGAAGAAAACGAAGACAAGGTCATCTCTGCCTCATCAGCGTTATGCTAACCTATCGACCTCCTTAACTCGTCTTCTACCTTTTCTTCTCCAGATATATTGTTTTTCTTCTCGAACTTGCTAAATGAGCTGTGCCGCACGTGCTCATGATCTTCTCCTCCACTAGACACACTTGTGATCAAGCCAAGAACCCGGCTGTGTTCAACCCTCCGATCGTCCTTCCGAATCCAGGTGCCTCCTCACGAATGTGTAAGGACTGCAGAAACGATTGAACTACTTCCGAATCCACCGAATGCCCTAGAGTTGACACCCAGCTCATCACAACAGGAACCAGCCTAGCTCTGGAAGATTCAGAGTCATCAACTAAGACCTGAAAGTACTTATCCTCTAAGTCTCGGTTCTCCATGACGAATTCAGCAAGAGTTACTTCTCTTTTCTGCAACAAAGACCATAAACGTACAAACCGTATGAGCATTGTGCAATAGCGGATGGAGAATTCGATAATCCGAGGCAGTAGTGTTCTTCCTTTACTATCCCAAGATGCACGGACCTGATGGCCAAGACCCTCTTCTGTAGGGAATCTATTGACGTCGTTGAAAAGCGCCTTGGTCCCAATGGACACGGTATAGGGCGAAAAGTCGAGTATCTCCTTCTGGAACCCTGCATCGTAGTTCCCGAGATGCTTCCGGATACACAATTCGACAGGTTCCATCCACTGCGAATCCGTACTGGAAACTTGCATGTCTATGTCCAGGCCTAAGATAACAAATAGCTGTGCGGGAACGTAAGCCTTCAGCATTGGAAAGGGATGTTTCGGTGGCTTCCGGCAGCGCGGATCAGCCTTTTCCGCCGGTAGGTTCTCATATGCGCATATTGATATCTTCCGATGTGGTAGTATGGCCAGCGCAATATCGCCCATCGGGAGGTGGCGAATGTGCGATGGCAATAGTCCGGTTGTGGAAGGGAAAAGACTGAGTGCTATCGCTTGACCGTCCAACCCTTCTGTCCGCGAGGCCTTACCAACAGTACTGGTAGGGAAGAGGCTGCGATAGATATGTAGAATGCGGTCCGCAAGAGCGGATTGGAAGTGATCTTTTGCGGAGCTGCGCATTATGGGGTTCTTATCCATGGCCAATAACTCCTCATACCATATGTTTAGCAACAGAGCTACTGAAAAATAGTCTCCGAAGTAGTCCATATGGTCAAGCGATTTGAGAGAAATTGGGCGCATTGTATGAATATGGTACTCCTTATGGAAGTAAAGGTCATCCTTCAGACTCGGCCAAAGAGAGCCGATTGCCTTCTGCCACTTGATTATGCTCAAAGAGTAACTCCATAATACCGGTGGAAAGGAGAACGATGAGGAAAATCGTCTGACGTGTAGCGGCTCCATGAAGTCGAGGAAGCTGCGGAGACGCTCCACAAGTTCGTAGATCATGCTGATCATAGCTTCCTGAGATCTTTCGATACTGTCGATGGTTGTTGGCAAAGTGAATCCAAATCTTTTTATCGCGAAGTCAGATTCAAGTAAGAGTCGTATGTCATCAAATTCCTCCGGTACATCGGTGAAGCACGAATATGCAAAGTCAACAAACTTCGTTCTGACATTACATGTAAACTTCTGGACTGGTGTGCGATAGGCATTCTTGTTCAATATGTCCTTGCATCGAAGGCAAAGACCGTCGATCGAAGTTTCGCACTGCGTTTCAGATCAGCCACTCGGTCAAGAAAAGCTTGTTAAACATTGATTTACGTACCTTCCTTTTATTAAGACGACAACCAAAGCAAGACCAAGAGGCCTTCGTCGTAACCCTTCGACTCTTTGGCTGGTATCTTTTACGCTCACGATCAGCCTCAGGGCTTGTATGAAAGTAGATATTGTCGAGCGCACAACTGGACACAGTTTTGTCATTGCCAGCGTTATTGGAACCGCATGTTTTCCTTTTGGCGATTGTTAGTTGGTCGCCACCGATTCCAGAGACGACTGTCATGGTTTGGAAATGGAGCAGGGGGGCCGCAGTTTCTATTGCGTCGGCACAGCCTGTAGCAGATTGCTCGATCGTCGGATAAGGCGACAGCCCATGCGACACTGCAACAAAGGGATGGCCTTGATGCGAAGCAATGTTGCCGTTCCACGGTGTAACAGTAAGTGGACTTGTCATGTTGTAGGCGGCATCATCAATCGGATTTATCTCCAGGTCATCTGCATCAACAGCGACGGATCTAACTCCTTGCGGCGTAAGAACTGATTGCGTGCTGTGACAAGGATTAGTAGCTTCCAAGAAAGATCCGTTGTTTGCTTGATCGCCTGTATCCAAGATGGGAATCATCCTGTTGTAAGGTGGTGTTCTGAGTAGCATTGAGGTCTCTGTGAATGGCCCACGATACATCGCCTGATAGTGAGCACTAGAATTGTCGACGTGAATATTGGGAAAGGTAATGCTCATCTGATCTGGATCATGGACACCATCCTGGGAGGGATTCAGATCAAACGTGGTATCTGGGATCTGCTGTGTAGGCCAGACACCGAGGTTGAAAACCTGCATGCTGCCGCTATCATTCGGTATAGGGTCGTGGCTGAAAAGCTGATGTGAATGCATGAGCGCGTTGGAAGGACCAGATTCCCCACCATAGTCGGTGATTGTGCTACCCATGACAGGATCCATACAGGGAGCATCTACAATCCGTGGGTGTGAGCTTGGAGAGAAGGCTTTTGCCTTCTCTAGGATTTCATAGCGTGCTACAGCATGCCGCAACTCCGCTTCGGCGAGCTCCTGTTCCACCTCTTCTGGCAGGCCTGATCCTTGTCCGTGGTTACATCCAGCAAATCCTGCTCGTTGTTGATAAGGCTGGAAGCTCACCCACGAAGTTGACTGAGAGGTATCTCGTGGGTTTGCACTCGTTGGAAAGCTACTTAGTGTGTCGCAACCGTCTATAAGTAGCATAGCTTGCGGTGTGTCTGTTTGGGTGACCGCTATGGGTATCGTGTTGAGTTCACGATGAGCCCATTCAGTCGCATGTTCATCTCGCTGTTCGGGTTCTGCGACGGCGTGTTGGCGATTCATGGCGGTGGCATACGAGGCTGATCTCTGGCTGCTAAGAAGATTCCCAGATTCTTTCGCACGAGATGTAAGGTAGAACAAAATAGGTTGGCGGAAGGCTCCTAGAAGGCTCTGAAATATTGAAGATTGACATGATATTTCGAAAAGGAAAACGTCGAGTCTTTAAGGGCAGTCGATGGAGGCTGAGCGTATGTGTTGACGAGTAGACACCAAGCGACGAGGCTGAGGGACAACTTGTCAGCACAGCTTTCCGCACCCCAAAGCAGATTAGACTCCCCCACCTCTACCGCCCGAGCCATCCTTCCGCAGCCGGAAACGGACTGGCGTCATCTTGGCACCACATCTTCTCCGTTCCGCAGCCGCATTGAGATGCGCGAAGGGTTATGCCATGAGAGATTCATTTCCACTGCGCATATCTTGCAGGATCTGGATGCAAACCATCATGTGTATAAATCAGACGATAGGAGCCTGTAATGCAGCGTGCGGTAGAGTAAAGCGCAAAGACTCACTTGGAGCCTATCATTTCCACTCCACAGTTCCTGACTACGTCACTCGAAACAAGCAAGCAATGCCCTGATCATGTGGACCCGTTCAGACATCCTCGCTCTTCTTCAACTTCTCGCCATGATTTTCTTTGCAACAGTTCATGCTGCATGGTGTCTGACCATCCATCGATGTGCGTATTCTCCCTTTTGGCAAGACCATGTACTGATTTTCCCAAAGCTACTATTCGACATAGCGCGCATGTAATCAGACTTGACATGCTGATCGAAACAAAGGCTACACCCAGCCATGGCCGCAACTATCCCTCCAGTATTCTCGCGTACCAACAGGTTCACTAGCGACGTGATGCCTTCGCTGATCTTGGTCTGAGGTGGGGACCTGACAGTCTCGATTCAAGGCATCAGCCTTGAAGGGAACTGGACGGCGCATGCTGGTATAAGTAAGCATAGGCGCGTCTTCTCCTGTGATAGTAGACAGTTTGACGGACTAAGCCTTACTGGTTGAAGAGAAGTTTGTATGTAGACCCTCCGCCGCGATCGCTTCGGGCGTAAAGAGAGTGTCTATGTTGTGATGACGAGGTTCGACGGCTGGATCAAGGTCAGGATGTGTGTCGGTGTGTTTAATGGCGGAAGTCTTTCACGAAACATCAAGTGTCGCTGGATCCATGGCGGAAAGCGGCGAGGGAAGGGGAGCGCAAGCCGTGCGAAGACTAAGGATCGATTGCCCAAGAGGCAAAAAGGTCACGAGCGTCCAGATTGCCAATGCGCCTTTTGCAGCTGTGACTGTATGTCGGAATAAAACCATTCATTCGATACATTTCCTCCTGTCTTCCTTGTCTAGCACTTCTAGCAGGTGGTCTTACATTCAGCACAGACGCACGACAACCTCCCGAGCTCAAGCGTAGTGCTCTGGATAGAATGTTAGTATAACAATCCACAAGTTGACTGATTTTTAATAAGATACATAAGCTCTCAACGCATCTACTGCTTGCCACAGCGAGGCGGTCGCGTAACGCTCATAAGAAACTAACGTATTGCACGGTAAGCTAAACTATTTTCTAAAAGACGTTAGGAGAGAATAGACTTTATAGATCAAGGCTACAATTCTAAGAATATCTATTCTTCTGACTTGTTGTTGAGGTTTTTGTGTTGGGGAGTATCTGTGGCGTCTCGTCACGCAGGGTGTCCTGCTACCCAGGGATAGACGTTAGTTTGCAGTGCTGCAGATGTACTCGCTTGTGCATTACAAGGCTGAGATGCGGGCCTATGCGATGCATGAACTGGAGCACGCTTAGAGCCACGACCGGTTCGCTGCCGAAGATCAAAGTAAATATGGTGGGGCAACGTTCGCGATCTGTGGCCACTCATCGAACATGAAGTTACGCCTGAATCCGTACGTGATGAAAAGCTTTAGAGCGCTGGTTCGGGCAAGTAATAAACTTCACTAACGCATGCCGAAATTGCATGATAAGATGGGCGCGAGTTACAACCTTGCTAGCGCAAAGCTGAGCGCCAGCAGGGTAGCGAGGCCCCGCTTTTTTCATCGTCACTCATTCGTGGCCGGCAGCTCCGCTGCCTCGTCGCGTCGTTTTCCACAAAGCTGAGCGCCATCCGTCGTTGCCGCGGAGGAGCCATGCGGAAACACGAACACTAGTGGCAGATTGGAACCCTCACTTCTGTCGCCACGTACAACATTCTCGCCCAGCACCATACTCTGGACTACCATCGTATCGAGAACACCTGCGGAGCGCAAGCACATTCCATCCTGTCGGTACCGTCATGGACAACGTACTGCCTGTACGTGCTTGCCTCAAGCCAGGTCGCACGTGGGAGTCTCGGAAAGCCGTTCGTGGCGAGAACAAGCGGGAGCAGCAATTTTACCGGTAGGCATCCAATCATCCTTTGGGTCGAATGTCCGTTTAACAATTCTTCTTTGACGGCGCTAATAGTGCTATTAAGATACTATGGCCCATTCCGAGAGATGTCTGATTATGGTCCTCAATACTGCGACGTCCGCAATCCTGACGCCAGAGCCAAACACAAAGCTGTCTCATGTCCCGATAAAATTCTTACAGCCTTCTGCCAGCTAGGTGCTCTAAGGCTGAGGGCTCGCCGTTGTTTGATTTTCTTTTTTGATGTCAATCACGCCTACATCATGGCTGAGGCGACGCAAACGCTATCGCTCGAAGATGATACGATACACGAACCCGGAGATGAGGTCTGGATGGGCCACTCTGTTATTCCTCGCGATGTTGCCTGTTGCGAGACTACCGTCAATCTTCCATCATTTCCTATCTCCGCTGCTGCAGATAGCGACATCAAGAAAAGCGCGTTCGTAGTAAATGACCTGACCAAGCACCCGGACCTATCTACGAGACCATACGTTACTAGATTTCCCAATGGTCGTTTCTATGCCGGTGTGCCCATAACTACGCCATCTGGCATCAATATTGGCGCATACTGCATCCTCGACGACAAGGTTCGAGATGGGGTTTCGGACAAGGATCTCATCTTTCTGCGCGACATGTCGAAAACGGTCATGACCCATCTCGAGGCTGTGCGTGCTCTTGCCGAGCGACAGCAAACCAATCGTATGGTGGGTGGACTTGGAGACTTTGTGCGTGGTGGGGCTTCGGATGCGGGTCGTACAGCGCCGTCAGCAACCAATACACCTCCGAAAGAGGTTGGTGTAGAAGCCCAAAATCCCCACGCTGTTGAGTATCGCCTGCCCGATGCATTGGTTGATGCTACGGGAACGCCCGCCACGCCATCTCCGCAGTCGTTAGCGGATTACTTTGTTATTCAGCATCAACCAAGCCCACTGACAGGCCACGCTGAAATACTTGAAAAGGATGCTGTTTCTCTACGACAATCAGGCGACTGCAGCGGAATCCCTTCCGCAAACTATCAGAAACATGGTTTACCCGATCGATTGGTGCGGACAGATTCTGGAAGTGTACCAAGTTTTACTGCTTCTCCGATGGAAAACTCGACGGTTCGTCCACCGCCTCGTCCGCGAGAGAGTGCCGACGGTTCAAAGAGTACGTATCAACGTGCTGCTGAAATTCTTTGTCAATCGCTCAACATTGATGGAGTTGCCTTTCTTGACACGTCTGTTCGAGTATTTGGCGGGTTGAGCAACGACCAGAATGCTGAATCTGTCGAAGGCAGTACTGCTGAGAGCGGCGATTCGACAGGCACCTTTTCACATTCAGAGTCTGCAGCTGAGCCACGAGTCAAGCGCGCAAGAGTCTGCCAGGTGTTGGGTTGTGCACAAACTGTGCGTAACGATATGCTGGAGATGAATCATCCCAAAAACCTGCCTCCCAAAAAGTTGACGGAAGTGTTCTTACGTAAGCTTATGAATCGTAATCCGCACGGAAAAATCTGGACTTTTGACGAAGGCCTCAAAACACATTCGGAAGATGGCTTTTCTTCAGACGAATCTGGCGCCGGTATCGACGCTGCTGCAGCGCTATCACCGAGTGTTAAGCAACGTAAAGCCATCCGTAGAGATCGAAAGAGTGACGGAGAGATTTTGCAAGCGGCATTCCCCGGGGCGCGATGCATAGCACTCAGTGGCATTTGGGATTATACGCGAAAACGGTGGGTAGTTGCGGGTCTGTACTGGACTCTTGATCCGTTCAGGACTATTGTCAAAGAAACAGAGATGCAATTCGTTGCTGCCTTCTGTGACATCATCGTTGCCGAAACCAAACGTCTTGAAGTGGTCGGAACCGACAAAGCAAAGTCAGACTTCATTTCAAGCATATCTCATGAGCTCCGCTCTCCGCTGCATGGTATTCTTGGATCATGCGAGTTATTGTCGGATCGCGGGCTAGATGATACAGCAATGACGTTTCTCGAACAAATAGATTCATGCGGTCGCACGTTGCTTGAAATCATCGAGCACCTGCTTGATTTCGCAAATATCAAGAGTCAGCGATTGAGAAAGGGTTCTGTCAAGAGCTCAACAATCAGTCGGAAGTTTTTACCATCCACCGGAAGTTCTTCTGCCGATGATCTAGAAGCACTACAAAAGAGCGTCGCACTAGATGCTCTAACCGAAGACACCATCGTATCCTCTATATACTCATTTTACTATGGTCAAAGAGTCCACAAGCACACTCACCCATCGGTCATTCTTGACATTGATCGTTCTGACGGCAAGGCTTGGACATGCAGCTTAGCGACAGGCGGCTGGAAGCGGATTTGCATAAACCTCGTCACCAACGCACTCAAGTACACACCTTCCGGTTTCATTCGGGTCTCTCTAAAGCAAGAGCCCAAGCCAGGATCACGTCGGCGCTTCAATGCTTTGCTTACTGTCTCCGACACTGGTATAGGCATGTCGAAGCAGTTTCAGAGCGATCGTCTTTTCCATGACTTTTCTCAAGAAGATACGTTGTCCGATGGTTTAGGTCTTGGTCTGCACATGGTCTCGCGGATAGTATATGCAATGGGTGGCAAGATTGAAGTCGTAAGCAATGGAAAGGGCACAGGCACTTGTGTCACTGTACTTGTGCCGTTAGAGCATAGCCAGAACAGTTCGCATCGCAGTGACTCTTGGGACAAGGAAATTGTTACTTCCCCAAATGTCTTTGGAGTTCTAAAGGTCGGTCTTGTCACAGGGACAGACGTCTCAGCAGATCTTGAGAACTCTCCGACGACAGCACTATCTTCATTGGCGATCGCTTCTGTCGAAAACAATCTCAAGTTCATGGGCGTACAATCCGAGCGATGCAAGTGGCAAAGCGTCAGTTCATACGACCTGATAATCGTCATGGAAGCTGAACTAGCTGGATGCCTTGCGACACTACGAAACAGCAGTGCTGCGGATGATCGCCATGCAAAGAGTGCCGACGGTCTTGCACCCGTGCTTGTTATATGCAACCACAATCCAAGTGCACGGATACTACGAGACTTGTGGACAACGGACGATCTCCGGTCTTATGTAACCATGGAACATATTGCTCTACCATGTGGCATCAAACAGATCAGTCAAGCGATCTCGTCCGTTTTACGTCAGCACGAGAAGCGTAAGATGGCAGGATTGGACATGGTAGAAGTTTATCAAGAGTCTAGAAGGGAGAGCTTAGCAGACGGTGTGGCACTACGTGACATCGGAACTAACAGTCAACCTCAACTACCATCGTTTGCTCCAGTATGGGCGACGACTGATATCACTTTCGTAGAGCAGGGCTGGGCTGATTCAACGTGGTCGACTTATAAGTCAGCACATGTGCTTCCAGTACAATCATCGCCAGCAGAAGCTCAGCTTTTCTCCTCATCGAGCCGTCGCACATCGGCCCCCCAGGCTGATCTGGACTCACAGTCTGCACAGATTCCGGGACCGGGTACCCCTTCAACCGAAGTCACATCTGCACTTGGACTTCTCACCCAAATTCCAATCTTACTACTTGTCGATGATAACAACATCAATCTCAGGCTTCTCTCTACATTCGCTAAGAAGTACAAGTACTCGCATATCCTCGCGGAAAACGGACAGCTTGCTCTTGACGCCTTCGAGAACGCTCACAGAAATCTCAGCTCGTGTAACAGCAACGAGGCGCAAAACGTTCGCACAGTAAGAACCGGTATGCCAAATATAATCATTATGGACATCAACATGCCTGTCATGGACGGTTATGAAGCCGTTCAGCGGATCCGCATTTACGAGAAAAAGCATCGTTTAATGGCGTCCAAGATAATCGCTGTGACTGCTTTACAGTCGGAGGCTGCGCGAGCTGAGGCAATTGGTAGTGGCTTTGATATGTTCTTAAGCAAGCCGCTTAAACTGAAGGACCTAGCGAAGCTTATCGAAGTATGTTGATTAGGTAGGCCAGCAACCCTCTTTATTGTTACAATGTAACAAGGAAGTGTTCCTCCTTGACGCAGGTCGCATGGTAAGAGACTATCGGGTGTTCACATCAGAAGAAAAGGATCAGTGCGGGGCGCTGATCATGCGATCTGACATCCCGCCAAGGCTTGCCATCCGGGATGGCAGCCAGAGCTGGGGCTGTGACTATGGTACGCCTTATACGACCTGACTGCGCGACACTAAAGAGACCGCGTCTTAACAAGACTTCCCGCCTTCGACTTCTTCCCTCCAACCCATTACCATTTTGCCAGCTTGATCCCATTTGCCAAGCCCGCAATACTCGATTTCCTCCACATCACTCAAGCAATGACTGATAACGACGATAACTTCAATACGCAAATGCTTGCCGCTATCGAGTCTAACGACATCGCTATCCTACAAGATATGCTGTCGACACGCGAGGCCGAAGGTCCTAATGCTTTGCACCGGGGTCAGGGATTGACCGAGGCCCTCAGCACAGCATTAGAGCTAGCCCAGTTCGATATAGCCGAGGAGCTTTTCAAGCGTGGTGCTAGGTGGGGTGATAGCACCATCATGTACGTCTCAGAAGGGGCACGTGAGGAAAACGGGTGGAATACGAAAGCCATCGATGTGGCGCTAGCGCACGGTTGGGATGTCAACGAGCACTTTGACCATATTGGCAGCGCTCTCGTGTAAGCCTTTCGCTACCCTTCTCGACACCGTTTGGCGCGCAGAAATAACTGAAAGGTAAACAGACACCTTGTCAGTATGACGGAGACAGGCCCAGAATATCCCGATGGCGATACAGCTGCCCTAAAAATTGCTGCGCATCTATTATCAAAAGGCGCCGAGGTGGACGAGGGTACTCAGACGAGCAACAACCCACTAGAATTGGCCTGTATGAACGGTGATAGGCATATGGCAGCGCTATTATTAGCACATGACGCATCGCTGGAAAAGGCGCCCAAGGCACTCCTTAATGCTGCCAGAAACGGCAACATTGACATTATGCAGCAGTTGCTAGATCGCGGCGCTGATGTCAATGCACATCTGTATGGAGACTTGGAGACAATTCCTGCGCACCGACGGGACAAAGGTTGGGGCTCCGCGCTACATTGTGCTGTTAAGGACCACCGTACTAAGGCAGTCTCATTTCTCTTAGAGAAAGGCGCGGATAAGGAGTACAGGAACAGGGTGGGGTTGACGGCTTTGGATTTTGCTCGCGAATTAGGACAGGAGGACATTGTGCGGTTGTTAGAGTAGAGTGATGACCACTTATGCAATCATCTATCCTGAACAGCACTATTCACCATTCCTAGTACCCGAAGAGAAGTAGTTGCAGGCTACCAATTTTGCAGCTGTGACTATATGTCAGAATGAAACTATTCACTCAATACATTTCTTCTGGTTGCGACCACAAGGTACTACTCCTTGGTGAAAATGCCAACGCTGCAGGCGCATACTCGGCAGCTTTCAAATAGCGACCTGTCTATTCTCAGCCGCAACGGATTCCTCCTCACCAAGCAACTGACAGCCGGAATAATTTCAACCAGTCCAAGCTCCAAGAGTACGTCGCTCCGCCTTTGATACACACATGCCTCTCCACGACCAATCCATCATGCAAGCCCATGAAGAAGCCCTAGCCTTACTTACGAGCACGCCTCAAAAGACATCCCATGCATCGATGGAGAACCTCCTGAGCATTTATGGCGCACAACAGGGATGTAATCTATCACGTGAGTCTGTTGACACTATCCAGCGCAAAACGATTCTGGAGGAGCTCTCGCAGATCTTGCATCTGCGTGGTCGTTTGCAGCAGATGGGCGCTACATTTTCCGACCAGGGAGAGATGCTGACCTATGGGAACCCATCTTCACCCAAGGAGTTTGAAGCCATGATACGTCTCGGTCCATTATACGATGATCAGTGGAATTCTTTCTTCATTGAGACCTACGAACCGTCTGACAGTGGAGGTAAGAATGCGCAACTATGGGCTGGTTTACGTACCTTGAAAAAACTTCTTCGGAATGAGGGCGTAGTGTTCGGCCGACAACACCAGCGGTATTCGTTTGGCGATTCAAGCACGAAACTGCGAAGATTATGTTGCGCGTATGATGAGTTACGAAATGAATGGCTAGTAATGCTACGAACAAGCCTTCCAGCACAAAATGACGCACAACTATCGACCCTTCTTGGAGAGGAGTCGTCGAGCGAAGGCGACTCAGAATCCAGCGACGATGATAATCAAAGATTGTACGCAACAGTGATTCTTGGTACGGAAGCGCCCCGAGACGTCACCAGTCGACCTGTGATTCGGCATCACCGCAGGAGTAGCGTACCACACAACATTGGTTGGCGTTTCAGTGACGATTCTATACCGAGATCTCGCAAGAACGCTGCCTGGAGGTCTAGTGACGATTTGAGCTTGGTACCAGAATGGAGCGATGTTGAACATGCCGACGCTCAGGGCCCGCAAGATGTGTCATCTGTGCCGATATTCAGGAACTGTAGTCTCAAGCGAGTTAACGCCTTGCATGGAGATGCCAGACCAGTAACAGCTCCATCATCTTTTCCCACCAATTCGACACTATATGGCGCATCGCCGTTACAAGTAAGCCATACAGCTTCTCATCTTACCCAATCGCGCGCAATACCGCCGCTGAAGAACGTGAACCCACAGAGCAGGTTACCTCCTGGCGATATCGTGTCGAACGCAGTAGGAGACAAGGTGATATCTGGAGATGTAGCGAAGGCAACCCCAGTACAAGAGGCCGCCAAAGAAGACCGAAAGCATAAAACATGGGGTAGGGTACGCCGTTGGTTCCGGAATCCTTTCAGACGAGGATAGTGCAGCGTAATGCTGTATTCGTGCCAACGTTTATTGCTCATGCTCTTGACAGTTTACAGCCGGAAGCGAAAATAAGATTGCATGTTCAAGTTGGCGATTGATACGCGATACTGAGGGTCAAAATCCCAGCGGATGTTCTTCACTTACAGCAAGAGATAGCAAGTTGGAAGATGTTGTATAGAAGACAAAGTACAAGTATGTTCTTCCATGAGGGCCATGTTATTGGTCAAAGAGATGGAACTCTACGATTCAGACAAAGGAGAATATCATTCAAATATCATAGCTCGATACCGGTGACATCTGGCAAGTCCTTATTGTGATCGATCAAACCGCTCATCCTTCGGCTGATGTCATCGATATCCCATCCCTTTTTTTTCGCCTTCAAGATCATAGAAGGCTCAAACAACTCCCACCCTTTGAACACGTCCCGTATCGTGTGTTGCAACGTCGATCCCCAAGCAACTTGGAGGTAGTTCAATCTCTCGGCCGGATCTGGCAAGCAGTTTGCGAGAAACAATGCCATTAGGCAAATGCTATAACTGTATTTCGGGTCGTTGAGCCGATTGGAAAGCAGGCGACGAGGAAGGTCACAGATGTTTCCCAGTATCGAAACACGATCGGCTACCAAGAAGTTATCGCATTTGTCCATGGCATCAAAAGTTTGGAGTAGGACCAAATTCCATGGGTGCTCGGATTCCGGTCTCATAGGCATCGAAGTCCTGCCATTTTCGGCGAAAGGCGAGGAAAAATTTCCAGGGGCTGGAATCTCGGATGGACTCGTCGTGAACTTCTCGCGATACCCTCCAGTAGCAGATATGTTAGACGCATCTACATGGAGATCGTTTCCTGCCATACGACGCTTGATATATTCGGGCAATGTGAATGTCGGATCGACCGGTACAAGGTAGTGAAGTGAGCTAGCACATAGTCTTTCATGATGTGTCCAAGTACGTGTAAACCATCTGTCGTTGGTTAAGGGTTGTAGTATGGCAAAAATCAGCTTCGTACGATCGACTTCATGATCTTGGCCATCGGTAAAGTCGTGTATTACCTCAACTGCTGACACTATAGGGAAAGTCCACGAGAGGAGTGCAACGGTCCACCGACTTTCTTTGTATACTCGATGCATTATCTGTAAATGCTTCTCAATGTCGGCGGGATTCGTTTGGTTGATACATTCTTGGTCGATCCAGATATATGGACACCCATGTTGTCTTGCGAATTGGACAGCACGATGGAACACCAACGTTGGACAGCTGACCGGGCGTCCTAGGCTATTAGGACTCGCCAGGTCTTGTATGCAGTACTCAGGTAGCATAGGTAGTCCGGCCATAGATTGTGTATGGTTCCAGCAGTATGAAACGGAGACAAAGTCCATCCCCGGCTCGTGCTCTTCTGGTGACGTGATCTTGAAATCACAATAATTTTCATCCGTGATCCAAGCCTCGACGAACGAAGGCGTGATGAACCGAAGCTTGAGAGGTTTTTCCTCGTTATTTTCGGCGATGGCCAGATCTATAATCTCTTCGATCGTCTCATGTAAAGCACCCGGACTGCTAACGATGTCGGCGATCGGACGGTGGGTGTCGTGCTGCATGCCACTTTGTGTCAAAGAATCACCATGACCAACTTCAGGATAGGGTCGGGGTGTTTCAGGCTCTCTTGCATCATCCATATCCTCTGTCTTTCGCAGTCTACATGAATTGAAAGCCTCCGCAAAAGCACGTATAGGCGTTATTGTGATTTCAGAAATCGCCGGCGCACCTTGGGACAGACGCGCCACGTCATCATGTAATCCGCGCATTGCTAGCGCCACGCCCTGCTTTCTTCCGGCTGCATCACCACTGGAACTGACAAACACCTCACGTCTTCGCTTCCAGCACAAGTAACAAGTGCCGACATACCATAAACGCCAATATCGCATGCACCAGCAGTTCATATAGAGCCAGGCTGAAGGAGCCAGAGCTTTTGTCGTATTCAATGTAATAGCATCAGAGCCTGTTGTCGCCTCCGTGCTTATCCGATCGTTCGTGTCGAACATGTATCGCGCGTTTACCTTTAGCAATGGATTTGGAAAAGAAAAAGAAACAGGTGTCAAGAGTCTCTCAGGAACAAGTCTAATCTCGTTCTTTAGCCATGCAGGCCAAATATGGCTTCGCTGCCGCTATCGATAGTCACGAGGTATCTTGCACATTCGTGTCGCCCTTCGTTCCCGGACGATGTGTGCGATGTGGCTTCCATTTGGACGCTAAAGCGGTCGCCAAATCATCTACTGCGGTATCCTTCTTTGTATCGACCTTCATGGCTTTAAGTCGATCGCTCACATCCTCAACGCTGACTTCGTGGATTTTGCGGTCACTCAGAACTGTTGACGGGGTAGCTTGATCTGAAGTTCGGTTGTTCGAGGACATTCGTCACAATAGTTGGATGAATCCAAATTGCAATGTCTTCGTTCGCCTGTAACGGACGTTTCTACAGGCGAATTAGATCGTTAGGGTATGTCATGAAGCCCTCAGCCTCTCTCTCACAACATGGGATGAGGCCGTGATGTGCGTCAAAAACTTACTGCTGTAGCCTGCTCAAGTTCACCGCAGATGCCTCGAAGATCTGGAGCTTATTAGTCGTGGCAATGAAAGCGAAAGTTGGAGGGAAAGTTTACGGCGCACCCACACTACTGATTCACGCAATCTATGGTACGTGCGGAAGGAGCTCAGGGGAATTTTCTGAGCAGGCTTATGAGATCTCGTCACGAATGTATGGATTCTGATCCTCCACCTTGACGTTCGACAAACGCCCAAACAACCAACGCCGCTTACCGCCAGCCCGTCAGCCCGCGTCCAAAGCAAACGCGCACAGTCTGCCCCCATCCAGTCACTGGTAGGCGTTTGGGTCGTTGCGTCTTGTGTGCTTGCTCTGCATCAAGCTCGACTCCCACAGACATTATCGTCTCCGTCAATAACCATGAATACATCATCCCGACAAATTGCGACCTTCTACACCGGTTCAGACTCATCGTCACTATATAGCGAAGACGAAGGCAGATCTGACAGCAATCTGTTGGGCACGCAATCCCACCATCGGTCGTCCTTGGAGCCTAACATAAGAGGTTTGCCTTGTGACGATGCACGAGACTTTGACGGGACTCCTGCGTCGTCATTTACAAAGGTGCTCACAAGTTCAGATCTAAATGACGGTCAAGGATTTAACCTGGATGCTTCCGGCAACTACACGCCTGCTTGCCGCTTGGAGACTCAACAAGAGGCTAGAGCACGTCGTTCCCAAAGCGTAACCGAAGCAACACCTCTAGAACACAACGTCTGGCGGGATACTACCCTAGATGAGTCCAAAACATATTTGCAGCGAATTCTGGCAGAGCACGATGCTACTAATGAGGGCTCAAGCTCAGACGAGTATCGGAAGCAAGACCAGATCAACGGGGAACGTAGCGCTCGGCATGTGGCGCTCGCTAGTCGCAACATGTGTCCGATCAATTCGAACGCCGGCTCTTTACGACACAGACGCGAAACCCTCTTGTCAACGACGTCGCTTATTTCGACTGACTCGGGAGAGCAGACTGAATTTTCCTACCAAACTGATGGATACCACAACATGCTCCAGGATGGTACGCATACTTTAGACACTGCGGAGGATATCTTCCAACCAGTAACGCCGAGGCCTCGAGCATTGACACTTTCAGACACTCCCTCTAAACGGCAGCTGCATAGCTCCAGCTCACTTGCGTCCGACGGGTCAGCACACCAATCTACCGCACTATCAGGGCTCGATGAAGCTGATGGGGAGTCTGACAAGCTTTTGTCTACCGGAGCGTCTGATCAACGGATTCAAAGATCAACTCGTCGCTCGTCGCTCGCGGCACGACGTCAAGGACGGGCTGACTGGCGAAATCGCGCCTTGTTGTCATCAACTGGACAGATGTATGGCCTGAGAGATCGTGGAGAAGGTTACGTGGCCGGTCGTTATGTGACAGTGATCGAAGAAGATGCGCAACCAGAAAAAGAGAAGCGGAGACGAGACGCATGGAAGCGCGTATCATGCTTCTAGCGGCTGACATTAGTGATTGGGCGCACGATCTTTCCTGACATTAAGCTCAAAGAGGGTCGGATTAGACGACTGTTCGTTTGTAGGCTTGCAGAGTTGGCGGAATTCAAGAGCAAACAACAGAACCTTATCATTCCACTCGTATAGGGTAACTATGTTGGCAGACGCTTGGCATCATCGCACATCTATCGTGTTGACGTCATGGCCACCGCGAACCATGACTCATATGTGATGCCTGCTACGCTGGCTGCAGGTGAGCATATATAGCCGTCTTTGAGACTACACAGTACACGTGATGACCTCTTGGCGCGGCGTTTCACCTTAGTTCCGGCAGTTGCAGCCGAATTTGGCATGCGCACGGGCCCAGCACCAACTTCTGGCAGTAGCGACTGTCCCTCACTCTTTCACACCACCTCTTCTCCGACAACGACAACATTCTACAGCGTGCCAGTCGCGTTGTGGATCATCGATGATAATTTCACAGCGGCGATCGCTTTCACGCTACAATGAACCCGCTCGCTGTTGAATATATAGCGCTAAGTGCGAGACAGCGACTTACTCTTCCCATCAACTACAGTCACAATCTGGGCAGCTCGACCAGATCCGTGGCAAATTCGAATCCTGATTCCACCACTAGTCGCAGAACCTCATTCGATTCCGGTGGTTCAACCTTGTGCTTTGACAGTCAGCCATTGCATACGTCGCGAGATCTTGGAAGCGAGAAGTCTCCAGGAATGACGACATATTACCATTATGACTCTGACGGCAGAGTCACGGCCTCAACCTCTAGCCCTGCTGCTGGAATCTGCACAGGTAGCCCTTTGGCATCGGACGCCTACGAACGGCAAGGCGACGTTGTAGGAGCCTTCCTTGCACGTCGCAGCATGATCTACCCCGCATCAGGCGCCCCAGAAGCACGGGAGGTATATGGGTCTTCTTTCTATCCAGCCGTGGCACCCTCCAAAAGCGGCGTAGATGGCGAATCTGTCGACCAAAGCCACCGATTGAGTGACGGAGACGAGGGTTCTAGCTACACAGCTAGCTCGTCACCTAAGGCTTCTCATACGCTCGGCTGGGCAGGTTGGGCATCGCAGTCAGGTGTGCGGCAACCGTATACAAATCCTGAGTACATTCGCCACCTGCACTCCCTGCAGAATTTGCTCCCTTATCTTCAACCTGAGCGGAAGCTCAATGCGCTGAATAATCCGGTAGTAGACATCATTGAGCAAGACACTGGATTTGCTCTCGCTTATCAGGTTCCAAAGAAGATGCTGGTCCTCTTCCTTGGTCGTAAAGTGGTCAACAAGTTCATCCGTACCATACACCGTGAGGACGACGAGAACTGGAAAGGTGCACCAACCTCTCAAGAGATGAATTTACCCAAAGGAGTGGCTAGCCAGGCTTCTATGAAGATCCTTGTAGCTTGGATGTTTCGGGCCTGCCAATACCAAACCATGGGTACGATGAAGCAGATCCGTATCCCGAGGAACACTTTCGCAGCCTGCTCCTTGGCGAGGACTATGGAGCTTTTCGAACTTCATAAAGACGCCTTGCGGGTCGATCATTACATCGCTGCAACCCACTTTGCTCGGCCAATCTTTGCTCGTGAATTGGAGACACTTTGGAATTGCCTTGGGAAAGGGAGCAGGTACGTTTATGCGGCGATTAATGTAGTTGGTCGGCGACTTCGTGCATTCGACGCTGGCAGCACTGGAGAAGACACACTGGGGATTGATGCGGGTATGTTGGCCATGCTCAAAGAACACCCAGACCTTGAAGCGCGGGTGCGTGATCCAGAGTTGAATGAGCAGCACCGACCCTATTTCAGCGCTCAGTGGATCAAAAGATTGAACGACAAGAAGCACGAAAATCGAGACCGAAAGTTCGACGAGACGTACAATCATCCTAGTGCGCCGTCATCGAGGGATTTTCGGGATGAAAAACTAGCTGAGGGTTTCAAAGAGGAGCCACAGCCACTAGGGCTGAGAACTACAGCGCGCAAATTCGCCGTTCTGCGCATCGTCCCCGAAACCATAGATCCGGCGAAGGCCGACGTCAAAAAGTGCTCAGAATCAAATGAGGATGCCAGCTAGCATCAGTAGTAGAGGTTTAGGCAATTGTGCCACAGTCGCCTTTGGCTCACAGCGGCATCGCTGTGTGCGCGGTATCGCGACACAATACCACGGAACATCCCATCGGACACCTGGTACTGCAATGGCCCATAAACGAGGAGCCACGCATACCTACCGCGTTACCATCGCTACCATCGTTGAGGTCATCATACACAAATGGACCGAAACACCACCACAGTTCTTTCACGATCGCGACAGTATTTCCGGCGATCCCAGCGGCATTCGAGTATCCCAGATTTGAGGTGGATGATATTGCTATGCATAATGAGTTCCTCGCCTTCCCGCTGAGCAGAGTAGAAGAAACAAGGGCTTTCAGGAGTGCAAATGATTCCCATAAATACCCTTGCATAGTATGGCGTTGGTGAGCTTTCGAAACATTCTGTTTGGAAGTCGGTGGAGACCGTCGCTCATGAGTATGAGGTGTATGGTATAGCACAAAGCTTGTTTGACAAGTATATTGACAATATCTAAATAGAATTATTTACAAGAACAGGCGTCCTCAGAACCTAGCACCACCCATTGTACATCCCCTTCTTACTTGTAGGACTTTTGCGTCATCCACACATCCTGAGCTTAGAAGTAGCGGCCAAGAGCGCGGCGGAACTTGGAAGAGCTGTTGATGCACTGAGAGTACCATTCGTTGCTCTTCACGCAAGTCGCAGGAGCCTCGCACTTGGTGGGACCGGTGTAACCCTGGCCACCGCACTGCGCGTAGAGCTCGGCAGCGCCGGCGGATGAACCAGAGCCAGTGGGAGCGGCAGGAGCAGGCTTGGCAGCGGCGGTGGTAGTAGTAGCAGCCGGTTTGCTCGATGCCGCAGAGGTGGGAGTGGAAGGCTCGACAACCTTTTCAGCAACAGGAGCAGACGCAGATGCGGTACCGAGGTTTGCGGGACCAGCATTGGCCTTGACGTGGGCGGCGACCTTGCCAGCCTCCAGAACCTCAGGGACGTCAATCTTGCCAAGCTGAGCAATGAAGCCGGAAGAGGAACCAGGAGACAGCTTGCCGCTGGCAGAGTCGACGCTGTTCTCGAGACAAGCACGGCCAAAGGGAGCAGAGCAGGCATTCCCACCCTTGCTGACGAAAGATGCGATACCGGCAGCGTGCTCGGTGTTGGGCTGGTCAACGGCGACGAATGCGTTACCCTCGACGAGTGCACTGACACCATCGTAGGCATCGAAAGCATGACCCTTCATGTTCTCAAAGAGGTTGTTGATAGCGTGGAAAGTGCTGCTGACACCGTCTTGGCCGAGCTTGGGCGCACGACCAGATACATCGTGGAAGTAGTTCTTGTCGAGTGTGAACTTCTCAGTCTTTCCAATCATCATCATCGTCCAGTAGTGGTTGTCGTTGCAGGTAGCGGACGTGGTGGTGACACCGTCGAATTCGTTGTTAGAGAGGGTAGCCTCGGAGCCATCGTAGTGGCTGACAACGAACATACGTCCGACGAGTGAGAACTTGCAGTGATCAACCCAAATCTTGGTGTTTCCTCCCTGCATGTCAAGAGCGTCACCTCCCCATACGACGCCGGGGTTGATGTTGGTGAACTCGACGCCCTGGATGATGACGTTGCTGGCGTCTTTGGCGATGGAGACACCCTTGCCCTTGATCACACCCTTTCCGCCAACGCCGAGGATGGACTTGTTGGATCCAATCTTCAGCGCGGTCTCGCCGGCTGCGTCGTATGTGATGGAACTGACGGGTGTCATCTCCGAACCACCGCAGGAGAGGTCGCCCAGATAGTACTGTCCACCACCGCTCTTGGCTGAGCAGGTGGACTTGTCGCAACCAGCACCAGTCGCGGTCTTGCCGGTGAAATCGAACTCCTTGTTGAGTACAATAACGCGCTCGGTGTCATCGGAGAGGTACTTCTCGAGCTCCTCGTTCGTGGTTGGGGTGACAGCGGCAGCGTCTCCTCCACCAGTCGCACCGGCACCGTAGCCATAGGCTGTACCAACAACGGACTGGGCAGATGAGGTGGCAGCCGCGGCCAGAAGTGCAATGATTTCGAAACGCATGTTGTAAAGTTGGTACGCGATGTTCAAAAAGGACGGGGTTCTGTGATATTTGCGAGAAAGTAAAGAACGTTCACTCAGACCAGCCGAATATTCCGCTCAAGGTGTTCAACGAGAGAAAATGAGAGAATAGTCAAGAGATAGTTGATCAGAGAATGTGTAAACGAATGTAGCGAATGACAAAAACCAGTGTCGCGAGCAGATCAGATACTATTATACCTGTTGATGGATACGCGCCAGCTTTGCATCCCGCAAGATTGGAGGTACGTGGATGCATCCTTCCCGCAACGGCCATATTTCCAAAGTCGCTATGGCATGAACCAATATCGTGGATGTTTCAATGCTAGTGCCTGTCTGGCAGCGGCTGATGTTTCAAGCGCACCGCCACGCATGCGCCAAGCCGGTCATTTGGCATCGGTGCACTTGTCAATACCAGATCTGGCGTTCTTCGTACAGTTTCGTACGACGCGAGGTTGCATTGGGTTGCGTCCGATGTCTTGGACGTGGGGAGGAGCGGAAACGCAAGGAGGATGAAACATCTAACAAGGCTGGAATCGGTAGCGAACGCCACACCTGTTTTTAGCGTCTCCAGCCACGCAAACACGTTTTTTCATGCATAACGGCTAAATTTCCCCACGCACCAGAGCAACACAGAAAAGACGAATTTTGTGGGGGAATTTAACCGTCTTGTCACCAAGAGTTGCGCAACACCAAAAAACTAGAAATACCATGATGATCCGGTCGGTGTCATCCCGAAGTTTGCCCAGTCTTGACATACGCCACACCCTGGAAACGCCCACTTCTCCTGCAATTTACACGTCTCCACCTATCCACGCATCAAAAGCGGTCACCATCAGGGGATCAAGTTCGCTCCGGAGCGTTTCTTGTATGCATGTCTAGCGCTTTCTTCCTACATAGCTTTTTTCTTTGGACGTCCTTCACGTGCACCCACTCTCTTCCCTAGGTCGTCTCGTTGGCGCATTCTTCCCCATGAGGTGTTGTTTCAGGTAAACAATCACATTTTTGCAAGCTCACAGCGGTGCGTGGCGATAGAGACGTGAAGTCTTGACACAACCACATTTTGCGACAACTGCACGTCACTGGTAGTGCTCACGTATGATGCAGCCTGCTAAGATATTGCATGACCCGTCTAGCTGCGCTGGCCACCTCGTAATGTGCCAAATCATTGCTGTGTCACAACCTTCAACAATATCGTGCCTTACCTATATGAAGAACCCTATCTTCAACCAGATCAACCTCTGCACTTTTATCCTCTTCTAGAAACACTATAGCTTCACTGTCCTTCAACATGTGGTTTTCTTCCGAGGGTTTGCGCGATGAATTCATTCGTAACTTTCAAAGGCAGCCGGCTCACCTCGCGACAATGGTGCAATTCGGGCAATCCTCACAGCCAGGTATTCATATGCCCTGTCCAAGAGCGGCACCGGAAAGAACGATGGAAGATCTGATGAACGAGCATGCTTCCCGCTCGCAGAGGTACTATGGTAATCAACAGTTACGACCAGACGTGCCAGTGTCTCCGCAGCCCACTGCTGAAGACATAGCACGGCGATCACGGATGTTTAGACTCCGACATGATGAATTTGCAAGAAGGGAACCCGGGTTGAGCCGACCCGGAGTTACATATTTGGAAGACATTACGCCTGACTTGAACCACCCGTCGCCGTCGCAAAGTAACGCAATTAGCCACGCACAAGGTCCTTATGACGACACTGATAGCCCTAGTCATGCTCATATCAACGAACAACCTGGTGAAAGAGACATAGACATCCATTTGACACGCGATGAAAGCAATGACAGGGAGCAGAGCTTGAGGGAGGACTTCGAGATGATAAAGTATGAGGATGACCTGACCGCAGACTTTGAAGAGGTTGACCGAGACATACCCACGGCCTTCAATGGAAAACCACCAAGATAAGAGCCGCAGCCATGGTATGGGTCGTTTTGTTTGTGAAAGGTGACGGAGAAAGCGATACGACATGGTTCATTCGCCGGCTAGAGCTCGTATTGATAAAGTAACAATTTTCAGGGTAAGCAAATGATACATGAACCTTATGCGGTCACTAGTTGAGGTTTTGGTGACATGAAGTTCATATCGTGATCGATGATCCAATCACCAGGGCAACAGTACACAACGACCAGGGTTATTCACTCACAATATTCATGTCCATTGCAGCTGCCTACTTTCCCGAGAGTTCTTTTCTCCCCTGCACATTGCATTTCATCAACTACCTTGTGTAGATCAAAGAACCAAATTTCTTTCCCATCACAAAGTTACAGGTTCAACTCGCGTCCACTACTAACTCCACTATATTGAACATTATACCAAAATGGCAGATTCAGATCCAACTTGGCACCCACCACAGATTCCAGAAGTCCGCCACCTACGAGAACGAGGACGCGCACGAGGTCAAGTTCAAGTATCTGCTCCACGAACGCCTCAAGGCCATAAAGCTGGTCATAATTTGGCGACTCAGGATCGACAGCGAACCAGTGACCCTCTTCGCTATGAGACGCAGAGCACCCCGTATTGGGATGACGCCAACGGTGCTATCCACAACATTCCCAGTGCCCTGTCTCCGAACTCAGCACCGCCTCATGCCCAGACCATGAGTGGAGAAACACGTGAGACAAACTATCGAGAGCCGAACACCCCGATTCAAGTCCCGCCTCGAGCTGCGTTCAATAATCCTTATCTCGACATCGTTGGCGATGGACCATATGGACGTAACCAAGCGATGTATACAGCAGCAGGTATGGCTGAGGCCGAATCTATAGGAGAGAGGACCAGAAGGAGAGATTTCACTCCGTACTTTGATGCAGCAGACGCAAGGAATGGTATGGATCTATGCAGCTCAGAGAAAGAAGGGTTTCGTCATGCTCTCGCGACGAAAGACATGAATCAGAAACTGCGCCAGAATACAATAGAAACCATGAAAGCAGCTACTGCAAAGCGCGGTACGGTGCATGCCGAGAGGATGAGCGAGCCGAGAGTTCCTCCTAGGGCTTTTAACGAGGAACGGCATCCTACTTCTCCCAGATTCAAATCGAAGTTTGCGATTCCGGCATCACCAAAGACACCAAGAGCAATAGCAGTCCCCGCAAGCGGACCGGTAAGCTACCAGTGGCCTGACACACTGTCCCCAGTCCTCGAAGCACCCTCACCTCTGAAAATCTCCTCTGATAACCAGCCGAACACTCTATCTAAACACGAAAGCACATCCACACTGGACCGCATACTCAATTTACGTGCCGAAGAACAAGCAAAAGCCCTCGCACAGCTCCAAGGCGAGCTCTATACGCCCAGCGAGACCAAGTTAACTAAGCAGCAAGCGCCGGACGCACTTGCCCATGGTGAAACTGGTTCCGAAAGCCAGCGTATAGCTCATTTTGACCTGCGTGAAAGCAAACAGCAAGCCTTCGAGTTCGTTGCCTCACCAGTATCTCCGGAGAGTCAGAGGCGGAAAGACGTTTGCACGATTCCTGATGTAGTTGCTCCAGCTAAGACAGCTAGTGCGGGTAGTAGTGTGTACAGCAGCGACGGTACCACTGAAGAAGACGAGATTGACAGACTATCAAAAGCCATAGCAGGGCTACAAACATTCCAAAACCTACCTCCCTTGTCGCCGAAAAAGGCTGAGTTCCAGAGGAAGAGCGCAGTGCCTGAGGGTCTGGACATGAGTAAGATCGGAGCAGACAAAGAGGAATCGAACAATGAAAACGAATTGCAACAGGTGCCTCAAGAGAAGAGCTTGGAGGAAGCACACATGGGGCTATTGGAATACTTCAATGTCCCCCTTGAGGCAACTGAGACAGGCAAAGCGGACGCGCAGACGCCACAGACGAGCTCATCTCAAAAGTCCTTTACGACAGCGTCAACAGGAGATTATGAGCGGGTCGGATCTCAAGAGAAGCTTGGGCAGGAGCAGAATGGCGTGAAGAGGCCGTGGTATAGGGGCTTTCGGAAGGTTTGAGTGCGAGGTTACAAGTTAACAAAAACTCATATGGCGGAGAGATCAGTTCCTCCCTGAGTGGAAAAGTCAGCCTGGATCATATCAACCTTGTTTAGGGTGAATTTTCTGGATAAGACTTTCAGCCATGGCGTGTTGAACCAGCATGAAAACGACAATGCAGTTCTTGAGCTCATGGAAACCATACTCGCCATGTGAAAGAGTGCAAGGTATCATGTCTGGGCGCTTTTCTCTCTTTCTTTAATCTCTGACAGATCCTAGTGGAGCGTGATGATGCCGTGAGCCATGACATATGATCTCAGGGCTGCGGTATATATCTGATAATTCTACTCATTGGGTAAGGGCAGACAAAAATCTAACGACAACCAGGATACCAGTGCGATAACCATAGTATTATTCTCTGTTCTCCATTCTCCATCATTATGGGGTCCAAGGTTGAGGCGCGCCGGCGAAGGCCGAGGTTCAGCTCCGCCTGGCCTGTGCTCCTTTCCCCGCAAAGCGACTCTCCAAGCAGAGCAACTCCACGACTGAGAGCAAGCGAGTCATCAAGATGCGCGTCCCGAAGCTGATGTTTATATCGCAAGCTTCTGGCTTTCTCTGCGCTATCCAGAGACATCCAAATCGCTGACATAGCACCGAGCCATCATCAGCAGCCTCCGCCAACCATACCCTTCGAGGGAGACTCCGCAATGTCGCTGTCGCACACGATGAACTTCTCGATTCCCGATGACTTGAAGCAATATCTCGCCGACCTTGACAAGTTTATCGACGACAAGATTACTCCTCTTCAACACAAAGACGATAACAACCGCTTCTTCGATCACCGCCGCGAACACGCTCGAACCGATTGGGATAACGGCGGGCTCCCGCGCAAGGAGTGGGAGGAGTTATTGGCAGAGTCGAGGAGACTGGCTGATGAAGCTGGTTTCTACAGGCTGTCGCTGCCGAAGCAGTACGGCGGACAAAACAGTGCCGATGGGCGAGGAAGCAACCTCTGGATGGCCGTGATCCGGGAGCATCTCGCGGCAAAGGGATTGGGTCTGTTCAACGACTTGCAGACGGAGCATTCGATGGTCGGAAACTTTCCCGACGTCATCATGCTCATGAACTTTGGCAATGAGCAGCAGAAGAGGGACTTCATACCACTGCGACTGGAGGGCAAGTTTAGGATGACATTCGGTTTGACGGAGCCTGGTCATGGCTCAGACGCGACACACATGGCGACCAAGGGGCGACCGGAGACGAGAGATGGTGTGAAGGGATGGTTGCTGAACGGCTATAAACGATGGCAGACCGGGATGCACCACGCGACACATTGCTCCGTCTTTGCGCGGACATCAGGAAAGGATGGCGAGATAAAGGGCATCTCGTGCTTCGTGGTACCCATCGATACGCCGGGTTTGAAGGCAGAGTCGTATGAATGGTACCTCATCAGTCTTAGAGCAACAGGAGTCGCTTGCTAATGCTGCGCAGGACGCTCAACATGCCCACCGATCACGCAACCGTCTCCATCAAGGATGTCTGGGTACCCGAAACCGCCGCATTGGGTCCCATCCACAACGGCCTCGGCGTCGCGCAAGCCTTCGTCCACGAGAACCGCATTCGGCAAGCCGCCTCGTCGCTTGGTGCAGCCGTATACTGTGTCCAGCAGTCGGTCGAATACGCCAACGAACGCGCGCCCTTTGGCACCCCGCTCTCGCACAACCAGGGCATACAATTCCCGCTTGTAGAACTTGCGACCCAATGCGAGATGCTGCGACAATTGATACGAAAGACTGCGCTAGAGATGGATTCTATGCCGCACAATGAGATTGAGAAGAAGATTGGCGATAAAGTTTCCATGTGTAACTACTTCGCCAACAGGCTGTGTACGCAGGCGGCAGACCGTGCGATTCAGGTCCATGGCGGTAACGGGTACTCAAGGCACTACCCGTTCGAGCACATTTGGAGACATCATCGCCGATACAGAATCACTGAAGGTAGTGAAGAGATTCAAATGCGGAAGGTGGCCGCATATCTCTTCGGTTTCGGTGGGAGGAAGAGCTTGGTAGACGCTACAAAGGCCGAGTCGAAGCTGTAGACCTTTTCTCCAGATATAGCTCTAGTCATAGTAAACTACGAAGCCACTTGTTGAAACCAGGCATCGCGTCTTTTTCCGTGATTACGGGTAATAGTACCACGATCAGTAAAAACCACACGAACAACGCTGCCACCAACAAAAGCGTTGATCGAAGTGTAACACTCTTTGGCGGCAACGGCAATGGTTTTGACAGCGGCTTGTTCTTGAAAGCAGCTGCACTTTCGGATTGCGGAACTGGTGGAAGTGGTTTTGAGGGGTTTTGTAAATCCAATGGTCTAGGTGCGACGCGTCTGAGCGGTGCCTTTGGAATGTTCTCAGTCTTGGAGGGCTTCGGTGGTACAGGTGGTCCCTCATCTTGTGCATGCAATCCTCGGTTGCGCAACCGTTGGTCGCTCAGTTCAATTCCAGACATGGCTAGCTTTGAGAGAGGCTAAAGAAATCCTGAGTGTTGAAGTTAATGATGTTGGGGAGGTCCTGGGAGCGTCAGAGGACAAACATTAGAAGGGGAGGGGGCCGGATATAGGCGATGCTCAATATAGCCTAGTGCATGGCCAACGAGATGCGAGCGGCATTGTACTTCACATCCCTCAAGCATCGATTCATCTCTCAATGCACGAGCATCCCGCTCAATGGAGCGCCAAGTCATGGAGCACAGACTTATTACGATTACAGGGCCCTCCAGACATCTTCTAACGTCAGTACTTAGAGCAATCTAGACACGACAGCATCATACGCGACGAAATCAAAGTTGATCTTGGAACATCAATACAACCAAGGTAATGCTCCACCGTACAGCTAACATTCCGTTACTACCATTTCCGGTGTGAGTATGGACATGGAGTATATGTTCCAGCTCCCGCGTCATCCAATGGTGGCGAGAGGCGACTCGCTGGATACTTGATATTGCGAGTTGTCGTTGGTGGTCAGTTCGTCAAGCCGTATGCCCTTCTTCCGGTTTGTCTCTACAACACTTTTCCGGTGAATGATTGCGGTCTTCTTGTCTACATTTCTTCCTCTGCGATTCATTTGTCAGCTTTGCCTTGAAGGTCTGATAATCTTCCTGGTCTTTCATCCACCTAGTTACCTTCGCGAGAGCATGAAGCTTGTTCTGCCCCTCTGTTAGTACCTTTCCAATCATTATATTCTGCACCAGAACCCGGTTTCCCTCCACGGAAGTTTTCTCTATAGGAACCTCTGATTGGGTTCCGTCAATTTCCAGACTAGTGCGACCAGTACATGAACTATCGCATATGTTGCACTCTCCTTCGTGCTGTTCGTCGCCATTACTACTGCGCAGCCCAAATTCAATGTCTTCTCCCGGTCCAGACAAAAGACCATGCTCTTTGATCAGAATTTTCGTCTGATGCGAAGGCTTACTGAGCGGAAGATGGCTCGCATGAACATAGCCCTCGAGCTGTTGCGTCTGAATGCTCTTTTGTTCGCCGTCATCTACACTCTTCAGAATGCAGAAATCTGTGTTTTCGCTTAGACCCGGAGATTCTGTTGATGCATTACTTCTGTTAACAAAGTAGTCGACTGCATTCTCTGCAACCGCCGCAACAGAACAAAGTGGTAAGTAGCCATGCGCTTCATATGGCGTCGGGTCAGGTGAAAGCATCTGACTATGCTTTTGCATTGAGAAATAGTCGCCACTCGACGCAGTTCTACCATCATTTCGGCAGTCGCGAGGTTCCTCGACGGGTGTGAACGTGTGCATAGCTATGAACCCATGAAAGGTCTTGGGCGTGCAATCTGACCATCTCGAAGGACTGAATGTGCACTCGCGGTGCAGTATAGGCCGAGCTAATCGTGAGAGCGAGATATTTAGTGATGGGTTCTTTGGTGGAGACGATGGTGTCGATGCGGCTGACACAACCGCTTATGGGTGTGTGGTTGTGAGGATCAGGAGAAACAACAAAGAGGACGCAGGTTTTTGTACAGCCATTTGTGCTGACAAACACGTCATTTAGACATGTTCATGTCACCATGTGTTTAGCATTCCAAGGTTGCATTGCGTCCTCACCAGCGTTGTGATAAATGCTATGCCGCTTTAAGAAAGACGCGTTGTCCAACGTTGCACTTTCATATCAACTGAATCTGTCAATATGCGCATTGTTTACTGCTCCTCGTTCTCGCTCGTTATTCATACCGCACTTTTGGGTACCCTGGTTGCACGCTTCACTCTCTGAAACTCTATCTCCCGCCTTGCTGACGTGTGCCGTCATTTCACTTCCACAAAGCCCGCTGGTGCGATTGTTTCCTACAGTATCAAGTCCTACCTCTTCACGATGTTCCCAAATAACCATAGCACGATTACACGTGATTGTCGTTTATCTCAAGCATGACCGGTTCCGATCAATCAATGCCAAACGTACCTCCAGGTATTGACCCCGAAGTCCAAGCAAGAATCGATGCACTCCTCGCGCAGCATCCGACAGCGAACAGTACTAGAAATATTGCTGGGGAAATTACGAATAATGATGGTATTGGTTCATATTTTGGCGTCTCAACCATAGCGCTAACGGACATCCTTGACGGTCATACCAACAATTCCACGGAATCACCAATTAGCGAACCTATTGTAAATGTATCCCAAGCGAGAGTCAAGATAGACAAAGACAACGATGAAGGCATTTGGTATGAAGGCGTGCCCCGAGCTGCACCGCCACTTTCACCTCGACATGCCGTCCTACACCTCAGTGACAGATCCGAAGCCAGTCGAAGCAATGTACCACCGTATCAAGTCGTTCCAGGTGTCTTCCCACTTACGCACTCTATGTCTGTTCCACCGCTACCGCCTCCTAATCCTTCACCACCGCAGGCCACTCTTTTCAAGCGAGCCATATCCTACATCAGCAGCTATTTTTCCGCCTCGCCCGGGATCATCGAGTACTCTGACGCAGAGATCAAAAGGAAAACTCAAGTCTGTGTCAAGGCGCAAAAACAGTTCGTGTCGAGTGTACCAACCCAGGACCTGGTTGTCAAGGTTGCAGCTGTTCTCACTGACATGAGCCCGTCTGGTGCGAATGTAGGAGACTATGGACTTGTAGAAAGACCTGTAGAAATTTTGGCGAAGCACAAGCGCGTGAGGGAGATCAAGAGAGGATCAGGATGCTTTGTTGTAGAGGATGTATATAGGAAGGAGATCAGAGTCGCTTTGGCGAGGCTGAACAGATAGAGGATATGGCATCACTGCGTGGAAACCATTCAATGATACCAGGCACTGCAATGAACTATGGCTACACGCCGCTTACAGTCCTCGGATCCAATTCTTCTGCTTGACATGATGTCGATTCCTGCGTGGCGGGACGCCTTATGTAGTGGGACGTTTTTCCATCCGAACCTTCGGCATCAGCCAAATTAGGGTGACTGCATAGATTCAGGCTTTATGCGCTTTTGTTCTGTACCTGTTTTTCTTTGAGTATGGTAGTCTTCAACTGAGGAGATTGCGGTGTTGGACGTGCTGTTGGCCGTTCTGTTGTTCAGGAATACCTACCTAGGTAGGTGTCAACCGCGCATGACCAACTGGGCAGATCGCCCCATCACGTCTGGTAGAACATCAAGCTTCAGCTGTACTTGGCACACAGTGGCGCAACAGACTCAGTACTATGTCTATTAATTTGATGGGCGTGGTGGTAATAAGATGCAGGTACAACGCTGTCGAGTCACGCTGTATTATATCGTGGTAGAAGTGTACATAGGTACTCCCAGATACTTGGCTTCATTATATGCAGCCGTTTGGGCTACGCCTATAGTAGAGACTGTTAAAAATAGTTATGGTGCATTCTGACGCATGCTCTCAGCTACCTAGGTACGCTTGCCCCGCCTGAGGCCTGCCATAAAGCTCAGCCCCCCGGTACCCATCTCAGCCTTTCCAAAATTCCAGCCGCAGACACATCCTTCAAACAACAGATATCCTACAGCCACGTCAGGCAGCAACTGAAGAGCCTATACTTATACTAGATTCAAATCTTCCAGCAAAATGGCCGAACTGTCCGCCCTTAGTGCTGCGGCTACCGTGCTTGATCTTATTGGTGCTACGTCGCGAACGTTCGCATCGAATCTTTCAAGCGCTTGGTTCTTCCTGGAATCTTATGGCATTGCAGGACCTATTCTGTGGCTATACGGTGATCGCGACGTATGGCGGATCCAAGTGCAAGTGTTGCAGAGCACAAATGAATCGGATGCAATGGAGTTCAAGAAGCTCGCCCAGAACGACAGCAATATCATTGCTGTTGCTGTGAGTCTTTGCACTCTAATCGATACCGTACACAACACTGACTAAACTTGTACAGGGCACCATTGTAGCCCAGATCGCCATCACTGCGCTATCTCTGACCGATCTTAGTAGCACACATTGGGTCGCTCGAGCCTCCTTCACCTTTAGTCTGGTATCAGCAATCATGGCCGTATACTATGCCACAAATCAGTATCGTAGATTTGGGCGTTTTTTACACGCAGATGAGATCAAAGCGTGGATTCGTCCAAAAGAGACGATGCGACTCTCCCCCAGACCTTTACTTCAACAATTCCTGCCTTCAGCTGCTTCCGTGTTGACTGTTTCGGCTCCGAATATGCTTCTCTCGGCATCCTTGAACGCATTTCTCGTTGGCCTCGGAGTGTACTTTGGTTACGTGTGGACACGTAATCTCGATGAAAGTGCCGGGTCGAGTGCCAGTCGAGCTGTCTTTATCGTATACGTTATTGGCCTTGCGTTATGCTACGTCATTTACGCAATGTCGGACCTTGTTGCTGCAGACCAGAGTCAAATCAGTGAATGGAACTTTATACGTGGTTTGCACTCTAGTACAGCCCGTGCTCGAGACCAGTCGTCAAGGCGCGCATCCAATCCGGATCTAGAAGCTGTTACAGAAAACTGTGGGCCTTCGAGCAAGATTGAGGAACAGCCACGACGAACTGAGAACCCTGAGGATAATTCGTCACGTCAACAGCTTGTAAAAGCACTCAGAGAAGCTGCAGATCTGCGGAGAAGGAGTGCGGTTGCGGACGAGAGGGTGGCTAGATTGTTGGAAAATCTGGAGTAATTTCCTGTGCTCGCGATGCATCATGTGTATACAGCGTCGGCAATGCGGAAATCTCTTATAACGAGCTAATCAGTCGTCGCTGTGAGTGTTAGCTGATGTGAAGCAGTCCGTTGATGTAGGACAAGGCTTTGGGCTGCCACATTACATGGACGCGTTGGCTCCAAGTCCAAGGTTCTAAGCTCTTCAATGCAGGATTGTAACTCGTTCGCATGCAGGTGCCAGGTGATTTTGGTCCTTCCTAGTGGTGACAGGAATGGGGCGTCTATCTCGTTTGCCGGAGCGCATAGTTTGCGATAAAGCCGTTTGATGCTGTCAGGAGATCAAGTGACCATCACCTTCTCTTGGACTCGCGCTGTCAAAGAGCTTTGCCAAACTATAGTTCTATCTCTCTCTCTAGGCGAGTGTGCGGTCCTCACAACTGTACTTAGATATCGCTTGAAACGTCATACGATTCTCTATGAGTTTCCACGGCTACATCGCGGAGCGATTCCTTAGCGATATTGACGCTTTCACACCTGAACAGCAATATCGCATACTGTACGATCTGCCAGATGATCGGTATGTCGCACCAGAAGTCAAGTACAGGATGTTCTGCAAAGGTGAAAAGGCATCGGAAGCCTTGAAGCATGTGCGCCGGCTCTTACCCATGCCCTTCAGTCCGAATACACTATCACCAAAATTGTATAAGGAGCTAAGTTTGATCGATCATGAGCGATGGGACGAGGCTGGAAGGAGGGCTCGAGCGGAGCTCCAAAGCCGGGGTGTGTGGACTCGGTTCGGAGGAAAGCCTAAAGCTAACGGAAAACTTAGGGGCGTATCTACCTTGCGATTACATGTTTGGTGAGCGACCCCAGATGGTGATGGCGGAGTCTTCTGATGGGGGCGAAACAATCCGGCCGGCTGCTATCAACGAGTGCAGGTCTTTGGAAGTGGCTGGATGTGCAAGAGAAGACAAGCCTCTATTAATAGCTGAGCAGGGTCAGATCGGTATCTCTGCACAGAGCCAAGGGGCCGACATATGGCAATTGCTCTTTGACTTTGGCAAGGCTGTGGGAAGACTATTAGCGAAATTATCGACGTGCAGATGAGCTTATACAGCAGACATTGGCGATATTCCAGGCATCTTCTGTTGATCAACAAAATCATGCAATCTTGGAGAGTAGCCGAAAGTCCCACGAGTGGTGTCCTCCGAAGAACTGCATCCCGAGACGCGTCCTGATGCAGATGGTGCGGGTGATGCGGGGCGACAAACCCGTAGATGGATGCACTGTGGCGGTCCAGCCCTGGAAGCGATTTCAACCGGTAAGCATCCAAATCGGTCGCCTTGCTGCATCCTCAGTCTTGGCTGATAGATGCGAAGAGTTAAATAGATGTGAAGAGGTTGAAGGTGCTCTTTCTGCATCACAGAGGACATTCAACCCCACTTTTCCTCTTGGCACGCTGGTGCACCAAGATAACATCTGCATCCATGACTTCACTCACGACGTCCACCAGCGAGGCTGCAGCTGCGCTACCTTGCATTGGTATTGCGTCCCTTGTTAGTACAAAACTCCCGTCACAAAGCAAAACTCTGCCGAATGCGCTCGGCGTGAAAGCAAAAGTGACGCGTCGCTGGGGTAAGCGCGATGAACCTTTTAGGCTTCATTTCGTTGAAGCGACAGATCCCTCACAATTCAAAGATGGAGATGCTAGGCGTAGCGTCCGCTCCCAGGCGATGAGGTATCATAGAAACAAGCCAAACAAAGGAAAGACGACCTCTGCGAAACGGCCCGAAAGGGTACTGGCCCCTTACACTAGGCCGACGATCGCCGGACAGGCTAGGCCTGCGAACACCAAGGCACACTCATTTACCCCAACTCCAGCGCCCAGTGCGTTTGGAGCGCTTGTTCGTTATACAAACAAGCAGTCAGTCGATACCCTTGCATCAACAAGGACAAGGTCGCTCAAAGATGCAAGCGAGATTTCACCCCGGGGTGCTGCATCTGATGGCGATCAATTACCTCGACCAAGCGGCGACATGCGCTTTCGAAAATCTCAATCCAGGGTATGCAGGAAGATAGTGGAATACGAATACACCGAGAGCCAGGACGGAAGCAAGATACGCTTACTAGCGACCACTTTCTGCCAGATTGGGGATGGGGTTGATCCTTTCAGGGTACTGCCTCAATTCGAGAACCCTAGGTTAGACAGCGTGTTCCTTCTGCGCAACTGTCAGTGTGCACAGTCTCATTGATACTCCCTTCACTCGTCTCAGTATAGTACTTAACGCGTTTAGGTATGCGGGCGTTTGGCACAGAAGCCTATGTCGAGAGATGGGTGCCTGCAATGATGTCCCATCCCCACGTCCTCCTGAGTACGGTGTTCCTAGTTAGCAACTGGCTTGACATGCTCGCGGGACTTCCAGGCGACAGCACAAGAACCGGATTCGTTCGTGCTGAGATCATGGGCATGGTAAGTGAGCGAATTCGAAACCCCCACATGTATGACACCGCGTCGACCATCATCATCATAGTGCACCTGTTGGCCGGAGAGATATGGAGGTGCGACGAAAGCATACTGCGGTTTCACGTATCCGGCATCGCAAAACTGATCTCTCTTTGTGGTGGCATGGTCAATTTCGAGAAGGCGTACGTCGCAGAACTCTCCGCATCGTAGGTTTTCCATCGCTTGACGAGGATACAATCTGATGCCGCTCCCAGGTGTTGTTTTCAATGCGATCTTGTCTGCGAAGCCAAGCCACTACCAACACTCATATCATGGCAACCACCGGATTACACTGCAGACGACGATATCGCCATACCAGAATCGCCATTATTTTGTCCTAGAGTCGACTTCATGACGGTGCCCAACGACGAGCGTTGCTCACCTTCCACGTGTAATCTACTACGAGATATGCGCGACTTGACTGATCTTTTCATATCGAAAAACGCCGCGAATGAGGTCGAAAGCGATCTTGCGGATGTATCGGCTGCTTACCTGAGCTCTACTGGTCTCGACTACAGCACGAAGGTGGCTGGAATACGCGAACGATTGGCACTCCTCCCTTCAGCCGATCTTCCGGGTCATCAAGGCACTGGCGATTGGGTCTTTGAGGCATGTCGCCTCACTGCGATGATCTACACTGCATCCATCGTCTGCAACTTGCCCTTATCCATCGCTGCTCATCCCAGCCAAAACCTATTATGGGCCGAAGCTGAATCTCTCAGAGAGCCACATGACAGGCAGATCGTGCTCACAACCCATCTCAGCGAATTGCTGCTGCAGGCACTGGAGCGCACCGATCTCGCCAATGTGTGGAATGGCATGGCTGGTGTTTTATATTGGATAACCACTGTTGGTGCGGCTGCAGCCCGCACGCCCGTCATTCCTACCATGTTGCAGCGGCCTCTGTACAGCAAACCGTGTAAACCTCGGGTACGGCAATGTCTGGCCATGTATTCTATGCGTGCGTTTGTCTTGTTAGGCTTCAAACATCAGATGCCTATCTTACTGTCGCAGAAGAGGCTCTTCAGAGTACAAGAACTCATCGGAACATACGGCTAATACCTGGAAACGGCGAGTCGAGTGGAGTTCAAAAACAGCCACATCTATAGCTACTGGTATTGAGACAAAGTCTCGGGGCAGCACCGATGATTCACGATGATCGTCCAAAGCCACAAGCTGACCGCAGACAAAACGACGTTTGCTGATGCACACTTGATCAGTCGTACAAACCAAAGAAGCAATCTTGTCAATCTTGTCGCATGCGGCTAGCCAATTTCTAAACGATCATGTCACGGCGTATGACAGCCTTCCACGAATCGTCCGGGGTGTTTTCGTCGCGGGATGTGCGACTGACCGCATCTTGTGGCTTTCCCACTCCGTGTCCATCGTGCAAGACCGATTTGAAGCCGCCGGGCCTTTCGGGTTGCGAACATCCGCAAGATCCGCTCACGATGCTTTTTTGCAATCCGAGAACACGCGCTTCAGGTTGCGGACAAAAACTCAATCCTTTGCGCAAAATTTCATTGGTAGTGTTGGAAAATCTTCGTTGCTTACCGCTGCGGGTGTGGGTCGAGAGAGCTACCCTGTGCCTGCATCCAGTGGGGAGGTAGCTCAACTGCTAAGCTTCGAAGGTTCTCATCTTATCTCAACACCCTATGACGTCGCCGGGCTCGCCTGGAATGCCTGCCAAGCACGGTCGTTCATTCTGCATTGAAACATGAGAAAGGGTAATTCGCTGTGGCCGTCCCGGCGCTTTATTCCAGCCCGTTCTCGCGCGTAAATGCATCATTGAAGGGTCCGTGCGCCAAGACCCTCTTCGTCCCGCCGTTGTCCGACGCTCCGCTGGCCATGATGCTCGTCCTGCAGGGCAGAAAGAGTCTCAAGGCGAGTGGAGCCAAAGTTTGAATCGACGTGTGGGGTCGCGAGGATGTCAAGATCTGCACAATGGAAATCACGTTCAGATCTGACTGGCGACATTGGAATGCCAGGATGTTTGAGACAGTATTCGACAGCGCACTTCTGTCTAGGAAACCAAACATCCAGACGCTTCGATTGTACATTCTCTGCAACCCTGAAGAGACACCGAGACACGTGCATGTTTGTTTGTCACTCGGCGGTCAGCCTGTTGTCTTTGGGAGATGATGACTGCCTCGTTCGCTCCACATCTCTGACAAATGGTGCGAACCACAGGAAAGCCTGATTCGCGCTGATGGATGACTCCTGACCGTCAGGGATCGTCTTGATGAAGGAAGCGGCAGCCAGGTCGTCCGAAAGCGCATTCCTGGGATTAGTTGCAGCTTCCCTGCAATCCGATTGGGCGACAAGACTACCCTCCTGTCAGAATGGCCAGGGTCTAACGGCCTACTAACAACAAGCGACATTTTGTATAAAGTACAACGCCCGCCAAATCCAGAATGCAGACCAAGGATATTATCGCAATTTGTGCTGTATTTGGACTTGTTTTCGTTGCAGCCATGGCACTCGTTACACGATTCTTCCTGCAGCACAAGCAGGCTAAAACCACAACAACAACTGACATGTTTACCACGGACGGCAAGACAGAGGGGCAGCTGCAGCTCACACACATATCGAGCTCGTGGAAAAGATTGTTGCTCCCAAAGCAAGATTCAAGCAAACGCTACTGGGTGCCAAACCTGTCGGGCATAATAAAAGCCGGGGATGAGGGGTTGTTTTTCTCCGCGTTATTTACCAACCTCCAAGGTCATCCTGGACAACTACCCCTCGAAAACCTGTACGATGCATTCGCAACCGAATTGCGATCCCGACCAATCTCGGAGCGATCGTCATATACCGGAGACATGACAAAATTCCTTGGGCGAGCAAAGAAGCCCGCGGGGGGCCTTGGGCGGTCGAAATCGATGTCCAACGTCAAGCGAGGAGAGTCTAGCCCCAAGACTGCTAGAAAGAGCCTGGATCTGTCAGTGGTTGAGATGGGTTTGGCTAGAAGCCTATCTGTGAAGAGACCGGCAACTGCATTAGTACCAATGCGAAGTGGACTGCGCGATGACGATGCCCAGAAAGCTACACAAAAGTCTTGGATGAAGGAGGGTCAGACAGCAAAGTATGAGGATGGAAGGATGAGTGTGAAGATTACCTCTGGGGAGCTTGCAGCGCTATCCATAATACTCGGAAGTCAACTGAGTACTGGAACCGACACGGACGCCTTGCTTGAACCCAGTGCATACGGCATCTCGATCGTTATTACGCCAATGACAGACGCCAAACACCAAGTCACACTCACACAACAAAGACGCAGCAGATCGCAACGGCACGCCTCAGGCTCAGGCGTTTCAACACTCTTTGCAAAGCACCTCGCAGCCGGCTCCCTCCCATACTCGCAAGATAAGATTGGCGTTCACAGCATCCTCATCACCGACGAAGCTTTCGAGGCGCTACAGGCAGGCGCTTCTCTCTACACCCACCCATATGTCGCACGAACAGCACAATCCAAATTCCTCGCATCTCTCCCCAGTTCGCGCGAACCCAGATTCCACATCCTCGCCACGTCAACCGAAGTCCACACCTCAAACACACTGTTAGACGCCATAGCAGCACTCCCCTTCTCTGGTGGCCTGGTTCCCCTCGCATCAGCGCCACTGATCAGAACGGTCCAGTTCATCGCATCCGCGGGCCTCCCCCACGCCCGCCTACTGCAGCGCCTAGAACAACTCATTGACAAAGTGCACCGCCACGCTCCGCACCTCAACATCTTCGGCCCCCTCTACGAGCCCCAAAACGCCGGCCTCCTCTTCCGCGAGCGCGAACGTCTGGGCAGATTGGCCAGCGACCCAACGACGCCAGATACCCTCGCCGACAAAACGGCGCGTGTGTCGCGGTACACGACGCTGCTCGAACGTCTGATGGCCTTGGTCCCGGATCTCAAATCGCAGGATGTCCTGGCAGCAGTGCAAGAAGCGGCCAAAGCCGAAATACGATCTGCATACCAAGCTGCTGTTGCTAGTCACTCTTCGTCTGCTGCGCGCAGGAAGAGCAGCGTCGAGACTATCACTTCTCCTGCATCGGTGGTATCTGATTCACCCGATATACCTGCCAAGTCAGCAAAACGCCAATCCACCTCTTCTTCGCGACGTAGTCCCAGGAGGCAGTCGAATCGCTCGAGCGCCTTCTCTGAGGTTATGGAGACGAGTCTGCTGTCGCCGTTTCCTGCAGAGGAGGAGAGCGGCGGCGGGGTCGGCGGCGGCAAAGAAAGGAGTTTGGCGAAACAGGTTGAGCAGGTGCTGAAGGCTGAGCTGCCGTTGAGTGTGGAGATGGTGGCTTTTGTGGCGAGGATGGTGGTTGTGGCGTGGTGTGTTAGTGTGGAGACTGTGGCTTGGAGCGATGGAGAAGCTGGGTTCAGGATACCAGATGTGGAGGCAATGGGCAAGTTTGTCATGGCATGATTCATGGTACGTACCGATGGATTGAGCATGTTGCATGTACAAACATTGGAGATGAGAGAGAGAGAGAGAGAGAGATGAGCTAGAGGCGTTTTTTTTTCTTTGCGATTTGGCTTTGGCATTTGGGACATGTTAACGAGATACCATTCACATTGTTTTTTCCCAAGTCTAGTAGAGATACCAATATTTGTTGTATAGCAACCTTAATCTTTGGTCTGTATACATGTTTCCATGTTGTCGATGCACAGCGATTCAAACATGCGACAAAAGCACAAGTTACCTCAACAGATCCGAGTGGTTCCGCCATTTCGTCCCTCTCAATCCGCCCGCCGCGTGCATCTCGAACCGCGAGATCGCGGACCTGCCACGATCACGAGATACATGTCTTGCCATCGTCATCATAAATCATCAGTCCTATTGAAGGAATGATGTTCCCAAGACACGACGAGGGCTATTTGCGAAATGGCGCCCGGAAACGGCAACGGCTAACATCCGGACATCCGGGGTGGTTGGGCTAGAAATGATCTGCATACTGCAAGGAAGCGACCGCCGAGAGAAGTCTTCCTCCGAATCGAACGCGCGGACCCGCGCGGGACCCGAATTGAGCGAAGCAAAAGGGGAAACGGGATGAAGAATGTTGCCGGTTTTTCTACTAACGATGTAGGCCCTGACTCCCCGTTTTTGCATCGCATGGGCCTTTTTTCCAATGTGGGTTTTTGCCGAACTTCACTTACTTACCTACCTTTCTCAGGAACCATGCTTCAAAATTTGGGCTAGACAGGAAGATGGAGAGCAAAAGTCTGGATATTAAACCATATCTCTATCTGAGAAGTGGAAAGAAAGAAACAAGTGATAACAATCCATCTATCCCGTCCCCAAGTTCATCTCCAGTCTCTATGCATGCCCGAGTTCCGTTCGTTAAAGTCCTCATTGTATGCATAACAAAAAAAATCAACAAGTAGCCAAAGGAAGAAGAAGAAGAAGAAGAAGAAAAGAGTCTACAATGAATCATAACCATAAACCTCACTTTACTCTTGTGGCCCCATAATCTCCAACCCCCGACAAACCCCCACCCACCCCTCCCTCATCCCTTCCCACACCCTCTCCATACTCTCCTCCTCCAACCCATCTCTCCTCCGCTCTTTCCTCTCCACCTTATCCCCCGTCCCATCCGCCATCATGGCACTCACTCTATCCCTTTTCCTATCCTTATTGTCCAACAATGTAGAATTAGTTTTAAGCCCTTTCCCATCCAACTCCCCTTTAACCTCCCACCCTTTACGCACAGGCCCATGAATCGTCGCAGGAGAGATGAGCGTAGAATCCAGTAAGGCGTTCCATCTCGAAAGATACATACCGGGGCCATGTGTCGTCCCTGCACTTGGTTTACTCTGGGAAGACGACGACGACGACGATGAGGGCCGCATGATACTTTCCAACCTCGTCTGACTAGTAGATTTCAGCGTCTGAAGATGCTCTTCATGCTGATCCAAAAGCCCCTTCAACTCTTCCTGTTTCTCCTTACCCAGCGTCTCAAACAACGAGTGTAGCGGCGCCGTCATATTTCCTGCGCCGCCCTCGCCCTTTTCCTCTTGCTTCGCAGCGGCGTCATCAACGCGGAATTCAGAAAAGATGCGTTTAGCGTAAACGAGGTAATCCTGCGCGAGTTGAGGCGCATTCTTGGTGACGTGGTGCAAGAATTTGTGCATCGAGGGTGCATGTTTCTTTAGTAATGTAACAAAGTCCTCGACAGTGGGTGCATCCCTCGCTCCTTCATCCAAGATACTCGCCGGGTCGGCAGACGGAGAACTAGGTCTCGACTTGCTCGTTTCGCGGCTCTTGGTGCCCGTCGTCTTCTTCTTTGGCTTGGCCGTCTTGATGAGATCGGTGATGAAGGCTTCGGCGTCGGTGACGGTACCGCTGAGGTCGACGGCGTTGTGGATGTCGCGGATGACGGGGTCCATGGCTGCGACGGCGTCTCGGATGGTCGAGGTGAGGACGTCTGGGTTGGATTTGCACAGGACTTTTGTGAGTTCTTCGCGGTCGCGGATGGAGAGGTAGGTGCTGAGATACTCCATGGCGACGCTGTGTTGGTGTTCGTTGAGCGTGTCGGCATCGACCTTGTAAGGCGGATCCGAGGTTTCGAGGATGACGGCTGCGATGGATTTTTGCTCAGAGACGGACTGGCTGCGGGCTGCTTCGTGCTTGTCGCGCGAGGCGTAGACGTACGTCTTGATTGCCTTGAAGACCTTCTTGTCGGGGGCGTTGCGTGAGGATTCGAGCTTGGTTGCTCGCTTCTGGAACTCGGTCGTGTCCCATGCCAGGATGGTGGATATGATTTGCTGCAAGAGGTTCATGCCGTCGTTGGTGTTGTTGGTCAGGCCGATCCAGTTGGTCATGGCTGTGACGGAGAGCTTGGCCAGGACGAGTCTGACCATGCCGTTGATCATGGTGGCTGCGTTGCCTACGCGCAACGTCTGTCTGATGACGGTGTATGGGATGAGGCGGTGCAGGTTCTCGACGAGGCGGACGAGGTATTGGCCATCGGGCGACATGACGAAGACGTGGTGGAGGAAGGATGCGGCGTTCAACAGCATATACTCGTGGGCTGCCTGCAGACTGCTGGAATGATCCTCGAGCCGCGGCGTCGCCTTGACCTTTTCGTACAGGTCGTCGAGAGCATTTCCGTATATGGCGTCCTTGACCAGCTCCTCGAAGCCTTGTATGACGTCTTCGGGCTTGCTCGTGTCGTATTCCTTCTTGCTCTCCTTCTTCTTGGCCGCTGGATACCCGCCCAGCATGCCTCTGGCGACATACTCGGCAATGCTACTCGCCGCCGTCGCCAGCGCTTTGCGGCTCCCAATGGCGCCCTTGTCGTAACTCTCGCTCAGTTCGGCCTCGGCCATCCTCGCAACCAGCGTCTGGATCTTGTCAGACCACCAGCTCTCGCCAAAGTTGCGTATGGCGGGGTTGCAGAGGGCGAACTTGTTGAGCATGTTCTGGAGCAGCGGGCTCGTCGACTGCACGCCGTCGGCCTTGCGGAAGGGGTAGCCATAGTGGTCGATGGTCGAGGGGTACTTGAAGGCTTCGATTTCAGCGTAGACTTGGTGGTGGATCACTATGTCAAAGAGGGCGTGTGTCTGCGCGGGAGTAAGCGGTTTCGTCGTCGACATGGTTGGCGAGGGCGAAGATAATCAAGTCAAGTCTCGAGTCCATGGCTGGCCGTGGTTGATGGTGGACGCGGCGGATGCGCCTGCGACGCGGGGTACGTCATCGCGCCCAAGCCTTGGCAGATTAGCGACTTGATCGCCCCCACATGGCACCGCTGCATTCGGATCACGGCATGCATCGTGCAGAAATCACTCTTGGTCCAAAGCGTCACTTGAATACTCCTACTCACTTCCCCTTTGGCACATCGCTGCCCCAAGGATAAGCCTCGGGCATAGCCTTCCAGTTCTTCAAGTCGTCATAGTTCCTCGTCGTGCTCTTGCCCTGCAACACCTGTTGTACGAAAGGCAGAATGTCTGCGTACCCGCTCATATCACAATGTCCACCAGACGGTATACTCATGCCCAGCTGCTTACCCACACTCAGCCAGTTGTACACAACCTTGGCCGCAGGAAACATGACTTGAGCAGTGCCTTTGGAATCGGTGAACTGATCATTGGCGTTCTGCGACAGGATGACTGCGCGTGGAGCGATGGCTGCAACAATAGTATGCGCATCATAGGGTAGCTGGGTGGATTTGCCGACGAACTGGGAGATGCCGGAGGAGGTCCACCATCCAGCTCCAGATTTCTTCAAAACTTGTCAGTACGCCAGTTCCTTGATAGTCGCTGCGAGTTTATGGACGCGAGTACTCACTGCGTTTTCCAAATTTTCTCCTTGTCCGCTCAAGCTGTAGCGGTAGGGTCCCGCGCCTTGAACGCCAGAGCACATGGGCATAGTGACAGCGATACGCCTATCAAACAGGCCAGCTGCCAAAGCAGCCTTGCCCAGACGGGAACAGCCCGTGACTCCAGACTTGGTCGCGTCAATCTCTGGGACCTTGAGTTCAATGCCGTCCAGGACGCGGTGAAAGCCCCATGCCCATGCAGTCAGGACCCCTATAATAACCATAAGTATGCAGTGGAAGGGAGCAAACATATCACACACCAATATCCTTGCCGTTGTACAACGTCCAGAATGAACCGCTCTTGCTGTTACTGTCTGCTGCAACCTTGGTATAATCAAATGTCCCTACTGCTATACCCGCATTCGTATAACTCTTCGTATCCATGCCTCCAATCGATATGACCACGGGAAATGGTCCACTTCCGCTTGGCAAGTTCAACGATGCGGCGATGCTCGCAGTCTTTCCGCCTGCAGCGACGCTGACAGTCAAGGTATTGCCGCTGCGCGTTGCCGAGACCGTCTCTTGCGAATGGTCTGGATAGTAGCCATATTGGTATTCTTGGAGGAGCTTCAGGATCTCGGGTTGGCGGCATTGCAGCCACTCGTCTTTGCTCTGAACGCGAGTTTTGCCATCGAGGTAGAGGAAGGGATCAGGCATGGTCTTGACGGAAGGGAAGGCGGCTACTTTGGGCATGGGATTTGGCGTTGCTGGACATGTTATGTTTGTCTGGCGAGGAACGATGTCCAGGAGGTTCTCGAGGTTGTTTCCTAGAGGTGTACCGCCACTTGTGATTGACAAAGTCAAAATCGTGAAGAAAGTGGTGCGCATTTCGGTGCCTATCGTCGTGTTGAGACTGCAAGATATCGGTGACGAAATGATGGGACGACGCTTATAACGAGCTTAAGAGGGACTAAAGGCTCAGTCTTTCGGATCAAAGGCTATGAGTTGAGTCGATACGAGTTGACGTGATCTCGTGATCTAAACCACCCGCAAATAATGTAGGTAACAATCCTTTGTATATGAAGTCTGGCGTTCTGATAATCTGACCTTTCGCTAAGAAGAACCACTGCCGCGCTGCAACGGCACTCTGTACCGGTCGAGTTATACCAGTTTGTCCGATCATCTCCTTTCTTGATGTCAAACGACCATACAGCTCCACGCTGTTTGCGGGGCTCTCATATAGCCATGCCCTCGGATAAAGGGATCTCCAATATGTAGCTGCGATACGCATGGGGCTGTACGCGCGAGATGCACCGAACGAACGTATGCTCGGCACAACTCCTTGCGGATAAATGCAAGCATCTTAGCGAGTAGTCGGTGAAACCTGACCGACGTAGACCTCCTGATCGTTTTGTATGCATCGACTGATAGACGATACGAGAGGGCTACCAGGCAAGCTGCTTGTTCAACATGATTCCTCAGATGACGACCTATGTGATGCATCCTTGTTGCCCTCTCGATCATACACGAAGACTCCGTAGTACCGAGATTGACCATCGTCATCGACATACGGCCGCACTTCGAAGCTGCGCAGATATTGACTTGATGGCTGGGGCGGGTTTTCTGGGATCGGAAGGCTCAGATCAGGAGCCCCTATGTACAGATCACTGCCAGAAGACATGCGCAGTACAGGCTCGTTGTTAGCTTCCACGGAAGCGGCGGTTGCACCACTACCTCGAGTGCAAAGAGCACTCAGCGCCCATAGACGTGTTAGTTGGACAAGTGTTGCGAAGGGAAAAGTAATTTCCCATGTTTGTGCGTCTCGGTCGTAGCTTACTGAGCAGCTGGGTAGGTCATACGAATGACTGTCCCATTCCTCAGAACCTGCGTATTTCGACTTTCTTACTTTGATTTCGCATTCGTTATGATGTATTGAGAACCCATTGTCTGTGTCTTGGGCGCGATAGCAAGTTTTCGGAGAGATGGTCACACAGACTCTGGCGGGAAATGACGAGCAGAGTGCGCGCATGTTTATATGGACTGTCATGGGTTCGCCATCCCCAATTTCTTTGTTCATAAATTTCAATCCTATATCTCCACTGGCGCGTGGAGGAGTGGCTGATAAGGAGAGAGTTCCGGATGATTGCTTTTCTACCATTTCCGTACTTGGGTTCGCGAGAACATGCACCCATTCCAGCAGCACCTCTTCGAGCAAAGCAACGGCGCAGAGGCAGAAGGAGCTGCTGCATGCTTGCAAGACACGGTTGGCTAGCTCCTGACCCGATATTTCATAGTCGACCTGAAGGTCTGAACCCTCGCCACACAAGCCCAGTAAGGAATAGACTATATCACTGGGATTCCGGCATTTCTTTCTGGAGAAGATTTGTAGAAGGTAGAGGAGACTCCTGCCCCTCCACCGATGCGAGGAACTCTCGAAGTACACCGGTTCAACTGTTTGATGCGATATAGTGTCGTCTTCCTTCTCCTCTGGCGGCTGCCAGCGGTCGATTTCCTCTTCGCCTGCCATGAAGATAATCAGGCGCGCCAAACCGACTTCTTGGGTAATCCAAGCGCGGGCCCAATAGTCGCTTTCAAAAAAAGCCAACGTACCCGAGCGAATGCGCATGGGAGCCGACGCGTCCAATCTAAGGGGGTTTGTGCTTTCGCGGAGGAACTGTGCGATCAATTTGTCGTCACCAAGCCAGGAGATGACTTTGGCTGCGTGACTGAATATGTGCCCCATCTGCTGTACTTGGTGTGACCTCTCAGAGTTGTTCGACTGGTCGATACAAAGCGCATCAATCCAGAGCCATTCACTGCGAATGTGCGGCTTTTTTATTGCCGACCAAAAAAAGGCATGCAAGTTTTGACGGACCTGAAAGAGTCGTCCGCCTAATCTGATCCAACGAAGGGTGTGTTCTTCGCCCCACACGTATGAGAGACAGACGTAAGTTTCCTCTGTTGTGGCATGACGAATCTCCAACTGAATGTGCCCATAGAAGGACAGGTCTGGGAGGATACGCACTAGTCGGATGGAAGGCGTCTTAAGATCCAGAGGCGAGTGCTCGAAACGAGGCCGAGCACCTCGCGGCGGGAACTCTATTTTTGTAAGGGCGCATTTGTCGTTTTCTGACTCCTGAAGGTATTCCATGATGCTTGGCAGGTTGCAGCCTTGAGTTTGACGGTGGGGTTCGTTCAGTTTGTTGTGCCTCTAGGTCTATGGGAGATTTGTTCGGTCGCTATCTCCACCTTGCGACCTCGATTGGGTCGTGCTGGCACTATCAGTACGGGGGAAGGATGCTTTGCGACATTGAACAATGCATGAGGATGAAGTGAAGAGATAACGGTGCTCGAAGCTGCGAGGTTATGCGGCTGAGCTGAATGTGCGGGGCAGTGCAAGGCTACCGCGAAGGCCACGCGAAGCCTCTTCGCCTCGCGCAAATGCGTTAAGTTTCGTATTCAACGCATGCATCATGGTTGAGATATCGATGGGTCTATGTCGGAGGCTGTTGCTTGGAGTTGCTAGGAGTAGTCCAAGGATGGTTCTCATGCACCACTACAGGCGGTAGAAAAGCTCGATTACACACAAACCATTTCAAAGTGGTTGGAGCTTAGGTTGCGATGCGCGAAGCGATCACAGGAAGGATGAGTTTGGGGCAAGTCTCGTCCGCATGCTGAATTGGTTTCCGTAGTGGCAGATTGTTCGTACGTGGTAGCGCGTCGACGCGTACGCTGCTCATAACATCGATGTGAGCTAGAATACAAAGAGCGTCCACGGATCAGAAGGGCGATGACAATGCGAAGGTTGCGACAGATGCAGGTATCGTGCTAGCGTGTAAGAAGTTAGGAGGATGCACGACAATGATGTCAACCCGGCCCAAGCTCTTGTCCGCGCGGGGAGTGCGTCGCGCAGCTAGGCATCCACATATGGATGTAGACTTCACCATGTAGCATCTCCAAGCTTCAACCACCAACATGGTGCTGCTGGCTTCTCTTCTGTTTGCTGCTTTGGCCGGTGCCAAATGCTTCGAACCTGACATCGCGCATCCGCCGCCTGAGTACAATGTCCACGATCCTCTGCTCAAAGAAGCATTCGAATCCATCAACACAGCACTTACTGCAGCTGTGGCAGCGCCAATACATGCTCGAAGCTCTTTCTCTGTAGAGATAACTTCGTCGGAGGAAACCCTATGGTCGTATCATCACACGGCGCGCGAACGCAATGCCTCTCGCCCAGATATCCCCGAAGTCAACGGCGACGCGTTGTATCGTATCGCCAGCATAACAAAGACCTTCACCGTCCTCGGCATATTGTACCAGCACGCAGCTGGCAACTTGAGTTTAGATGCAACTGTGAATACGTATCTCAAAGAACTGGGAGAGAAGTCGGATGGTGGCATACCATGGAAGGACATCACCTTGCGTAGTTTGGCCAGCCAGCTGAGCGGCCTTCCGCGGGAATGTAAGCTGCCAATTGACAAGGAGCACAATCTGTTTGATGGGTGCCAGACAGAAGAAGGTACGCATGCTGATTCCTTCCGTTAGGGGCTCAAGGCGACTTGATCAATCAGAACTACGAAAAGCTGAATCCGAGTTACTTGGGCCTACCGCCTGATGTCTCACGGAAAGGGTTGCCACATTGCGACGAGTACTCACCAAATTTCGAGACGCCTTGCACGGCCAGAGGTGCGCGTCTGATCGTCTGATCGTCGAGACTGAATGCTGACTGGAGAATGCCTAGATTTGTTTAAGCAGGTCAACAAGCTCGCGCCGCTTTTCGCGCCCAACCAGAAATCTTCCTACTCTAATCTCGCGTTCGAGCTGCTCGGTCTCGTTCTCTCGCGGGTATCGAATCGTACCTACGAAGCTTACATCGATGAAGCCATATTCAAGCCTCTGAACATGTCGACCAGCACCCTTTCGAAACCCGCCGACTCTGCTGGCGTCATTCCGGCGGGCCCACAGTTCTGGGACGTGCAAGAGGGTGTTCAGAATCCCACGGGCGGCATCTATAGTTCCTCGAGTGACCTGTCCAAGTACCTCCGCTATGTCTTGACTCATTTCAATGCCATTACCCACGCGATCAATTGGCTGCACCCCGTCTCCCATTCCCACGGATCCAATAGTTTCTACGGTATGCCATGGGAGATCTTTACGACAGACCGCGTACTAAAAGACTCCAATCGCACAATACGCGTCGTATCCAAGAGCGGAGGATTACCAGGCTACACTTCCATCATCATGACAGTGCCAGAATACGACCTAGGGATCACCATTCTGATCGCCGGCCCTGGCAAGATCTTTGCCAAGATCCAAAGTATTGTTTTGACGACCATGATACAAGTCGCCGAGAAGATTGCCATCCGGCAGTTGAGCGATCGCTACGCCGGCACATATAGCGCTGCAGATCCAGAACTGAATTCTACGGTGATATTGACAGCCGACCACCGCGGTCTTGTTGTCACGACCTGGATATCGAACGGAACAGATGTCTTCGAATCGCCCATTGTCAAACATGGCGCGCCGGAGCACTACTACGCACAACTCAGCCCCACACTCCTCTACCGCGACGAGGAGACACAGCAAGGCGAAGAGTGGCGTGCGATGTTCGTCGAGGAACGTGGAGGTGGGCCGCCGGATGATTTCTGCATCGATGATTGGGACATGTCCTCTTACGCAGGTATACCCTTGAACGCAGTCGCGTTCTGGGATGAGCAAGAAGATGGTCACTTCGGGAAGCTGGAATTGTCGGCCTTCAGGGTGAATCTCACAAGAGTGGACGAGAACAGAGGAAAGAATAGGGAGTATGATCAACAAGAGACGATGGAACTCTGATGCCTGACACTACAGACTCGCATGGCGGCCTGATTGTAATCGCGTGTAGTACACGATTCATGACTGAACGATCCTATGCAAGTCACTGCAGCTAGAACCAGGTGACTAGATTATATAGAGTTCAAACTTCCCCTAGAGCACTGTGCAAAGACAGGTTCGCGAAGGCTCGCCTATCCTTCTATCAACGGCGCTTGCATTTGCCGTGACCCAAAAGAGTCGGTTCTATTGCAGCGACTGTGGTCGGCAGGCTGCACTAGTGTTTCTGGACGTGATTAAAGTCCGTGCTAAAACGGATCTACATGCGGAGCTAAACTCTAATCTTAGTATGCAGGGAAAGACCCACGTTTTGCGCAAACACGATTACCATCATCAAGCCACAAGATACCGTTCCTCACCGGGTTCATATACCTCCGGTCATGTTCGGTCTTGCTGCAGGTCGAGGATTTCTCCGCTAGCTAAGCCACTGAGTTGAAGCCGTCATATGTAGTGAATGCGAGTCCCGTGGCGACATGAGAAATGCCAGACGGATCGTCACGTCTAAGCAACGGATCAGGTTCGCATTGAATTCAATCCCTCGCGATGCCTAACACGGCGATTGCCATGACTATTGTGAATATGTGTGTTTTCACACATACCGATCCCGAGAATCCTACTTGGTGCACGTCACCTCCAAACGACCTTTCCCGCATTCGACTGTACCGACTACCTCGTCTTCGAAGGATGTGAATCTACACGACACATGCAACGTATCAAGCCATAGCAAGAGGCAAAAGTCGGAGAGTTTGTCCCTCGTTGGGCGCAGGCTCCACGTGGATTTTGCCGTAGCAGCGGCACGCGTCTGCGAACTAAAGTCAGGGCACAGTCTAGCTCGTAGACTGCCGATTGCGCCCGAACAATGCCAACAGTGCGTAGCACGCCTCATGGAGTCTGCTCCGTGACCAAGTCGGCAGCTCCACTGCTATGAGCTTGTAACATACTAACGGCGCCTTGATTTGCGCGCGGAGACTAGGAGTTTTGACAGTGCTGTGCTACTGATTGCCGCGGATAGTAGCATTCAGCCCCCCTGTTTATAACATATCCTGGTCCATATGGGATTATGAAGGGCCCATGTTCACATGCGAACTGCTTTCGCTTATCGTGTTTCCTTGCTCCTCCTTCCTCTTTCGCATCCGAGGTAGACTGTACTGCCTCTTCTTGGAAAGCGCCTTGTCTTAATACGGTCGACTGGAAAACGGTACGCGGAGTACGGCGCCTTCTCATGCGGTTTTCGATATGAAGTTCTTCTCGGCATTGTTGTTCCTCGTCTTTGCGCCACTGCTGTCGTTTGCGCAAAGTCAGAATGGAACTGACGTCCTCGCCCTTGCAGTCAAGAACCTGCCTCCATGCGCGGTATGTCAATCGAGTCAACATACTGGAACTCAAAACTGATAAGATGTAGCTAAAATGCACATTGACAATCGTCACGGCGTCACCATGCGAGCTCACAGACTTCGCTTGTATCAAAGCCAACGAGACGCTTCTAGATGACCTCACCAAATGCGTATTAGCTGGCTGTAAGCCAAAAGAAGCACTGAGTGAGTTATTCCTCGTTCTCTTGTTTCCAGGTATTCGCTAACCCAATAACTAGCGGCAAAGAGGTTTCTCGCAGACATGATGAACACGCCAATTCGTAACAAGACCATACAAGGAACAATTACCACATTGGTCGCTGGAATAGCAGCCACGGTGGCCTACATTCTACGCGTTGTTGCACGTCTTCCCTGGTTCGGAGGAAATTGGGGGTTGGACGATTGGGTGATGACTGTCGCTATCATACTCGTCGTCCCACTTTCCGTATGCGCATACATTCTGAACCAAATCGGTTTGGGACAGGATATGTGGTATGTGTCTTTTGAAAACATTACAAAGATCCTCGAGGTATGTTATTGCAGTATCCAAATGCTGAGATTTGGAGCTGACGAAAGTGCGATTTAGATCTTTTACTACACTGAACTGCTATACCTGGTGTCGGTGGCATTGACGAAGATAGCTATCCTCCTCTTCTACCTCCGCATATTTCCCCAACAGGGTATTCGACGCGTCATCTATGTCACAATAGTCGTTTGTATCATGTACATTATCGCTTTCGGCACAGCGACCGCGCTGCAATGTCTCCCAATCCGCATCGCCTGGGAACACTGGGACGGCGAGCACCACGGAAAATGCATTAACCTCAACGCCGACGCCTGGGCATCGGCCGCAGTCAACATCATCCTCGATCTGGTCGTCATTACTATACCCATGCGGGAACTCAGCCAGCTCAAAATGAGCCGCCGTCGTAAATTCGGCATCATGCTCATGTTCCTCGGCGGAGGCTTGTATGTTCAATTCCCTCCGTACTTCACCCTGAGCGTGTGCTAACAAATACTTAGTGTAACCATTGTCAGCATCGTCCGACTAAAATTCATGATCCAGTTTGCCCAAACGACCAATGTCACCTGGGACTACCTACCAATCGGATACTGGTCTGCGGTTGAAGCTCAAGTCGGTGCCATCATCGCTTGCCTACCCGCTATCCGCCAACTGGAACGCTCGATCCGCGAACGCATCTGGCCGAAGCAGAAGAAGAACAACTACTACTACGAAGAGAACTCTGGAAACAGCAGCAAAAAGTCCAAGCAAAGCAATGGCAGCAATGGCAGCAACATCAAATCCCGCATGTGGCTACCGAAAACCGATCGCTCTCAACTGAGCACCTTTAGGACGAGTCGAGCCGACAAGGAAGACTTTGTCCGGCTAGACGAGTATGAGATGGGCGTCACCAAGGGAGCGAAGGAAGGTATTGTAGAGACTGGGAATGGTATTCCAACACGAAGTTCGTCGGACGGATCGCTGGATCGGTCGTTCAAGTCGAATGAGGATATCCAACCGCTGGCGGCTGGGCCGTCGCCCGTTGTAGGGTCGCCGTTGGGGGGTATCATGGTGCAGAGCGAGTATAGTGTCGACCGGGGGAGTCCGCATCCGTCGGAGATACAAGCCTTGCCGCCGTATCATCCCAAAGAGGGGACGTTGATGGATACGCGGAGGTGGCTTTGATTAGAATGCGAGTTTTCATGATCTACGAAATACGGAATACCCAATATTACTTTACTTTTAATGGATGGAATAGCACCATGGTTCTTGAGATAAGTGGTAGCATTTGTGAGACGCTCTTAATTCTTGTACTTTGGATGCTTCTTGTTTGAGAGCTTCTCTTCGGCACAAAAATTATAAAGATTCTATAAGTCATGACTAGCCCATCAATTGCATGTCATCGGATTACTAGGGTATTGCTTCGCGATTGCGCACACACAGCAACTGAACGCGACGCTCCCACCATTTGCGCATCCTACAAAACACTTCTTGGCAAGCGACCACTCTCGATACGAGACGCAACACTCAGTAACCACTCGCGAAATGTAGATCAGAACTGCTCCGCGGTGTAGAAGCCAAGGGGCCAAGAAAGTGGCGACAGCAAGCCATCCGACACCCGCGCACCGGCGTGTTCTCGCCCACTTGCCGCACTACTACTATCCGGAAATGTTGGCCGCGGTAGATAATGAATCGCAGTACTACACCAGTGTAGAGAGTTGAGGTGAAGTGGGTCGGCCCACTTCGGCTCGGTAGATCATACTCCACAGCGTGTGCCTAGTGGCCTGTTTGGGGAATTTCTGCGGTGCGTATGGAGGAGAGCTATGACTTTTCAGCATAAAACATAATTTTAACTGTACATGCTAGTACGAATTCGGTAGAAAACTGGCCATTGTTATTTGTTTCATGTCTTTTTACTGCATGGGCAAGGATCATAAGCAACCGAAGCTGCCCAGGTGGGTTACAATCTCTCGCAGTATTTTTGAAACTGCTACCATTACATGCGACATGGACCTTGCTTTGCTGTCTCTTCTCTATCCCATACGCATCATCCCGATATCCACATTCTCACAGACTAGCCTACATATGCAGCATAGACTCTCCGGATGTACGTCTGTATGAAGTTCATTACCCACTCCACGGTACGATACACTAGGATCTGTTCGACATACACCAGAACGCAGCATTTATAACATCGATCTTGTTTGGCAAGACTAATTCCCTTTGTATTGAAACCGGATTGCGTCTTCGAATTCGACTCTTCGCGGCATTGTCAGAACGACAAGTTGACATCAGAGTAATATGTCAGCTTGGATGGACATCAAGACAGCTGATGTTTTACCCTTTTCTCTGAGTTTTGCTTGGTACTGAAACTTTACGCAAAACCGTTGCTTCTATGATAGATCTGACATCTCCATACCATTTTCGACAGGTGTTACTGTTTTCGATTCATCTTGGTTTGTTGTAGCCGCTTCTTCCTCCACCCTCAATCTCAGGTCATCTTTCTTCTTCTCTTGTTTATCCCAATAATAGAACGTGAGCAGAACAATGCCACTGATTGGCACTGCTACTACGAAAAACAACCAGACGCTGCGGCTCGCTTGATCGAAAGGAATATCTCCAGGAATACCATTGAAGAAGTTCATGCCAAAGAATGAGGTTACGAAGGTTGCGGGAAGGAACGCAATTGTCACCCACGCTATGCCTCGCATGGTACGACTGTCTCTTTGTGTTTCCTCTGCGATTCGAATGCTCTGTGCGAGGAGCTGTTCTTCTCTTGCCGCTCGAAGGTCGTCTTTCTCTTGTTGGGCATCTGCTCGTATCTGCCGATCCTTTTCGCGCTTTTGACGCTCATCTTCTTGTTTTTGATACTCCTTCTCTCGTTCTTCACGAAGATCGTCTTCTCGCTGCTGCCTAGCATCTTCTAACTTGTATCGATTCTCCTTTCGTTCTTGACGCTCATCCTCTTCACTTTGACGCTTCCGCTCTCGTTCTTCACGCAACTCATCTTTCAGTTTTTGGCGCATGTCTTCTCGCTGTTGGCGCAGCTCATCTCTAGCCTGCTTCTCTTCCGCAGCAACATCGGCGATATGCTGACGTACCTCTGCGATACTTTCTTTCAAACGATCTGGATGATACTGTTGCATTCTTCTGGCCGATCCTAGCAAGTCAGTATCAGGATCGAAAAGGTTGCTGTGTGATCGCATCAGAATTCCATGTATCCAGTTCGCAGCTTCAACGCCGAACTTGCACTGTTCTTCTAGGGTAGATGCCCTGATCTTTCGGCTGATTGTGTTGATTTGGCGGAGTAGGGCGCTTAGACTTGGACGCTCTTCGATTTGCAAAGATTCTTCTACTATTTGAATCTCATCCATAAAGTCCTTCGCCTCTTTCTCAATAACAACGATATATTCCAATACAACCAAGTAAGTCATGCTGGCAAAGCGTTCGACCACGGGGGCTTTTTCTGATTCAAGTACGACGTGAGTGTCAAATGGATTAAAGCCCCCAAGGACACCCCGACTCGCGCTCCGCAGACAATGGGCGAATATTCCACTCCACAACCTGCAAGAATCCCAGCTCCCTGTCCCTGACAGGGACAGGTATAGGTACGGAACAGAATCTCTGGGAGTCTCGAGCAGTATTTGATCTCTCTCAGGCGAACAAAGGATACGACCGGTAGTGGAAGTTTCATTCTGCTCGCGAAGCAATAATGAGAAGTTTTTTGTTAACGTTCGTAGCAGCCCTTGCACATGCTGATCATTCAAGCCGTCGTTCAAAGGCAGATGGAGGAAATTAATGGAATCAGACTCTGGATAAGCAAGCACTCCATCATGTATGAACGGTGGAGAACGAGATGTTCCATGTAGGAACGAACCAAAGTCGTGTGGGCTCTTGAACGAGTGAACTGCCACTTGCTCAAATTCGTATCTGAGGTCGGGGGGCTTGTAGGGGCCGTTGTCTTTGCGGAAGAAGACGTATCCACGGACGAGTTTGACGACCTCGTCAGGTATGTCGTATCCACGAGTGATCACTGTGTGTTCATCAGGTGCCTCGTATGGGCCGTGAAAAGATTCCGTATGTTCCATGGCCGCCAAATGAAAAAAGAACGAGAGAAAAAAAAAGGAGTAGAGGGACAACGAAGCGGAGGTTCAGGCTCCTCGAGAGTGCATGATCCTTGGCTCAGCTGCCAAGGATGAGGCGCACATGCAAGCCTCGAGGCTTGCATGATAGTAGCTTTGGAGGCCGTGATAGGACCAAACAGTGCATTCGAAAACGCCTCCGACATGGTTGGTTTGCTCAGACGAGAGTGAGCTTTGAAATCTAAATCCTGTTGTTTGTGTAGTATTATCACTTGCAGCGGTCGTTGAACAGCGCTTGCGAACAGTTCACAGCATCCTTACAACTTCGCCCCAGCCTTGTTGCTCCCCGCAGCAGCAATCAAAAATTGCCGGAAATATCTCTCCAACTTCTCCCCCGCACTCTCATCCAATCCCACAACCGTACCCACCCACCCATCAGGTCTCAGCACTACCACAGCCCCCTTCTCAGTCGCAACACCATACCTCAAATGCGCACTGCGATCTTCATCGTAAAATATACGACCAAACGGCATACCCCCCAATGTCTCATACGCCGACGACCCACCCGGTCCTGCGATAATGGAAAGACATGATAGCGGAGCGTCTGAATCACTGAGCCAAGGGAGCTTCTCGATCGCTGCCGTAAACGACCCCAAAGCAATTTTCGTGCGTGCCACGTCCCCAGCGAAAAGCACAACATAGAACGTCGCCGTATTCGGTGTCTCGGTCTGTAGTCGCGTAAATTCGAACGTCGCAGGTTTCTGCAGCCTAACATCTGGTGCGCGCTGACCAGGCTGCACCGACGACACACCCGAACTCTGCGTAAGGTTCAAGTAAGAATCCGGTTCATAGTAAATGCCCAAACCACTACTGAACGTCGCCGCTTCCGCCATGACTACGCCCAGTATCTCATTCGGATCCGCGTTTGGATCGCCCGTCCAACCCTCTGGCAACTGCATCGTCATGAGGCGCGAGATATCCTTGTCATAATTGATCAACCGCTGTACATTGGGCAGCCGTTCCGCTTCGTACGAATGCAAGAGGTCCGGTTTAGCGAGACCCCGGAGAACGAGGGAGAGTTTCCAGCCTAGGTTTACAGCGTCGTGCATGCCTGTATTCATGCCTTGCGCTGCGCCCGAACTGTGCGTATGGCATGCGTCACCGGCGAGGAAGATAGAGTCGTGTACGAAGAAGGAACGGGCGATGCGCTGCCCGACAACGTAGATAGTCCACCAGTCTACTTGTTTAAATGAAAGGTTGAATGGCTTAACAGATGCAATAGCTTCTTGCACGGCGGCAGCTTCGTCGAAGACTTTATACGCTTTCTGGCGCTCGGCTGTGAATGCGAAGCCGATGCGCGTTGCGCCTCGGTCTAGCGCGGCCCAGAGGACGTTTCCGTGGGTAGGGGATTCGATGGCGCAGTAGGTTCGGGGCTTGGGGAGGTCGGTTTCGATGACGCCGTCAACGCGAACCCATTTGTCTACGCTCGAGGAGCCGTCAAAGGGGATGTTCATAGCTCGTCGTACAAATGATCGACCGCCGTCTGCGCCGACCAGATATCGACACTTGACCACGCTCTTGGCCTTGGTCGAGCCATGTTCGATGGTAGCCAGCACCCTGTGGCCGCCCATCTCAACCCCTTGTATCACCTCAATACCCACTAATGTATACGGCGCATCGAGTTGGACGCCCTCCCTCGCCAACGCTTTCCTAAACACCTCTTCCTGGTATTTCTGCCGTAGCACCAGTGCAAAGTCCCACTTTGTGTCCTTCATGTTCTGCATGAACGCCCAGCCTCTTCCTTCGACCTCGTTGCCATGTTTGTCGTAGTTGACTGTCTCGCGGCACGCAAAACACTGTTGCGCAAGTGAATCAGCAAGACCAAGCTGGTCAAGCATCTACAGATGTGGAGATATAAAGTCAGTGTATGTCTCATATGCATTTCGCACAGTTACAACTTGCCTCGGAACTGCGGGGGAAGAGGGTGATGGCGCGACCATAGTTGTCTTGGGAGGATTTTGGGTATTGCTCGATGATTTTGATGCGGTGGGTAGGTTGGGGGAGGTTACGTGCAAGTTGGTAGGCGGTTATGAGGCCTGTGAGTAGTTGTTAGTATGACGGTGTGTACACGATGGATGCTGGGGCTACACGTACCCACCGGTCCTCCACCTACCACGAGTACATCTACATACTCTACTGGTGGCTCAAGAGTCGCCATGTTCTCTATACGACGGCGGAGCCTAGTTCTGGCATATGACAAGCTTCCTCAAGCTCAGGCATGGCCCTGTTGGCGCGCAATAAGCTTTATTGGGTTTCCGTCCACATAGGAGACGGCAAAGGACAGCCGCTCCATTGATAAGAGTACAACCATATACTATTAGTCATGCATGACCTCATTTGACTCAATGGAGATGGCCGCATCGGAGGTGCTGTCGCGAAGGAAGCAAGAATGGGGTGGGACGCGACCTTCGCGGGTGAACTGATAAGATAAGGATTGAGCCGCGGCACCTGCGCGTCAAGCCTAACCATCGCTTTTTGGCTACAACACCAGCCTCTACCAAGAGACGTTTCTCGTCCGCCATGTCCAGCGTCCGACTCTTGACGCGGAGTAGTCATATCGTCCAACTTTCGGTTGGCACTCGTCTCAGCATGGCTCAAGGCATGGAGCAGACACGCCAGCGTGTCCACGTACCGTATACCGGTACGATTGAAGCTATCGTAAAGTACGTATAGGTTAAGTATTATTGTTGTAAGTACAGCAGCACTGGAAAAAAGCTCCAAGTACAAACTACAACTGTAGTACAGCCGCTTAGACTATGTACAGACTATACTTATTAATATAGACTGATAGGAGCTCTCCTACGTACGGCTTAGGTATCACGTACCGCTGTACTGTACCTCTCCGTACTACGGTACGTTAGACACGCTGAATCACGCCACAAGCATCAAACAATACCCAAACGAGGAATTTCCCCTCCATGGTGTGCGCAACATCTTATACACACCTACAGCGGCAACACCCACTCGCCCTCCTTTGTAGGTTTGGCAAGACTGCTCGCATCCCTCTTCGTGAACCTCCCATACCCCTTCTGGCCCAACAAACCCCCGTTGTCCCTATCCCAAACCACCTTTCCTCTCAAGATCGTCCACCTGGGCCACTGCCTCAGCCTCCTCCCCTCAAAAGGCGTATAATCAACATCATGGTGCAACATGCTATTCGTCAGCTCAAACTCCTCCATCTTACCCTCTGGATACCAGATATTAACATCGGCATCGGACTGTCCCTCCACCAACGCGCCTTTCTTCGGATACAAGCCGTACAGCTTGGCAGGATTGGCAGAAGTAACCTCGACGAATTTGGTAAGTTTGAGGCGGTTCGCGCTGAGGGCAAGGGAGAGTCTTGTTTCGATGCCTGGACAGCCGTTGGGTATGTACTTGAAGTGGCCGAGCGGGTGTTCAGCGCTGATGCTGGATTTCTTACCCGTTTGAGCATCATCGTAGCGGAAGGGACAGTGGTCCGAGGAAAGGATCGTAAAGGTGCCGTTTGCAAGTCCTTCCCAGATTACGTCGCAGTCTGCCTCGCTCTCCCGTGGTGGGGGCGAGCAGACGCACTTTGCGCCTTCGAAACCGGGTTGGTCGAGGTCTTGCTTCGTGAGGAAGAGGTATTGTGGGCACGTTTCTGCGTAGATGGGTAGGCCGCGGTCTTGTGCTGCTTTGATGTGGGCGGCTGCTGCGGGCGTGGAGACGTGGACAATGAGGATGGGTGTGTCCATGAATTCTGATAAGCTGATGGCACGGTAGGTGGCTTCTGTTTCCGCCATGGGAGGGTGGGAGGAGCCGTGGTATTTCGGTGCGAATAACTTCTTCTTCTCCAGCTGGGCAGTCATCCAGTCGATTACTTGACCGTTTTCGGCGTGGATCATTGTTGTTATGCCTTGTTTTCGCGCCTCGAGGAGGATGTCTAGGATCTGACCATCGTGCAGCTGCAGGGCCTCGTAGGTCATGTAGATCTTGAGTGAAGAAATGCCTTCTTCACGAAGAGTCTTAAACTCCGACAGTGCCCTTTCTGAGGGGTTTCCCACAATGATATGGAAGGAATAATCAATGTAGCAGTTATCCTTTGCTCGTTCATGGGTAGCCGCCAGGGTATCAAGAAGAGTATCCTCAGTCTTCTTCTGTGGCGCAAACGTTACCATTGTGGTGGTACCACCGCATACTGCTGATCGACTACCCGTCTCGTAGTTGTCTGCCGTTGAGCCATTGCCAAACAACGGAGGTTCCTGCAGATGAACATGAGCGTCTACACCTCCTGGCATAACAAAGCCGCCTTCAGCATCTATCGTCCTCGTCGCTTTTGCATCTTTCAGGCCTCCTCTTGGAACCACTTTCGATATCTTCTCATCTTTGATAGCAATATCCCACTCTTGAACTTCGATTTCGGAAACCACGATCCCATTGACGATGATGAGGTCGTACTCCATGGCTACCTCTTTGTAGCCTTATTTCAGATGGTCTAATCTGGGTAAACAGACTCTCAAGTCTTTTGCTGATACTAGAGGATACATTTCAGCGGTTATCGTGCTTGTAGAAGGAAGGCTAGTCCAAATTTGTGAGGTGCGTATCTCGACCCCTCTTTCGCGCTGCCCCACCTTCCTCCCATCGTCTTCACCCGTCTCTTATCAACTCTGACGCCTATCCGCGGTACAAATGCGCTTAAGAAGGGTACGGTATTCTGTAAAGTAATACTCGTTAGTCATACGTGATGGAGACGCGTTTCTAGAAGCCGACGCGTCGGAACAACCGTACCTGATGACTTCACGCCACTACGGGCAACCCGCAACACCAGCCTACAACATACCATTACTTTTGAACAGGCCAATATGACTGTCAGAAACCCGAAAATAAACAGCGACAGGCTGAACAGCACATTGCAAGAAACATGCATGGCATATGGCGCCCTCGCAGCTCCATCAACAGGCATGTGCCGCCTGACTTTAACCTCGTCGGACAAAGCTGCGCGAGACTGGTTGGTCAGTGAATGCAAGAGTTTGGGATGCGAGGTCAAAATCGACCAAATGGGAAACATCTTCGCCATACGCCCAGGTACCGCTAAAGACAAAGCGCCAATCGGCATGGGTAGTCACATGGATACCCAACCTGCAGGTGGACGGTAAACTCATCCTTTTCTCTCTTCCAACCCAGATTGAACTGATTTCAAGGTAGATATGATGGCATACTAGGCGTTCAGTCCGCCCTAGAAGTCCTCCGCACACTGGACGAGAACAACATCCAAACCCATTGTCCCTTTGCGCTGATAAACTGGACAAACGAAGAAGGCGCACGTTTCCCTGGTGCAATGATGGCTTCAGGTGTCTGGAGCACACATAGCAGCACGGATCTGGAAGCCTGCCATGCCCTCCACGATACTAGCGGTATATCCATGGAAACAGCTTTACGCGACACGGGATACTTGGGCCCCATTCCTTGCGATTACCGCGAGAATAGACTGTCCGCTCATTTCGAACTTCACATCGAGCAGGGCCCTATTCTAGAGAAGGAAGGGAAGAGTGTAGGTGTCGTGACGAGCGTACAGGGTATGAAATGGTATGCCATTAGAGTGACAGGGCGAGAAGGCCATTCGGGTACGACGCCCATGCCAGGTAGGGCAGATGCCTTGGTCACAGCTTCACGGCTTATAACAGCTGTACGTGACACTGCACTCGACAGCCGACTGGGCGTTGCTACTGTGGGTGTTATCAGCAGTGATACGAGTTCTCAAGCGACTATACCCGCTGGGGTGGGGTTCGTGATAGATGTTAGATGCGATACTGATGCCCTCGTTACCCAACTCTCCGACAAAATCTTACGGGCTTTTGATCAGGTCGTTGCGGAAGAAGATAATGGGACCAAGTACCTTGTGGAACGCACGTGGGGCTTACCAGAGTCAAAGTTTCATTCGGACTGTATCGAGGCGGTGAGGAAGGCAGCAGTGGGGCAAGTTGGTCAAGAGCAGGTCATGGAGATGAAGAGCAGGGCGGGACATGACAGCGCATGGACGAGTAGGGTCTGTCCAACGAGTATGATCTTCGTACCGAGTCGAGAGGGAATAAGTCATAACCCAGAAGAATATACGAGTCCAGAGCATTGCGCACTGGGGGCGCAGGTTTTGCTTGATGCGGCGCTGGAGTATGATGACATGATTAAGAGTGGGGACGTTGGAGTTTAGATCACTCAGATGGGTAGGAGAATTATGCTGATATGCTCGTGAAGTTGGAATATGAAGGAGCTGCTGGGGACACTGCTGGTGGTGCCTGTGATGAGAGAGAGAGGGCCTGGATTGATTCTTCCACTACTGGGTATCAACCGATAAGGCAGATCTGGGTCTTCTTGAGGGCATAATTCGTCATACTACTTCAAAGACCAATACATGAAACAGGGCTGAGAAGCAGACAACGCACAGATCATCGCCAGAGATTTTTCTTGTTACGAACACTCGTCACACTGGGTCGAGGTTACAGAAGAGACAAAGTTTGGTAAATCGCGTTTTCCGCTGTCATGGTTGTGATATACAAAAAGAGTTTATACAAGGGTTAACTCCATCCAGCCTATCCTGTAAGCCTGATACATGCGGGTATATATATGAGATTCCAAAAAAGAAAAAACTCTCCAACACCAAACACGCTCTTTTTTCGGCAAATGAGAGAACAATCGAAGCAGAGGTAAACATTGTACAGAAGATTCATCAAGAGGCATAAGCCGAGCTTTCCCTCCATCTATCCCCTCAGGCTACCTTTCCTGTACTTGTCGTCCTTCAAAGGCACCGGAGGTCGTTCGTCGGCGTAGTCTTGAGACGGCATGGCGGAGTCCTTTCGCGCATGTCTTGGGTCGTAGACCGCGCTCGAAAGTATCGGCTCTGGCTTGTAGGTCGCGCTGGTCAGGGTGGCCTCTGGGTTGTAGGTAGCGCTGGATAGCGTCGGTTCTGGGGTATATGTTGCGCTGGATAGTATCGGCTCAGGGGTTGGTTGGGGCGAGTATGTGGTTGCGGGCAGCGGACTATATGTAGCCGCAGGTAATGTATACATGAATTCGTCAATTGCGTCGTCGATGTCGTCGAGAAGGTTTTGTTGGTCCGATTGCGACGTCTCCGATGTCGATTTGCGATCAAAGGGGTGCTTCGGGTCAAAGGGGAAAGTGAATGAGATAGGTCGCTCTTCGGGTGTATAAGAGATCCTGGGTGCGTGCTCTGGGGCGTTCCAATCTTGTGGTGGTGCCGGAGTTGTTGGACTAAGCGGTAGTAGAGATATCATTCGCTCGGAGTTCATGCGCTCGAAGTGTTGGTCCGACGAACTGCCAGGATACAATGATGCTGATCGCTCACGTCGTTGCGAGAACCCGCCGTCGTATGTTGTCGCTGGCAGCAGAAAAGAGGTTGCCTCGGGAGCGGAGGACGAGACCTCCTTCTCTTCACGTACAAACGTGAATGATGTTGGCCGATCTTTCTTGTTGAAGGGGCTGTCATTGGGATCGTTGAGTGTCGAGGAAGAAGAGAAGCCAGGAGATAGCACTGGGTCGCTTTGACTTCTTGTATGGGATACGAAGCGAGGCGAGGGAACCTGGAGGTATGTTGGAGAAGGCTGGTAGTCGTAGTCTGGTGGTGGTGCGATGAAGATGTCTCCATGACCCATTCGTTCACCGGGAGCAACATTCCGGAGTGCTTGTAGTCTCTCATTCGCAAAGTTTGACTCCAGGATATGCGCCTTCTCCACTAGCTTATCAACAAGCTTTCCGTGTGAGTCCTTGAACGTCCTCTTGACAAAGCTCATTAGAAGTGCTGAGCAAGTCATCTTAACGTCTTCCCGAATGTACAGTCCGTGTCTTGGTGTCTTGAGTCCAGGCTCAGCTGGAGGCTTTGGCTCGCCAGGTAATCTTCCTCCTACAGTCCACTTCCCTTGGATATCTAGACCGAGTGGCGCGTACACGTGTGTGTTAAGACCCTCGGCTGTGTCGGTGAAACAAGCGTGGTATGATACAGAACCTGTAGCTAGGCCGCCCGGTAGATATGAGACCTTGTCTAGATGATGTTAGCACTGCACTCAGGGGTTGTGAATGCACAATACTCACCCTTGATGGTATACCACATAGCCCAGTACTCGTCTGTTGGCGCATAGCTTGGTGGCCTGCATTTGAACCGTTCCACGACCAGTGGGTTCAGGTCGATCATGGCGAGATGATCGCGGTACATATCAAGCACACTCTTCCTTGTGATGCCAGCCGGCAACGGCGTAATAGTGGTGAAGACAGCAGTCTTCGGCATGATCGCAACCTCTGGTGAAGTGACTCGTGTAGGTAGATCTTCTCTGGATTGATGTTTCAAGGAATCGCCTGTGGATGCGATCAATGTTTAACGCGCGCGTGAAGCTGGAGAAGTGGGAAGAAAGAATGTTTGGATGGCAAAGCAGCGAGAGAAGATGTACTTGTTTCGCAGGCCATAAGAGGAAGATCCAGCCATGAGTGCTGACACGCATCGCACACGTATCAGGCGTGCGCTCGAGCGTAGCTTCGAAAAGCCCCTGCATCCAGATTCGCGGAAGGTTTGGGAACGACAGCACCCCGCCAAGCACCCCGCCAACAAGTCGAGAACGGCAACATTGCCGTTCTGGTCATGCCATTGAAATTGCTTCCCTTGCCATGGTTGCTATATTCAGTCGGATAGCGTCTGGCCGATTTGTTTCTATGCGGGTCTCCGGGAGACAGAGTACGCTCATACTGGCATCGTCGTAGAAAACGCGTTGCCGAGAACCGAGAAATGCGAGTAGAATGCTGTCAGATGGTGTCAGCCGAGATGGAAATGCACATGTTCTGTGACGAGCATCAGTGGCGTGGTGTTGCAGGTGTCAAGATCCTGGAGCAGATCCGCCGCAAGTATGTTAGACGCTAGCGTCCGCGCTAGGACGAATGTAGCAGTGTCAACGAACTATTGGACCCAAGAATGCATCATTCTTCACGGGCACAAGCCTGAACTACCACGAAGGAATTCTCGACGAGAGAAAGTTTGTACCGCTGGCTTCTCTCTTGCTCAATAGATACGAAAGGTATTGGCGCAATCATGTCGAACATCGCGGCCGAAGTCTGCCGTTCCAGGCATTTCACGTCTCTGTTGTGTTTCAGAACAGCTTCATCAGGCATACAACGCATCTTATAAGGCACCTCCAAAATCTCTTCCTCGGCAGCACTGCAACGTAGCCAAGCGTTTCGAAACAGGCCTAGAATTTGCGATTGACCATGCGAGATCGGAAGTCGACATCCTAGATCCTTATAATCAAGGCATGACATACGGGTTTTGACAAATGGACGGTTAATGACATTTGCCTGAACCCTGGAAAGGCAACCAGAGGCTATCTCACAGCTGCCGAGACACAACATCTTGAATGCCGATGTTCTGCCTGCCGTTATCGGTAAGATGTCTGTTCTTGGTTGTCTCTGGACGAACAGGGGCGATCGGAAAACCAGCAAGAGATAGGCTTGACTGTACCATTTACTAGTAAAAGCTGATTCGATCATATCGCTGAACCTGCTGTAATTGAAACGAGCATCTGCAGAAACAATCGCCAACAGCACAACCCAAGTTTTTTTTTATCTTCGGTAGTTCTTATCCCAGAGTACCCAGGTTATCTTTCCAAACGACTGGTCGCGGCATATCACAAAGCCTACGGGCTGCTGTACACGTCTTAGCGTTCAAAAGAAGAAGAAGTTGCATTATGACTAAACCATTGCTCAAACCAAAGCAGGATATCTAACACCGCGCGCCGCAATCATACCTGATGATCGCTATTCATATACTGTCGTACTAAGCCCTCAATCGATATATACCGTCATGACAAACGCCTCCGACATGCCCCCTCTCTCTATACACCCTGGTGCATATCTACCTCTTTATTCTTTGGCGCCTTGTTTCCAAAGCTCATACTACCATTCCTCCCCTTGACAACGCTGATAGCGCCAAAGACGAAAGTAACAGCCCATGCCAGCCACGAAAGTGCACTGATAGCTGTACTTGCGCGGGCTACGTCACATACCTGAGTATCCCACGTCAGTGAACGGTCCATGCATTCGGTACGTACCGAAAAAAAAAGACAAAAAGAAAGAAAATGTGTATAAGAATGAACAAACTTACCATGCCAAAGCATATCCTCCCACTCAAAAACACAGCCAACGCGACGAACCCACTAAACCAAAACAACATTGTCAAACCTTCCAGTCCAAGTAGCGCCCACTTCACACTCGCTTTGTCCCTTAAACTCTCGAACTTTGGTACGAGTTGGAGGAGGAGTAAGGGGACGAGGGAGAGGAGAGACCAGGAGGGCGCGAAGATGAGGTAGTTTATTTCACTGGGGGAGGATTGGCGCCAGTGTGTTGACCACCATGATGATACTGAGAGAGGGAAGTCAGATGGATGTAAGGTGGCGGGAAAAGAAAAAGGGGAAAGGACGTACCATATGCCATCAATCCGAGGACGACGACGGATAGGACGAATTGCACAGCGCGCACGGGGAGGACCCAGTTGATTGCCATTTTTGCTGTGTTGTACGGTTCTTGTCTTTCCCAATATACTCTTTCTGCTTATCTGACTTTTCTCCCTGGCGTCCGATGATGGGAGCGAGGTGTGCGATATGGAGAAAGCGTGGTCCAATGTTGTCTAGCAATCACAGTTGCGCTCTGTATATCCCTTCGTCCTCGTAGCGTTTCGTCTCGAAAGGGGAAAATAATTGCGACAACCAGGTCTCTTTGGCGTATATTCGTGAAATAATGGTCAAAAAATGAGCGTCAAGAAATGGAACCCAGGAGCCAAGGAAGAAAAGAAGGAAGGAACTGAGGACACGAAAGGGAAGAAGTCCAAGGTGGGAAAAAAAGGGAAGAAACACAATCAAACTCGAAGTAAAGAAGGCACAACACTCATCAAACCATGCCAGGCATCCATCTATTTTCAATTATAACGCCTCAGTACAACGTAAGTAGCAATGCCACCATCTGTTCGCCCAAATAAAGCCATGCAAAGAAATCCTCTCTTTGACACTTTGCTCGCCGCACAATGCGCAATCAACGGAACCACCAGCTCCCAGCCGCGACACGACTGTTAAATTGGCCTAAACTTTATGCGGAACAGCAACTCGAGATCCTGAGTGGTTGCCAGACCACGTTTCGGATTCGCAAAGTGGATGCGGGTAGCGAATCTGCGACGTTTTATGCGACGACCCTGGTTCCCGTGATCGCGGGGATGTCTCATCGCCATCATTGCCATCACATCACTGGTTTGACAGAAAAAAGCCGACACCTGCTTGGGTAGAGTCTAGCGCAGGTGTCGGTTTTTTCCTGTCAACTCGGTAATATGGCCTTGCAATCCTGTAATTACTTTCACCCTGGCTGGGAACGCATAGTCGCTCGCGTACAGAGAACTACAAAGCTGCATCGGCATTTGAAATGATTGCATCGTTTATACACTGGGTAAGAACATGGGCAACCGCGGGGTATTGCTGCTTGGATACCAAGAACAGGCAGGGGACGGCGCAGTAAAACAGTTCAGTACCAAGTATATATCACTCCATTACTCCATTAACTCTTCAACTATATCCTCCATCGCAATAATATCGTACACACTGTCGCTTTACTCCCTAGAGTCTGGAAATAGGTCATGAGAAAATGACGTCTCTCGCATGCTCATTCATCTCCCAACCACCTCACCCGCAAACCCAGCGCTTCATCGTACGAACTTTTGACGAACAATCAGAATGAGCATTCCAGCATCACTAGACCGTTCTGACAAAACTTCTCAGAGTTCTTCGCCGAAAGGTAAAGAGTGGGTATCAGGAAGGGAAAGAATCTATGTGTACATCGAAAAAAAAAGCAGTAAAACAAAAGGCAAATGAAGGGAAAGTATAAGGGAATTTTGCAAGGACACAGGCCTTGTGACGGCAGGTAGTGTCCTCCATCTCATAGACCGTGACCATGACACTCCAAGTAAGTGCAATTAAGACCTGTCCATCAGTCGTCAAAGCAACGAGGTCAGAATCAAGGCATTCTCAGCTCATGACCAACCATCGTCGCTATCCGGAAAAGGTATGGCCAGCTAGCCAGGTCATCTCAATCTTTCAACCACGGGGGCTGAAAGGAGCAGCAGCCCTGGTCATCTCATTGCACTTGTTGACGAGCTGAGAGATAGCCCTCAAAAGCGGGCTACCTGGCGTACTCTCGTTGAGCTGAATATAAGCAGCAGTAAGACGCTGAATGACAACATCCATGATCTTGGGAATAATATCACGGATCTCGGCGTCCTGTAAAAGTTCATCAGTATCTGGAGCAACAACATGACGATTGGGGGGCAGTAGACTTACATTAGGATTAACACTCTGGAAGACAGCATTAAGCCAGACAAGGCGCTCGGTAAGGTTACGGTTCAGCGACTCAGACACCACTGCACCAGTAGACAAGGCTAGCAGCGGGGAAACCTGGCGGAGGTAGGCGGGGTCGCAGCGGACAAAGACAGTGTCGAAAAGTGCGGCGCTGCGGGGGGATTGCAGCCACTGCATGGTACCTTGTTCGTAGTTGCCTTCGGATATGAGACGCGTAATGGACTCAATCTCAAGCTCCTCTTCCGTCTTCTGACGGGGTGGGGAGCGCGTGGCAGCGGCGGATGAAGCTTCTCCTCCACGTTGAGGCGCAGGGACTTGGCGTGCTTCGAGGAGCTTAGCAACCTGGGACTGGAGTTCGGTCTGGGTGGCGGCCATGGTCTGGATGGTCTCTAGGCATGTGTGCACGGTTTCAGTCAGCGCGGCGATCTTGGCGGCGTCTTCACGGCGCTGAGCATGAGCTTGTCGGAGCTCCGCGCCAATCTGTCGCTCGATGATGTTTGTCAAGTTCGATATGGCCGGGTTGACAACCGTGGCAACGGAAGCAGCGATCATGGGCTCGAAGTTTCCGCTGATCTTCTTGGCGACCTGGTCAGAGAGTGACTGGAACACTTGGGGTTGCTTGAAGGCACGAGCGACTGCATCAGGAACTTCCTTGGACAACTGCTGCGCCAAAACGGATTTGAGGTTGGTGCTCAGACCCTGTTCAAGAGTGGCAGTAGTCTTTGCTAATACCTGAGGGAGTACGACGTTGCTAATGTTATCTTCAACCATCTTCCCAATCACGCCTTCAACATTCTCGTTGAGCGTGCTAGACACCATGCGTAGAACAGCCTGCTGGTTGGCGGCGTTTGTTGCGTTCAAGACGCGCTTGTCTTCGTCAAAGCGCTTGTACATGACGTCTAGCTCACGAGAGAAGCCCTTGGAGATCTCAGCCTGTACGATTTCCTCAAGCTTCTTGGTATCAAACTCTGCAGAAGCTGCAGAGGCGGGTGCAGCGTTTGGCTGCTGAAAGTGCTTGTTGATGAGCTGCTTGGCCCACTCGGGCGCTTCGGTGGTGTCGATAGGCTTAGACTTGGCGCTCTCCTGCACGACAGGCGCCTCAGGTGGTGCCGGAGACTTGGATTGCGGGGTTGCCTGAGCAGCTTGCGCATATGACGGGGGCATGGCCGGGGGCGCACGGGTAGAAGCAGTAGTAGAAGCCACGGCGGATGGTGCTGCTGAGACTTGAGAAGCTGTCTCAGTGGCGGCAGAGCGCTTCTTCTTCTTCTTTTCAGACTTCTCACCACCATTGATGATAGCTGCACGAGCTGCATCCTGCTTACTCTCGACCTTTGCAAGGGTAGATGCACGCATAGCAGCTTCGGGATTGACGGATGGCTTCGAGACGTTGCTGTTCTCCCTCTTCAGAGGCTCTCGAGCAGCAGATCGATCAGACACCGACTTGGGTGCAGTGTTGTCGCCAGCAGTAGAGGATTCGTCTGTGACAGGCTGCGGTGGCTTGAGCTGCGAGATGGTAATCACACCCTCCTCCTCAGCCTCCTTGGGGTGCATGGGCTCACCCTCCTTCTTCCAGCCAAGGTCGCTTCGGCGGATGCGCAAGACACAGACACCCTTGGAATGCATGACGTACAATTCGAAGAGAGCAGCATTGTCAGGGTCATCGACATCAGAAGGTCCAGCGGGCTCGTTTAGCATGTGTAGGCTCCTGATCTGCCCCTTGGAAGCGAAAGAATACTCCGTGATGCTAGTCATGATAGCAGTAGCGTTGACTGGAGGCAAAGGGTTCTGGCCCCTGTCGCCCTTGTTGGCCAAACGGGAGATGTAGGCAGCCTGGCTCAGGGCAGGGAGGTTGTACCTCGGGCAAGAGACATGGACGAAGAAGATCGAGTTTCTAGTGGGATGGGCGACAGCCATGATACCAGTCCGGGGATGGAACGATACGCTGCAGATGGCGTCCGATTCGTTCTCGTGGGGTAGGTGAATCTCTTGTACAGCCTTGTTGAGACCAAGATCCCAGAGCTGGAATGCATGGTTCTGCTTCATACCGACCATGACATATCGCAGCGCAATACCCTTAGTATACGGCTTGTCTTTGTCAAAGAAGAACACCGAAGTGGGCCATGACTTGGCATTGGGTGTAGTAGTGTGGAACTCTAGCAGGGTCTCGGAGACCTCGACCTGGCGGGGCGGGCTACGAGGGTTGCCCAGGTCAGGCTCGGTGAGAGCGCGGATGTCCCAAAAGCGCATGCGGCCAGCTTTGTCGAGTGACACGATGATCGTATCGTCTTCGCTGAAAGTGAAGTCTTTGCCAGCCTTGCCAGTGAGGATCTTGAGAGAGCGCTCCTTGAGGTACTTCTCGGTGTGGCAGATGCGGCTCTTACTACGAGCATATTCGGCGGCAACCTTGGGGAAGACGATGTGAATGGACTTGCCCCTACCGACAGCAAAGAACTCTGGGTGGCGCGAAGATGGCTTCGCGCGAGTCTTTAGCTGGCCTCCAGATGTGTTATCATCTTGAGATGGCGATGGGGGAAGCATCAAACCCTGAGAGTCGAGGTTCTCGCCAAACTGATCTTCACGAGCAGGGTCGAGAGAAGTCCAGAAGACGGTGCCATTGACGCCGATTCCAAGGATGCTTTCGAGGGGTTCTTGGGAATCGCCTGCCGAAGTGCAAAGGGCGATGTTGAAGATGCGTTCTTGGTGATTCTCGAAGACCTGGCGGTAGTGACCGTTCTCCTGGCGGATAATACGGAAACCACCCTTCTTGACGAGCGCGTAGACGATGAAATTTCTACCAGCAGAAACAAGGGAGCGGTCAATCTGGTCGAAGTCCTTCTTCAGGCGAGCAATGTCCATGAAGAGCTCGTTGGCGAAGTAGAGACGGCGGGGCGGCATCTGGTTGACCTGAATCGAGGCAAAGGCGCGCATAGGGAACCTGTAGACTATTACCGTCTGGTCCTCTCCCTTGGCGAGACTCTCCTCAGCTTCAGCGGTCTCCCAGTCTTCGGCAACATTATCTTGTGCAATCTCAGTGGCGACCTCCTTCAAAGCAGCTGCAATAGGCTTGGGCATGCTAGCCTCAATCTCCTTGGCTGTGCTTGGGTCGGCAAACTCGTCCTTGATCTCGGTTGCAATCTCAGTCATAGTCTCCTGGACTTGTGCAACTTCCTCGGGCATGGGGAGAGCAGCCTCAGCTTCGGCTTCGGCGAGCGCATCCTCGATCTGCTGGCCGACGTGCTCGCCCAATTCGCTCACGGCCTCAGCCACAGTTTCGTGTGTTTGGGCGGGAGCGTCGTCGTGGGGAGCAGGTGAAGAAGGCTCGGGTGCGTTTTTCTTGAGGATCTCCATCTTCGGGGGAGGAGGCTTGGAGCCTTGCTGGGTGGGGGTACGATTGCGGGGACTGGCAGCTTCGAGCGTGTCGAAGGGATTGACGTAGGTGAATTTGGGAGCGAGGGGAGCTGCATCGGCAAGCCCCGGTGTATGTACAGCGGGGTCGGAAGATACACGCTCTTGCTCAGCGTCTGCGAGGTCCTGCGCGAGGTCGTCCACAACCGTCTCAGGCTTGTGGGATGCGACTGGCGGAGAACGCACAGCGGAGGCAGCCCGAGATGAGCGCACGCTGCCGCTAGACTGGGCTGGCTTGGGGTGGTTCAGCAGGCGCAGAAGAAGATCCTGCGGGTTCTGCTGAGGCGACGACTGCGCTGGGGCGGGAGCGCCCTGGGAAGGCGTCCTGGTACCCATGACACTTGCCAGGTTCAGGTCAGGCGCCTGCGACTGCTGCGAGACGCGTCTGGACTGCCCGGAACCGCCCTGCGAATTGAAGCGGAGAAGGTTGAGAAGGTTTGTGGACTGCTGTTGCGGCGTCTGCTGCGACACGTGCTCGGGCGCGGGCGTGTTGGCCATGGATGAGTTGGGCGACATGATGGCAGACTGGTGGTGCGGCTGCGGGCCACCTGGCTGGGGGGAGAAGAGAGGCGAGGAGACAGAGGGCTGTTGATAACCCTGTTGCTGCTGCTGGTTGTTGCCGGACGCGCCACCGTTGAGGCGGGCAAACAGCTCCTGCAGGTCCGCCATGATGAGGGAGGCTAGGGCAGATCTGCGTCAGCGTTAGTGAAGTGAGAGACGCGATTTCACCGCTGCCGTCGATGGCACAGTGACGCCATGGGCGACGTACTTTACTCAGACCCAAAATTCAAGTGCGTGGCCGAAGCCCAGGTGGTGAAAGCGCGAAGCTGTAGTAGGCGAACAGAAATTATCACGAAGAGAAGAGCTGACGAGCAGACTGGAAATGAGGGCGACGGGCTGCGGTGATGCGCAGATGTCAATTGGCGATGCAAGAGGAAGGGCGACAGCTCGACATGATATCAGTTGGCGTCGGGAACAAGCTAGGCTAGCGCGGTTGGCAGTGGAGAATCGCTGACACCCACACATCATGACTTGACCCATGGCCATGTCGCCACGTCTATCACCTCAACAAGACAACATGAGCTGTTCAGATGCCATGACTTGCATGCAATCTATCTTTCCGCACTGCTCGTGTCCTCGTCAGATTGGACTGATTTCTCACTATTTGTGCCGGAAGAAGGTTACTAGTTATAGAGAGTCTCGAGTCGGTGTTGCGCTGCAAGTTCGAACGCCAACCAATACTCTAAAGTACCCATGTACATGAACATCATGCCAAAATCTTACCCCACGGATAGGTTATTATAAAGGCATGACCGCAAGTCTCCAGGGCGGTTTTCCATGCTCTACTTACCTGTCGCTTGGGTCCTTAAACCCAAGCGGCCGCATCAGTGAGTACCCGTACAGAGTACTGACCACATATCGACAATCAACCAAACAAAGTTTTCCGTTCTTGAACTTGCCCCTTCGCCTGAGCTCAGCCAACGTGTAACAGATTATGTCAACACTGGGTTCCACGGCGTCTGGACCGTGATTTCCGACAACACCTCCTTTTACCATTGCGATCGAATCTGGATCCATCAAATGGGGACCGCTTTTGTCGAGGACAACGGCGGGAAGAATCATGTATTTCCAGACCTGCGCGAATGTGAAGGGCAGGTTGTAGGTCTCCCAAATTTCATTACCTTTCCCAGCTTCGGCGTGCTCCACCTTCTTATAAACGGCTCGAAAGTGGAGCCCGAACAGCGAGGGCATAAATCCCAAGCCAAACTTGGTGCCCTTAATTCGGAACACTATGTGTTTGTGTGGGAGTTCTGATGGGAGAATGGCGTTATAGGACTGAGTAATGAACTCCGCATGCGAAACCGAAATACCGGAAGCAATCGAAACCATGTAGTTCTGTACTCTGTGGATATAGTCGATGGCTAGCTATTCCATGGGGGAGGGAAGCTCGCGAGTGATGTCTCCAGATACTGAGGACATGTATTCCTGAAGCTCAACTCGACGCACGTCTAATACATCTTGTAGGATTGTAGCGAATGACAAAACGTTCGAGGGCTCGAAATGAGCAATCAACGCAAAGAACAACGCTGACGGACTAAGGCCGTAGTCCACGAGCCTACTCTCCATCCCCATGCAATCCGAAGCCATCGACAACAGCGCAAAGACCCGATCAAGACGATTGGAGCACTCAGAATTGGCATATCTGTGTAACAATTGTTCCAGTGTCTCACGTTCCCCGTTTCTGTTGGTAGTCCTGTGCAAATATATCCTGGAAATGTAGTCGTCGTAACCATAAACCTCGTCTATGGTTAATATACTTGCGAACCAGAAAAAGGATTCCGTCGCGTGAGACCTAGATCCGCAGTAAATGGTGATGTCCTGGGCGAGGATGAGTTCTTGCTTGATCCAGGCGCGGCGCCAGTACGGTCGTTTGTTCAGGAAGACTACAGCACGTTTCCCTGTCTCCTCAATTCTCTTCTTTTCGTCTCCCTCGGCGGTCCCTAAGCGCTCTAAGTAGTCGAAGTATGCATCACTATCATCCGCCGCTGGACCCAGCCAGGCCAGGACGCATTTCGCGTTTCGATAAATATCACCCATCATGGCAACTTGATGGTTTCGCTCTGAAGTCACTCCTTGGTTGATGCAAATAGCATCAATCCAGATTGTAACCGCTTCATCACTCCTTCGGATGGCATTGAGCGCGTGCATAAGGCTGGGCTGAACATGATATGGTTTTCCATTCAAACGAATCCAGCGCTGTTCTGTCGCACTACCCCAGGTGTATGACAGCGCATTGTAGCAGTCAGTCTGAGCGGAAATGGTTTCGTGGGTGAGCTCGCAGTGTATTGGAGTGTCCCCGACGCCAGAGAGGAGCCTGCAAAGACGGAAAGAGTCATGAGAATGATCGAGAGGTTCGTAGCGGAAGAAGGGTTGCACCTTGAAGCCCATGATGGCATAGAAAGTGTGTACGGATTGAACAAAAGATTGATATCTGACTTTGAGCTCACAAGGCTGGCTTTCAAGTGATGCCTGGCACCACAGCCACAGCCACAACCACAGCCACAAAATTGAAACCTCGTTCACTAAAACAATAGTCATGTTACACAGATACCCCACTCCATGCTTGACGTGACCTTGTAAATCAACGCTCATCTCTCAAGAAGGATAAAAATAATAATAAAAAAAACTATTGTACAAACAGAAGATGCTTTGTCGAAGCCGACTCATCTACCTAGGGCAATCACCAAAACCCGACTGGCATCCCAACGCCTTCATACAGTACAACAAACTCGACCCACAGGTTCCGGATCGACTGCAGCAGTTACCAAACGCCGAACCTTTGCACGTCGACTTGCTGCTCGCGCCACACCTACGATCTGTGCTAACCTTCAGCTTGGCTGCCGATGACGTAGCCGCTGGGGCGGAGGAAGTGCGTGTGCTGCTGCTTGTTCCCGCGCGAGTGCTGGTCGAGGTAGAAGTAGTGACAGGACGGGTGGATGTGCTGAGGCTAGTGGGGCGTGTTGTTGAGCTCGTCGCCGCAGTAGAGGGAGCGGCGGAGGAAAGTACAGGTGCCGCACTCGACACCGCGGGGGCAGAAGACGAACCAGAGCCGGGGCATTTGCCAAACAGAGGGTTGCATCCCGTTCCACAGTGGTCAGCACTGGTGCCGCACCATCCATACTGCGAACAACACTCTCCCTCCGCGAATCCAGCGCAGGTGAAGCCCTTGGCCGCGCCACAGGATCCGTCACTTGAGACTACGAGGCCGCTGGGCGCAGAAGTGGGAGCTGATGCAGATGAAGATGTGCGAGTACCCGTAGATGCAGCGGCAGATCCAGAGGACGGGGCACCTAAGCGGTGGATGTACGGAGTCAGATTATCATCTCACATACAGTTTCCAAGAGACAGTACTAACCTGAAGAAGCAGAGGCAGAGTTGCCGCACTTGCCAAACCCAGCCTGGCAGCCAGTTCCACAGTGGCCGTCCGTGTTACCGCAGTATCCGTATTGGGAGCAGCATTCGCCTTGGGCGAAACCTTTGTTGTCGGTGTCAGTCGAGGCATTCCTGTCACCATCATTTGCGGTTCTTACCAAGACAGGTTAAGCCAGATGTACCTCCGCAAGTGCTATCTGTGGAGACAGCCGTGGGAGTGGCAGCAGATCCACTGGATGTAGCACTGCCGGCACCAGATGATGTTGCTGTCGATCCAGGTGCTGAGAAGGAAGACGAGGACGCTACACGGCCGGTCGCAGCACTTCGGTACCAGTTTGCTTCTGGTTCACCGAGACACTCACCTAGAGTGACTAGCTTGTAGCCCTTTGCCTGCATCGTTTGAATCATATAGCCAGTCAGGTTCTGGGCTGTCTGCTGGTGAATGTCATGGGCGATGGCTTGGAAAGCGTCGACTTGGGGGTTGCTGGGGTTGATAGCGTTGAACACCCTGTCTTTGGCGTTTTGGATCTTGTCCGGGGTGACGTTGTTGTAGTCGTCGGTGTCCAAGTCGAAGTACGAGACAACGTATCCTAGATCCGCGAGATCTTGCTGACAGCCTGATGCGGCCGTGCAAGAGGAGTAAGGTGGGCGCATGTAGGTGGGGAATTTACCCATGATGTTGGCAAATGCCATCTAAGATCTCGACTTAGTATCACGCTTTGGAATGCTTCGGCTGGGCCGTCATACCTCGTTCCTAACCATTTGATCGTAGCGTTGTTCCTTGGTGATCGCACTGAGATCTTGATGCGACCAAGTATGACTTGCCACTTGATGTCCTTCGGCAATCATACGCTGGATGGTAGCAGACCATGGCAGGCTCGCATCGTCAATCGCGCCCTTGCCAATATTGATTCCAGTGATGAAGAAAGTCGCCTTTGCATTAGCAGCCTTGAACTGATCCAATACACCTTCAGTGTAGACATAAGGACCATCATCGTACGTGATGGCAATCGTGTTCGGCTGAGTGCAGTCGTAGATACCCTCTCCACCATAGGGTTGGTTGCCAAGCTTAGGACGAGCAATGTTACGAGTGCTTCCTCCAGCTGGAACCCGATTGGCATCGCAGGCTGGGCCATATTGGAACTGGCAGTCTGGTGCCTGGCAATAATCATCTGGACAAAATCAGCATCTTTCTTTCGAGGCAGTTGTACGCGAACGACTTACTTCCTTGACCACAGTAACCTGCTACAGAGCAACAATATCCCTCAGCACAGCTAGCACCGCCATTGCTCGGTCCGCATCGACCATCAGCACCACCTTGACGAGCTGTCAAACGATGCTCGGGTCCTGCGACGTGCGCATGTGCCGCATGTCCACTCAGAATGTTCCTGGCCCTGAGTTTTCCAGCATCCCTCCGTCCCAAGCCAACGATCTTCGGGACAGGGAAGTCGCTGTGAGCAGCCACAAGAGGTGCGATCAGGCCCGCAGCACAAAGTCCGGAGAAACGCATTATGATAATTCAGTATGAACGAGTGTGTGAAACGAGTGTATGATCAAAAAAGGTTGATCGACCAAAATTAAGTCTGATATCGGTAAAGACGACGACTGCAAACGAGTGAACAGACCGCCCTTTTCACCGCACAAAATGGAAAAAGATAGACCAAGAAGAAGAAACGAAAGGCATGGGTGCTAAGGCATATAAGAGGCGACGACTAATCGCATGCCCAGACATTGGAAAACAATCAGAGAGACGCCCACTGTGCTTGGCCATGGCCGGGTCAGCCGCCGCGCGTGTCAGAGTTGGTCGAGGCTGACACTGAGACTGAGATACAGGAGGCAGCCGGCTAGCGTAGAGTTAGCAATGTATGGCATCCTTGGGAATTGCGGTGTAAGCGCTTGAGCAGTTCATCGCAGCGAGGTTCTTAATAGAGTTCCCAAAGATACTTGCGCGCATTCAGACATCTTCATGTTCTTTTGTTGTCGAAATCCGAACAGAACCTCCGCTAGCAACTCACGTCGTGACGAAGAAGCATCTTCTTAAGCTCGGTGGCTTTGTGGCGGTCATCAGCCAAGACACGCCCCTGGATCGTTTCCAAATCGGGTGTGTAGATCTGCATTAGCGCCCGAGATTCGCGTAGAAAGATCCGTGGTCCTAAGTTTGGGGTCCGGTCCAGATTCCGACCCTTTTTACTCCAGACTCTTTAAATAGCCCAGCGAGCTGGCAGAACGCACTCAGGTATGCGGCTCCGCACTTGAAGCTATATCCTTCGTTGGATTACACGATACATGGGATATCGCGGCCGGCTTTATCACCGCTTCGACTATTGGCGCTGTCATAGATGCGGCGATAAAGCTGACAGGTGCGGTGTAATATGTTCTTGGCATGTTGCAGCCGGTAAAGACTTCGGCGCCGCTGTCTCGAGACCCGAACGTTGGGCTCAAGTGTACTGATGTATGGGAACCCACGGTTTACCACCTAGAGCATGCCATTCGAATTGTTTTTCACGGGATCCGCGGAAGCACGAAACATAGCGGCATCAGGCGCCGGGATCCATGGTTCGTTGGGTCGAAGTCTGTCGTGTTGTACAAACGGTCATCAAGGTCGGGACAGATGTTGCGCAAGGTGCGTCACTTCCGCAGTCGTAATGTCATTGCGCAATCACAGACGCAGTGGCCGAGTGTGCCGCGAGGTAGTCGCATCTTGGGGAAATGAAATCATCTCTTTCTTTCGCCTTGGATTATTGATCAACATCATTCCTCTCGCTACGGTTCAGGACTTCCGTTGCACCAGATCAGATGGCACGAACAAGGACACCAGAGGACCTCGCGTACTCACATCTGCGAGAACTCCAGTCTACGAAATGCATATTAGCAGCGATTACATAAGTAACTTTGTATACGAGGATCTTGAGCCTGCATGTACTTCTTCATGTTTAATCGTCGTTTGTACCAAGAACCCAACGGTCTTGTCTACCAGGACACGGTTATCAAGCCTTCCTGTCAACTGCAGGGACAGGGAAAGAAGGGTGGCGCTGTGTTCTTTCGACAATCTTCCAGCTTTCTCTTTATAAAAAGGTCCGGCGGCTCATAGTATTGTTGAGGTAGATGACTTATATATCAATCATTAGCGTTATGCTACTACTGCCCTCGTTGACTTGGAGGCAGTTGGTAGTTTCAAGGTCACCTTGCAAACGAATTTCGTATTGACTGCTTGCTGTTCATTTAACTCGTACACTGCTTGTTAGAGTACATCTGTATTAGTCGAAGATGCAGTTCATTAAAGACATAGTATCTTCGCAGCCGAGTTACTGCAGCGACTGTTATTGCGATCGATACTCTAGGCTGTTGTAGATTAGTGGTGGGCTGGACAGCAAAAGACATAAAAGGAGATGAAGCAGGTGGAATGCGTTGTCTAATTCTGGTGATGGAACGAAGACGCAGCATACCTAAGATGGTTGATCCTGACGACTTGTAAAGGTACAGTAGGCAGACTACCAGGTAATACATTATGTTGTATTCTATGGAGACTTGAACTAGTCTAACTGTGGATAGCCTATCATATATGCCGTGTATCTCGAGGATATTAGTAATGATGGACGAGCGATTGGAGCTACCTTTGGAGGTCGAGAATTGGAACAGCTGGTGATACAAGAAACACACTTGGGCAGTTCATTGCTTGTGGCTCAGCAGCGCGACAGTAGTTATGGTGCTAAATCGGTAGGTTGTATACTGATACTCGCTCGCTACCCTTTGGGAATAGCAGCGTTCCGTGCGGTAGATGTTTCTAGCGGCATTATTATCCAGAAACACACTTTTGCTCAAAAGATATCTTTTCGGTTTATGTAAAATTTCCCGGCTGGTTTCGAGGAAGAGTACTTGGGAGTGTGCATAGTATACATCTGATGCATTTTGTTAAGTCAGTATTCTCTGCCTCTAACGAGCTCTCTAGTATCTGTTGAGTTTCTGGGTGGTGTACGCTACAAAAACGATGTGAACGGAGCTGCAAAAAGTTCGCAACTGAACCATAACGCAGAGCAGCACAACACAACGATAACCCCAACGTCAATGCCGGCAAAAAGATGGACTTGCAGGGAATCGAACCCTGGACCACTCCCAAGCTGATCCTGTGCGTTGTAACGCTCAGGAACTGATGCTAAGGGAGTATTATACCACTAAACCACAAGCCCGATTTTTGATGGAGTTTCGGCAGCTTGGTTATCTCATAATCTCGATTTTGTCAGAGATTTCGACAATCTTCACCGCAAACAGCGTTCTCGTGCGTCCTTAGGCTGGACTAAACTGACTTTTAGTGTGGAGAACAGCATTGTTCCAGACCATCAACCACCTGTCCGAGGTTTCAGGGTCTCCTGCATGATCACTAACATGCCTTTGTAAGCTCCTTCTGAGAGCAATGCTTCATGCATATGTCTACCTAACCTATGAGAATGCTTGGTATACTGACGTACAAGAATCGCTTCTGTGACGCCATCTCATCTGGATCTTGAGTCGGCATCGCCCACAGTACCAGATCTCTCGATCTAACTCATGCCACCTGTTCATGCCCAGACATAGAAAATTACATGCAGCCACGTGTGCGATCGTTCGGTTGCGCACTCCTTCCACGCCAGGTTAGCTGCAGATGTTAGTCGGAGATCAGGGCTGCATGAGGCCTGTCAAGCGACAATTCCCCTTCCAATGACGTCTCTGCATACCATTCAAAGTACTCCCAATCACACATGGATCCAAAGCTCACCACACCGTAACCACGGCGTGAGGGGCAGAATGTTCCGGACCCTCAGTGTACACACACCCCATAGCAAACTCGTCCCTTACTATCCTACAGAGCGACCCACACTTTGGAAGGAATCAACGGTGAAGCTAGACCGTATTTCGCTTAGACTAGCGCAAGCACAACCCCCGAACTGAAAATATCAGTTTGTGCCCCTCGCTCTCTCTCCAACGATTTCAAACCCCTCAGCTTCCGATATATCAATCAATTGGTGGTGTGCGACTTCGAGCGACTCTTTGCATACCTGTTCAGAAGACAACAATCTTCTAACGTCACTCCCTTGGACATTTGATACTTCGGTAAGAGCGAACTCATGGTGTTTGCGCTTATATCATGTCTAACATAACCAGGTCTCTTCCCCAAAACTCTACCAAAATGGACTCTTACCAAGCACCTGCTGCTGGCGCCGGTGGCCGTGGCTGCTACAACTGTGAGTTGATACCATGCCTACCATGCCGCGACATTTCACTAACAAGACTTAGGCGGAGACTCGTCTCACCGCGCTGCCGAGTGCCCCACCAAGGGTACCCCAACTTGCTACAACTGTGGTGAGAAGGGCCACGTTAGCCGTGAATGCACTTCTCCCCAGGCTGAGAAGACGTGCTACCGCTGCGGTGGCACCGGCCACATCTCGCGCGAGTGCACCAAGGACGGCGGTGCCCAGATGGGTGGCCGTGGCGGCGGCAGCCAAGAGTGCTACAAGTGTGGTCAGGTCGGTCACATTGCCCGCAACTGCTCCCAGGGTGGCGGCTACGGCGGTGCTGCTGGTGGATACGGTGGCGGCCGTGGAGGCTACGGTGGCGGTGCCGGTGGCTACGGAGGCGCTCGCCAGACCACCTGCTACTCGTGCGGTGGTTTCGGTCACATGAGCCGTGACTGCACCCAGGGCCAGAAGTGCTACAACTGTGAGTATATATTCCACACACACCTAGTAGGATGACGACTAACCCTTTCAGGCGGTGAGGTCGGCCATCTGTCGCGCGACTGCCCCCAGGAGACTTCATCTGAGCGTGTGTGCTACCGCTGCAAGCAGCCCGGCCACGTCCAGAGCGCCTGCCCCAACTAGGGTGTTCCAGATGCCGTCGATGTTTTGATCTGGAACGAGTTTCGATGCACCGAAGCGCTTCGTTGTAAAGCGATGTCGGTCCTTGCGCCCACGATGTGACGAATCATCGACATGATTACGATTTCTTTTCTTGTATATTTTCATTCAGCGGCTCGCTGCCGTTTTTCGACGCTTCACGAAAAGCACATCGTCGCCCGGGCATGATTGGACGGCCTTTTCCATTTTTTGGCTAGTGTGTTAACTGTCAAAGAGAGTTGGTTATCGGAAAAGTCTTGATCCAGGAAGAGCGTTTGGTGGGAGATACAATGTGGGTGGATGGGAGAGCGGATGCTTGATGCGAGCAATGAATGAAGCAGTTGCGTGGTCTGGACGGAGGACTGTGACTGCAGGAGAGCGAGGTGTTCTCAATTGGCGGATGACTGGCCTTGGGGTTTGCAAGTAGCAACTCGGGGCTGGCTGAGGTTGAATGAAGAAACCGGAAAAGTCCCCACGATTGGGTGGGCTCCTCAACTTTATACTGCGCCGTTTTCATGCACCGTGATGGACGTGCGCTAAACTAGTTTGTGTAGGCATGTGGGATGGTCCCATCATGTGCCATGCAGTACTCATGAGTGGTGATGATGCTGCTGCCACGGTTGCAGAAGGTAAAGCCCTTTGCACAAGGTAAAGCTCTGGATGAGTGAAGAGGAACGAATTTGAATTGAGTGCTACATCTCTAATACAAGTTATGTGTGATGGCTCTCGGGGAATTCGAGGGGAAGCGCCAAGACGCTGTGCCTGCTTCCCGCGCGTTCGTTTACCGTTTACATCCCGCCTGAACCCAAACAACTTATCGACAACGCCCTTGCGATTCGACCGCGACAAAACCGACGCGTCACCCACAACAACGCGCGCATACACTCGTTGCGAACGACAACTGCAGATATGGCGCCGACCAAGAAACGCGAAGCGCGCGAAAACAATTACTACAACGTTGGTGTGCAGGGAAGGTAGGCTGGATTCGTCCTGTTCAAAGTCGAGGCGTCGCGTAAACAGTAGTTAACATTGCGCAGGAAAACTGGCATCACACTCGAAGACAAAGGCATATACGACGAACATGGCCTCGAACCAGTCTCCGGCATCTTCTCGTCACCAGAGCGGTCCCCACCAAAGCGCGGAGAAGATGCGACAGGATCAGGGTCAATGGAAATACAAAACAGTTCCATGCCCGACCTCATGACATCCCACCAAATCCTGCGGAACAGCCGAACAAACCTCCCTCCGCCCCGATCGCGATCGCCCAAGAAGACAAACCTCGGTTCCTCGCCGCGAAGACAATCGTCCATGGCGTTGCGCAGCTCACTTCCCCCATCTAGCCCTGTGCGCGACTCTTCCCAACCGATTGCGCGACGCCTCGACTTTGAACAGGACGAATCCAGCCTACAGGAAACACCAGCGCTGAGCGGGTCTGGCGCGAGGCGTGGAGCGAAGCGATCCGACGTGTACGATATACCCGAAGACGAATCGCCGGCGCCAGACCCGAGTGCGGTTTTTGAAGAAAGCATACAGGAAGAGATTGCGAGCCAGTCGGCCGCACTGCCCGAGGAGAGTTTTATCGGACAAATAGGAGACGACAGCATGACGGACGACGAGCCAGTTGAGGAACAGGAGATTAACGAGGTTCAACAAGACTCTGAGGTTGTGTCAGAACCTCCGAAGGACAAGGCCAAGAGGGGCAGGAAACGGAAGAGCGATGTTGCGCAAGATTCAGAGGGGGAGCAGGAAGCAACAGAGCAGCCACGCAAACGGGGTCGCCCTACGAAAGAAGCTTCGGAATCACAGAAGAGCAAGAAGATTGCGCCTACACCAGCGACCGAGCGCCGACGGTCGCAGCGTGTGTCTGATATCAGCGAAATGGAGGCACCCATCGATGATTCTGTAGACCAATCTGAGCAGGTTGAGGAGCAAATTCAGGAGCCACTTATTGCACCGAAACGACGGGGGCGGCCACCCAAAGTACAACCAGATACTGAACAAGAAGAAAGCATCGTCGATGCGCCAGTTGAAGACCCAGTGGATCAATCCGAACAGATTGACGAAGTGCCTGCACCGAAAAAGCGAGGACGACCAGCCAAAGTACAACCAAATGGCGACAGAGCGTCAGCATCAGCATTGGCCAAACCAGCTAAGAGCGGCGCCCTAGCAGAGAAGTCTGATTCAGAATTTGCAAGACCTGAGAAACCCCGGGGTAGACCACCAAAAGCCAGTGCAGACTCCAGTAAATCAGCTCCAAAACCAAAGGAAAAGTCAAAAGAGAAGACTCCACAGGCGGAGAGCGAAGAAGCCGGCAAGCTAGTAGACGTCTACGGCAACCCTCTCAGTAAAAAAGACATCGATCAAATGTCTGCAACATCAGGCGGTTCGCGCTTCGGCCGCGGTCGTCACCTCTCCGTCTTCCGCGAAATGGATCCAGATAACGTTGCGAGAGTGGGTCGGACAGGTCGACACCGCGTGGCGCCCATTGATTTCTGGAAGAACGATCATATTAGTTATGAGCCGGACGGGAGTATGAGTAGTATCGTTAAGAGCCAGGCTGTTGAGGAGGAGAGGAGGGTGGGGAGGAAGGCGTATAAGACCAAAGGCAAGAAGAAAGTGACTGTAGAAGAAGAGGAGATCGAACTCGATCCCTGGGAGGAAGAAGGCACACTCGTTGGCAATTTTAGAGGATTCGATCCTGTTGGTGAGGTTGCGAGTGGTGAGATTGTCGAGGATGGTATGTTGACTTGTCTTTTCCTTTCCTATCTACGGCCTTTACATCCTCCTCCTAATTTACTAACTATATGTGCTTACAGCAATCGCGTGGACACAAAACGGTGTCCAACCCCGCGACGTAGGCGATGGCGGCTTCAAATACGCAAAAATTGGGTCCGTCGGCAACTTCTTCAACTGGGGGCTCATTGAACTGGGACCCGATCAGATGAAGCGGACCAAGAACTCAAGGTACATGCATATGATTTTCAATGTGCAGAGCGGGACGGTGGAGGTGAGAATGCATGAGAACGAATTTGTGGTGCATAAGATGGGGGTTTGGCAGGTGCCTAGAGGTATGTTTTGCGCTTTCTTTGTCTTTGCTTGTCTTCTTTAAAGTGTTTGGATGGCGATGAGATGAATGTCTCATTGCCGGTCTTTTTACGCGCACTCACTGCACTCCCTTTGCTTACATTCCCCTTTCTCCTCACTCTCTTTGTCCCCTCCAGTCTTTGTACGACAGCCGTTGCATTATGCTTGACGCCAGACGGTTACCAGTCGGGTGTTCGCATACTTGTATCCCCATCCCACCTCTCCTGCATCACAACTTCCGCATTGCGCTGTGTACTCCTGCGTTGGAACGTCGCACAACCTGAGGGCCAGGGCGAGGAACCAGGGCAAGCGAGTCTCACAGGCAACATCTGGAAGCGAACCCGATTCGCGTCACCCGCATATGACTTGCAGCATGTTGTGTAACACTTGACGCCCTGCGGCTTATGTCATGTTGCTGCTCAACAGATGGTGCACAATATTGTCGTTCGCTTCTGTTCTGGCGGTTACGGGCGCACACCCTCTTATTCGCCCTTTCCGCTTCCCCAGTATTTCTTTTTCGGCTTTTTATCCCCCCCTTCTTTCTATTTATCCTCAGCCAACCATGTATTACCGTTTATCGCGTGGCGCGTTTCCCTTGGCTTGAACTGGCTTTACGCGTTCTCATTGGTGCTTTTCGTCTTTAGCGAAGGGAATAGAGCACACGAAGCTAACACGCTATCACGACAGGCAATACATACTCCATCAAGAATATCGGCAGCGGGACGGCTCGCATCTTCTTCTCGCAGGCTAGGGAACTACACGTTGAGGAAGCAGAATAAGATACAAAGTTTAGCCTTTGCCGCCAAAGCCATTGTCGGAAATACAAACACCATTGCATACAGAGTCTGAGTAGTGGCGGTGTGGAATAAGCATCTAGCGGTCAACGTAAACATGCATGTGTTTTTACGGGCTTGATGCGAAAGGAAGACCTTGATGGTCACTCTTTCTGCTTCTTTTTTCCGGCATGTTCGCGCCTGCCCCGTCTAGACGATGGTGGCAGGTGGTGTTGGTTGACGTGTTCGCGCTGGCGCCACGGTGGAGACGGTGTGTGTGGGGCGCAGCAACTGGTGTGCATTCTTTGGAGCGTCTCCAAGGCGATCGTTTGTGTTTTAGCCCCAAAGTGGGAACATATGTACATGTCGGCCTTGCTTTCCTTGTTCGGCAGTGAGAGTCGTCGTGTTTCTTAGGCCCCGTTCATGTTCCGCGTGGCGCGCGTAACAGTGTTTGAAGCGGGTACGCTTGGAATTGGGTAACAAACGATGCGAGGGAAGCGGGTGAAGCGCGTTTGGCCCCGTTCCTGCTGGTGCAATACATGCAGATCATACGATAGCATAGCATGCAGGGTAAGTGGGAACAATCCGGGATGGTTTAGACGATATGATTATGGAATTGGATATGACATACATACATGTGTCTTTTCGATCTGCTGTAACGATGTAAATGCATGTGTATCCCGATTGGGATTGGGCTGCTTTTCTGCGTGGGAAGAATCATCAACTATCTTTGCATCATGTCTGCGTCTTGGTACTGCAGCTTTCCGCACCTGAGTCGACCACTGTGTTTTTCTTTCTTCTGTTCCGAGAGGCGACCGAACGCAGGTTCACCGCCTATCTGTCGGGGTTTCCTCGTCTCTTGTAGGTGTTCTTGTTGTGGTACGCTGTGAGTTGCCGGGCGGGTATGCATCGATCGTTCTCCGAGTCTGCAAGACCGTTGTAGTACAGATTGCAGTAGTGAATACATGGTAGTTAATTGTGTCGGTGATATCTTGGACATGGACAATTCAAAAGAGAAGTCGGCATGCAGATGCAGTGATGATTTGGAAAGCAACTAGAAGCACATCTGAAACCAGAACTTGAGTGATCCGGAAGGCGAGTGCATGCTTGGTAGATATCTCTGTATTTCCTGATTTCACCTGATTTTTGGTTGTGAGACATAGAATTCACCATGTAGTTTGTCTTTCACAGCATATTCAAGTAGCTTATAGGAATATCCCCACCTCTGAAACCCATCCAACGTACCTCTCTCGATGTTCAAGTCCAGCCTCGTTTGAGGATACGGACTCAAACACCAAGGTACCACAATAGCACTACTCGCTTTCTCTTGTGCTACTCAGCTCGCAACCACATCTACTGAAACCGCAGGATCCAATCTGCGTGCTATTACACAACATGATCGGCTATCTATGCATCCTGTCTCACATATGCCCACACATACGAATCCGATCTTGGTGTCTTGTGCAAAGCTCCTGCAATACGTAGCGGCTAACCGGTAAACCTCGCTTCTGGGCCTCACGTACCGACCACAACACAGTATAGTTTGGTGAAGAACGGTGAAGGCTAAAGACATGAAGTAGTCATTTTGCTTTTCTGCCTCGCCGTAACTCCAACAGATATGCATGTACATTACATAAACTCTCCAGGCCCGTAGCGTTTGGCATCTAGATCCAAAGCCACAGCCGAGCTGATGGATACAGCGTAGTGAGCGGTGTGCCAACACTGCGTTTTATCACCCATCACCCAGCTCCTTGTCTAGCAGATCTATATCAAACTTACTCTAACAGACTTGAAAGACACGTTGTGTGTTGGTGGCGAGAATATCCATGCGTGGTCTAGATACATGTTTTCCCCTATACCGAGTACGGCTACTACAACAAAAGTACCGAGACGGGCATACAGCACCACTACCGAGATGGACATGTACATACACTGCCCACCAAGCGGTGTGAAGCGGTGTAGAGAACCTTCTCGCACCTCCACCACCGTTGTGGCGTTACACACACACACACACACACACACACCATGCTTCGGTACCAAGTTCATCCCGGAAACCTACACGATCTACCCACTGACGCTTTTCTAGCTAACAATGGTTCTCGCCCTACACGTCCGCGAAAAGAAGACGATTTGTTTTGTAGCGGTGTGAAGCGGTGTAGACAGTTAGACCCTGCCCAGCCACTTGGAACTAGTGGTGTTGAACGTTCTTGACGTCCGGTGAAGATGGGTACGACACTACACATCCCACGATAACTATGTACCTTGCACTACATCTGCACGCTTCGCTCGCTAACAGTAGAGAGACTTTGTGATACAATCATGTCGTCTCGGCCGGTATCGTATCGTACCCTAGCGACGAAGTTTCCGACTTCTAGATGCAAGGAACATGTCCGTAGTAACGGGTGTGACAAGTTGGCCGTTACCTCGCCTCGATGTTGAGGGGAGAGATTGAAGTGGTAAGGTGGTTGGTGATACGGCTTCTCCCTGTTCAGCTATCAAACGCCCCAGCACAGATGTGAGAGAGGCTCGAGGTTCAAACGTTTCTCTGTTGGTGCGCAACTGTCGCGTCGTCCTGCCATCTCGTTTTCTCGCTCTTCCACCCCACTTTCCCAAGTAGGCACTCTGCGAAAGTCTGAATGCGGATGCGAAACAAGACATGTCGAAACATTCAGCCTGAAGAAGAACCAGCGATCCCGCAATCAACTTCATACGTTCAAACGTCATTGGTGCACAGAGTTCAGCCTCATGTGTGGACTCTTTTCTAGGTTATACAGAGCTGTCATCGTCGCAGCCTTAATTCCAAGGACGGAACTAAGGGCGGGGTATGTAAAACCACGGTTTTAAGGCATCCCGTTCCTTGCAATATCAGGCCCATGGTTGGCAACATTGATGTTGATGTGCTGATGCTGGTGTCTCATCATGTCTCCTCGTTGCGAGGGAGTCCCTACCAGGCAGGCACTCAAGGATAATCACTTCTTCGTACGGTGTGCCGTGTTCGGCCAGATAACGAAAATCATCGGCGTACTATGCCGAGCCCAGTGACATCTCTAACTTCTACTTTATGTAAGCAAGTTAGAGACATATTATTGTGCACGACTCGTGTAGTGTAGCCCGTTGTCGCGTGCCAGCGAAAAAAAAAGAGATTTCGGCTGTGATTAGTCGTCTTGTGGTTTAGCGGTATTTCCTCGGGCTGGGCTGGTGCGAACAGGGCGTGAACTATTCGATCGGCAGCACTAATCTCGTTGCCTTCTTCCTTCCCTTCCACGCTTCCTTCCTTTGCGGAGTGGCCTGCGACGCTATGTCTCAGTCCGATCGTCCGATTGCGGTATGCATCATTTTAGGTAATTTGGATATGCGGGCAAAGCACGGTACGGTACGACACTAGACATGAGAAAGCCGTTGGGCATGTGTGTCGGATGCGGAATTCTTGGTTCGGGTGCTGAACTGGAAACTATTGTACATTGGCCTATGCATTCTTTGCTTGTTGGATGGATGGGCGAGTGTTTGCACATCATTTGCATTGGCATTGGTGTGCTTCTTTTGACGCAGGAGGTGTGGTGGCTTGAGTATGAGCTGAAACTTTTTTTTCTTTACTTTTCAAAAGCCTGCGCGACATGCGCGAACGGACGATACATGGCTTGACGCATTGTCTCAACATGGCACAACTCAGCTGCTCTTCGGATGATGACATTGAGGCTCCATCTGTGCTTTGGCCGGCAGATTGGGTGTTCGTGACGATGACCAAAAGGACGGTATGACCACATCGCAACACAATAGCCAGGCATCTCGAACGACGGGGAAAACTCCGATCGGCCAAATCTTCATCTGTCCGAAATTAGATGAGTGGCACGTGGGGAGGGGTGTGTGCGAAAGAACATTCTTGAGACGTTCTTTTCTCCCCTTCCAGCCCGCACGGTTAGCTTGCTTCAAGGTGCAGCCCCCATGTCGCATGACATAGATCGAACAGAGCCAGGTGCCGCCAAACGCGTGGGCAGCAAGAAGTAAGGAACGCCATGGTGCCATTCTCGCATCTCTTTCCATGGAACAGCCCTGATGCAGAGTGGAGTGTGCCTGGTCCACACACATGTCACGGAACGGTTTTTTCCCTCGCTCTGCAGCTTGCGATTGCGATGCTCGTCCTTGTCACTTGTTTCGGCCTAAGGCAGCGATCCCGGGCGATCAGAGAACAGCACGTATGGTGATTACAATCATGCGATAACAAAGGCAGAAGCAAGATGTCATAATAATCGTGTTATGACAATCTGACAGGAAGGTTCGCGCGGGTAGGGTTGACGGGAGGCAGGTCCTAGTCTGCGCTGAACGTAAAAAAGGAGGGGTGGCTGGGTGGTGGTGGTGAAAGGCCCTGGGGTGGATCTGTGTGTCAAGTGAAGGGGTGTCGTCATGTGCAATATGCATCCGTCCCAATGTGTGCCCATGATTCGCGTTTGGCGAACAGGTGGGAGATTTGGCATTGGGATTTTCCCTTGTCCGCTTCGGGAAGGCTTCTCGAAGGGAGGGGATCGCCGGCCATACAGGCGAAAATAACCACACGGTTCATGCATAACCTCTTGTTCTTTTCTTGCATTTTGTTTATGCGCGCATACACAACTTGCGCCGAGGGGCGGCTCGGCCGTTTGATAATAGTTCACACATCCGTTCCGATCATGCGAACACCTATTGCGTTACACGGCCGACCCCCGGAAAAAGTAACGTAAGGGCGGTCACATAGTCGCCGTCTTTTGGTTCGTTCCCACTTTACAATTGCCGTTCCGTTCGTGTCATGTTGCATGCTCAGTTCGTCTCCGTATGCCAGGTTGCTCTGCATTGATTGAGTTCGGCATTTGCGCGGCGCGGTCTTCATGCCGATAAGTGTCATGCAGATAGATGAATCAATCTGCCTAAACGCGATGTCATGAATATCCTGGTGTGGTTGCGCGAACGAACGGCGGGTGGGTATACCGCAAGGGGAATATGTCATGGGCACAGAGTTTGGTTAGTCTCAATCGACCTTCTAGAAGGATTATGGAAGGTTACTGCGAGGCCGCACTGGGCAGATTGGATGAAGGAAAGGCCGGGCGCCCTACCTTGGGCGGGTTGAACTAGGCTGTTTCAAAGCGGTTCGTGAAGGCTGCGGGACGTGCACAAGGCATGGTGCATCTCAGCCTTGTGCTCCGAGGGGGACGGGAGCGGAGAGCGCGCGCACACACACAGACACCTACAGCAAAGTTTGAGCGTAACGCCAAAAAAAAAGACCGATTAAGTTTGAGAAATGCAGAGTAAGCGCGCGAAAATGGTTGGCAAGGGCGGCAACATGGCATTTGACTGTGCTACTAATCGATAAGCCCTACGACATCCTTTGCATCGAAGCTGTCCAATCACGGCCCTCTGTTGCTTTTTGCGGGGCTGAACACCCTCATCTTCTGCGCAACAGAACCGATGACACGACACCCAGCAGCCCTAGCCCTAAAATAGTTTGCAGGTTACTTAGGCACACCACATGCAAGGACAACGAACCGTTCTAAGAACAAGTTCATGCAAGCAGCACACTCTTCTCGCCCGTCACACCCAATCGCATGGCACACAAGTGAGGCTACGAGGCTGTGCTAGTGGAGTTCAACTATGAGTCTGAACAACGCAGACCCTACACACCCTCTTTCGCACGCAACCTTGATGCGAAGGCGAAAAATTTCCGATTGGGAGCTAAGCGTCGCGAACACACCCTGAAGCGGTGACAGCGCAGCGCTCCGCGCACCATGAGTCGGCCACGTAGGTACCTGTTTGACCGACCTTTTGATGAAACATGACAGTGTGCTCGTGGGTGCTACGTCATCATACGATGATCCGGGGTAGACGAACGTTGTTTTCCGGGCGGTGGGAATACAGCTGTTCACCGCCACGCCACACACCACCGTTTACAGGGTGATGCTGGAGCATCTGGCATGTTGAGAAAGGGTAGTTGTAAGTTTGAGTGCGAAAGCAACGTAATAAGAGGCGAATTTGCTTTCTCGGAGATGAACGGAACGGTTTGGTCGATGTGTATTATTTACTAAGTGTACTACTGGGACATGTGTTGGCCATGGCCATGCTGGCTTGCAGGGCACAGGTGGCGCAAGTTTGCAGCGATGCGAAGAAAAAAAAGTCTTTCTGAACTGATGGTTGGGTTCATCATACTCGAGACCATGAACTAAGTGGTCCGACACGTAAGATCTAATAAGAGAGGAAAAACATCGGTGTAAAGGTATCCTCGCCACGCTATGCCGCCGAGTGCTTGTATTGAGATGGGTAGATGAGAAAATGCCAAACGCTATGTGTAAAATGCACAATCATGAACCACCACACCAAAACAGTGCTGTGACAGAACGGTTGAAAGAACAAACAATGACAATGCGAGTCTAGACAGAAACCAAACAAACGCTATGATGTTCTGCGATGCGAGAGGAGGAAAAAAAAACCAGAATGCCAAAGAGATGATATCAATGCGAGAAATGTAACAACCAACCCACGCTAAATGCCACAGTCGTGCGGATGCCCCTTCGTTGTTGACGTTCATCCATGCTCTGAGCGCGGTTTCCCCAGTCTAAGCGTTCGTGGTATACCCATACTCCTAAACTCTCCCTCTTGTGCGCCGAAACCCAGGGTATACCCACGCTCATTACGGTTCCTGCCCGAATGTTGTATGCATTGCATCCCAAATATGTCTATATCCCATCTACTACAAAAAAATGAAAATCGTTGCGTTGAATAATGCGACGGCGAAATCTTCTATGCAACTGCTGATGCCGGTCGCTCGTAAGGCGTGGACGGTTGAGGCGGGGAGGGTACTGTGGCTGTTCGCTCGGTTTCCTCTGGCTCGCGCTTCATGCTCTTGATGCTTCCGGTCGCACTCCGTTGGGACATCCTGTCAGGACTCCTCACACCCTGGCTCCGTGCCTCGTGTTCCGATCGTGATGGGCCTGCTGCAGCCTCTTCTTCCCGCCTCCTCTGGTGGTAAGCCTCCATATAGCTAGGTCCCTCCAACTCTCGCTTGATGATCGACTGCATCCCTGGTACGGGTGCTGTCCGGGCACCGCTGATCAAGTCCTCTTCTGACTGTGGTTGAATCTGGGGAAGAGGTTGACCTAGCTGAGGGGGAACACTCGACCGGGATCGAGGGTCTGCGCGTCTGCGACTGAATGAGCTATTCCTCCTCCTTCGTCCACCTGCACTCGAGCCACTGTCGGTCCGCTGGTGACCGTAGTGCATCGGTGGTCCTTGAGGCATTGGTGGGGGCACCTGGTGCAGCTGCGGCGGCATCGGCGGTGGTTGCGGCATCAACTGAGGGGCGTTGGCGGGTGTGAAGCCATGCGGGGCAGAGGCAGGTACAACGGGCACTTGCGATGGCGAGCTCATGCCTGTACCGGTTGCAGATGGGTGAAGCTGAAACACCGGCGCATTTGCACGCGCGCTCATCTCCTGCTCTCCCAGCTGCCAGTGCATCGATTCGGCGGACCGCCAGGGAATGCCCATCTCTGTAGCAACCTTCTGCCACATTTGGTCCTTGAATCTAACACAAGAGTCAGTATTGATTTTTTTGGGGTGTATTGCGCAGAAACGCGTCGCGTGCGAGTGCGAGAATGTGCTGGGGTACATCTGAAACCAAAGATGTGGGCTCAAAACGAAGGAACAGATGACCAAAATGAAGCAGTCTGGGCATTCCGAGTTGTCGAGTGGTACATACCGTGCGTAGAGTCTTGCGAGTTTGTTTTTCTTCTCTTCGTCCCAAATGGCTCGCTTCTCGAGGTAGTTCTGATACCGTAATCGGCAGGAAATGGAGCTTCGTCCTGGTAGTCGTTTCGCAATGTCGTCCCACTTCATTCCTTGACCCCGCAGCTCAATAGTCAGGTTGTCCTCCTCTGGTGTCCATTTGGACTGCTTCTTGGCTGGACTTTCGTCGGGTAGAGGGGTTTGAGAAGCTTGTCGTTTTAGCGTTGAAGGGGGAGAATGGTTAGTATTTTGCGTGTGTCGAGGCGGTGAAGGTCCATGCGGGCCGGAGTAGAGAGGGCGAAAATGCGGGAGCGGGGCAGGTTCAGCATGTCGATGAAGTTCTGAGATTGCGGGTAGAACAGGTCCTCCTAGCATTGGTCCGGGTACTTGGGGTGCTGATGTCGGTGCCTGGGTGTAAGCGGACATTGGTGCATAGTGCGGGGGTCCTGGGTATGCGGGTGCTCCAGAAGCGTAGGCAGGCGACGCTCTTTGTGAGGGGGACTGTGTGTATGCTGAAGGCGCGGTTGTGTATCCTCTGGTCGCTCCTGTCGAGTGGGATGCATTTGATATGGAGCTCTTCTTGCTCGCAGGAGACTCTGAGCCCCGAGCGCGAGGCTCGAGGAGGAGGTTGATATCCAGGATGAAGGTGAGGGGACTAGCCTATTGCCAGCCCATGTATCGATGAAAGTTCCCGAATAACCTGAGTCCTCCGAAAGCTGAACTTGTTGAGATCGTGTAAGATCAGTCAGTAGTTGCGACGTGGGGATAGGCGGCTGTAAAGTAAGAAGTGGAGCAGATAGATGGCTATCTGTAGGTTGAACGTCTACCGGTCAGGTTGGGCGTTATGTCGTAAGGTTGATGTCCAAGGTAGCCTTGAAGATGATGACAGGTACCAAAGTAAACGGTACGACGATCAGCCCAGGCGTGGCGTTGGGCAGAGGCAAGGCAGAAAGTGGTGATGCGTCGAGGTACAGTGACTGTTGATGTGCAGATGAAGTTGGTAAACAACAACAAGGAGGCGATACGTGATATGGGTAGCTGTGCAGGAGGGTGGAACAGGAGAGGACAGTGGTAGGATGATGAGGTTCGGATAGACTAAATGTGCCGACGATGACCCAAGTAGCCAGTTGGGAGGTACTTTGGATGATTCACGCTCTAAGTGGTCGATCGACTCGAGCTATTTGGGCTATGGGCCGGGGCTTTCTGAGCAGGGGGTGAAACAGGCCAACCACTCGGTCTGATGAATGACGGGCGTGCTTAGCCACTGACTTTTCAGGTCGAGAAGGTAGGAAGCGTAGCGTAGGGGAGCAGTGGATACGGGCTGGTAAGAGCAAAGTAGGGTCTGAGAGGGACTTGGAACATGGATGCGTGAATAGAGAGGCTTAGCGTGCGACTGTAATACTAATAGCAGGCATCCCTTGAGGCCCTGGCTGGCGCCGCCTCATGGTCCGCGGTAGGGATCCGGGGGCTTGGGATCAGGATGTACCCTTTGCGTTTCTGACTTGACACCACTACTTTCGCGCTTAACGCTTTCTCGACTCGTGCTGGCGGCGCGCCACATTAACGACCCACAGACCACAGCATTACCACAGCTGATCCGATCTAAGGAAGCATGTCTGCCGGAGATTTTAGCGAGACCAAAAAGAAATGGACAGGCCAAATTGCAAGCGTTAGCTTGACACAAAAAGCACGACACCCGTTCTTGCGTGGTAAGGTACAGCGATGACGTGTCTTGCACTCGAGTAGTAGTGGGAGTAATAACAATAATAGTATTAGCCAACCTGCTCACCCTCGTGGACGTGGGAGACGACTCCGATGCATTGCGTTGATATTGGCTTTGCCGGCGTGGTGTGCTGGGCCTCATTTGCTGCCCTCCTTTCCGTCAGGCCTCAATGCGCCGCCCAAAGACGGGGCTGCGGCTTTTGCAGCAGGGCCGCTGCGTTCACGATCGTCGACGAAGCGGCTGGAGCGTGTTTCTGTCACTCGAGGCAGCGAATCAAGGATAGTATTAAGCGGTGAACAGTCTCAGGGATTCGCTGAGGGTTCGGAAGAGCACAAGCGCGATGACATGGAAGATCTGCAGCATGCTCGCCCTGCTCCGGCTATTTGACGCCAGAAGCGTCGCTACCGAAGCCTTGCGAACGGCTGACATCAATCAGGCGGTGCAGGTGGTGATGTGTTCACGCCAACGTCTTGACAACGTCGAAGACATGCTCCACAGGTGCAATTCCTGCGTTCATGGCTCCGGTCAAGTACCCCACTGTGGGCGGCGATCTAGCAGTATCGACGCATGCCCAAGAGGAGCGGTGAACTGCGGTGAACTGCGGTGAACTGCCGGCGGCCGTGGGCGTGACGTCTAGCTTTGCCGCCTAACTGTTCATAGTGTTCAAGGCGCGCCATAACACGATGCTGGCTCGCTGGTGTTTATGCGACTGATGGAGACGCCGGGTGGTAGCGTCGGCCTCATCCGCAACGAGACGTGTTTTTGTGCGCCCCTCGCCCACGTGAGACGCGGCGCTGTATCGCGCTGCGGCGGTGCTGATGCTGCTGTGTTGTCTCGTGTTGGAGAGCCACGTTGTTGAAGCTACGAGAAGGCGCCGCTATGCCATGTCACGTTGCTGCCGACGTTGCGTTGTGCGCCATGGGCGGCAGCGCTCGCGGGTGCCGGATTGCATCACGGGACTGGGATTCGCGATGATGCGCATTAGGCGGTGAGAAGAGGCCGAACTGGACGGATGTTTTGGATGAGGTTGGATATAGTAGGTAGGCCCTTGGGCCAGTGGGAGCCGAGATGCAGGTGCATTAGCCATGAACCATCCCCGTGCGTTGTCCAACGCTAGGGCACGAGGCCTTTCGTCGGCGCCGCACGGCGTGGTTGAGTGATTGAAGGATTAAAGGACTCCCCACAGATGTCTTCGCAATCTACCTACGGCCGACGGCATGCGAACTGGACTTTCCACAATCCTGGTAAATGTCCTGCCGTACTGGACGACGCCTGCTTGCAGGTGCCACAGCCTCCGACCTTTGCGTGTACGCAAATCTGCAAAGGCGCAGCACTCTATATTTAAAGAAGACTTGCATTGCATACAAAGAGCGGTGAAGTCTGTTCACTGTTGGAGGGAAATTCCGACTGAACAATGTCCACATCCTGTTGACGCTGGTGTGCAAGCGCTGGCTCGGAGGCGCCCGCGCGAACAGTGCCGGAACATGTCATTAAATCCACCCTGTCTTGGCTGAAGATCGGATGGTTTCGCATCCTTCGTATGAGGCAGCTCGACCCGGATGTCACTGGCAGGCCTCACCTCGACGAAGATCATCATAAATAAACCGCCCACGCGTGAACGACGCCAGCGCACACAGCGTGGGGTTGTATCTCGACTTCCCACGCACTTGTGTGATGTAAGTGAGCGCGTGGGGTAGGCGTGGGTGGTGGGCGTTCATGATGGGTTCTGAGACATTCACTGTGGTTGAAAACCATGGCCTTGGCATCGCTTAGCATACTCGATACAGCCATGCTCCAATGCTTTTCCTCGGCCCTACACCACTCGTAACCTATCCCGCATACAGAACGGGTCACCTGTCAACGGTACACCATCAACACCAGCAACAACTCATACCACATTCATCCTCCTACATTACCCCTCTAGTCTCGACAGATACCTCGGCTTGTCGACATGTCACTCCAGAGTGCGGCAGACGTGCCGCTCCTCATTAGCTCCCCGAATTCGTCCTCGGAGCGCCGTATTTCTCCGTCTTGGAGCATTGCTCAACTCAAGGCACGCCTCGAACCCATCACCGGTGTCCCCGCAAGCAGTCAACAGTTGTCGCTGCGCGTTGGCTCTCAGGATGCCGTCGCTCTCATCGCTCCGGATGAGGAACAGACGCGTCTTGCTGCCTTCCCGCTGCAACCGTATGCGGAGATAACCGTAAGTGCTCCTCCTGCTTTCTCATTGAACAGTCGCCGCAGCCCTGTCCTTGACCAGTCTACCATGCGGTCCTCTCGCGAGCTGCCACATCTCTCCAACCCCGGCTCGCCTCTCTACTTCCTTGTATCTTCTACTCTACACCCAAGCTTAGCAGTTTCATGCGTCCTGCCTCCCATCTTCCCCATTCGTTGTCAAGGCCGACATTGAGGCTGTGGACTTTAATCAGGTCATGCCTGCATATTTGCATGCCCCGCAGTGCCCCTCCTCGACTCTACAACCCAGTTATGTCAGCCTTGGTGGAGCGATCCGCGCGGAAGCCATGCTTTGTTCCACCTGCAATTACCACATCGTCTTGAAGCGCTGAGCTCCCTTTGGTACTCGGCATCGAGTACCGGTCATTTAAACTTTCAATCTGCTGAACAACCTTTCTCTGTTGTTTGCCATTTCTTTTTCGGCGGTTCGGCCTTATTCGACGCCTCTCTTGGCCTCATGATTCATCCCATGTACCGGCTCCTAGCTAGAGCAATCTCAACTGGCGTCTCCGAGCAAATGAATCCTCTCATACATGCTCCCGTGCTGACAAGGCAAATTTAGGTCGTTGACACACGTCCTCCCGCTGCACGAACTGACTTTACCGATCTGTCGTCCGTTGAGAAGTACGAAATGCCTGCTGCAGAGTACGAGCATCGGACCGATAGTGTTCTTGCATGGAAGAAGGCGCAGAAACTGGGTCGTTTCGACCCAGATGCTCCCAGTATTGAGCAGCAGAAGATCCGCGCCTCAGAGCGGGAAATAGAAGAAAGAGGTAAGCCGCATGATTTCCCGCATGTCCCACCTCACCGTTGAGCCGTACGCTGTGGCAATGGATATGCCGGAACCCGCAGAACAGCCTTGTAAAGATCCATGCTGTTCAAGTGTACAAGCCGGAGATGCTTCAAACACTTCCCAAAACGGACGGCTGCATACCATCCAACGCCACTCAACACTCGCCTCACCATAGCAGGATCCATCGTGTCTCAGCCTGTCATGATCATGGTCCAACGAGGAAACGTGCGCGACAGGCAGCCAATCTCCCATACCAATTGTCGTCTTACCAAGCCCGTCATACATGATTACCTCTTCAAGCACGCCCTGCGTCCAATCCTTGGCCCAGACCTTCGTAGCGGGATGCCATGGCGTTTGAAGATTCATCCATTAAGCACATGTACAAGATGAGATTTACCACTTGGGAATTGCTTACTACTACTACCGTCGGTCGTATCCAACGCTGTTATCGCCCCCGCTAGTTACCCGTTCTGGCAGGGACCAGGCTGCGGGAAAAGGAAGTCGCCGAAACTCAAAACCCCCAAAGTGATCGTCGGTCCCTTTGCCACCAGCCTCATTCTCCAGCTTCATTCGTCCGTAACCAGCGACAAATTCATCTCACCTCCAAATACACTTTCCAACTACGACGACCAACATCTTGTTTCCCCATGTTGCAAATCTTGGTCTCGCCTTTGTTAGGCCCCGAGATCGACAATGCTGTTTTAGAAGCGGGCCGCACCATCCGAAATGCGATGGCTCTAAACCATAGTCATCACTCCGCATGCTATCACTCGCCGCTTCGCATGTCATCATACTCATGGTTTACATGTACGAGATTTGGTTGACGCGACGCGACGATCCAACGCCGCACCACAGACATATACGCTCGATTATTCTCGCCTCAAGGAACGCCTAAGGACCATATTGGGCATATCTGCATCCATTTTCAAGCATCAGGCCGCTTCCCCGCTTGAGCCTCTGCTGCGCTGCCGCCACATCTCAGAGAGCGGGCGCTTGGGGGAGGTTGGGTCAGATGTGATCGGTGTGCGTGAGGGTGCGCAACTGTGTCGTCCCGGCATACGCGATCCTAGTTACCAACCTGCCGCTGCCGCCGGGAGTCGGGACGTTTTGTCGACTCGCCTTTCAGTGCCGCTTCGGACGTTGTCTTCTCTTGCTTTTTCCTCGTGTCGCCTTGGTGAACCCGATGGATTGACAGCCAGTCAGCCAGCCAGTCAGCCGATAAGCCATGGGATCAACAGCGATTATTGTTGGGCTCCACCGAACGACCACGTTCTGCGGACCTCGTACGATGGTCTAACCTTATCCAAACATAATCTTTCCCCCCTTCCAAACTGAACCTTGATCCTTCCTGCCCACTCATCAACTGCGGAATTCACTTGTATACTTTTTCTTTTCTTTCCAAAAGCCTGTTTAAGCGAACTCTTACTAACTCTGTTCCAACTTAGGCCTTTCTCTAAACTGCCGCGTCCGCCTCCTGCCCGAATCAGATGCTCGTCGCGGGACGATATCCTATATTGGACTTGTGCCTGAGATTCCCGGGATTGGCGTATGGATCGGCGTTAGGCTTGACGAGCCAACTGGTAAGAACGATGGGAGTGTCAAGGGTAAGCGATACTTTGAGTGCGGTGCCAATTGTGGTGTCTTTGTTAGGCCGGAGCGGTGTGAGGCTGGGGATTTCCCTGCGCTGAATGAGTTTGGGGATGATGAGGATTTGGAGGAACTTTGAAGAAAGGGGGAAGCGGGGATAACACGATGGAAGGTAGGACGGATACTGTCTTGCTAGTCAGGTAGACAGGTAGGTAGGTAGGTAGGTAGGTAGTCTATCTGTTTAGGTCAGCCTGAGCAGGCGTGCCATAGGGGGGATTCACAAGGTGCACATCAAGATACAATGAAAAAGACTCGATGATGAAAAAGAACCCCCCTTTTAGGGTTTATAATTGTCGTTATACTACTACTGAACTTTTATCTAGATTACTTGCTTGCATCAGAAACTACACAATAACAACGATAACCAAGATAAGAAAAAAAAAGAAGAAGACGAATCGCACAAAGATTCAATGGGAAAACATTCTAACCTGACCTACTACATACCTACCCAGATGATCATCTATGACAAAAAAAAAAGGGATTTGTTCATTCATTCATCACTATAAAATTGCTCACTCATAACAATGCATGCATCGTTGTAACCTAAAAGAGAATCTTCCTCTACGTCTCACAGCCGTCTCTATGCCTCATACGCTTTTTTCTTCTTCTTCTTTACACTCACACTGCCTTCCTTCACTGGTCACTACTTACTGCTTTCAATACCCATTCGCCCCCAACCACTCCCTAACCACCCCACCATCCCTCTCCGCATAACTAGCATAACTTCTTATCGTATCATCCACAACATCCAACCCCTTATTATACCCTCTAGTATCCTTATCCTTGAAAAACCTTTGAATATCATCCGCAGTCTTCACATCCGTAAACTTGTTCAAACCAAACCTCAAAAACCTCTCCAGCACAACAGGGTTACCAGCAAGTGCAGGATGAACTTTAGTGTCCCAGTTTTCTTTAACATAGTTCCACACCTCTGGTCGTACTTTGGAGTTGTTGGCAAGAGCAATCGTCGAAGAGTGCTTGTCTTGCATGGCCACCTTATCCGAGAAGACAAAGTCCATGACCTGCTTTGCAAGGTCGGGCGTCTGTACGCGGCCGAGAGAGCCGAGGCAGATTTCCTTGCCGTCGATTGATGTTGTGTTGAGGTATTCATTCATGACAGCCTTCAGCGCTGACTCACCGCGGTTTTTAATCGCTGTGGCGAAGACGGCCCGGCGAAGCGAGGGATGAATGGCCTTGTTGTCACCCTTCTCGATATAAGCGTCAAATCGCTTCAACGCTTCCTCGACGGTGGCCTGGTGGCCGACGATGCCAGCCGACAGAAGCAGACTGGCGCGCAGTTGACCAACAAGGTAGCTCTCTCCATCCTTGAACTCCCAGCCAACCTTCTCGACGGCCGGCGTGATGAGCTTGAGGTGGTACTTCCTCAGTCCCTCGCTGATATCTTCGCTGCCAGAGAACACGCTGCGGACGTTGCCAATGTTGGTGAGGATCTGAGACCTAAGCGTGAGAATACAGAGTCAGCATATGCCTCACATATAGTTCATATAGGGATAGTAACTGACCAAACCAAATAATCAGATTCGTCTTGGAAGCGCTCCGCCAGCGCGAGCAAGCCAGCTGTAGATCCATAGCCCGCGACCGCGTTTGCATACGCATCACCAACGAGGCCGATCTTGTCTTGTACAGTGAGCTGATCGCGGTCCTCGCCGAGTTTCTTGAGGCGGTCGGCGGGGTAGTTGGTGCGGTAGAAGCCAGTGAGGTCCTTGTTAAGGAGGTAGAAACCATCCTTGACATCACGAATTGTGTCCTCCTTCTGCGTCATAGCAGCAGTCTTGTGAACCTCCGTGGTAGACGCAGAATCGCCCGTGTGAAGACCCAGCGGAATCCACCACGTTGTTTCATCCTCCTCGGGTTTGACATTACCAGCAAGCAAGAAGCGTTGCTGGCGCAGGCCAATCTGACCAGGTTCTTCAGCAACGGTGACGACTGGGAAGCCGATTCTCCGAACCCAGAGGTCCATGAAGGTGTTTACATTCTGACCAGACGCCTTGCTCAAGGCAGACCACAGGTCATTGGTTGTGGCATTAGAGTACTGGTGAGCCTTGAGGTAGTCGGCTACACCTTGGAGGAAAACCTTCTCACCGAGATGAGCGCTCAGCATGCGGATGACTGAGGAGCCCTTCAGGTAGGAGATGTGGTCAAAGATCTGGTCGACCTCGAGACCGTCGTATACGGGTACTTCGATGGGATGCGAGGTTCGGAGTGCGTCGAGTGCGAAGGCTTGTTGTACGGAATCAGTCTAGAAGACATGGTCAGCGGGCTGTTAGAGCAGATACCTCGAGATTTATGACGCACAACAAACTGTCCCCATACGTTCCATTCTGGGTAGAGATGGTCAATGGCAAGCCATCCAACCCATGTCGCGAAACCCTCGTTGAGCCAAAGCTCACTCCACCAATCCATGGTAACGAGGTTACCGAACCATTGGTGGGCAAGTTCGTGAGCTACAACGTAGGCAACCCTGTTGCGGTAGCTATCGGCAGAGGTCGCAGGGTCGAAGAGCACTGCAGTAGTTCTGTAGGTAATGAGACCCCAGTTCTCCATGGCTCCATGCGAAAACTCATGAACAGCCAGCAAATCAACCTTGGGCAGCGGGTAATCGATCTGGAAGACCTCGGAAAAGTAATCCACAATTTTGTGGCAGTTGTCCAAAGCAAAGCGTCCCTGCTCCTTCAGACCACGGGTAGTGTAAACCCTAACAGGAATGTTCTTGCCATTGTACTTGCGCTCAGTGTGCGCCTCGACGTACTCAAAGTCACCGATAGCCCACGCTAGGAGGTAGGTAGACATGATAGGTGATCGCTCGAAGACAACTGTGTGGAAACCATCCCTCTTGCTAGGCTTAATCTCCTTCTCCGGCATGTTGCTGAGCGCGACCTGGTCCTTGGGCACTTCGAGTTCGACGTCAAAGGTAGCTTTCAGATTCGGTTCGTCGAAGCAAGGGAAAGCACGGCGAGCGTCGCAGGCTTCGAATTGGGTGCTGAACATGTAGTGGAACTCGTCGTCCTTTGCAACGGAAGCCGGGACGTCGCCCTTGGGCTTGTACTTGGAGCGGTAGAAGCCGGCCATGATGTTGTTGACGAAGCCGGAGAATTTGATGGAGAGTTGGGCCTCGCCGGTGTAAGTGATGTTCTCACCAAAGTCGAGCGTGACTTGTTGTCTCTTCTCATCGTAGGATATGTCCTTTGCTGAGAATGTCTTGTCACCGGCCTTTAGCTCAGCGCTTTGGAGCTTGAGCTGATGTGCGTTGAGGACTAGGGTGTTGAAGCCGTCGTCCTTTGTGATGTTGGTCGTGATGTCGACAGTGCCCTTGTAGCCAAAGTTGCCGCCGAATTCGAGGTCATGGAGGGAGAGGGCATAGTGGGAGGGTTTGGCCCTGGAAGATATCAGCTATCGGCCTGCAATATAGTTGACACGACTGACCATGCCGGGAGAACATCGCGATCTGAAGCCATGTTGACGAAGCTGCTAGTGACTTCGCTTTGACAAAACCTCTTCTGTATGCCAAAGGTGTTTGTGGTAGCTACCGCAAACCTCGGTCTGAGGCGTAGTTGTGTACGTGGGGCAGATCCAGTCTCTCTAGCTGCAGAAGAGAAGCTTCTAGAGCGGATGGAGTGGGTCGGGGTGGTGTTTAAGAGACGCGTCGGCGTACTTGTCTTCACTCTGCTACGAGTCAATTGTCGAGAGCAGAGTCTCGCGGAAGCGGATAGAGCAGCCAGGGTGAAGGCGCAAGGAGAGCGGGGCTAGAGCACAGCAGCAAAAGGAGGGGAAGTGTGCAATCAATTGGTACTGGGTGAGACGATGCGTCTGCATGTGTGTAGGCTTAGAGGGGAAGGTGCGCGTGCGGCAAGCCGAACTGCCCCACCTAGGTAGCCATCCCTGCTTCTAGGGTTTAGCGCGGGGTCTTTTACATGTCTCTCTGCTGGATTGACATATCATAACTGAGATATCATAGTTGAGATACCATGGCCTGAAGAGCAGTCATCTCGGAAAGGCAGTCATCTCGAAAGCAGTATGCCATTGACGCCATGCAAATGCTCCAATTCACGCCCTCGATGCAGACACTTCCAATCCCAACCCATCACAAGACCAGAGAATGGTATTCGCAAGTCTCTCAGCCATCTGTCATACATGCTCTCCCCCTTCCCAGCCCTGTCCGCCTAAATCCGGATCAAGACATCCAAACACTGCACCCGCCACTCCTTCTTCCCCAACAACCCCTTGACCCACTCATAACTCTGTCCTTCGCTCCCACTCGCCTGTCCCAAGCCAACCCTCCCCTTGACTCCCTCCACCGCCGCGCCCACCCCAGCCTTGACCGTCGCATTCACTGCCTGCGCCAACATGCCAGCGCTTTCCGCCACAGTCCCATTCAGCGCCAGCTCCGCACTATCCGACAACGGCGCATCGAACCACGGTGTGTGAAAGTCGAAGAGCGCGACGACGAGGATGAAGAGGAGGAGGCTGCAGTACACGCACGGTCGGTTTAACAAGTATGTGGCCGAGATGAAGAGGACGAGGTAGACGGGGGAGGCGTGCGTTCGTAGTCTATGCATACTCTTGTTAGAATGCCATGCCATACGATGCGCCGGACATGGGCGAGGGCTCACAAGAAGAAGAGAACTGGAATCCAGCTCCGCAGGCAGAACATGGTCGTGTGTCGTTCCCTAATCGTGCGCCCGGTCGTGTGAGCGCGCACTTTTCGGCGATAACAACAAGTTGAGGCTGATTCTGGGGGGACAGCTTCAAAGTGCTGACGAATGCGACAATTCTTTAGAAAAAAAAAGTAGGTTGGTGAATAGGAAGCAGCGAACGGATGGAGAATGAACAAATGCGTTTGTATGGTTTTGGGATAAGGAAAAGGTTGAGGGTTGCTGACTGCCGGCAGCGAAGGTAGTCCGGAGTTACTGGCGGCCGCCGATATTAGCGTCTTTTGATTGGCCGCTCCCTTCACCTGCGCACAAGGCTGAGCGTCAAGCACCCCGAGGCTGCAGCCGGTGGCGCATCCATGCATGCATACTGCTTCTCACGTGTCTCAGCCTTATCGGGCGCTTCACTCAATGTAGCACGTATTCATTTCTTACAAGGTATTTTCCTACATGCGCACCGCCAATCGCGTTACGACGCCTAGCTTACACAGCTAGTCGACTGTCATATCCCAACCAACCCTTCCTCCCTAGAATGCCTCCAGATGCCAAAACGCCCACTTAACACAGATATGCCGATATACGAAGCAATGGGGCCGAACTCGGCCACCAGCAGCAGAAAGAGAGCAGCGTCCTTGCGCGCGGGGGTCTACACGGGCAGGTTGAACTTCTTGCCTTGGATGACCCTAAACTACGTTAGCATGCCGACCAAAGCCTCAGTGTATCCTCCAAGACTTACTTTGTGTAGTAAATGTAGAAGAAGTCAGAGTACAAAATAGTCTGGATGACACCCGCAATCACTGCAATGGGATCGTAGAACTTGGGCACCTCGCGAATGTAACGGTAGATCCAGTTGGGGATGTACAGAGCCCTGTAAGCACCCAGCGCAAAGAGGTAGTGCGTCGTAATTGTCTCCGCCTCACCCGTCCTCTGCAGCATGAACAGCTGCGGCAAGATGGCAACCGATTCTAGCCAGATGGAGAAAGCCCAGAGTATCTCCGTGAATGTGTATTTGTAGGGAAACAGTATCGCCAGCACTGCGCTCGCGCCCAGCAGGTATTGCACCTTGAACGTGTCTAGATTTGGGTCGTGTGTCGGCTTGTAGTCGTTGAGCATGAGGTAGACGGTGTAGGCCGAAGTGCTGATGAAGATGATTTTGAAGATGGTGTTGTAGAGCGACTTGGGTTCGTAGAAGGTCCAGAGGAGGTCGACGTAACGCGTGAGGTAGACGATCAGGTAGAGGAATTGCGACTTGAACGAGATACCAGATGCGCTCTGCAGCGTGTCAATCGATACGGCGCATTACTTGTGCACGAGGAATCAACATACACTCGACACCTTCATCTTGTGCAGCAGAATCAGGATGGATAGCAGGTGGGATAAATCCCCTAGACCGTGTTAGCATTTCCATCCATACGCACGAGCATTGTTGTCGCCAAGCTTACCCAGCAGTCGGAAGAGGTTCATCATCGCGGGCAATGGGTCGCGACTCGAGGCGTGGTGGAGGGTTGTGTGTTGGTGTGCCTGGCATAAAAAGACACGTTCCGACTGCTGCATCACGTAGGGATGGAGCTGCGCATCCTTGCATGCCAAGACCCGCCCCTGTCGCTTCACGTCATCCCGATCGCCGCTACCCCCCGTAGCACATCCGCAGTCGTTCGCGTTGCCCATCCACTCGACGTTCCGTATACACTTGAGAACACTCTACTATGGCCCATCTGCTTGGTTGGAAAGACATTCTTAGGCCAATCCGCGATGGATACCGCCATCTCTTTCCTACCCCCGACACTGGGCCAACGCCTGAAGAGCGACGCAGACAGCGCCAAGTAGATCGCCTGAAGGGCTTCGCCTACTTCGATACATTCGAGCAGTTGGAGTCGTGGAAGGAAGACGATTCTGATCCGCTGCAACGAGCCAACACGCCGCTGCTACGCGGGACCGACGGCATTGAGAGGGGCGGCGTCGTCAAAGTCCCCGTTCTATTAATCCATGACTACTCTGGCAATTACCATGACTACGAAAGCATCAACGCTGTTGACGTGGACAGAGAGTTTTATTCGTGTGAATACCTCCAGTTTGTTGATACCTTCATTTACTTCTCGCATAAGTTGGCTTGCGTTCCGCCGCCTACATGGGTCAATTTGCTTCATAGAAATGGCGTCGAGGTGTTAGGAACGCTGTTGATTGAGCCGCAGACTGAGGGTTCGGAACGTTTGTTACAGCATACGTTTGACCAAGCCGGAGAGATGCACTTCCCCATGGCGAAGAAACTAGCTAGCATCGCGACGCACTTTGGCTTCGATGGCTGGCTAGTCAACATCGAGAAGCCGTTTCCAAGCGAATCGTGGAGTGCAAAGCTTCTCGAAGCTTTCCTGCTCCAGTTGAAAGCCAACCTAGGAGTCGGTCTTGACCCCAAGTCAGCTGGCAAGCGGCTCATATGGTAACATCCTCTCATTCACTACCACCCTGACTAAAGCGTGACTTGACTTAGGTACGACGCCCTCACCACCTCCAACAAAATCTCTTACCAGAACCAAGTCAACAACTCCAACATGGACTTTGCCTGTGCATGCAGCAACATACTCACAAACTATTGCTGGAAAGATATTGACGTCTCCGAATCATTAAAGTGGAGCTTGTACAGCAAACTCCTACCCAAGGGAAACATCTACTTCGGTGTGGATGTCTGGGCACAAAACAAGTCTGATTTCAGGCATCCACGCGTTACATGGCCAGAGGTTGGAGGTGGAGGTACCAATACCGGGATGGCTGTTAGGAAAATAGCCGACTATTGCTTGTCAGTAGGTATTTTTGCGCCTGCGTGGTCGTTTGAGCATTTTCCAGATCATGGACGCCATCTTGAACGTGCTGTCTGGGAAGGTGAATCGCTGCCAGACAACATCCAGTGTAGTTGCGGAGATTGCGAGTTTCGGCATCCGCTGAACAGAGAGTGGCCCATTTTGCGTACGGCGAAGGAGCGCGTGGCGGGCTCAGAGCACCTATTCTACACGGATTTTAGTCGTGCTTTCGGAACATATCGAGAAAAGGCAAACGACAGGTTTGATGGCCACGACATACACGCACAACTAGGCCAGCAATCCGTACTGCCCCGTCCAGCCATTCTCGCACCTGGTTCGGGAGCCGTCACACTCTCACACCGCATCGAAAATGAACAAAATAGCCACATCCTAGTAATCACCGCCACACAGAACCGCCCAACCGATCCGGAAACGATAGAAGAACACCTTCCCCTCTATAAACTTGACATGCCCGCAGACGGCTCCCTCCATCTTTCTGCCGTACCAAGCCCCGCATCCCCATCCTACATAACCCCACAAACAACAGATGCGGTCATAAGCATCTATTTCAAAACCACGCAAGGGACTCACTACCTCCCCTCACCTTTGTCCAGCGATCCACAACGATTAATCGACCAAGTACCCAACGCCCGTATCCGCGAACTAGGCGTCCACCTAAAAGGGCCTTGGGGCGCCCCAGTCGGCGAAACTGTACGAGTACTGGGCATTAGAGATATATGCATAACGCCCCGCTTCACGCTGCACCATATACCCGTCTTTGAAATTGTGGACCTCAAGCTGGTACAGTGCGGGCAAGAGCAAGGGGAGGAAGACCATATAGTTCGATTAATCTGGAAGACTGAAGGAGCGAGTGGGAGCGAGTGGGTCGATAAAGGTAAGTTTATGACTTATTGACGCATATTTGTTGTGAGACATGGACTTACATTGTATCTAAATCGATACAGGAATGGTGCTTAGTCATGTGACCGGGCCCATGGCGTGGTTTGTTGTTCGAGTGGGCGGGGTGGTGATGGGGAGGGTGTATGCGTTGGAGTGTATTTTGGACAAGAAGGTTGTGGAAGCACACGCTGGGCGGGAAGTGGAGGTTGAAGTCACAGGATTTGGTTTCGATGGGTACAAGCTTGCGGAGAAGAAGAGTATGCTGCAGTTGTGATCGTTGTAGAACAACACGATCAACGCGCGTCGCGTCGGTTTGGTGGTTGGGGCGAGAATGGGACTAGCGTGTCGACGACGTCATCGATACTTGTACCTGTCCTTACAACCTTTCGGTCCGCTTTACATTGCAGCATTATTGCGCGCGTATAATGAGAGGTCTTGTTTATCGATTGGCGCAATTGGCAAACGTCACATCACAAAGTTTGTATTCGTCACGACCATCGCCACGGATTGGGACATTTTTGCTTGCTCGGCAGCTTCACGCAACAATTACCATGTCAGGTCCGGCGAAACGCAAAGCCGAGAAGGACATATCGCCGCTGAAAGCGAAGAAGACAAGTATAGAGACAAAAACAAGGACGGTAGTTCCTGCGTATCATCTCACCCCATCAAGACAGGATGAGTCTGGAGATATTGTATGGCCCGCGAGAAAAGAGCAGATTGAACGCGCTCGAGAAATCATCAGAAACTGGTAAATTCATCTACATCCTACCACTAGACACCTGTGCTAAACCATCAAAGCGCCTCAGCCCAGAAGCCAACCGTCATCCTCCCTGACAAGGATGCAGACGGACTCTCATCTGGCGCCATACTTCACCATACCCTCACAGCTCTAGGTCTACGACCTGATCTCATATCCGTATATTTCCCACCAAAAGGCTCGAACGTACATGATGAAAGTACAAAGGAAGCTTTGACAAAACTATCTCCATCATACATCTTCATACTAGACCAAGGCAGCAGGAAAACGCCGCCAGTCGTCGACTTGCCGCATACATGCCTCGTCGTAGACCACCACTTTGCCGACGAAGGAGGATTTCCAAAAGATAGTGATTACGTGACAGCTCACGACTGTCCGCCTGTTGCGACTAGTGCGCTGTTGACGTACACAATCTGCTTACCACTCCATCCGGATCTCAACGACAAAGTGTCTTGGTTGTGTGCACTAGGGACCCACGGCGACCTGGGTAGCAGCATAAAATGGGAACCCCCTTTCCCCGACCTAACCGCGACTTTCAAATCCCATTCAAAGAAATCCATCAACGACGCCGTAGCCCTAGTCAACGCACCACGGCGGTCGGCAGCCTACAACGTGCAGGATGCCTGGGATGCCGTCATATCTGCCACCAATCCCTTGGACATTGCAAAGAATGAAAAGCTTCACACCGCTTCCCTGGAAGTACGCCGTGAGACGGAGCGATGCACACATACGCCCCCCAAATTCTCAGCCGACGCTACAATCGCCGTTCTCACGATATCTTCTGCCGCGCAGATTCATCCTGTCATTGCTACAAGATGGTCTGGGACGCTCAAGTCGAATAAGTTGGAGGTTGTCATGTGCGCGAATGAAGGCTATCTTGCTGATAAAGTCAACTTTTCGTGTCGTGTTGCCAAGTGTGCGCGGGCGAGGGGAGGAGAGGACAAAGTCGACATCATCAGCAAGCTAGAGAGCATAGTTGCTGACAATTCTGAGCTGAGAAGTAGGTTGGGTGAAAGCTTCGCAAGAGGGCATAAAGAGGCTAGTGGGGGTATCGTGGGGAAGGGAGAGTGGGAAGAGTTTAAGAAGTTGATGGGTATTGGAGAAGCGGCGAAGAAGAAGGCGGATGCTAAGAAAGAGAAGGAGAAGCCTGCACAGAAGAATACCTTGGCGAACTATTTCGCGAAGAAAGAGAAGGTAAAGGTAGAGGGTGCGTGAACATTGGGTCACGTTGTGGTGCCAGACGCTTCCCTCATCTCTCCAGCAGAACCAGCATGTCGATGACTCTCTTGGCTCTCGTTCTTGAGCCAAACGAACTTCGTCACGGAAACTACGGCTGGGCATATTGGTAGTTTGGAATAGTTGGTTACGAGAAAGCCTGCCAAGCTGCGTCAGAAGTGGCCGTTCCTAGCGGAAGAGGCGTTACGGAAACCCGGTAGACTTTGCGCCGCATGTTTACCGCCAAGACGACGAATTAAATGGTATTCAATCTAACATGGTCGAGACTGGGTGTTGCGGAAATGAAATAGCCAAGTCAATGACGACCAGGCGCATATCCGCCTCTTTCCACCCGTTTCCCGTTGTAGCATCCGAGGCGAACAGAAGAAAAGATTACAATCGGGGCTTTGGGAGCCTTTGAGCCAACGATGGGTGTTTCTAGTGTCTCGATCACGTTTCGAATTAGAAGGGGTTACATTATTAGGCGGCTGTGCGCCCGAAATGCCGGTTGATCTGCATCGTCAAACAGGAACAACAAAAAATAATCACCACAAGACAACTTCCAAAATACAGTAGATCACAGTCCAAGGACACTTTTTGTCAAGATCAAGTGCAATTCACTAGTTTTCACAAAAAAAAAAGGAATCCTCACAGTGCCATGGCTAACAACCTCACGATCCAAACACTGGGAAGAAACAAAATGCCGCCCCAGGGGCCGCCTTACCAATGTCCATTTCGTTACAGTCATGATTCTCCCACTTCCATCACTTATATAAATTGCACCCAGGAAACCAAGCTTTCTTGGCAACTGCCGAGTAGCGCGTGCTCGTCAGCACTCAATCTGCACGCAACTCGCCCATTCGCCAAGGAGTTTACATTGCATGGCTCCAGGTTGTTCCTCATTGGGCACGGCACTGATATCTGGGGGCCGGCTGTCACATGGCTTAGTGCTTGTAGAGCGTCGGGGATGTATGCAGTGGTGCCCTGTCTATATGAAGCGGATAGATTGTTTTCGTGGTCATTAGGATGGGATACTAAGTTGGAGGGCTGGGATGCAAAGAAGGTGTATATATATATGTATAGACTGGGAGTGCTGGAGTTTGACAAAAAGAAGATTCGATACCCCATTCACCTTGTTCGCATCCATCTCATCAGCTCCCTTCAAGATGAAGTACGCAACTGTACTCCTCGCCGCCGCGGCGACCGTCTCTGCCCACTCGACCTGGCAGGAACTCTGGGTCGGCACCGAAGACAAAGCTGGAACCTGTGTGCGAACTGTCAAGGACAACAGCCCCGTCACTAGTCTGACATCGCCTGATATGTTCTGCGGTCGTGGTCCCGCTGCTTCGTCTGGAGTCTGTGAAGTCGCAGGTACGCTACCCTCTTTCCCACCTTCTTGTTTCCCAGCCTTCCCCCCCCCCCCCTCTTTCTACAACGAAAATGTGCCTTCAAAAAGAGCCATGATACTAACTTGTTATGTGACTCACAGCCGGCGGTTCCCTGACTGTGGAAATGCACGCACAACCCAACTCGCGCTCCTGCTCCCAACCCGCCATCGGCGGCAACCACTACGGCCCCGTCCTAATCTACATGGCCAAAGTAGCCGACGCAAAGACCGCCACGTCCGGATCCTTCTTCAAGGTTGCCGAGGACGGATACACGGGTACAACAGCCTCGTGGGGCACCGAGATCCTCAATGCAAACTGCGGAAAGCGCGCCTTCACCGTGCCCAAGAACATTGCGAGTGGAGACTATCTGGTCAGGGCTGAGGCTATTGCTCTGCATGCTGGTGCCAACAACCCGCAGCCATATGTCAGCTGCTTCCAGGTCAAGGTCACGGGGGGTGGCAGTGCGACGCCCGCGGGTGTTAGTTTTCCGGGCGGGTACAAGACGAGTGATCCCGTCTTTACAAAGGCCATTTACGACTCGAGCTTCAAGTATGTCAGCCCTGGACCGGCTGTCTACTCTGGTTAAGAGTGCGCCTGGCTGGTGAGGGCGAGGATTGGTGGGGTGACGGCTGGGTATCATGGGGGAACTTCATTGTAAATAGTTGTTATCAAGCTTTGAATATTAGTAGGAACAATCCAATCGATATGTTGGCACCCAAGTATACCTCGGAAGATACAGCACAGCGTCCCGTACAAACAACACTCGTCACTGTCTAGTGTACGCTAATAGAACCCTTGTGATGATCCATCGTGTTTTCCAACAACAATTCCAACACCCGGGCTCTCCACTCGTCACGCATACCGCAGATGTCTTTTCCTCGGGAGGGAAGATGCGTAGAGAAGAGATTTTGTTGTGTAAGCAGATTGGACAAGGAAAGACCTCGATAGCCCCACGTACAAAAAACAAATATGAATAACACCATGGTACGTGGTAGTACCTATGATTGTTATCGAACGTGAAGCAACATATCTCGTGACGCGCGAAGAAAGCACCTCAGGCCCCCCAACCTATTCATCTCTAAAGATCCACTTCCCACCCCTTCTATGCGCTTCCAACCAGCGCTCTTGCACAATTGCTTTATCCTGCTCCATGGCACGCTCCCTATCCTCCTGCTGTTCCTGCGTGGTCGGGAAGTCGACTCTCCAGAAGCCCGGCGGTGTTCTTCGTCGCTCATACGCCTCACGATGCTTGCCCGACTCCTTGGCCAATTTTTTGGTCCGGGCTTGCAGGACAAGCTCTTGTCGTTCTTCAGACGACATCTGCGTAAGCTGCATGGTGCTGTATGCATCGCCGAGGTAATCCTCGAGCAGTTCCTCCTCTTGCGACGAGCTAAGCGGTGCTTGGACTTGGGCAAAAGTTCGGAAGGTGGAGCCACAGCATTGCGGGTTGGTGCAGCCAGGGAGGCACATGCGATCGCCTCGCTTGCGTACAGTCTCTGAGAATGCGTAGCTGTAGCCTTGGTTGTATTCTGGGTTTGGCTTGAAGTCCTTGACGCTAAGCGCACTCACTGGTTTATCGCGGAGACATTGCTCTTTCTCTTTTGGTGGCGGTACGCGGTTCCTTCGTGCACTGGTACGCGTCTCAGGAGCTCTCATAGTCCATAAAGGACCTTCTGGCGTCAGATCTTCGCGAGGCGTCGTGCGCGTTTTCGACTTTGAGTTACGTGATCTTCTACTGCTGGAGGGTGTATAGGTGGGCCGTGACGAGCTTGCGGGTGGGGTTGCCACTTGCTCAGTCTTGATTTTCACCGATCCTGACTTGGGTGTCTTCGGTGAAGTCTTGTCTGGTGTCTGGAGGTTCTTCAATGCTTGTAGTCTCTGATTCATCTGCGCTCGAGCTGTGCTAGGTGGCAATCTCGGCGAATCATGGTTCATCGGAGGCGGTGATTCGTCCGACTCTGCCAAAAAGTTATGTTTGGCTTGATGATACGCTTGGGCTTGTCTTGAGCGCTTGTTTGGAGGTTCCTCCGAAGCACTGCTCACTACGTTAGGATCAAGAGACCTCAACGCGGCATCCTCTACTTGAGTTGGTTCAACCGGCTCACTGATAGCCCTTGGTTGGATGCCTCTAACAACTTGAGGATCATCCGTCTCACAGTAGAGACCAAGCAGATCAGTATTATCCAGGTTCTCATTCTTGATGGCCTGCGTTAGCGGTGCGCTGTCGGGCCTATGCTGACGAGGTGTTTTTGCAGCATCATCGTCATATAAGAGTCGCGTTCGAGGTTGGCGCGGCGTTTTGAGTCCATGGGGCGCAGGATCGTCAAGATCCATCGTCTCAGTCCGAGCCACCATCGAAATGGAAACTGGTGGACTACTCTGCGGCTCTTCCTTCACTCGATGAGGCTTTACCGGCGTGCCATCTGAGGAGTGATCTGCGTATATCTCGAACCTTGATTTTGATGGCTGCTCTCGTTTTCGTTTTAGCGATCGCTCAGAAACGAACTGGGGAACGTCGTCATCATCTGCGTCCACGGCCGGTTCGAATATGCTTCTTGACTGTTCGGGTTCATCTACGGTTGTCTGACTAGAGCTTGGGATCGCTGAACGGTGGCCTTCGTGGTCAGATATTATGCGCTGAATGTGTGATGAGACACCGAGGCCGGTGCCATCGTCATGTTGATGCTGATGTTGCTGGGCATCTTCCAGCCGAATGCTAGCCTTTGGAGTGATGGTCGTGGTCGGACTCTGGGCATCTTCTCCACCAGCCGTCGTCGAGGAGGCCAACCGATTTGTCGTTCCCACGACTGAACGCGGAAACAAAGTCGAAGCAGCAGGAGAAGAGCGATCCGGGTTGACGAATGATCCAGGCGTGCGGATAGTGGCTGCAGAGCCTGGACTGGAGGGCATGTGAGGTCGGTCCTCAGGAAGAAGGTGAACAGCAGCCACGTTAGACTTGCCATCCTCTCTAGCCTCACTCTTTGCCTTTTGCTTTCCAAATTGTCTATCCGCGTACTCTTGCCATGCGCGCACGTTTTCTTTCATATCCTTGTTCTTCTGCATGACAGTAGCGTTCTTCCTCTCTAGGTACTTGATTTTATGAGACATATCACGGTACTTTTTGGTCAATTCGCTAAATCGCTCGGCAAGGTCATGATGCTCTTCTTCGGAGGCGTTCGTTCTTACTTCCTTGGAAGTCTCATGGTCTGGCGACAGAGTAGCTGTGTCTTCAAGCGCCTTGAGTTGTTGCTTCAACTGTTCATTCTCGGCGACGAGGTGGCGATACTCTTCCTCGGACGCACCTGAGGCGCCAATCCTAGAAGCATCCTGGTAGGTCTGACCGGCAGATTCGAGCTGTTCCTTGAGTTGCGCATTCTCCTTGACAAGATGGGCAGTTTTCAAAATCTCATCGTTTAGATGTTCGAATAGTATCTGCTGGTTCTCTTCCTCTACACATGGTTAATACGCGTCGACAGAGTTGGATTAAAACGCGTACTCTGCTCTAACTCCTTCTTATGATTGTCTTCCCCTGATATGCAGTTAGCGATTGCCAAGGCATCGACTGGACATACGAACTCTTCTTCCACTCTTTCTCCAGATCAGGTTGAATGACCTCATCGTACACGCGTGTCCAGAGCCCTTTATTCTGCTCTACCCAGGCTGAAAAGTCTGCCATGTCTGATCAGGCCGACGATGCATCAAATGAGAGATGCGGCAAGGAGCGATTCGATGTTGGGATGGGTCGTGGCAGTGATTGTAGTGTTAGGCGGCAATGGCGAAAGTCACGCGCTAGTGGAACGCGAAGTCACGGGCTGACGCTCGGACATTGAGCGATAACGATAAGACATGATGTCCCGAGGCGCATTCGCCGCCGAGACGGCAGCCCTTCGCTAGGTACTATGAAGCGCGCGCGCGATGGGGAAGATGATGGCGAACATACAGCCAAAGTACAGCGGCTCCTGAATCCCGATCGACTATCAAAGCTCAGCGAAGAACTTCTCGTGCGCGTATTGTCATTCGTGCCAGTACCCTCGCTATTAGTATGCCAAAGGTTGGTACAGCCCTTTCCCCCGAGTCGCGACATGTGCTGACTGTAATAGGGTATCGAAGAAGTTCAGCCGCCTTTCTGTCGACTCGGAACTATGGAAAGCCGCCTACTACCGCACATTCGTCCTGCCGAGAGCGTCGCGCATCCCGGGCATCAAGGGCCCTGCGAACCCTAATCGGCTACACTACTCCTCCCGCCTGTCCAAATGGTTAGACGACGGCTATCTGGTCAAGGATGGTACACAAACCAACTGGAAGCAACAATATCGGCTACGGCATAATTGGACTCAGGGACAATGCGCCGTCAGCGAGATCGTGGTCGCCGAAAGGCCTCCAGATCCGCCGCTGCTAGTCATGATGTCCAACAGCATCATCTACGCTGCCGATTCCATGTCAGGCCTCCGAGCGTGGGATTCGAAGAATGACAGGGAATTGCTGGCGTCTTCCGAACTGTCTGGTGATACAGATACAGCTCGATTGCCAACCTCCATGGCTACAGACGCTAACAACACGGGCGACGATAAAGAACGAGTCGTTGTAGGCTTCGAGGATGGCTCCTTCTCCATATACGCTCTCAGAATAGACCAAAGGACGAGCCGAAAGACGTTTACGAATGTCTTTACCCATCCGCCATCGACCAACGGAATGCTATCGGCTCTCGCATACTCATCGCCTTACCTCGTTACCATGACTGAAGACCACCTACTCTCACTATACGCCTTCGAGAGCATACCAGGCACCACTGGCCTTTTAGACGCACCCAAACTCCTATACTCCCTACGCTCCAACACAGCATGGCCACCCGTATCGCTCTCGCTACGAACAACAGCAACGAGCATGACCGCCGCCATCGCATACTCCTTGCCCACTTATCTATCTGGCTGGACGGTTGGCGTGCAAGAACTGATACTGTCACACAAGGGCGATTTGATCGAGTCACGATTAGCTACTGCGGCAGACGAGCACTCCTTCACACTTTCTGCATATCGCTCGACCTCGTCTGACAGGCTGCCGCCATCGCCTTCATCCAACAGCGCAAGGGAAGCGTCTGTACCGAGCGGGCCGAGTCGATCGAAACCCACCTCCATGTCGTATTCCCACCCGTATCTGCTCGTCGCACATCCCGACAACACATTATCGCTCTACCTCGTCCGGTCCACATCGCAGGCACTTTCGATAAGCTCCGGCAACCGTCTCTGGGGCCATACATCCTCAATATCTGGTGCTCATGTTGGCATGCGCGGAAAGGCCGTGTCCGTGAGTAGAAGAGGAGACGAGCTCCGGGTATGGGATTTGGAGGGTGGCATGACTTCTTCGGCAAACCGTAGGCGCTCAAGAAACGGACATTTGAGTGTTCGTGTGCAGCCATCCAAAGCCAGTGAGGAGCATCATACACAGGACGATGAATCAGGGCAGCAAGTAGGCTTGCGATTCGCCCTAGACCAGGGGTTCGATGACTCTTCTGTTAGTCGCGGTTGGGTTGGTTTTGACGAGCAGAATGTGATTGTGCTGCGAGAGAAGAGCGAAGGTAGTCAAGCTTTGGTGGTATACGACTTTACGTGACAAGCCGTATAGAATGCGAGGCGTTGTAATATACCCTCATAGTGTCCTGACTCCGGTGCTGATGTACATCCCCTTATTGCACACCGACCCTTCGACCTCATCTCGGTCTTTCAGAAGACGATGTACATATATAGTCGGACCTATGTGATTGGCGTGGACTTGGCGAGGCTGCTGTGACCACGGTACACATCCTGCCGAGCCGAAGTTGGTACGGGTCCTCACTCCGACTCCGACTCACCAAGACAATCAATACTCCTGTGATAAGGAATCTCGCCCAGGCAATAGTATAGTGAGAATGGAGATGTTGCCTCCAGTGCTACCGGGGCTTGAGGCGTATAGCCTGGGACAATCTTCCAACAAATCCGCCTTCTATACGACTGTTCGCAGGTCAGAATGTTTTGTGCAAGATAGGGTAGGGGCTCAACATACGGCATATTTAAGTACAGCATGTATAACGGTCGCTGTGAAACTTAGCGTGGTCTTGTTGTGTTAAGCGTGCGTTCTTACCTCGGTGCCATAGAGCATGTTCGATACCAACTCCTTAACGATAGACCGGAGATTATCATACAGGTTCTCGATTGTTTGTTCGAGGCGGATAAGTTCAATGAGGTCGGTTCTCGATGGATTTGGTGGAGCGCGAGCTCCATGCTTCCTTCTCCAGCCAAACATAAAGTCGTCATATGACATACGTTCGCAGTGCCATACCACTTTCTGCCACATCGCTCGGATCGCTTCTAAAGCCAATACCATCTCCTTCGCATCAGGCCGTTCAGAACAAGACATGTCCATATTGTCTCCCAGAGTCATCAAAACATGCACAAGATGGAGGCGTAGACCGTACTCATGTTCTTGCATCAGGATAACAGTAGCATCGCTGAAAAAGGTCTCCTTCGCTTTTTTGTAGTCTAAACTTCCGAGACTCCTTTTGAATGGGGGTTGAGGCATGGAATTTGCACTGCGAACGAATGCTCTGGCGGTCTCAGGAAAGATCTGATTCGCTGGCTGTCCGTAGTCGATCTCAGCCCGTTCAGCGTCCGGTATCAGGCCTTGTAGTCCAAATACTCTATCTTGAGGGTTTTGACACTGGCTCGCACTGAACGTCAGAAGCAATTCTGCATAGCTGTAGTGCCTGGCTGACAAGGCATGATCTGTAAGCCACTTGACTTGTGACGGCACAACGTCATCCAAGTAGACATTTCCATTCAAGTAGACCTTTGTTAGCGTTGAAGAGCAAAAGCGTTTCAGTTCGTCCCATGGAAGCAGTGTCTCGCCACATATGACGCGAATGTATCTTGCTAGCATGATCTCTTGAACGATCCATAACCTCAACCAATATGGATTGCCGAAGAAGTGCCTTAGCGCGGACCTTAGCGCGGATGTCCAAATCGAATCTTCGGCTTGCGTCGAAGTCCCGTCCCTACTCATTTTGCTGGACGTCTTCGATCTTTTGGTCAAGGATTCAGAATCATGATAGCGTCTGTAGCTAGATTTCAACGCTCTCATAACTGCTTCCGTACTACCATCAGACTTGCCTAGCCAGACGTAGACGTAGGTCGCTCTTCGATAGATGTCGGACATCATCTTGACCTGATGGTTGCGCTCTCCAGTCAACGCCTGGTTGATACATACCTGGTCTATCCACAACCACTGAACCTCATCTTCGTAGCCATTACCACCTCGAAACTTGTATAGACGTTCCCTAAAGGCGTAGATAAAGTCGTAAAGATTCTGCCGTACGAGAAAGCGGTGACCGTTGACTTGGATCTCCTGAACAGGCGATGGAGGACCCCAAACATAAGAGAGAGCGCGGTATTCGGGAGTAGGGTTGGACTGGAGGTTCACATGTATGAGGTTGCACCTGATTGGTCCTGTTATTTCGGGAATGATGGATATCAGCCTGATTTCCTGAACAGCCTGATTGATCGGCTCATGAACGAAAGCGGCGCTGGAACCTGCCATGTTCGTCGTGTATTTCGCAAAATGATTATGGGTGTGAGCTTCGAAACAGCATCGCTAAGAAAGTGGTTGTGTGGAGAGAAAGGAGATGTCATGATGAGACAGGTAAGGCAGAAGCCAAGAGAGTGGGGTTTGTGGCGCAGTCGTGGCAGTGCGTAGTGAAGACCAAAGAAGCAATTAATTTTCTCTCTATCTAAAAGTAATAGTCGTGCGCCACGCCTTCACTGTTACCACATTTGCCCACTACGGTATTGTTCGTGAGTTACCAGAACCAGAGGAGCAAAACTATCGCCCAGAGCTCAGAGACAGTGTTGACTAGTTCGATTCCCAGTCCTCTAACTGGAGATTTTGGGTTTTTGGCCCGCTGGGTGGGATAAGCAACACCTGCAGCATCACGGTGAAGCAAAAGCTCCCGGTCAGGCATTGTTGGAGGACAAATGGCGTAGTAAAACGGCTGGAAGAAAGCCACAGTATACGTAGGCCAGAGAGTAGTCACCCATAGTACCCGTGGAAGAAGGTAAAGGAACGCGTCCCTTGAAGCTAGACCGTGAAGATTCGAGGCCGTTTTGAGGTTGCTCATGATCCCCGCAACTAACGCCAAAGCGATGCACAAGTGGAAACTTCCACCGTCTTTGATCATAATTGACCTTAAACGCTCCCTCAGAGAAGCCCTGCGCAAACGGCTTCTTTCATGAAGTTCGTCGGGCAAGCTTCCCGTTGAACGGAACTTGGCGAAGAAAGCGTTGGGATACCCTCCGAGCCATTTGGGTAGCAAGAACGTCTTGCAATGGTTGACCGCATAGTCTATACAGATGTCAGTCTTGTTATCAAGTACGCTCCAGGACCAGCTTACATGGATTTAGGAAATGTGCGCAAAGTAGCTCACGGCAGCTAGCTCCATAACCGCAAACATAGGCCATCAAGCATTGGCGTACAAAGAGCAAAGCGTGAACTGCAGATGCAACTCGAACAAGGGCGATTAATTGCTCTGTTCCTGTATACATGACGACAGGCCAACCAGCCAGAAGCATCACCAGAGTTTTTATGACATCCAGCGTTTTCAGTATGGCTGTCGCGTTGTGAACAAGATACCAAAAAGTGTACGCTCGCTGCCAGCCGGTAAGACCGCCCGAAAGATCTCCATAGAGACCCAGCTTCATGATTAGACCTGCCTGAAAGCCGCCGGTGCTCTATCAAATCGCTCAAAGTCAGCATTCAATGACAAGCTTGAGAGTTGCACAGCAGTCTACATACCCATCGCGTACGTTGCCGAATATGTGCACTATATGTTTCTGGTACAAGACCCCACTGTAGCTCTTCTTTCACGTATGCTGACCGCCAATCTACGGATGGATTAGTTAGGACTTGCTAGATTCAGCACAAGTAGCTTTGCCTACCTCTGCCAATGAGGAGATTGCCACAAAGAATATCCTCAGTTAGTGATTGCGAAGGGAAGCCGCCTATCTCGGCCAGGGCTGTCCGTCGCATGACCCAACCAGATCCAGTGCACCACGCGATGCCTGCTCCATCCTTGATCGTCTCTTCGAACTTGTGGAAGACGAAGAGCGACTGCGACAGGGGATCATCCATAGGAACGTTATAAAAGCAAGATGGTGGACAGGTAAATGCCATCTTTGGATCCCCGAGCAGATGTGGTAATTGTGCTCTCAGCCAGTGTCTCGCAGGGATCATGTCGGCATCTAATCCCGCAATGAATGGTGCCTGGCCTCCTGGAAGTCTTGCCGTGTACTCGAGTACGTGGTTGAGATTACCTGCTTTGTGACTGTTTGCAGGAGTCCTCTGACGTGCCGTGTAGAAGAGGTGACTGTTGGGGTACTGCTCTTGTAGGCGTTGCACACCCCTTGCAACACTCTTTTGAGCCCCGTCGTCTGAGACAATGATACGGATCCTGTCACTCGGCCAATCTGTGTTCAAAGCGGCTCTCACCGTATCGAGTATCACGGACAGGTCTTCGTTGCAGCATACTATCGCGATATCGACTGACGGGACATCGTTGCCCACCAGACGTAATCGAGGTCTCCAGGTGCCCTTTGCAACTGCTGAAGCGTCCAGTATCTTCTTCACATATTCGGGCACTACGAAGGTTGGCTTTGCACATTTGGGGGAGATGGAGGGTCTAAGTACCATTGGTGATCATATCCAGGATTACATAGCCACGTTGGGCTATCAAGACTTTACTTGGAGGAGCACCGTCTGAAGCTGACAGATAGTGGTATTGCATCCACCAATAGTAGAAGCTCACAACAATTGGCAATAGCGTCGCCAATGGCATGAACCGGAGTACTTTCTTTTCCTTCTCAGTCAAGGTGAAGAGATCCTCATACTTTGCATCTGTAGCCAAAATTTGGTAACATGTAGCATGAGCCTCGTCGCAGTTCAAGAAACTCGCTTGCGAAGGTTTAGTTGGCCTCAAAACAGGGATGCGCATGTTCTTAAAGAATACGGTAGTTGGTGTTGAAGTTGAAGACGAAAAGAGTGGTTTGGAAGCCTGATTCACCGATGGAAGTGAGAATGTAAGGGTAAGGAAGTTTGGGATATTCGAAATTATAGGTCTGTTTCAGGTTGGATGGCATACCCCTTACGAGGCTGCAGATAAGGCGGTAAGCCACAATCAGTGATTCAAACCAGGCGGAATGAATCTATGAAACGCTTCCGCTGTTGTTGGGCGCGCAAGAGCCCCGAGCGGAACGACTTCGGGACTTCTATGTAGTGAACGTGGAAACAGTTGATCTGATCCACGACCCGATTACTATTCCCGTGACCATCCGCCTAACGGAACTTCCATATCCAATAAATGTAAACCTTACAGACCCACATAATCGTCAGCCGCTGATCGTGATAATCATACATCCGTAATCTCGCCAAGACCTGATTGGTACTTTCTGGTAGGATGTATCTCCTTCAGCAATCTGAGGTTTTATTGACTTAATGGACGATTTAGTACTAGAAGCTGGGCACAACGCTGTTTAATGACAATCTTTTGCTCATAGTTTTGGTGTATTTCTTGAACACTTTGTACTTCCTGTATGCAGTTGCGGTTCTTATTGAGCTACCAATCATTGAAAATGCACCTCAAACTTGGAATCTTCTTTATGCTCCTTTGTGCCTTATGGGCTTGCGCGCTCTTTTCGACATCCTACAAATCCCAGTACTCGTCATCTCGCTATAAAGTAGGGCATAGTCGTGATGTGAATCAAACACTTGGATTTGAAAAGATCTTTGTCATCAATCTGCCATTCCGAACTGATCGAAGAGATGCATTGGAACTGATGGCAGCGGCCACAGACATGAAGCTTGACTTTTCAAGGGCTGTGAAAGGAGAAGAAGTCGAAGAAGTAGCCCTGGTATATGTAAGGTCCTTCTACACTACGGATCACAAGTGTCTTGCTCAAAACATCCAAGGGACGTTCGAAAAACGAAGCAAGTAATGGCACACGCGGAAGCTGGAGAAGCCACCTCAATGTTATCAGGACGTGAGTGAAGGTCTTCAATTGATGTCAGTAGCTGACTGTCCAAAGCGTTGTTGAAGATCGTCTTTCAACCGCACTGATTATGGAAGATGACATAGATTGGGACGTGCGTTTGCAAGAGCAAATGTCACGTTTATGGAGCAACCTTGGTCAGAAACGGCTACAAAGTTGGGAGTATGTATTGCTAGAGTGGTTTCACAAGCGAACATGGCTAACTCCCACGAGTGTTCTATGGCTCGGCCACTACGGTGAAACCTTCGACCCTACCGACCCAGGATTGACCACCTTTCATGATCCCACCCTTCCCGACTCCCTTACAGACTTCTATTCAAGAAGCACGTCTCAATTTCCGCCACAAAGCCGAGGAGTTCATCGAAGCGACTTCCCACTAGGAACATTTGCGTATGCAGTCAGCTACCACGGAGCAAAGAAGATCCTGTAAGTCTTGTAGCCAGCGCAAGATATATATCTTTATCTCACTACTCCAACAGCTACCAAATAGGGTTGAAGTCCACTGTTGCGCAGTACGATAATGCGTTGGCGCTGTCCTGTCAAACCGTCTTGAATTGCATTTCTTTGACACCGGGGCTTTTCCACGACTATAAGGCAGCTGGGTCACCAGAGAAACATTCTTCGAGTAGTCCGCATTTGGAAAAAGAGACACCTCATGAGCTTTTTAGCAAGGAAAGTAGGAGCTTGACACGTAGAGAACGAATTCTAACGAAGAACCTTAGGACATAGAGCTGTCTGTGCGTCAGTATATCGGCGAGGAGCTTGGGAAGCAAAACGATCGCCCCAAACAGCCACTATCTGAGTCGGAGATAAGTTCGCGATGGTTTGAAGCAGTACAAGGCGAAAGGTTCAGAACCTAGAGACATCCACACATTTGATACCACGGAAATTTTACTTGACGAATAAATTGTGGTGTCTTAGCACCGGTATGATATCATAAAGCCGGCTTTAACTTACTGATGCAGCTACTGTATTACTGTAGAAACCTTATGTTATATAGTGGACCACGCATTATCAATCGGTATCATTGCCCCATTAATCATCGTCGACTCTTCTGAAGCCAGAAAAGCAATGCCACGCGCCACGTTATCCACTCCAATGTAAGGAACCGGCGTTCCCTCGCTGTCTTTCGATACGTGCATTTGCACAATAGGGCTGTTTGTATAAGTAAGCGCAAAGCAGAACACATTCAATTTAGCTTAAGACTTACAAGAAAGCATTGAAGCCAGCAGAATCAAAGTGCTGCATCTGCACTGATGATGCGATGTTGGTTGCAACGCCGCCAGGCAGCACGCCATTGCATCGAATGCCTTCCTTATGGAATCGCCAGGCAACGTTTTTTGTAGCACCCACCTATCGCGCTGTCAATACTATTGTATGGTGTTGCGGCCGGGGGTTTGTACGTACCAGACCATGTTTGCTTGCAGTGTACGCAATACCAGCACTCGCCCCCGAAGTTCCTGCTTTACTTCCAACGTTGACGATAGAACCACCCTTTTGTTCCTTCATCGCCGGCAATACAGCCTTCATCATGCGAATAGGCACTGTCAGGTTGATAGACATGACCCTCTCCCACTCTTCTTCGTGAATCGTGTCGGCGCTGCTCCAACCATCGCTCACGCCCGCGCAATTGACCAGGACATCGATGCGGTTGTGTTTGCCGACGCACTTCGCTACAGCATGCTCAGCAGCTTGCGACTCGGTAAGATCAGTCTTATAGAAGGTGAATGTTGAGTAGTCTTCAGCGAGCTTCTGCGGCTGTTCGCCGATGTCTATTCCGAACACTGAAGCGCCTCGTTCGAGGAACAAACGTGTAGTTGCTAGGCCGATACCGGAGCTGCAACCGGTGATTATCGCGACTTTGTCTTGGAGGCTAGAAATGGACATGTTTAGATGCGAGTAATATTGATTGACGTATGGATGCGGATTGATCGATGATTCAGACTAATTGGCGATGCCCGCTGGTGGAAAACTTGGAATGACGTCAACGGTTAGCGTAAATTCTGGGACCCACTTTTGACAGTACCATCTAGAATGTATCCACTTGGACGATGCTTCATCTTCACCATCGAGCTCTTCGACCACGAAGACTGGAATGTACGTATTAGATAGGGAAGAGTTCGAGGACAAGAAAACTGGGTATATTATGCTATCCTAAGACAGCGATCGCGCAACATCATCCTTGGCACGAACAAAAAGAGCTACGGAGCCGATCCCGACGCGTCAACGCGTCCATCACCACTGACAATCTAGATTACTTCTTCCATGCGATGGACATCGCTATCCTTCGTCCATTGCCTGATTCTCTTGCCTAACCCAAAGTACAGTGGGAAGACGAACAGTGCAGGCCCCATCGCACAAGCGAAAATGACCATGGCGGGGGTGATCCACCCATTCTTGCTCTCGTGGGCAAGATCAAAAACCCAGTAACTATACGAGAAACCGATGAAGTTTTTGCAGACTGTCGCGACAACCATAATCTCACCGGAGATAGGTTTGTAGCAGTCGATCGCGTATGCGATGGCGATGGTGGGCACGGTTGTGACACTAAGGCCGGCGAACCCATAGCCCCAAACGACGATATGACCCCATGCCCATTGTTGCTGGTATGCGACGCCACCGAGGATTATCGAGAGCATGGTAATGATCATGTAGATGAACAATGCGGGCAGTCGCATCTCCGCTTCGCGTACACCGCCGTTCTTACGCGCTGCGCGAGCAGATACCCAGTCGGAGTATGGACCTGCCGTCGCCAGACCAAACAGTGCACCTACTGCGAATGCGAAGTTTGTGTAGCCGACTTGGTCTGGCTTGAAAAGGTAAGGTGGTGCGGCGAGCACTGGCGACTCTGTGAGGTTGAAGAAGAGGAGGATATCAGCTGGTCCAGCAAGCATCAGCCCTGCCCATAGGATGATTGGGTTGAAGAAGACTTTGATCGGCGTCCAAGTGTCGCGCACAACAAACATCTTCCACCGAGCATCTGGCTTCATGAACGGCATGAACTGCGCACGTGAGGGGCGCCCTTGCACGGCAATGGGTGTCTCTAGCGAATTTCGTTCGGAGTCTTGAATCCCAGCCTGCGTCGTCTGCTTCTCAAGGTTGCTCTGGCCGTCGCTGCTGACGTTGTCGCTACCAGTCTGAATGATGAACGTCGCATTACCGCGATGGTACTTTGTCTCAGGAAAGGTGAGTGCGATGAGGATAATGGAAACACCGGACAATGCTGTTTCTAGCCAGAAGAATGACTGCCACCCATAGTGGGCTGCCATAGATCCCGCCATGATTGGACCAAGGAAGGCTCCCATGAAGTAGCCAGTGCTACATGACATATTAAATACTGTACAATGGCGTGGAGCAGGCATTACTCACAAATAAACTCCGGTCCAGAGGCCTCTCTCGTGCTGGTAGAAGACGTCCGCAATCATCTGCACAGGGATACTTTCGCTCGTCGCACAGACCAGACCGTTTACGGCACGCGCCGCCAGCAGACTGCTATGACTGGTTGCCAATGCCTGCCACACACATGACAACAGAATCAGTACCGAGAATACCAGGCTGACAGCGCGTCTACCAAAAATGTTGGAGAGCGGCACGATGATGAAGTTGGCGAAACCGAGTGTGATGACGGTGATACCAGTCAGCATAGCCAACTGGTTGTTGTTGAGATGAAACTGCGCACCCAAGAGAGGGAACATGGGCGCAATGGACAGAGCACCAGTGACGGAGATCCAAGTGAAGAGCCATTGCGAGGCCATTACCATGACTGAGAAAGCTGTAAGCGGATTCTAAACCCTGTGGTAAGGAACAACGTACGCTTCCATTTCCGGGTCCAGTTCAAAGGGTCGCGGGGATCAGAAGAGGGCGTGGGTATCAATGTCTTCTGTGCTGAGCTGTCCTGGACGATCTCCGTGCCAGGTATGAGCTCAACGTTGCTGTGGTCAGTCGCCATCTTGAAGCTGCTTTACTCGTCGCAAATTGTTTACTTAGATGTTGAGCAGTCCAGCATGAACCTGCAGCGAGGATGCCATCTTATAGTCCTGTAAGCACTCGGCGTATTCGCGGTCTATGGTTCATCAATGCCTGGTAGACCGCGGAGGAGGCACCGCTCGGCATTGATCCCAATGCGGTGAGATATCACTTCATGCGCGATCAGCAGTCAAGATTGATTCTCCCTACGCACCAGATGTGTCAGCTACTGCAAAATCTAGCTAGATCAGCGAATGATAATGTAGTGAAATGAACGATTATGGGCAAGTCGAGGCGACTGGGTCTGTTCGCACTTCCGTAGTGTACTCTTGAATCCTTGCTCAACGGGCATTGGCAAAGCTTCGGCTGGTCAATGGTTGGCCGGCAGATGCTATCAACGCTATCAAACGCATGCATGGAGTCGGGAGGACTTTAGGAAAGGTCCCCTGTATAGTTTCTCAACCCGCCGATCCCACAACCTGCATGATGTGAGGTACAAGGCTGATGCCCTAGAGCCCTATCAATAAGCTCGTGCATAGTGCATAATGACCCTAGCTGCAGCCGGACCATGGGCGACTGTTCTGACGAGTGTTGAGCTTTCCTCTCTGGCTTGCACTCCTCTTTACAGATTCAAGGGCCTTGTTCTTCTCCCTTCTCCACAGAATTTGCTCTCAAACAGCACGATAAGGCGTGGCGCGTCGCAAACCTCCTCTTCCTACCTCTTACTAAATGTATCTTCGAAAATGTGGCAAATGTGAAGCTTTACTGTTTTCGGCATTGAGAGTGGAGACCCATTGTGGTGGTGGCGGGCACCATTCGGGAGGTCGCATCGGAGAATGCGGGGAGGCGCGCTGACGGACTCCCGTAGCCTCACTTGGCGAAGCGACTTGTCATTCTTTATTCAACCTTGAACTTCTCGACTATAACTGTTTTTCGTCAAGTCTGAAATTCGCGCGACACTATCGACTGAGATTGATTCGTTTTCTGGAAAACGGAACTTTCCGTTCAAGTTGTCATGAAGCGTTCCTCTCAGAACGACGATACGTACCAGCCATATACATGCGATGTTTAGCAAGGAGGTATAGGCTTCTTCGTCTATGTCTAGAGGTTTTTGAGGGATGTAAGACAGTGCAGGTGTCCCCAGAATGACTGCGTGATCAGATGGGAAGCCATGATAATTGAAAACACCCCGAACGAACCACGAGGGCAAGTTTTGCCGCGACATCCGGCACATTGCTAATCCAGAACGAAGTAGCAACTTCAAATAGTTACACAAAGCAAGTATTGGCCAAAGTTACTTCGCAATCACTTCGAAGCCCTATCTGATTTTGACAGGGTATCACGGATGGCCAGATGTCGTAAAGCCATTTTCCATGTCTTTTCACTTCCTTCGAAATTGCTCTTGACTTAGAGTTTTGCTGAAACTCCCAAATCGATGACCGGCGTTCCAAGAAAGATACGCTTGTCCATGCATGACAAACTCTTCCAATCCTGAGAGCGTGCGTGTTTTTGCGGAGAGTGTGCATTCATGCGAATCCATCGTACTGCAATCTCTCGTGCAACAGCATCTGGGTTGGCTTGCGCATCGTACATCAACACGGCAGCACTAACGATTACCATGAGGTGTTCGAGAATTTCTCGTCCGTGGTATAGGAGCTCTTCTTTCTGCGCATCATGGACAAGTTTGTTGAGAGCCTGAAGTATATCCTCGACGATTGGAACCTGATCATGAAAGGTAGACGAACATTGGTCGAGCAAGTCTTTGATCCATGGCGCGAACACGTTGTTCAAGATATCACCATCGCCCAACCGCTTGTCAGTAAGCACTCGAACGACGTCCTCAGCCATAACGCTGACGGTACCTTCCCATATCGGATTGACGAGATTATCGCGGTAAATCTTCGCAATGTTCATCAAGCCGCCGTCTTCGTTGTTCTCGCAGTATCCGACACCGCCGAGGCATTCCATACACTGCCGTAGCCCATGAACGGATGCCACACTGACTTGGGCTTTCATCGCAGGCAGCAGCAATCTCAACAAAGCCGCTACCGTAGTCTTGTTATTTGGTATCAACCTCGCTGCTTTCGTGTTTGCAACCATTTTGTCCCAATCTTGTTCCAGAGCGCCTTGCAGGGCAACACCGAGGTACGTGAAGTGCGTATTAGCCCAGTATCCGACCGTCTCTCCAGCCATCCACGCCAGATGTGCAGGGTTGGCCTGGAGTAATTCACCACGAACTTTGCGTACCTTGCTATAGGCACGGCAAATAGCCAAACCACGTCCCCAGTTCGCAACGCTGCCCCCTGCAGTGTGCAATCGCGTGATATTGAGGATAGCGGATATTTCCTTGACGCCTTGGCCTTCAGTACCGATGAGCCATCCACGCGCACCATTCAGTTCGAGCTCGGCAGTTGGCAGTGACTTAGTTCCTAGCTTATCCTTCAGACGCTGGATGCGAACACCATTGAGCTCAGTTTGAGGCTGCACTTCTTCATTCATAGAATCGGAACCCAGCGATTGAGTACCCACCCTTCGACGCATGGGTATGTAGAATGCCGACAAGCCACCTTTGTCTGTACGTGCAAGAAGTACAGCCATCTCAGAGTCTGTTGCGCTGCTGAACCACTTGAAGCCATGTATCCTCCAAGGGCCTAGTTGCATACCGACTGCATCACGGTCTCTTCCCATCTTTCTATCTTCAGCCAGTTCCTGCGATGTCATACGTGCAGCAAATGTTTCTGTGCCGGATACATCACTGCCACCGGATCGCTCCGTCATCCATTGCCCACTTGTCCAAGCCACATCCGGGTCGCGACTGCAAAGTCGATCGTACGCTTCTCTTAGTACTTCGCCTCGTCCTGATTGATCCCCATCAGAATCATTCTTGTGCTTGTCTAACAGTGTCGCAGCGCCATCAGTCATGCTTTGAGGGCACCCGGTCATGGTACCAGTCGAGCTCCATACATGATTTCCGACAAATTGTTGCACACGCCTGTTGAAGGTGATATGGGCTTTGTCGTAAGCCACCGAGACCACCCCCTCTTGGTATCCAACCTCTTTCAGCTTCTGCCACCCAGACGTCGTCCACAAAGGATCAATCTTGTTCTCTGCACCGAATGTAGAGAGTGGCCGTAGTACCGGATGTTTCGTCTCCGCGTCCGTGGCATACTTCAAGATAGATGGCTTCAACGCTAGACGTGCTAGATGGTGTACATGCTTGGTTGCTTCCGTTGCATTTTGTGGTAAGTAGAGATCCAATATTCGCACGACGACCTTATCGTCCGAGGCCTGCAGAGAGTCCGGATATCGAGACTGGAGAGCTTCTGGAAGGGAAGATAGATTGGTGTATTGTGGTGGTAGTACCGGAAGAGCTTGGAAGAAGCCAGCGGTTGAGGAGGAAGCAGAGAATGGCTGTTGCATCATGCTGGCATATGCGACACCAATGACTTTGGAAAACTGAACGTTGAATTGGAAAAACACACGATGTCTGTACGCGTGACTGAGATATATCCCAGATTCTCGGATATCCAGGCTGATGAGGAGATCCTCGGTTCACCCCGCAAAATGCCCAATCCGGCAGCCATAGCCGGATTAGCAGCAACATCGGCCGAGGGCACCATACGACCAAGCTCATTGTAGTTTTTGAGACTTTTTATCATGAAAATGTGCAGGCTGATGGCCGTCGTAGAGCAAGACGATCACTCTTGTTGCCTACTTAGGTGCCGTCTCCTCGGTGAATTTCCAAAATCATCTCCCGGTACACCTCGGCTTGGAACTCATCCTCCGATATTCTATACATGCCGATGGTTACAGCAATCAATACTACGCTGATACCATGATCGGTTGGGACCAAAACAAGCCTGTCGGTAATTTAAGAAGCGAAAAGCTTGTCGTGATTTGCCTTCGGTACTATCGTTGCAACTGCCGACACTCGATGTTAATTAAAGCCTTCATCCAAATGATCAAGTCGGGAGATCGCCACAGGTTTGTTGCTGAATGAACGTCACAAGATGTGCGACTACAGACTTCTCGGCGTTCTCATTGGCATGAGCAAGAAAAGAGGTATTGTCACTGTCACACTCCAATATATTGGATGATAGTAGCCACCAGTGTACACTTGCTGTCATGTCTGCTGCTTGGCTTAAAAAGCGGTCGAACCATCGACTTGGTGTTTCTCGCAACTCTCCAGTAATTCGAAATATTATTGTTGCCATGATTTGGTCCACCATCGCCGCCGGCGCTCTGTTGACGCAAAGCGTCGCTGCACAGAATATGCTCCGTTTTGCATGTTCGCAACTCACCGTCGAGAGAGCTGATCCGCTGGTGAATCCTGGTCAACGACCCTCACCACACACGCATCAGATCATCGGAGGAAATTCCTTCAACCTTACTGTACGACCTGCCTGCCTCGTCAGCCAGACATTCACTAACGTGTTGCAGATGGAGCCCGGCGTCTTTGATCCTCCAACTCGTTCAACCTGTACATCCTGCACGTATAGCGAGGACTTCAGCAACTACTGGACTGCCTCGCTGTACTTCAAATCCCCCGAGAACGGTACTTTCCAGCGTGTGCCACAATTCGCCAACGTAGGGCTCCAACAGGATGGCGGTATGACGGTATACTACATGCCGTACTCTGCCAAGAACAATAAGATGACAGCCTTCAAGCCAGGGTTTCGCATGATTGCGGGCGATCCCATGGCCAAGAAGCCCAACAAGGCAAGCATCTGCCACAGATGCTTGCAAAATGGTGAAGGCTTTGCGCCGTGTGATGCAAAGGACACTGCGGAGCTGCCCAACAAGTACTGTCCTGGTGGAATTAGAGCGACTATCATCTTCCCTTCTTGCTGGGACGGCAAGAACCTCGATTCCCCAGATCACAAGAGCCACGTCGCGTACTCGAACAGCGGTGGTCTGGGTACTCCAAACTGCCCTAGTACGCATCCCGTGGCCATCCCACAAGTAATGTACGAGATCATGTGGGATACCGCACGGTACAAGAACAACGCCTGGTACGGTGCTGGAAAGCAGCCGTTTGTGTACAGCTTTGGTGACGGGTGAGTGCTCTCCCTTATGCTTTTACAACGGCGATTAACTTGCAACAGTACAGGTTACGGCCAACACGGCGACTACCTCTTCGGCTGGAAGGGTGACTCGCTACAGAAGGCCATGGATGCTTTGCCCAGCGGCAAATGTGCCAATGCTAATTGTCAAGTGCTCAAGATCCAGTCTGCACAAGACTCGATGAAGTGCAAGAAGCCACAGCAGGCGGTTGAGGATGTTGGTGTGAGTGGCGACTGGCTGACGGAACTTCCTGGGGGTATGGCGGTTACTTACTGATGTTATTCTCTTCGCTTTACTGCTAGCACGACTGTCGGCAAAGATCACAATCTTCACCGTACGTTGACGTAACCAAGTTGCTGCCAAATGGTTATGATCCGCAATACGTGACATAGTACCAACGAGAACTTCAGTGCCAGTGACGTTGAGACAAGCTCGAGCGATATGCGGCCAGCCCCACGCCAGATCTGGTTATGTGGCGCTCGCGTTGTCGAGATGCAGCTTGTGCGAGTACCGAACGCACGCTGGGAGCTTTAATGCGACACGTGACATACTTGTTTCGTCTCTGGCATGAGCAGCCGAATGTAGTGTTGTCTCGACGCGTCGCGAGCACGACGGTAGGCTTCCAGCACTGCACAACGCGTTCTTAGCCCGCCTTCTTCCGTGGAAAGAAAGAAATCCTCATTCTGAAGCTTGTGTGAGATAGTGGGGGTGCATCTTGGATTTTCGCTTGAGTCGCGGGATGGATGTGTGTTGTTTCTGTTGAGATGCCCGAGGTTTACCGACGTTCGCCCGTGAAGGAATGCCTCTAGCCCGCCAAGCTTACCCCTCATTCATCCATCTACCCCGAGCCTTTCTCACGATCCACAGCTACCCCGAGGATCCGGAACATCATGAGATACACCCGCAAATTTTGTGATTCGAGGAAAAACTCGTCATCGTACTCGCATGCGATTTGAGCCGCAACTGCACGGCCGTCAACATGCTGCAGCCGTGGCAACAGCAGCCTGGGCCCAACAGGTTGCGCGGCATATGGCGCGTAACGGAAGACTGGAGCCGCATCGAGATCAGCCTGAGTACTCAATATCTTGAGCCTCATCCCACGTTGAAACTCTCGAGACCAAAAAAGAAATGGCCACTTCCACCATGAGCACTTTCGCCAACCCAGTCCTCACAGGCTTTAACCCAGACCCATCTGTCATCCGCGTTGGTGACGACTACTTCTGCGTTACCTCATCCTTTGAATACTTCCCCGGAGCGCCCATATATCACAGCAAAGATCTTATCAAATGGAAACTAATCGGCCACGCACTCACGCGCAAGTCTCAACTCGATATCAGAACCCCGGAGCCAGGAGGTGGTGTCTGGGCAACAACCATTCGGTACCATAAGGGCACTTTCTACATCATTACCAACTCTTTCGACCGATACAGACCGCAGAACGATGATCGTGTATGGCCACGTGGCTTTTATGTCAAAACCACCAATATCTGGAACGAGAGCTCGTGGTCTGACCCGGTGTATTTTGATCAGGTTGGTTTCGACTTTGACCTTTTCTGGGACGACGACGGTCAGGTGTATCTCTCTTCGACTTACCGGAAGGTTGATCGCTCCTCGGATTCGAAACTGAAAGACTTTGCCATACACGTGTCTACCATTGACCTTGCTTCGGGCACCTTGAAATCCACGCCAAAGATGATCCGGGAGTCTAAGTCAGGTATCGCAGAAGGCTCGCATCTCTTCAAACTGAACGGCTATTACTATCTCTTCACGGCGGAAGGAGGTACTGAATCAGGGCACTGCGAATATGTGAGCCGGAGTCGCGAGAGCCCTTTCGGACCGTGGGAACAAGCACCACATAACCCACTTTGGCGCAACACAACAGACGATGAGATCCAGAACACTGGTCATTGTGATATTGTTGAGGATACCCAAGGCCAATGGTGGGCCATGTGCTTAGGCGTACGGCCGAAGAAGGAAGGTGCTGAATGGCGAACGTCAGTTTTCGGACGCGAGTCCATGCTACTTCCGATTCGCTGGGAGAACAACTGGCCGATATTCAACGAGGGAAGGCCAGTCGCCTTGCAAATGAGCGGACCAAACAAGTACATGCTTGATGAGGACAAGGCTTGGAAAGACAACTTCAGTGGTGTTAGACTTGGTCTTGGGTGGTATCGGAAGAGTGAGCATCTCAGAAGCTGCTCTGAGAAACACTACTAACGCATACGTAGATACACCTGTGAGGAAAGACTACTCAATGACAGCGCGACACGATTACCTTACTTTAAATGGTAGTCCCTACACGCTATCGATGCCCACATGTCCAACGCTGTTCTTGCGGAAGCAAAGACATTGGCCGGTGGTGTGGGAGACTCAAATAGATTTCCAGCCTGATGTGCCGCGCGTTGAGGCAGGAACAGTGTTATGGTGGAATCATACTTGCTACGCCAGCATTGGTATCGCGCTCACAGATCGCGATGGTCGACAGCAACGCGTGGTTAAGCTTACGCGACCGGACATGGAAATTGTAGAGCATGTTATCTCAGAGAAGGGCGAGGTGAAGCTTGTCATCGATAGCACTGCCACAAGCTACCGATTCGGATACCGGCAAGCCGACGATGGTCCGCAGCAGAAGACAGAGTGGACATGGCTAGGCGACATCGATACTCAGGTCATGACACGCAATCCGCCCGTTGGTCAGCCTTTCACTGGCATGATGATGGGACTATACGCATGTGGCGAACTACAGCCTGTTCTGACCCCGGCGCACTTCAAATATGCTCAGTTTCGATAACTCCAAGAGTTCATCGCCATCTTAATACAGTCTACTACATAGCTAGTGCCGACAAGATACTGACTTCAATTCCTACGAGATCCTGTGATAATTTCTCTGAGCTCAATTGTGCAAATAGCTCACTCGGTTGGACTGACTCTCTCAACTGTCCTCGCTACTGTATTCCTAGCAAATGATTCAGCGATCAGCACCGTTGCCGGAGTAGCCATGGAGATAGCAGAGCTGCTTGCTGGTCGTAATATCGACAACCGCATGATGCCTTTTAGCAGTTTTAGGGCCTGCGAAACACTCAAGCGTCTACACCGTCAAGTCGTGGCGAATGTGGAACTGCAGCACTTACCGAAATCCAGTTACTACGACGTGTACCTGAACGCCTTGAACTCGGAGCTGTTCGTCACATCGCAAGGTCGATACTCTCAAATTCACCGTAGGAGGCCTATACCTCCCATAGCTCCCATGTAGTAGATAATCTTGAATATACGCTCTCCAGGATTCCGCCAATCAATCAATTGGGGTGATATCTGACCCCGCGACCCATGAAGCTTGATAATTGTTGGGTGATCATACATGTCTGAGCTACGAGCCGTCTGTTATGACTGAGCTCAATTCTCTTGATGAGTAATTACACCATGCAAGGCCCTAAGGAGGTACAGTGGATCTAGAACTTGGTGATTACATCGCCAAGAAGTCTCGACGATTGCTGTTTAGTATTTTGTGATCCGGAATCAAACTTGATACTCATCATATTCTAATCATACCAACTATTACTGGTTCCAAGTGCGACACAAGGACGAGACGTCGCTCGGAAATCACGCCATTCATCTCCAAAAATCCGTTTGAACGGTTTCCTCCTCATTTGCAGGAGATTATGCCATCGCTAGCGGCGTTGGTAATCCGGTAGTTGTGAGTCACTCATCAACTACGAACCTCGCAGTACCATGAGATGATGTTATGAATCCACAGAATACTTCCGTTCGTTCGGACGAGTACAAGAAGGGCGGTTCATCGCGTAGACGTCGCTAAATCAATCACAACAAAACAGCCAAGCGACTAACAATAGTCCTCCATCGTGGAGATAAACACACGTTCATACTTCGCCATGATGCTTCATCAAGGTCTCCCTACATGGGCCACCTTGCTACTTATTTCAACCACTGCTGCCCTCACACTACCTAACTACCGAGGCCTACGGATCGACCAGTCCAGACAAGGTGTTCTACATATCGCTTTCAATAATCCTGACTCAGAAATCAACGTCTGGGGTGAGGATGCCTTGAAAGGACTGACGGACATCGTACAGAGGTTGCAAAATGACACCGAGACGAAAGCCATTCTGTTCACGAGCGATGTGCCAAAGTACTTCTTAGCCCATCTCGATGTGCTGAGCCAGCCGCTCGGTAAGTGCCCCTCATAAGCAGTGCCTCCGTTCAGCTATATCCTCCATCTTCCGCTACAAGTTCTCCATCTCTTGGACAATGCTAACAAACGTAGACCCGACCATCTCCCAAAGATCCGTCGAGCTCTTCTACAGCCTGACCAATCTCCCGCAAGTGACAATTGGTGCAGTCAACGGTGTAGCCCGTGGAGCCGGAAACGAATTTCTCCTCTCCCTCGATATGCGATTCGCCGTAAAATCGCACTCACGTTTCGGACAGCCCGAGATCGCCACTGGCTACCTCCCTGGTGGCGGAGCGCCCCAGTACCTTCCGCGGTTGATCGGTCGTGGACGCGCAATGGAATACATTCTCACTGGCAAGGACATTCTGGCAGAAGATGCTGAGCGTATGGGCTGGATCAACAAGGCTTTTGACAGCGAGCGCGAGATGAAGGCATATATCGACGATATGCTCAAGGTTTTGACACTTTATTCTACTAGGGCCATCGGGCTGAATAAGAACGCTATCAATGTGGCAAGTAGACCGCCGATCGCGAACACTCTAGCTGACTCCAATGCGTTCTCGGAGAGTGCGGGGCGACCAGAAACACAGAAACTCTTAGGAGATTTCTTAGAGTTAACGCAAAATCTTTCGGCTACTGATGTTGAGCTATACCTGGGTGAGAGTGTACCTTTGCTATATAATCTAAGTGCGTCTTGAGAACCTCGACAGACGGGGGATTAGCATTACATGTAGGAGGATACAGTGATAGACCGTCGTTCACTTATGGATGTGTGTTGTTCTTCATGCAGTGGGCCGATAAGTCATGTATTGTAGCAGCACACGGAAGCTAGCCAATGTAGCTCGTCAAGTGCGCACTAAATTCTTGTCGTGCTTATCAAGCTCTAATAGCGTCCGCCAACGGCTGAAACCAAGTCTCGGCCAGCTTCTTGTTGCCTGTATCATTCGGGTGAACACCATCGCCAGTCATTGTATTAGTGTTGAATCCAGTCCATGTATCCACAACCGTTATAGGGCTGTTTGTAGTCGTCTTACTTGCTGCCCACGTCTGGATCACGTTGTTCAGAGCTACGACGCGTGGCCCACATTCGGCGCAGTTGGACGGATTCATTGGGATGATCTTCGCGGCGAGGATTTTCATGGTAGGTTTCGAAGCGCGCATTTGGTCTACGAGCTTGCTGAATGCGGTGGTGATTTCTTGGAGCGAGCGGTTGCTCCAAACGTCGTTCGTACCGAGATGCATCATAACGATGTCGGGTTTAGTGGACGAAAGCCAACCCGGTAGTTGGTTCTGGTTCGCGATGTTTACCGCTAGAAAACCACCCTGTAACTGTGAGCCAATCGTCGCACAAAGAAGGAGTTGGAGTCTTACATGTCCCTCGTTCTCGCCATCGTATTGGAAGCCACAGCCCTGGCCGGCCAACGTGCCTACGAAGTCGGTGTTCTTGATGCCGGCTTGTTGAAGCTTCTGCCAAAGATAAGCCCGCCAACAGCCCTAGACTACTGTCAATAACGAGCTGATGGTGGTCGAAGACCGAGTACGTACTGGGCTACCGGTGATGGAATCACCAAGAGCCATGATCCGCACCGTAGATTGACGACTTGCAAGCTCCGTTGGAGCTGCTACCACTATGGCTGTCACAGAGAGCACAGCCAGGAAGGTTGAGGCGAAAGTGATGTGCATGGCTGCTGAATTGTAGGCTGGGCAATTTCCTTCGAGTGAAGAATGGTGAGTATCGTGAATCGCAATGTCGCACACCGCGTAGTGCGACTTATGTATGTTCCATGGTGTATATTCTGTGTATACGGGAGGATGTAGCCTAATCTATTACAGAACTGAGTTGTTCCGTCCAGATGAGGGCCCTCGAAAAAGCGCTTTAGAATGGTCAGTGCCGTCTACGACGATGCTCAAGTTATCTCGTCACGGGGTCTGGTCGTTATTGTGGACAGAGCCCCAAGAGCAGCGATTTCATCTATACATGACGCGCCAAGCAATGCGACAATCTACACTTTCCTTGTGGATCCAACAGTTAGCTTTTTTGTGCTTAAGTAGTTGCACATTAGACTTAGTACAAGTCGCTGTTTCGTTGCATCTTTCTGCGTGCGTTCGGTGGCTAGGCACACGAGGGCAAGTGTCATTTGTAAAGCAATAAATGCGGCTCTCCCAAGTCCGTGCCCATAGTGGTTAGCTACTTTATTTTCAGGTTGCAGGATAGCCAGTGCGGACAGGCTCACTCTAGGTCGTACATAGCTCTCTCTTTCCTTGCATTAGGAGCCTGCGTTTGCTGTTCGAGGTCGGCGCACGAAATTCACATTGGAAGTGACGCGAAGGCAGGCAAAGGTGCTAGTGTGGTCAATTACTCCGAGCCCGTCTGGGTCAACACCTGCAAGACCATATGTTGAAGCACATGAAAAAGATCGATGCGCTTCTGATTGCGCGGCTTTCGGTTCTGATGAAGTCGAGGTTCGAGAAGTGCGGGATGAGGAAATGGGAGATGGAATGCGGCAGCTCGGGGAGATTCGAGGCCCGAGAACGGGGGCCCGCAACTCCCCGCCCGCTGCACGGAATCGATTACTAGGGAACCCGACGAACCCACGTCAACAACCCACAGGTTGCCGCGCGTTTTGATCCCAAGACGACAAATGTTGGTATACCTGATGTCTGTCCTAAAGACGCGATACCTCTAGAATTGCAACCGCGCACAGCTCTACCAGACCTTCATTGGATAGCAGCTTGTTTGCACTTTCATCGCAGTAACGCGATAGAAGGTCCTAAGCCCCACGGAGTAACTCATACGTATTGCAGTCTCCTGCTCATGGCGAATTGATCCCCAAACACATCCAGTGGTAGGATCGTGCTGGCAACTTCTCTGCACCACATTCGAAGGCATCACGAAGGCTATCGGGCTTGGACGAAAACTGTATTATCAGAATTGTTGGACAAATAGAGCGAATGTAGGGCATTAGCATGACTGCAGAGTTCAGCACTTGCGCATATGAATCACACAGAATCGCTTGTACCCGATGTGTGTGTGTCTGGCAATACCACGTCGCTACACACATCTAGTTACGGTGTACTCAGCCTCTCAACCAGCTATGCGTCGACGTCTGTGCCTTCTAGATACATTCTAGTGATGCAGATCGCAATGTTAGGACATGTTGGACGATACGCGATACGCTCAGAATAGAGTTTAGCTAACGAGGCGAAGGTTTGACATAGGCGACGCGGATAGAAGCTTCGACAATGTTCGCAGAACGCTTAACGCTTCGACCTAAATTGTCGTACGACAGCACGGAAGATCTGCAATCTAATCGCGTTCGAACCTGAACCTTGCGGAGGCTTATGCAAGCAGCTCGAAGGATCATCTGGAGTGAGTAACGATGGCCTTCTAAAGCAGTCTTCGACTGGATTGGAACTGTAGGTCTATTAATATATCGATAGGTGATATCAGCATCCCGCTACGGGACTGCACGCGAACCTTGAAACAGTCCCGTGGTCTGGAAGTTGAATAAATCGTTTCCATGACAGTCGGTCGGCAAGGTTGTATCTGAACTGAGGTAATAGGTATGTAGACCAAGTTCGTCCTGCTACGACAGTCACTGGCAAGACTAAGCCGGAGGATACTGACACATGAGCAGATTCACTCGGTACATACCGAGATAGTGTCGTGCGGCCATTTGGAGCCTATCTTGCTGCACCAATCGCGTCACCAATATCGTTATTTCCATGTGAGATAAGTAATCTCAGCATTGAGGCACGACATACCCAGTGCTGTGGTTCCCCAGATTCTCCGGTCCTTCTCTACCTAGGTATGCAGATCCCCGATCTTAGCGCAAAGGGGCTCCGATGCACCTTGACGTAGAATGCCAAATTCACCACGCGTTTCGCGCCCTAGGAAGCAAGGCGCGGCTGGTGCGGAGTAGAGTCCGCTGAGATGCGAGTGAACCGGCGACCCGTTCCGCGGCAGTATCGGACCTTCTCTTGACATGACTTGTGTGCTCGCATATCTGAGGACCCAAAGTTCAGTAACAGCGAGTCGTGAAAAACCGCAATGTGAGCCGATTGACAGTCGGGCCGCAGCCGGAGAACAAGCTCGAAAGAGGCGAGCGAGCGATAGACGTGGAGATGTTAGGGTGTGATCTACGATCTCATCGTCCTTTAGCACCACTAACAATGTTACATAGATGATGGCCTCGTGGAAACGCCCTAACAGGTGCGTTAATCTCAAATGACGGCGGCTGGTCATGTTTGACGAGCGTTAATGTTGAGGGTTAATGCTTTACCACTTCGGGCAGGTTTCGTCTGATTGGCCAGAGTGAAGATACGTACCTCGGTACACATTTGCACAGCCAGAGACGGGTCGTTCTTAGGCCGATATTGTGGGTATTTTCAGAATGTCTCCTTTGCAAGCCTTCCGCCGGGTGGCGTTCTCTTTCGCCTACGCGATGACGGTTAATAGTGCGTGGCGTTCAGGTCTGCCATACAGAAGACACCGGACTTCGAAAACATGAACGAGTGGTGGAAACACGAAGAGAGCTATCTCGTGCACCGGTATGACCCTGTGTCAGAGTCCTGGGAAGCCAAGACGGAAGTCCTTGCACAGCGGCACGACGCAACCCCACCGTGCGGCTTACGGTAGAAAGCGTGGGTCAGGGGATTCAGGACAAACGGCCAAAGTGTATGCGCAGCTGGAGGTATTGAAGAAACATGGTAGATTCTACGTAGAGATCCTCACTGCAACCAAAAAGAAAGATACTCTTCAAGACTGACTGTTGCCGGACGACCACTGCGAATCTTTGCGTTCTGAGACCAAATCTTTCTGGCTCTCGCTGTCACTGATCCGCGAGCTCTGCTCAAAATGCTGTTCGAATTGTCGCGAGACATAAATGTTTTTCCCAAACATGCCCCCTCCATCGGCACCTGTCTCGTAAGGTGTCGTGCTACCTGGCCGGCCCAGTGCCAGTTCAAAGTCTTCGTCAGTATGTCTTGCAGTGCTCCTGATACCATGAACGCTCCGATGTTTGGTGGCACTGCTGCCAATGGTGCCAGTTCCGTATCCATTTCCGTATGATCGGCCGGAGGGGACGGTGGACGAGAAGCCGGGGATGATCTTGACAACCAGTGGCTTGAGCGCAGGAAGCGATGCGCATACGATAGCTAGGTTCATCTCGATTGCGGACCAGTAGGCTGTCGGTGCGCTATAATATGTGTTGTCGTCCGGGTGATCGACAAGCACGATGAGAGCGTGTAGGCGTAGAATCGATACGACGCAGACAAACCAACCGATGGTAAGGATGGCCATGAGCGCGACCCTTTGGCGCAAAGCGATTTGGAGAGTCCAAATGACACGAACGGGAAGGAAGGCCACGATGAGGTCGGTGAAGATGTTGATGCTGGCGTTCACATACCAAATCGTCTTGTTGTCGATACATTTCGCTCCGGGCTGCTCCAATATCTTCCAGTAGGCATGGACAGGGACACATGTGAAGATGGAAGTGAAGAGCGTAGTAACACCCCAAGCTACACAGATGGCCATGACGATGTGGAGTGGTATGCGCATTTCTCGCAGAGTAAAGATCCGGCCGTACTGTAGAAGGATGGATATCTTCGTGAACATGAGGCTGGTATTGTAGAAGATGATACTCCAGAACAGGTACTACTTGACGTTAGATCCGAAGCGCATATGGATAGCAGATGCTTACGATCAGAATCTTCTCAACTCCACCTGGAAACTCGATGAAGACTGCATGCTTGCCGTTGCCAGCGTCCGCCTCTGGACTGGGTTAACATTCGATTCGTCGCGAGCGCAGCGTGCGTCTTACGCATGACTTGGAGTACGCCAGTAGCAATAGCCAGCGCCATAGAGACGACAATGGCGTAGTCCTCCCATCCTAATGATCTTCCCAAGAATCGGAGCCGAGTGATGATACGCAGGGCGACACAAATCCCCGCTATGCATGTAAAAGCAACAACGATAGATTTGGTGAGCGGACCCCGATCTTCCTTGGCCAAGGCAGCCAACTGTTCCGGTGGAATTGGATCCATGGTAGTTATGAAGGGAAGGCAAAGACGATGGAACACACGTAACTTGTCAATGTGTGGGACAGGTGCGATGGGTTCACCATGGACCCTCCTTTAGATATGTATCCGCAGGCACCCGTCTGTGGAGGAGTACATATGCCAGGCCTTGCGCCCAAAGGTACCTGAACTACGAGTGCCGCACGGGCTAGTGCGCCAGTTTACACAAAACTGGGATGCCAGGTTGTTTAGGGAGGTATCCGAAACTCAAAATCCGACGATGGATCAGACCCTGGGGAGCGAGCGCAGGGGAGATCTGGGGAGACGGCATCCCTAACGGAAGAGCTAGACCTAGCGGACGGCAAGGACTTGAATCTAAGCCAATGAGACTATGCACTCCTGCCTAGACGCGTAAATGCTTCAAATTCGAGGGGTACATCTCCGAAGCGAACGGCTGCAGTGGCAGGCATAGTCCTGTACACTCTGCCTACCGAGAGTGATCAGACGGCATGCAACATACGGAATTCACTTGCATGATGCACAGCGTGTGTTTCCCATGGTTTGTGGCGATCCTTGTTGTCGATATGATGAACGTTGTCGAAACCAGGGATTAGGCCGTCGGTTTACCGGGTGAAGATCACGCAGATGCTCGACGAATGAGCTCCCACGTGGCGCGTCCTATATTGCGCAAGAAGATACCCTGGATGAACACACCACGCTCACTACTGAAGAAACGGTGGGCCAAGACCGTACGCATGCGGTTGTATCACAGCGATCAATCGACTCCTTGGCGTGCAGCCGTTCGTGAGCATATACCCATGAAGTCGTTCTGCTACGTTGTGAATTTGAAGCCTCGGGAAGCTGTAGCTCGAACGCATCTTTGGTTGAGCTTTTCGCATTGAGTACCGTCGATCGACCATGTGCATTGAATTTGCGTGTCTATGGCCGATACGGCCGTCACATGCTGTGGATTGCAGTATGAACACCGAGTAGGGTACCGCTTGAGCTTGATCGCGGCATATAGTGGTGCCACCAATTACCGGCTAATTCGTGTAGTGTACTCTGTCCGCAGTTTTAGTGCAGCGCTAGAGGAAATAATGGCGACTTATTGATGCCCAGAAGAATCCCTGCCAATCGGACGGCAAACTCTATTGTATCTGGCTGCCTTATAGCCTACCAACCTCCAGCTTGCGCTCTGGTCCGCCGTTCGAGAGAGGCCTTGCAAATAGTTGAACGGATGTATACCTACACATGTGGCATGACGCTGCTGATCCGGGTCGCCTCCGTTCATCGTCTGCCAAGGCTCCCGAGGTCTCACTGAACCTTCCCGTGAGGTAGAAGTCCGAGTAAACGACAAAGCCGCCACACTACGGGTTAGCATATCCGAGGTCGTCTCAACAAGCACAGAGGACTTTGCGGCTTGGGCTGCAGTATTGTGTGTCGCAAGCACCGCACGAAACCGTAAAAGGGATGTGGCTGAGGTTGCTGCGATTTCCCTCTAACATGCGATCAAACATTGAACACTGCGGAAGAATGAGGCAGTCTGAGATTCCAAACCACGCGACATTCGCGTTGAAGGAGTCTTCCCGGAGGATTATATGTGAGGTAAGGTCCGTTTCAAATTCGACTGATGCCTCAGGAACCGTGGCCAATGCAGAAGCTGTGCTGCTGCGAGCATAATGCGGGACGAAATGAGAATCCTGCTGCTGCACGCCTTTGACAGGGTCGGTTAGAAAGTTTGCGCTAAGTCAGTAATGCATCCTATCCAACTCTGTGAACACCAGCTCCTGGTGTAGGTTGCGAGCTCTATTGGGCAAGCATGGAACTTCGTAGTGATGCGTCATGATCTTGTTGCATAGAGTACATTGGATCGAGTCGGTGCCTGGAAGGGAGACGATCCGGGAACTTCGGGAGCATCTTGTGAAACGCGATCTTGCCCCAGCCGGAACGGAGCGTTCGTGCACGGTGTTCATCTTGACACACTAGACCCGTCCCAGACCGTAAAACTCGTATACTCGTTTCGTACGAGCTGAGCTGTCCGCGAACATGATGAGTTGGCGCATTAAACTGAATCTCTCTGCTCGCCGCGTAGATCTCTGAACTATCCCATAGATGCAGGATTGCTGCAAGTGTCTCCTGTTGTCACGTCGGCTAGGACGCCGTCGAGGGATCCTTCGCCTTCACCCCGCTGGAGCACACACACCCGGCATCGTCAGGTCACAAGCATCATAAAGTATGCATCATCAGGACTGTCATGAACCTAACACAAAGACGCGCACGCCGTTAGTCCGACATCTGGCAGCTTTGCGGCTGGGAATTCCCAGGTAAGCGAAATGGCGTCAGAAACCCTGCAGGAAGCTGATCTGACCGAAGCATAATCCTAACATAAGCTAGTGAGTCTTCTCGGCGGATCTGCGAAGTGCCTCTTATTGCGACGTGTGAATGCGCAAACATTTGACACCAGGTACGCGGCGCGTGACCCTGGATCACCTCTGAAAGCTTCAGGGCTATACCCCGCGGGAAATCGGGAACGATCAACGGCCCCTGATCTACAATCACTACCTCAAAAGCTTCGAACCGACATATCACATCGCATCAGCACACCATCTCAAGAATGTGTAGATGCTGTTGCAGTGCGCAGGAAGGTTGAGTCGCTGATGCTACCTGCCCATTGGCGCTCACGTCTTCAGTCATTTAGTGGCGATGCATACCAGTCACAATCCAATACACAACGACTACATCGCCTGCATGGCAACACAGAGCGGACCCCTGAAAGTCGAGATTCTTGTAGTAAGTGTTCGGTAATGCTTACTTGCGGATGTCAGGGCCTTCGCTGAGCATCTGGATATCATTCATCCTTCCCACGCCTCTGAGATCCCTATGACTGCAAGACCAATGGCTTCAGCCTTTTACTCGGCCTCCAAACTCTAGAAGCCGGTTACCCGGCTATCGCTATGCTGCATAGCTTTGCGCCTCCCTGCTGATCTGTCATAGAAACTAGAACAAAGAAGCAATCTATGCATAGCGCTTGTCGGACAAAACTCCGTGGCTATGGACGGAGATGATTAATCATTCGGCGACACTACTTGTCTGTATCGAGCATATACTTGGAGATTGAAGGCGAAGTTCAAACTCTCTGTTCACGATCAGCGTAAAGGTATACGATTAGTATACAGATAATGTGGTGGTGTAAAGGTTGCCACCAAAGTTCGTCCAGTGGCACCGCGATGACACAGACAATAAGCTACCGACCATACAATGATGTCAAATCTTCGCATATGGATGATGCAAGTCAGGTCGCCGAGATGCAGTCACCGCGAATAGCATATGATCCGCAGGACGTACCATTCAGCTGACTAAAGACATTCCACATCTAGACATCGAGTTACTTCAAGCCGAGGTTGCCTTGAACAGCTTGACATGTGTTCGCATTTTTGCGGGGAGGTAGCGATGCTAGTTACTTCCCAAGATTCAAGCTCCAAGCGCTGACATGAAGGCGCAACTGCAAAGTCTCTCTTGTAAGTCACAGACGTACCTCTTCGCACTTCGAGGTAAGATATTTTGGACTGAGAGAGAAAATCCATCCATGGTACAGAAAGCAGATGTTCTTCATGGTCTGAAGACTTGAAGGCAAAATACTGCCTAGGTACGAAACATAAAAGTCAAACCGACCCAAGAAAGCAGCCAGAATACGAATGTCGATGACTAGTAGACTAATCGCGTTGGTTGATCGGAGATATCATGTTGCTATTCAATTTTGCTAACAGAGCTATCGCACTGACACTACATCAGGGCACGAATGCAATGTCTGTTGCGATGCATCACATTGGTAACATTTAGACCCGAAGCGACATGTTGCTGTCCTTAATGCGTCTACATTGTAGAACCTCTAGGTAGGACAGAGGGCAGACTCAGATATACTAGCCAGAAACAACGAAACTAGCAGCGCACTCCAGTGCGAAGCCAAAACACCGAGCATACCAACCTTGCGCCCAATAACTCAGCTCCACGCAATGCGGAGCACCTCGAATCAGACTTCCCTCTACTCTAATACTGTTTGTGAAAGCTTTGACACAGTTATCAACCTCCTCTTGCGTAGCTTCGAAGAATGGATCATCCTCCACTAGCGAGTACATAACAGGCACTTTCACAGCTGGCGCCCATTTCTCCTTCCAAACAGGCATCCATTGCGTTACGAACCCCGCAATCTCCGGGATAGGGCATATCGCATTTAGACGTTCGGTTTGTTCCAACATTTCCGGCGCATAGGTACCGGGTTTGAACATGACAGCATCTTTCAGCTCTGTGGGACATAGCGCATGGTTATCGTCTACGCGAGGATACTGAGGAGGATTGTCTTTTGCTGATTGAGATTGTGTGTTTCCCATACCGCTTGCAATGATTCCTCCTAATGGGTAGTCTGGTGTCCTCTCGTCACCATGAAGCGCTGCCACGGCGATACCAGGCATAACACCGAGGCTATGGCACAGCAAAACGATGCAAGTGCATCCATGCGGAACACCAAACTCTTCCCAAAGTTTTGGGAGGATGAACCGATGTAGTTGAATGGCGCTCTCTGTTGTGAAATCAGACCCAGATGGGATTGGCAGTATTGAACTCGTGCCACCGTAGGAAGGACGGTCGATAGTTACGAAGGGAGTAGCAAGTGCGTTGCTCATCAAAGAAGCAGAGTATCCTGGTAGAGCATCGAAGTATTGATGATCATAACCACCCCCATGGAGAGCAACGATCAGTGGGCGGTATCTCACTGGCGAAGGCGATTGGGTTGGGATGGCGTGAGCGCCTTGCACTACGCCATTGTTCGCAAGGGTGAGGCGAAAGGATTGCATCGAGATGGTGAATGACGAGAAAGGAGAAGAATCGTGATGTACAAAAGCTCAGATCTAGAAATCCTCATACTGGTATGGCAGCATTTGGATACTATGTAAACGAAGCTTGTGGGTCAACTGCGGAGATATCGGATTTACATGGCTTAACCATTGCATCGATCATGTATCTTGTGGTCGGAGTTAATGCAGACGGCTGACACTTTGAACTAAAAGTGAAGAATATTCACCATGACCCATCACCCCACAGCACCTGCGGCTCTCGTTCATACGTCACAGCAATGATTCTTTCATCTGTCCCATTCATCTCCGACTACGGATGTTGGTTGGTAAACGGCTCTTGAGTTCAGCTATAAAGGTCAAAGTGTCGCACAAAAGTAGGCACCTCTTTTCAGCGCGAAATCGAGTCCTTCTTCAACCTCACTTATTGACTTTTCAAAGTTGACCGTCGTTACTGATTGGATAACTTGTGATTTAGCGCCTTGGCGCGAGTCCCTCGTTCCTTCTCCGTTGGGATCGCCCGCTTTCAGCTTCCACAATACTCTTTGACCTGCAGAGATCAGAATACCATTAAACTTGCTGCGCAACTGTCTATACCTACAATGAGATTGTGTGAATTCGCATCGCAAGCGGCAGAGCTTGTGGATACGCGAGCCGATGTCCGTTGTCTTCGCGTCGCGTCACACAAGAACATTGGCTACATCTCGAATCCACGGTAAAGAGGCTAAACTCAGGGCATATGCCAGATATGCCTTGAGAATCGATGGAAGTGTATAGCGAGGCAAGGCTGACTCTGTTGCTATGGCCGTACGGTAGTTGGCTGACATGATGGCTGAGACGCAATATCCGGTAAGCGTCCTCATGCTCACAGCCCCAGGTGCACAAACTCAGCCTTCCCACTGCTTGGTTATCTTTGCGGCATGCCCTCTGATGTCTCCGTTCTACTCACTCAACGTCTTTATCGTCGCCTAATCACACACAGCTATCGCTCTAAAAGCACACGATGGCAGATCCTCTCAGCATCGCAGGATCTGTGGTAGGCATCACTGCTGCCGGCGTACAAGCCTCTGTAAAGCTTTACGCACTCGCGGAAAAGGTTGCGACAGCCAGTCAAAGAGTTACAAGCATCGCGGATGATGTTAGCAGCACATGCGCAATTCTCAATCAAGTGCGCGAACTCATCATCCCGCAACCTGACGCGCAAGGCACTTTGAAATCGGTATTTAACTCTACCGCTCTGCACGACATCTCACATGGTCTTCAGCGCTGTCGATCGGCTTTCACGGAGATCGAAGCTCTCTTGCGTCGTGCATTTGAGCAGGTGGGAAAGCGCCCTGCCTTGCGTTCGAAGATAGAACTGTCCCGCTTTGAGAAGGCCAAATGGCCTTTTTTGCAGCCGCAATTTGACGAACTACGCAACGATCTACGAGATGCGAAAGGAAATCTTATTCTTATGATCGCTGTGGCTAGTCTTGCCCTTGCACAAAGAGATGGGCGTCAGCGACCGATCCATGAAACGGAGAGACTGGAGCTCGGGTCAACCATTGTGCAGCTGCAACAAGCACGTATAAGTAATTCAAATGACCAAAACAGTCCCAAAAGGTCTCAGCAAGAGGGAATGAGATCGCGACAACTCTTTGGACAATCAATGACCGTCGGTCCCGCAAGAGACACAAGATCCGAGCAAACTTCAGTCGTATCTGTTGATCCCGATTCAGGGTTCAGAACTGTGAAATACATGAGAGCTACTCCACTCAGTCCACAAGAAGATACGATACCCACACCGCTTGTCAGTGAGAGGACCAGCGACCCATCTTCGGTTGACGCCAAAATTGGTGATGCAGACATGTCTTTGCCATCTGTTAGCAATGTCCAAATGCAAGAGCAATGGAATTCTGATATGTTCAACCCATCTATCGAAGAGGCAAACATCAATTCGGCTATCTTATCACATACTGCAGCTTCCACGGCATGCTTCGGACAACAGACACGCGACGTTTCGGGCATGCTCCAAGAACGCCATGCCCCTGGGCACAACACTCATCGAACTCCAGCACCTGCAATGTCAGCTTCAGATTGGAGTGCAGTAGATCTGGTCTATGAAGAACAGCCTGGAGCGATCGACTCTACAGCTATGCCGTCAGCCCAGCGCGCGAGCGAGAATACACTCTACTATTGCGGATGGATCACAAGACATCTCCAGGGGCTCACAACTGGTTTTGGAGATTCCGTCTCGATCACACAGATGAATTTACCGGATCAATCGCTCGAAAAACTGGTCAAAAACTACGCCGACGCAGGTCTCGATCCTCACATAAGCTTACTGGACCTCACTGAACAACAGCAAGACATCATCAAGCAGGTGACAAAAAACAATCTTGGCGCAGAATTAGCATATGTCAGTATCTCGCGCGATATCAAGGTGTCCAGCGTGTTTGGTATGCTCGATATAAGTGGACTTAAGTGGATCGCTGCATCTAGAAAACCTTGGCCGAAGCGTGAACCAGTCTGTCCGCAGTACTTTCCCCCTCCATTTACTAGACCCCCGCCATCGCTTCCTGGGAAGCCATTCCTATACCCTTCTTCCACAAAGACTACTGAGTCTGCTCTTCCACCACAGCGTGCGCAATCTTATCGAGGAGACCTTTATGGACCTCCACCTCCTCGGCCTTATGGCTACATGTCGTCTTCCGCTAACTCCAGGCCTTTTCCGCCAGCGCCACCTTCCGAAGAACAGCGTACAGACAGTCGCGCGAAAGAAAGGGCAGAAAAGCACCTAGCTGAGAAGGAAAAGGACCGAGCAGTAGCTAGAGAGGAGTCTCGCCGTCTTAAAGATGAAGAACGAGGTCTTAAGGAAGAAGAGCAGAAAGATCTTGAGAAGGAGCGGTCGAAGCCTCCAACGACTGACTACTTAACCAAACCACCATCTGCAGCACGCAGAATGTCCTCAACTATAACGCCAGCTCAGCTAGCAGACCAGCAACGCCTGATCGAATTCGAGAAGGCACAGATGCGTAGCGAGAAGCAGATTGCATCGCATCTCTCTGAGACAAATACAGGATATGAGCAATCCTTACAATACCCAGGATGGTACGCTCAGCAATATCAACCGCCCGCAGAAGAGAACGGAGAAGATATTGTGAATGAGCTCCTTGCTCGATGGACGACTCTGGAAAGACCTGACTATAGGCTAAAGGACGACAAACACAGGAGGTATAGTCGTCGATATTAAGCGCTGAATACAGACATATAGTCTAGTAGGATATTCTCTTTCCAGACTCCTACACCGGAGAATTCTGTCTTCTCTGTTGACATGCAAGAAATTCTGAATTGATCATATGATGATGATGATGATCCAAACAGCAAAGATAGCCTACTACTTGACTTTTCTAGCCCGAGTGCAGATGTCCCTGGTAGTGAGTAAAAGACTGGATCAAGAACAGCCATGCTGTACTTATTGCAAACCTTAATTACAGTACATAACAGCCGATTCTTCGCCACTACACCCCCATGTAGAGGAGAGACTCCACAAAGAGCAAGGGATTTCACTGGCCACTATAATTCAACTTGCCTGTCCTTTTAAGGCTTTACAAGCAGTCTAGCATGACTAACCTCATCCCACCAGGTCTCCACATCATCCAAATTCTTTGCCGCATACTCAGATTTTAAACCTCCTTTGACAATCGCCTCCAGTATGCGCGGTGTCTGGGCATGCAACTCAGGAAACGACCAAGCACCCGGCGCACAACCCAACAACGCTACATTCGCCTGCCGAAGGAGACTGGCAGGAACAGCCTGTGTCTCGCCCGCCAAAGACCCAATTTCCACCCAGCTGAGCCTCTGGTTAGGAAGCTCGCGTCCCTTGATGATGCCAGCCATGGCTGCATTCGACACATCGCCCCACAAGTAATCCAAGACAACATCGACGTCTGTAGCACCAGAGAAATCTGTTTGCGCCAAATCCTCGGATAGTGATATCGTTGCCGTCGCTCCAAGCTCTTTTGTCTTGTCCAGCTTTGTACCCGGCTTGCCAATTGCTACGATTTTCGAGGCACCAAACGCTTTACTGATCTGTACAGCAGCTTGTCCACTTACGCCTGTTGCGCCTATGATAGCTATCTTGACCCCACTGCCAGGTTGAATACCTGCACGCGCCGTGAGCGCCATCCAACCGCTCATCGCTGGATTTACAAGCACAGCCACAGTATCTGCATCCGCGCCTTCGGGCAGTGGGAAAATGTCTTTCTTGCCGACATTGATTTCCTGAGCTATGGAGCCGGTGGATGCGAGCAAGGCGTTGAAGTAGACAAGCTGGTTGGTCTCAACGACGATGCCCACACCATCCGTGCCGGGAACATGTGGTGGGCTCTTGCCAGCCATGGAGAAATGTTTGCCTGAAGCGCGGGCACGCACGAAAGTGTGGACACCGGCAGCGAGGACTTTGATGCGGACTTGGGTGTCCGACGGGGCGGGGAGGTCGATGAGGGAGTAGGTAGGGGGTGATCCCCACTTGTGGACTACGGCTGCGTGGATAGACATACTGTGTATCGAGATCGGTAAAAAGGTTGACAGATGATGAGTCTTTCACCCAGGAACCTTCACTTGGTGTATTGAGTGATGTCAATGTCGGATGCCGATACCTTGTCGCACCAGAAAAGATCTTGAGGATAGGTCAAGAAGAATCCAAGAATGATGTAGATGACTGGAATGGAGTGAATTGATTCGGGATTGGGTGCCAGATACTCGAGCTTTTATACACTATGGCGCATACACTAAAGCGCGAAACGATTACACATGAAGGATCTAGCGAATGCGAATTCATGCAGAAAATGAACACTAGACACCTGATAGCGAAGGCAAAATCCCTAACCTGTGGCGTGCTTGTAATCTGCCTGCAGATACCTACCAGTCAACACTCGGACTCTAATATGCAGCTGACAACATCTGCCTGTCGTCAGCAATCAGGCCCCCCAATAACAACCGTACTTGATGACCTAATCAATTCTAGGCCCTCCTTCACTTGAATCCTTCAAAAGATAATAACCCCCTCCTCCACTTAGCATATGTGAGCAATATGTTGCATCGAAAATGTAACAACCCCAGGCCCTTTTCCACAGAAGCCTCGGTACTGGCACGGTGACTGCCAAAAGGACGTTGCAAGCAATGACAATAAGCGGTGGCAATGCACAGCAAGCGGCTACAATCCGACTACGAACGTCAAACGGCATCAACATAGTTTTCTATGAATGTCATGCTGCATGTAAGAATCGTTTGTCTAGACGCAAATCTTCATTTCACAGATGACATTACAAAATTTAGAACCTATCGCATACGGTCTGGGCAAGCATATGGGTAGTCGTACACGCCAATCTACCCCAAACCCCTCACCAGGCACTGCGATCGTGAGCAAGCTTCTCTAGACAACAGGAAGCCTTCAGCTATCAACTCGATTGTCGAATATTCTCCTCATGCGCAGTCATGATGTTGTTCTTCTTCTCCGAGATTGAGGCCACGCTTGATGCCCTTGCAGTCGTCTCCTGAGATGAAGATGCTGTATCATCGCCATCAAATATGACTGCCATGTGCTCCAGAGTGTACCCACGGGTTTCTGGGTAGAAGAAGTACACTGTCAATCCCATTGCGACAAGCACGACGATGAACACAAAGTAGTACTTCCAGCCGATTGCTTCGAGGGCGATAGGGTTTACAAAGGTATTGAAGAAGTTGGCGACTACTACCGTAATCCAGGTAACGGTCAGACCGTGAGATCGGAGCCTATATGGCCAGATCTCGCAGGGATAGGCTGTCAGGAAAGGCGTCCTATGTCATGCCAGTCAGCACGGTGGTCTGCTAAAAGGGATTGTAGTGAGACTTACAGAGCAATATCATAGCCAGCAAAAAAGATGAATAGAAAGGGTATGACAGCGATACCAGTGGGAGGGCTGCCAGATTCTGCGAATGCACCGCTGAGAGCTGTCACAAGTATGTATGCGACAAGCATAACGCCAGCTGAGGCTAAGAAGAGTGGGCGACGTCCAAGTCGGTCGACACTAAGTGCAGCACCTACTGAGAAGAGAAGGTTCCACACTTGCAGCAGACCAGCAATCAAGGTCTGGTGGGTGACACTCGTTATGCCCACAGTTCTCAGGACAATCGCCAGATAATACGAAACAACGCCGTTGCCGCACCACTGGGAGAAAATTCCGAGAGAGACCGATATAAACAGGCGGCGCCGGTTGCCTGCTGTCTTGAACAGCTCTGCGTAGCTTGCATCGTCCAGTGTTGACTCGAGACGGATGGCAGTGGTGATTTCGACCATCTCATACTCGACTAAAGCCGATGTGGGATTGCCGCCAGCATGGTATGTCGTCAAAATTGTACGAGCCTATAATCCATCATTAGATCAATCTAATCATGTCATCTAGTGACTTACCTGTTCACTTCTATCAACAGACACAAGCCAGCGAGGGCTCTCAGGCGTCATCAGTAACCCAGGCAGTGCGACCAGGGGCAGCAGCAACTGCAAGATAGATGGAATCCGCCACGCCCAGTCACTTTCGATATTACGGGTGCCAAAGGTAACGAAGGCAGCAATAGTGCCGCCGACATAATACCCGCACATGAAGAGAGCGCTCAGGATGCCTCTGTAGACCGGATGAGAGATCTCGTTGATGAGGAGAGGAACAGCGTTTCCAAACCAAGCTGAAGAGCAACCAACAAAGAATCGAGATAGCACGAATGCAGTGTCGTCATCGCTTAGTACGACCAGGGAGCCTAAGAACAGAAAGATGTAGCCGATGTATACACCGAGCTTGCGCCCGTACTTGTTCGCAACGAACGCAGTCAAGGGGTAGGACAGGCCCATCCCAAGCCAGTAGACGGCATTCAAGAAGCCTAACCAAGCACCGGTCGGCGTGTCCATGAACGACTCCCATTGAGGTAGTGCCTGTAGTCCATTCATGAGACTTCCGTCATAGCCGTTGGCAGAGGCTGGACATGTGTTAGTGGCATCAAAGGACAAGGGACCTTGGAGATACTTACAGAACAACGAGAGAGACAAGATGCAGAAGTGCAACTTGATGAGATGTGATTTTGTGTACCATGGCTTGCTGTCAGGCAAGACAGCCAACAAGCCATCGTTGAGTCCATTCTGCGACTTGGAGGGAGGCATGACAACGCAAAAGGGGCTAGTGATGCTCTGGGGGCTAGAGAACGTGATGCTGGTCGGTCAATCGTTCACGCAGCTTGACCTTTTATATAAATTTCAGATGAACAAGGCCAAGTCAAGAACATCACGATACAGCGTGTCGGTTAGCTATCGTGACCTCTAAGCTATTGCCGGAAGCGTGGCTGCGCACGTGGAGTCCCCCCAAAATTTGGAAACACGCTAATTTGCGGAGGTACTCGATTTTTGCGGAGTAGCGCATCGGTGAAAAATAGAGTTCCTCATAGCGCGTGCTTTCCGACTGGACTGACACGGAGAAATAGGAATCGTCATTTGCCCGATAGCCTCCGCGCGCCAAGCGCGACCTCCGACCAACCCGCTGCTGCTAAAGCAGACATCAGGGCTATACCCCATAAGCCGCGCCAGATATGCGCCAACGTCTATGTGTTTGGTCGGACTATGTCGTGGCTGTTGAAAGACATCTATATACCGCGGCCTTGTCGTGGTTGCGGGTGTCAGCCAGTTCACCCCTTCCAATTATCGAACCTCCAGCGCCATGACGCTTTCTAATGACGAGAACACAAGTCAAGAGCATGCGGCTTCGTTCGCGCCGTTTGACGTCGAAGAAGCGCTCCTGCAGCTGACGATTGACGAAAAGGTGTCGCTTCTCTCAGGTAGGTCGTCTGCGAAACTTCAAGTGCGTCGCTCATAACAACAGGCAAGGATTTCTGGCACACGCGCGACATACCCAGGCTGTCGATTCCTTCCATACGACTATCAGATGGTCCCAACGGCATTCGAGGTACTAAATTTTTTGGCAGCGTACCTTCTGCATGCCTTCCATGTGGCACAGCCATCGGCGCTACGTTCGACTCCGATCTGGTCGTCGAGATTGGCCATCTACTCGGCGATGAGGCTCGAGCAAAAGGAGCACATGTCGTTCTCGGCCCAACGATAAACATTCAGCGAGGACCGTTGGGCGGTAGAGGATTCGAGTCTTACTCCGAGGATCCTTACCTATCCGGCAAGCTTGCAGCAAGCTACATCAATGGGCTCAAGGATAAACATATAGGCGCTGCTATCAAGCATCTTGTTTGTAACGATCAGGAACATGAACGTATGGCAGTCAATACCATCGTTACTCAACGCGCGCTGAGAGAAATCTATCTCCTGCCGTTCATGCTCGCGACGCGGCTCAGCAACCCGGAAGCGATCATGACTGCCTACAACAGAGTCAACGGCGTACACGTCGCGGAAGACCGAAGCATTCTAAAAGACATACTCAGGAAAGAATGGCGGTGGGACGGACTCTTCGTGAGCGATTGGTAAGACTGCCTTATCTCTTCCGTACACTCGTTGCGCGGTTCTGACAGCTCTCAGGTTTGGCACATACAGCACAAGCGAAGCAATAAACGCCGGTCTTGACCTAGAGATGCCCGGCCCATCACGATGGCGAGGACCGGCGCTCGTCCACGCGGTCTCGGCCAACAAGGTCCTTCCTTCTAAGCTCGACGAGCGAGTGCGTGCGGTCCTCAAGCTCGTCAAAAAGTCTGCACAGTCGGGTATCCCAGAGAATGCACCAGAGACCCAGTTGAATCGACCAGCAGATCGAAGTCTTCTTCGGAAGGTAGCCGCAGACTCAATCGTGCTCCTTAAGAATCAGGATAACATCCTTCCATTCTCCTGCGATCGCAAGATTGCGGTCATCGGCCCCAACGCCAAGATCGCTACCTATTGCGGCGGCGGTAGCGCATCACTGAATGCATACTACACAACTACACCATTAGACGGTATTCGATCGCTCGCGAAGGGCGGTGTGGATTTTGCACAAGGCGCATATGCTTTTCAGATGTTGCCTGAACTTGGCAAAGAGCTCACCGTGGACGGGAAACCCGGTTTCAAGCTGCGCTTCTTCAATGATCCGCCGACAAACGTGGAGAGGACCCCACTTGAGGAACGGATATTGACCGACTCCAACATCTTCTTCCTCGACTATGATCATCCGAATCTCAAAGAGATTTGGTACGCTGAGACTGAAGGTGTCTTTGCTCCAACTCAATCGGGCACCTATGACTTCGGTCTGTGCGTGCATGGCACTGGAAGACTTTACATTGATGACGAGCTTCTCGTCAGCAATGTCGAGCACCAGAGGCCTGGACCTAGCTTCTTAGGTTCTGGAACTCTTGAAGAGACTGGATCAAAGGTTCTCATTGCGGGCAGAGCGTATCGAATTACCGTGCAATGGGGCTGCGCAAAGACAAGCACGAGGAAGACACCTGGCACGGTGGACTTTGGTCATGGCGGTTTGCGTTTCGGTGGTTGTTTACGCCAGGACCCACAGGAGCTGATCGATACTGCGGTACGCCTTGCGTGCGAGGTCGATCAAGTGGTCATTTGTGTCGGTCTGGGTCCTGAATGGGAATCTGAGGGCGATGATCGCGTATCAATGGATCTTCCGCCGAATACAGATACGCTCGTGGAACGAGTCCTCGAAGCCAACTCGAATGCGGCTATCGTGGTTCAGTCCGGTACACCTGTTGCGATGCCCTGGAGCGATAAAGCAAAGGCAATTTTACATGCGTGGTATGGTGGGAATGAAGGCGGCAACGGGATTGCGGACGTCCTCTTCGGCGCTGTGAACCCCTCGGGAAAACTTCCTCTGACTTTCCCCCGCCGATTGAAGGACAACCCGACGTATCTCAACTATCGCTCCGAGGGTGGCCGCGTGCTGTATGGCGAGGATGTTTACGTGGGCTACCGTTTCTACGAGCAGACCGAAGTGGCACCATTGTTCCCATTTGGCCACGGCCTGTCCTACACGACCTTCGCCCTGTCCAATCTCAAGCTTGACATGAACACGCAGACTGACCGGCTAAGCGTGCGCTGCACTGTGAGCAACACGGGCTCCAGAGCTGGCGCTGAAGTCGTGCAGGTTTACATTGAGCCGATCTCACCACCTATTCGTCGGCCGTTGAAGGAATTGAAGGGCTTTGCGAAGCGCCACATTGAAGCAGGCCAGAGCGCCGAAGTGATTGTCGAGATCGACGTCCTTCGGGACACAAGCTTCTGGGAGGAGAAGGAAGGAAGGTGGTGTAGTCATGCTGGGATGTACAACGTCCTTGTTGGGACGAGTAGCGCTGGCTGTCATCTATCGGGCTCGATCGTGTCGCCGAAAGCTAGGTACTGGCTATCGTAAATCAATGTAAAAGATTGTCGTGCAAATAATGTCATTGCTGCTCTCGTTGGTGCTGTTCCATTCTTCGACGTGATTAACAGTAACCCAGGTATCGTCGCAACCGAGAGCGATCACTGGCATTTCTGAACGAGAAAAGCGTTCCTTTGTTGATTCTCTCTGTAACCCCCTATCGGCTTATGGTGTCAACGACATGACGCAAATTCGAGATGCAGCATTCCGGCCATGAACAAAGACCTAAGTGCCGAGGACACGTCTGGCGCTTGTTTGGGGCCTTGGCGAACGCGCCCCAGCCCAGCGCGATCCGCATCATCAAACGCACTTGGTTCTCATGTCTTCACCGCTCAACAGTACGGTTAATCCGCAAACCACACGACCACCGCGCGCGTGCGATGCATGTCGGACCAGGAAAACGCGTTGTGACCTGGGTGTAGACGTGAACGTACCAGATTCAGCATGCGTGCGCTGCCGGCGTCTTCAGCTGCAATGCACTTTCGAACTGGCGGTCGGTAGGAGGGGTCCAAAACGGTAGGTTGACATTCGATCAAGTTCTCAGACATGGCTGCTCTGCGGTGGAGTCATTCTGGTTTCCATACACTTTTGCACGGTTGCCGAAGACTTGTCAATCGCAACCGTTCACTGCCTCTTTGAGGCTTTGAGAGCCTTGAGTAAGGTGGACTGAGAAGCTTACATCACAGCTAACAGTCACGTTATAGAAAGCGGATGCAAAATGATATTGCCAGGAGCGAGCATTCTGTCGCACCTGCTCCGAGTCCCACTTCGTTCGTCACTGTCCAGCAAGGCGCATTTCGCACTGACACTGTTTGTTCGCGAGCGCTTTTACGAGTTATGGTGGGCGACTATCTTCTGTACATCTACCCGTTAATCCCTGTGGTTCACCGACCATCGTTCTGCCTCGCTCTGAACGAGGATCGTGATAACTACGACGACGACTTCTTAGGCCTTCTCATCGCTCTATGCGCAATCGTAGTTGCGTTGCTTCCAAGTAAATACGAGAGCTACCGTAGGCTCGACTTGTCCATGGCTCTCTCACGTGCCGTGATGCTCGACCGCTGTCACGGCTTCCTGATCGCTTTGCGTACGCCCGACTTTTTCGAGAAAATCGGCTTTAGCAAATGGGCAGCATCGTATCTGATGGCGATCGCCTTTTTCCAAGTCGGAAAGCCTAATCACGCTCGTATGATCGAGGTGGAGAGCATGCAGCTCGGGCGACTACTTGAACTTCACCGCGTTGATAGATATGAGGAACTGGACTGTATTGAGAAACAGCTGCGGAGAAAGGGCTTTTGGCTTCTTTTCTACGGTTACGTACATTCAGAGGTACAGAATTTTCGTAAAGAGAAGCTCTCTTTCTTGGATCATGCTACCATGGCGACGACGAACCTCAAGGCACTCATGCCTGTCGAAGTCGAAGACGAGCATATCTTCAAGCATGAGACGATCTCTTCGCCTACATCGGAGGTGAGCATGACTACAGGCTTCATCATCCACTCTCGCCTGTTTTGGCAAGCTATTGAGAATCCATACGGCAATGAAAGGGGCGAATGCTTGTGCTGTCGCGATCACTCACCTGCAGCGCAAGTGGCGCATCTTGAACGCCGCTTGCAAGATCTGAAATATGCCTTGGACGATGCTCCTAGGCCCTTTCGACAATACGCATTGTCCGATTTCGACTCCGCTTCACATAGCCTTTCATCCTCTCAACTGGGCACGCTGCGCGCTAATATTCATGTTACACACCTCTGGCTTCAAAGCATGTTACTGGATCAGTTGGATCTACTGACTTCGCCTGAGCAGCACTGGCACGAGCGCGAGGACATATCCACTCAGCTCCTCCACGTACTGCACAATACTCCTCAAGCAGATATCGAGCCAAATGGTCTCCACCTTGTCTACAAGGTGCGCGATGTGGCAGTCGGACTACTCGCGTGCCCGTACGAACCACCCGATCCTTCGGCAAAACGAGCCCAGGAGTATGTCAAGGCGTTTACTGACATCATGGCTCGCCTAGATGCAAGCGAGACAATTAACACAGCTAATCTTCAAAGTTGGATTGATACTGGACGTCAGAGTGTTTGAGCAATAATCGATAAAAACACTACTCTCGAATGAGAAGTTTCGTGAAATCCAAAACGACTGCTCTCTTTCCTCTAAACTCTAACACGAGTCAAGGTTCTCCATGACCGCTGGTAGTGGTAGCATAGTTGTGATGCGAACTAGCACAGTCCAAGACGAGGAGTTTATATCAAGATAAAGCACAACGTCACTAGGACTACAGACCTAGAAAGCCTAACCGAGTGCGACTTACCTAGCGTCGAATCGAGAAAGAATTGCCAAAGAGGAGCAGTTTTAGTAAATAAATGTTACCATTAAAATATGTCTTGATAAAATATCCCCTTTTAACCTCCGTTTCCTCGGAAAAATCCCTATTCGCGTACCTACTGTGATGATACGTCCCGTAGTAAAACGCCCAAACAAAGCCGCCATGCATAAAACCGCCATGGTATCTCTCGCGGTAACAACACGTGATAACAGCTCCATCCATGATACGCCAAAAGCCGAATGCATAGAGGTGTGTTCTGAAAGAAAGAACACATCCACTACCCCACAACATCAATATCACCATCAGCATCTAACTCTCCATCCTCTTCTTCACCTTCAGCATCATCCTCATCACCTTCCGCATCTTCCTCCCCCTCTCCCCCACCACCACCAGCACCACGCAGCGGTCCCGGCAACGACCCCCTAACCCCCTCCCACTCCCTCGCCGCCCTCTCAGCCTCCCCTCCCATCCCATTCCTCGCATAAACCCCCACCGCAATCCCACTCGCAACACCCATCCAAACCCCCCTTCTAACCTTCCCCGCCTGACTCCTCGCCGCCCTAATCGCCTGAATACTCTTCTCCCCAACGGTATCAGCAAAGAAGCGCGCGACGAAATAACACATCATCATAGCCACAAACTCAAAGTTGAGTGTCCTCTTGCTGATTTCCTGGGCTAGGCCGACAGCAGCTTGTACCGTCTTCTTTTGCTGGAGGATGGAAGTTGTGGATTCGGCGTGGAAGGCGGCGATGAGACGGAAGGCGATGCGGAGGTATTGGTTGGGGTGATCTTCGGCGTAGGGTTTGACTTGGGCTAGCAGGGATTGCGCTTGAGTGTGCTGGGGGTGGGATGGGTCGCGGAGGATAAGGAGTTGGTTTAGTGCTGCAGTCACCGCGAAATCTATCTTCGCGGGCGTTGCGTGCGCCTTTTCGGGTATGCCAAGGATCGGGGAGGAGTAAGACGAGAGGGAGACGTGGAGGGGGCCATTAAGTTGGTCGGTTATGGCGGAGAAGTAGGTGAGTGTGCGGACGAAGGCTTCTTGGTTGTTGTAAGGAGTTGCACTAATCTTCTTCTTGAGGAAAGAGAGGGCGTCGGAGGCGGTCTGGGGTTCGTTGCGATTGTGGGCCATGAGACCAATGGCGAACATGGTGTACCAGTCTAGTATCATGTTCCACTCTATGCGTGCAAAAGCGATGGAGATGGGTATGCCGTTGAAGGTGCGTCGCTTTGTCGTTTCGCGGAACCGCTGGTGTGCTTCTTTCATGAAATTGAGCCCCTTTTCGTGGACGTGTTGATCCAGAGCGCAGATATGAAAACACAACGCTTGCAAATCCTCTTTTGGGAGCCATGCAAAGACCAATTCGTCTTTTTGCTCTGCATTCTTTCGGAAGACCCCAGCAGTGTCAAACGTGAGGTTGCCCCCAAAGCTTCGCTCAATCAGAACAGTAAAGACGCTGCTGTGTGAGCTTTTCTGATCGTTGTTGTCGCGTAGTATAGACTCGAGAAGGGCAGTGGATTTTTGCGGGTTTGGGCTCCCTTTTTGGATACCGCTGGCAATGTCGATTATATCAATGAGAGTGCCGAACGATCCCAGTTGCTTGGCTGATACCTCGAGTTGCAGGCTACGCGCTGCTGCAATGGCGCGCTGGACATTGTCTATCCGATCTGCTGCACCTGACCGCAGATGAATCATGGCTTCGAGCACGTGACAAGCGACATATATGGCGCGGTCGCCTCGTCGACCTGCGTGGTCCTGTATAGCATGGAGTTGCTGGAGAGCCAGTGTCACCTCTACACGACCCGGTATTTGCAACGCCAGCGTAACTTTGAGAAAGCGCAGTGCATACACCCAAGCGATGTGTTGAAAGGTTTCCGCTTCTTGTATCGGTTTATCAAGTGACTTGAGGCCAGCGCGGTGATTAGTCTTGAACTGATACCGCGCTTGAAGATGGAAAGCCGCGAACTTCAGATCCTGCAAGCGATGGCGTCCGCAGAGGGATATTTGCTTAGACAAAATCTCTTCGATCCGACTGGAGACGTCGGCAGCCTCAATGTCCGTCTCTTCAATGAGCAGGCTAGCATATCTCAACCGTAATTTCGCCTCGTCCCTAGGCGGCATGTTGAAGTCCTTCAATACAGTATCCATACATCCCATGGCGGTGGACATCAGTTTGTAGTACTGTCTTACGTCTGCCTCCTTTCTTTCCCGTATGAACAGCGATCCCATGCCTCGCGCAACCGCGATGTATTCGTCCGCAGCCGTGAGTAATAGTTCCGAGAGCTCGGCGGGAAGCGCTTTCTGGGGAAGATGAGCACGCTTCGTGGGTGTGAGCTGGTGCGACGAAGAGGTTTTGGGAATGACAACCTGGGGGTGCATCCGCGGTTTCGAAGAGGCTGGTTGAGGAAATGGGCTGCCATACTGGCTTGATGGTGTTCGAGACGGCGGGAGAACGCGCTGTTGTTGGGGAGTCGACTGGGGCCGCGGTTGCTGGGGTGTCGACTGTGAAGGTCGCGGTTGTTGGGGCGTCGACGGTGGAGGTGGCTGCTGAGGCGTCGACAGCGATGGCATGCGCTGCGGCTGAGGCGTCAACTGCGACTGCGACTGCGGCGGTACACGCTGTTGCTGGGGCGTCGTCTGCGGCTGTAACGGCGCTCGATATGGAGCCTGACCATTCGACGACGTAACAACGGGCCGCTGCTGCGGTCTTGGGCCATTCTCTTGATGCGAGGGCGATCGCTGTACCGGCTTAGATACAGGCGGGTTGGGTGGCTGCTGTGCGCTATATCGCCGTTGCTGGTCCCCAGAGCCGTCTGTTTGCGCGATGCCTGCACTGCTTGTTCGCTGTACGGGTACTTGTACATGTCGTATCCGCGGGGGTTGCATTTGCGGCATCTGCATGGGAGAAGCGTATTGGGGGTTCCTCGCGGGGATAATGACTTGAGGCTGCCGTTGATATTGCGGTTGCGGCGGCGGCTGCTGGGGTTGCTGGGGTTGCATTTGAGGAGGCATTTGCGCATATTGCTGGCTCATCGGTCGAGGCATGCTGGGTTGTGGTGGTAGTTGGTATGGCGCTGGCTGTGACTGAGGATATCCCTGGGGCGTCTGCATCTGTATGGGAGGGTATTGGGGGTAGCCATGGTGTTGGTAGCCATTTGGCGGCGGCGGCTGCTGTTGTTGTTGCGGAGGCGGCGCATACGGAGGATACTGGTTGTTTGGAGGGCCACTCGGATAGCCCTGGGGCTGCCAGTTGTATCGCGGGTCCATGGTGCGGAAGACTCAGCCAGACTGTCACCGGGAATCGAGATATGGGCGTTGCATTGTGGGCGAAGCGGGGTGTAACTGCGACGACGTGTAAAGGGCAGTCGCGAACTTGGGTAATCGCGAACGCGCGCCAGGTCACTTCAGCGCCATTGGCCGATAGACGCGCGCTTACACACTACCACATGCAGGCTAGTGGGTAGACAGACCGAGGCCCCGTTCTTTTCCTACCACATGTCGTGCATGTGTTTATCGCTGAGAAATAGTTCTGCCTTTCCTTCGAAATCGGTTCGAACGGAAGCATCTTTAGGCAATTGGATCGCCTAGTATCAGATGCCAACCGGCAATTGATTTCACTGAGTGACAGAAACGGTGAAAGAGCTAGGAACAAGACGAAAGACATATCTTAGGTGCCAAGTTGTACTCTCCATACGGCCGCACCTCCAGACCTACCACGCAGATATCCACCTTGCAAACCTCACACCAAGTCCTCACCAGGCTGTATCCACCCCCTCACCCTGACAATGTCGTGGCTTCTAGGCCACAGCAAAACAACCTACACATCCCACTCCTCCCCAACTCCCCTCGAAACCAAGTCCGGCTCAAAAACCACCTTGCCAGAAATCGCAAAATCCTCAATCCCACCATGCCGTCTGAACCCTTTCCTCTTCAACGGCCACTTGCAGACTATGTACACAGCCGTCAAAGACCCAGGACCACCCATCTACTACAAGCGTCAAATTTTCGACTCGAACCACTCTGTCTATCCCGGAACTTTTGCCGTGGATTTTGTCGTCAGCAAGGAGGAGGGAGATGCATCTGCTTCACGGATGAAAGAAGACAAAGATGATACCGAACTGCCCGAACGAACGACAAACTTCACCGCTAAAGAGTGGGAAGGAATCAGCAGTGACGACGACAAGCCAATGCTAATAGCGCTCCACGGCCTAACAGGCGGGTCTCACGAAGTCTACCTCCGCGAAACCCTCTACCCGCTGCTGACCTCTTCGACGCAACCCTGGGCCGCCTGCGTCGTCAACGGGCGCGGCTGCGCGCTATCCAAAATCACCACGCCGCAGCTCTTCAACTCGCGCGCAACCTGGGATCTCCGCCAGGTCATCACAACGCTGCACGATCTGTTCCCCAACCGGCCTCTGTACGCCATCGGCTTCAGTCTAGGCGCCAACATCCTGACCAACTACTGCGGCGAGCAAGGCGCAAGTTGCACTCTCAAAGCAGCAGTCTCGTGTTCGAACCCTTGGAACCTAGAAGTCTGCAACACGACGCTGCAATCCACGTACCTGGGCCTGCACATCTACTCGCGCACCATGGGCAAGAACCTCATGGGCCTGTTCAGGAGACACCGCGACCAGATACTGCTGAATCCCGGTATTGACGAAAAAGCCCTCCTAGCATCCAAGTACCTCCACGAATTCGATAGACATGTCCAGTGTCCTACTTGGGGTTACCCAACCGAAGGCGCGTATTATAGAGACTCGCAATCCGTAGATGCGGTACTGGCTATCCGCATCCCTTTCCTGGGCATCAACGCGGAAGATGATCCGATTAGTAATAAAGCGGGCTTGCCGTACCAGGAGGTGTTGCAGAACCCGAATACGCTGCTTGTTACGACGGATTGGGGCGGTCACCTGGGCTCGTTCCAGTTGGGTGGCGGGCGCTGGTTCGCGACTGCTGCTGCTTCTTTCTTGCAGAAGATGCATGGCGAGGTGAATTTTGAAGCTACGAAAGGTGTTGATGGGGGAAAGGATGTGAATATGGGAGGGTTGGAGGGAAAGCAGTATCCTATCTTTGATCCTAATCACAGGAGGCTGATATTGCCTGATGCTTAGACGTAAATTGATAGATTGGGCAGCCTTGGAGAGTTTTGCATTGGATTGTGAAAACTTGTTTTGGGGGTATCATAGACTTTTAGATATGCGTAGATCCTGTACAGCACTTTAGACCTCACTCTTTTTTTGTTCTTGCGCCAAGAGCACAGTTTGCTGTTATGCTTCGACATGTGCTCTTGCGCTGTTCATCCCTCGACGTCGACCCCATCGTGTTCGCACACATCATGCTCCTGCCTCTGCCTGGACGTGCCGCGTCCGTATCTGTACCTGCCCTGTGACAGCTTCGTCCACACGCGCGCAAGCTACCTCCCCTCAGCCAAAGCTAACCCTCTTCCTAACCTTGAACTTCCTGTCCTTCTCCTTGATCTTATCTCCTTCTCTCTCGTCACCCTTGCCACCGCCAGCGCCAGGCTCACTATGCCTCTTCCTCTTCTTCTTGAGGTCCTGTTTCCTCTCCTCAAACGCCTGATCTTTGTCTGATTTCCTACTCTCAGCCTCTTTCCGCTTGGCCTCGCGTATTTCTTCTAGCTGGCGGGCTTTTGCAATCTTGGACTCGAGGTGCCCTTCTTTCTCGGCGTTGACGACGGACATGATGGCCATCTGCGCAACATGTCGTGATTAGTATACCTATAAGCTTGGAAAGTGAATTTTTCTTCTTGTATACATACCATGCTAGCCGGATCATCCACAAACTTCTTCCCCTTCTTGACACCCTTTGGTTTCGCAATGCCCGCGGGTATTATTCCATTCAAGGCCGGGATATCCAATTCCTTCTCTGAATAGACCCTCTTTTTCTTCTTGCCGTCTTTGGACACCAAGCTCTTGGTCTTTTGCGCGCCACCAGGCTTAGCCAGCGACATGGATTTCTGCTTGCGCTTCGAGATTCCTTCGGGCGCGCTGCCGGTAGGCTTTGAAGATTTCGATTTCGGCTTGTTGGCGCCGGACTTGGCTGGACCGGATTTCCCTTTCGAGCCTTTGCCCTTGGTCGAGGGCTTCGAGGCAGCCATTTTGGAGAAAGAGAATGCGAAAGGTGGGTGAGGTTGGCGAAAAGTTGCAAAGGTTGGTGTGTCGCAAGCAAAGAGGAATGGTTTTGAGAAATTATGTCGGCGGTTTGGGGAGCTGCTAATGCCGACCGAACGGGCGCGGAACGTCAAGCGCCAAAGGGTTGGCGCGACCTTGTGTGGACCTCGAGGCGCAACCTTGTGGAACCTCTAGGCGCAACCCCAACACCAGCTTCGCATAGCTCACACTCATCAACACCCAACACACCCGTCGCATACGTGCCCCCGAGTTCGACATGGAGGACTCGAATCGCCTCTTCCGCTTCCCAAAGCCCGCGTGGATGAACAGCGCAAACACGCGAACAGCCGGCGTCTACATGGCAGGAGCCCTGGTGCGCAGCCTCACCCCCAAAACATGTCTGTGACTGAAAGAAGCTGACGTTGCAATGTTGCACAGTTCGCCATGGGTTTCTACACCCTCATCGATATATCCACGTGGTCCAAGTCCGCCATGAACGGCTCCGACCCCCCCGTCCACATCACCTTCATCGACTGGATCCCCGGTATCTGCAGCGCCCTCGGCATGCTCGTCATCAACAGCATCGACAAGTCGCGCTTGTCCGCCGACAGCTTCTCGTACTCTGGTAACGGGGTGGCGTGGAAGGCCAGGCTCGTCTTGTTCCTGGGCTTTGCCTTGTTGGCTGGCGGACTGGCGGGGAGTGTTGTGGTCATGGTTATGAAGTTTGTTGTTGTGGGGCATACCTGGCCGACGCTTTGGTTGGGGGCTGGAAATGTAGCTGCTAATGGCTTGATTATGCTGAGGTGAGTACACGGTGATGCTGGGGTGTGCTTGGATGGTCGCGGGATAACGGCTAACGTGTTGTAGCTCTGCTGTGCTTTGGGTTGCGCAGAACATGGAGGACGAGTATACTTACAACCTGGCGTTGTAGATTGCTGGCGGAGTAACAGGCTAGGGAAATTCGACGGGAAGAGGAATGCGCATCACGATTGCATATCCGGAGGCACGGATGCGATGGCCATAATCATGTACGAGTATTCGGGAGACGGAAGATGTTCGCTACGGGCAGTTTGTTGTGTTCTATCCAGCTGTTCAGCGATTTCGAGTGTATGTTCCAATACGGACAGCCTAACGCGTCCTATGCATTATGTTCGATCTACTTGTACAAAAACGCTCAGCAGACTATGGGTACAACATAAACATGAAACAGCACCAATCTGTTCCTTCCGGTTTCCAGCTTTTGCTATCGAATCCCTCCATCTTACGCACTTCACAGAGTTGTAAGCGGCCCCTCATTGCTGAGTTCCGCCGGCTAGTCAGAAGTCTTCTTGCTCCTGGAAGAAGAGCGTAAAGCTGATGATGGTTGCGTATATCAACAGACCGCCAAAGATGGACATGGCCGCCGCGCCGCCCGCGATTTCTGCCGAATGCCACAGCAGTGTTGGAAGGGCTGCGGACATGTTAGATTGCGTTTCCACGCTGTGCCGATTGAGTGTACTCACCAATACCCATGACGACAAAGAAGCCCGTCAGGAACCTTCCAAAGTCGACGACGCCGTTGCCGGTGCTCTCCATAAAGTCATCGCGGTTCGCTGCTCGTCCACAGAGCCAGTTGGGTAGGGGCGCGATCACGTAGGTTGCGACAACGAGAAGCGTGAGGTAGTTCTTGAAGAGCGCGGCGGAGAGAATGACAAGGAGAAAGCCTATGGCCAGGACCTAGTAGCATGGCCGTTAGCGCAATCCCAGTGTGAAGATGAGGCGCGTGTATGCGACAGGCTGACGTACAAAGGACAGGCCTATGATGGTCTTGATGCCGGCCATGGTGGAGTCGTAAGGCAGAAAGGTCGCGTTGGTATAGTGCACGGGGTTGCGCCGACGTGTCCCTGGTTGGATCCTCGGTCCGGCGAAGATGCGAGGTTGCTGTGATGGTGCGTCTTGCTCCTAGACGCCTGAAGGTGAGGTTGCGTCGCACGCGCTAAGGCCCTCGCCAAGATTGGAGCTTCTGGAGCTCATCGTCGTCAACAGGTCGGTGCCTCCAGCTGCAACACCGCATCGACACTATTCACCCCTCGCCGCTGCGACCACACAGCCCTCTTTCTCGCAAATAACATCCAGCGGGATTGAATAAAGCCTCAAAGGGTATCCCACCATTGTAGACTACACAACCACAGACCCCACAATCCCGCCTTCACCATGTTCAGGAACAACTACGACAACGACTCGGTCACCTTCTCGCCACAAGGCCGCATCTTCCAGGTCGAATACGCACAAGAGGCGGTCAAGCAGGGTTCAGTCGTCGTCGGCATTGTCAGCAAGACACACGCAGTTCTCGCAGCAATCAAGGTAACTAGGCCAGCCGCCGTGCCATGCAAACACCATCTAACGATGCTACAGCGAAATGCCGAGGAACTCTCTTCATACCAGAAGAAGATCATCGCGATAGATTCCCACTTTGGTGTCGCCCTCGCCGGACTCGCCTCCGACGCCCGCGTCCTCTCCAACTTCATGAAGCAACAATCCCTCGCATCCCGCCTCACCTACGACCGCGCCATCCCCCTCTCCGAGATCACCTCCCGCATCGCAGACCGTGCCCAGACCAACACGCAGCAGTACGGCCGGAGACCCTACGGCGTGGGCCTGCTCATTGCCGGCGTCGACGCAAAGGGCCCGCATCTGTTCGAGTTCCAGCCCAGCGGTGTCACACAGGAGATGGTCGCATGTGGTATCGGCGCTAGGAGTCAAATGGCAAGGACATACCTCGAGAGGCATCTGGCCGACTTTGAGAACGCTAGCCGGGAGGAGCTGATCAAGCATGCACTGAGAGCACTGAAGGAGTCGCTATCGCAGGACAAGGAGTTGACTGTTGACAACACCAGCGTCGGCATCAGCGGCGTTGGCGAGGACTTTGTACACCATGAAGGCCAGGATATCGCCGAGTGGTTGGATGCTACGTTTGAGAATAGGGAGGGCGGGGACGAGGCCGAGGGTGGAGAAGCTATGGAGGAGTAGTGCAGTGTGGCAGTAGGCTCGACTTTACTTTAGCTACACAGATGACCACTGTAGATCACGATGTAGCCGTCTGGCTATGAAAATAATGAACATGACTTCAGATAACGTCCAAGAGCAGCTTTCTACACAACTGTTTTGACATGCTAGAGAGATGGCGCCCCAGCGTCCAGTTTACCTCCAAGCCCGTTCTGCACGTGACCTCGAGCTCCGCCCGGCATGCGCGAAATCTCGCCGGACCTCAGCACTTGCACCTCACCACCGTACCTCACCCGCCCACACCCACCCACGAAACCCCAACGAACCTACCATCACAATGGCATTCGCGTGGAAAGCCGCCGGTCTCACGTACGCATCCGCCCCTCCACAATCGCCTACAGACCCTGCTGGAGCAATTGGATAGCGAGGACCAAACGACTGACAACCCAAATAGCTACAACCGCTACATTGCCGTCGCATCGCGCGTCGTGCGCCGCTCGCTCAAGGAGGACAAGCGCATTGCTGCTGAGCGCAGGGGCGAGAGCGAACTCCGATTCGCCAAGTGGGAGGTGAGTCTACACTGCATATGACACGGCACAAGCGGCGGGGGAGCATGGAGACGGGGTCGGATGAGAGGATTGGGGGAGGGCAATTGGGGAGTTGGGAGACTGTTTCCTAGGGCCAGGGGCGTACAAATCACGGACGTTGGGCTAATGACATGGACAGAACGGCAAGCAGGGCGAGATGAAGGACCTCAACGCTGCGGCTCTCCAGGCCCAGGCTGATGCTGCCAAGACCTCGTAAACGATGCGATGGACAGAGGATCTGTAGTTGCGGCTGGCTATGGAGATGATGGCTTCGGGCCAGGGCATGGAATGGACAAGTTGACGAGAGCTGATGGATGCATGCCATGTGCCATCAAGGCTGGAAAGGGGAATTAAAGCCAATGCACAGCACCAATTGAGCTGACATTCACTTTCTCTCTCTCTCTCGAGAATCCTATGCGCTTTGTGATATTGATGTGATATCGCTTGTCGTGACTTGGAGTATCGTCCGTTGCGTGAGCCTGACATGGAACGCGCATGTACTACTGGCCTGTCACAAATCTTTGCCCGCATCGGCAACCCGCGAACTCCACCACAACCATGGCAGATGCACCTAGCAGCCACAACAGCACAGCCCCCGCTCCAGACACGGGTTACGAAGTAGATGGTGCTGGTAATCCTCCCTTTTATCCCCTTTATCCTTGATAAATGATACAGAATATCATGGATGTTGATGATTAAGTCAGGTCCCTCACATACTGCGCAAGAGTCTGCGCCTACTATCCAGCCGACTACTTCTGCTAACTTACCCTTGAGACAATCAAGACAGCATGTGGGAGGGACGCAGCCAAAGATTCACGATGTGACGGAAAAGTTCACGAGGGCTTGTAATGGTATGCGTAACGACCAAAAGGTTGATGGTGATGGGTGTGGAGGAGGGGCATGATGGCGGGGCTACCCTACGAGCATCGTCATGTCGTTTCCTACCAACCATCATCATCATCTCGAGATGAAAAAGTTTGAACGTGGCTAACTTACAAAAACTCTCACAGCTCTCGAGGTCGGTCAACTCGTCAAAGATGAATATTTTACGCTTTTTGAATCCATTGGGGCTATCGAAGTACGTCTTGCAACGCGTCCTTCAACCCCCATTCCTCTTCTTTCCTGGAATATACTCACATGTGCCAATAGATCATGGACCCTAAAATGGATTCGGGCTTCCTTGTCCCGGGCGAAACTCTAGAAGATGACTATGATACACTTACCCCCCTGCTCCCCGAGGAATTAATAGGCATCATGGACCAACTACTCTGCTACGAAATGGCCTGGCACACGGGCTACCCTCTCTCCCAAACCCTCTTCACATCCGTCTACATTGACAAGCTACTCTGGCCTGAGACCAAGATCCTCTCTCAAGCGCAGTTTTTCCGTGGAGACCTGCCGGATGAGAGACGGCCTGGCCCGTTGTTAGACATACTTCGAGCGTATTGTCTAGCGGTGATCAAAGGGTGTGATTTCGTGATTGCCAAGATAACGGCCAGGGATTACTTTGAGGAGGAGGATTTTTGCACGCATACATACAACCGGGTACTATTTGTGGGCATGCCGATGGATGTCTTCCTCCGCGAACTCGATGCGGCTATCGACACAGTCGCAGACGCCGCCCTTGTCGACATCAACGACGCCCTCCGCCAAGCCATCATCTCACGCCTCGAATTGCGCAAATATCTCCTGCGCGCCCTTGACCTGGATCTGCCCTTAGATCAGACATGTTATTCCTGGCCCCCCGTGCTCGAAGGCATCGAGCGGCTGAAGAGCACGCATCAGCTGGGGAAGATGGTGTCTGGAGCGTTTAGTCCAAAGATGCAACGTCGACTCGCTTCCACGGTACCTCCACGACCGATTGTAGACTTGTCCTTTTCAGACGCTGCGGACAAGCTGAAGCAACTTGCCACCGATTGCCACGAAAGCACCCGCTTTCCCTTGTTACCCCAGGACCCGCTGGAATACCAAGCGTTCCTCTGGCACTACTCTTCCCGCTCGCCGCCACCCCTGACATACTCGAGGTCGTATCTGGCCACGTTGCTGTTCCATCCAGAAGTGCTGGAAACGTCCGTCTCCCTGCCACTGGCGGATGTCAAGAATCTTGTGCTGACGGCGAGTCCGGTGCTGGATCCGACGAACTGGACCTTGTCTCCGCCGCGGAACGCGCTACTGCCCAAGCCACCCAAATTGATGTTTGCCATGCTCATTGACGAGTTTGTGGAGAGGGCGGGACAAGCGTATCTTGATCTGTGGGTTGCCATGAGCCAGAATAGATGTCGGGTAAGACGCATGTTGACACATGTCATCACGGGGTGGGATCTACTGCAAGCAGATGCTAGTTCCATTGACGTGGACATTTCCACCGCGGCCGCACAGGTCGGTGCCGACGTGGGGAGCCAGGTCATGGAGTTTGGGCTGAGCACGTGGGTGTACCACAAGAAGCTTTGGATGGTGGAAAAAGTCATCCTGCTCGGTTTCGAACAGGATATATACCTCCCTGACGAGTACGCTGGCATGTATCTCTTCCTCGGCCTCATCGCGACAAGAAGGAAGGAGTTGTTGAGGAGAGTCGAAGCACACTACATCGTCTTATCGTCATCTTTTCTCAAGGAGAGACGCTTCAGGGAAGTACAAGACGTCGAAGACGCGCAGCCTTTCCTCGCTTCTCTCCTCGCTGGCGCAGAGGGAACGGCAGAGCTGGCACTTGCCATGGCACGTTTCTACATCATCGCGTTGTATCTGGGCAAGTTGCCCATGCCGCGCCGCACTCCTTTTTCCACAGACAAACTCCGTTACGAAGTCCGCATGAAACCTTTTCTCGCTCTCTCACCGCCCGAAGCACCGCCTTTTGAAGACTTCCAAGCACACAGCCAGCCGTATGGCCCGCCGCCGTCATTGGCGGATCCACCGCCTGAGGCCTTTGTCAGAGATGTGAGGGACGAGGGGTCGAGTCTCTGGCTTGAGGTAGACACACATCTTAAAGCGGCCAAGGCGGCGTTTACAGAGTATAAGAAGCTGGGGGCTGAGGCTGCAAAGGCGAAAGGTGTGGAGGCTAGTTGGAGTGAAGAGATCAAGAGTCTGTTGGCGAGCTGTGTTAGTCTTGGACTGGCGGTCAAGGAGATTAAAGATGCTGTTATGGTTGGAGATGAGGGGGCGGAGGTGGGGAAGCGCATTGGGATTGAGATTCCGGAGGCCGGGGCTGGGAAGAGGTATGCTGAGGGGTGGATTGTTGGGAGGGTTAGTAGGGTGTAAGGTGGTCGTTGGGAGGTGGTGGGTATTGATGATCTGCAGTAGGCAGCACGATGTGAACAGTTCGGATAGGTTGTCGTGAGTATCTTCTTATGTCGATCTATAACGGCACCAGCTATAACTATCCTAGCCAGACTCGCCACAAGGAAGCTATGGCTACTATCTTATCTGAGACCTCGTCCATTCTGGATCAATGCATATATTCACAGTAGTGATCGGCGTTCTTCTGATCTGGACTAGCTAAATATTATCCAAAGATAGAGCAATCCTTCCTCGCATACGTTGCAACTCGCGGCGCCAGCTCCAATTCGCCACGTCAATGACAGCTTCCGCGGCCATGGTGATGGGAAACATTACAGCTGGCCAGATCCGACGTTTGATGAATTCGGTCGTTTTGAGACCCCATCTTCGTCCTCGACGTCTGTGTAAAGCGTAGTCTGTGCGCTCCTGCGGGGAGGAGCCTTCTTCAGGATCTGTTGGGTGGGGCTCGTCGACTGTGTCATTCAGCTGGATTCGTCTGTCCCGGAAAGGTCCCAGAATGCGCCAACTGGACCATTGGGATCTATCTGGTGAGCCTGCGGTCTCTATTACGATGACTTTACATACAGATGAGAAGGCGTCCGTTCCTGAAGTACGATCTGATTTTCAGAAGGTCGACTCCAAATCTGTCTCGTCTCTTGTTCTCGATGAAGCGCTCTATTCTCTCAATCCAGCTCCATTCTTTGATCGAGCTAACGCAGCCCCATCTCAATTCCCGTATGACCGTTCGCCACCCACGACCCCCATGGAAGTACCTCGCAAGGAACGAACCTCTCCAGGTTATAAACCTCAAAAAGAACGCCTGGTTGAGCAGAACGGTACCCGCAAAGCTAACAAGGACAACAAAGACCATGGTATCTGAGATGAGCAGCCCGCCCAGTGAGACCCAGGCACCTTCTGCACAGCCCACTGTTATGTAGATGAGTAAAAGAACCCAGGTGATTGTCGGCACGACCAGGACCAGATATGTTCCCCAATCGATAACCAATGGAGGCACCGAACCGCTCATCCACCGTAGGAGGAATATGAAAGTAGCTATAACTCCACCACCCATCTTTTCGAGTATGAGCGTGAAATACCATAGCGGGTCCTTGTTCGCACAGTTGTCGATTGGTCAATTTAGCTCCAAACCCAAATGCTCCTATGGTCCAATACATGAGCCATGCTCCAAGGCCTTCCATGATGATGGCTGGTGCAATTCCATAAACAACTATGCTGAAGAGCTGGAATGCCCAGGTATATTCCCAACCCCGCTTGCCTACACGTGCCCGGAGGAGGTTAGCTATCTCGGCGTTTCGATGCTTGAGTGCTACATCACCTTGCACAAAGTCTGAGTCGGGAACATCTTCTGTCCATGGTACCATGTCCAAGGCCGATGTCTGGGATTGAAACGGCTTTAGAGGGCTCAAATAGCCGTTTTGGATCAAAGCCGAGATTTCAAGAGTCCAGTAACACGACTAAGATCTCGCGAACGTGCAGCTTAGACGATAAGCCTCGAGTAAGGATCTTGCTTGCACAGGGGTATCTTTTGTTGACTATCAACTTGTAACACGTTGGAACAGCTAGGCTATAGATAGTTATCTCTGGATTTCGATCTGTCTATTCTAGCATACGTATTTGACTTTCCGCATCTGACGTCCTCTTAGAGTACTCTGCCTCTTCTTGCTTAAGTGCTGAAATACGTGCAGACTTAAAGCTATGCGTATAGCCGTCTAGCCGGTGCGACTGAGCCGAACCACCCATATTATTTGGTCGTCCGGCTTGTGACGAACAACTGCTGAACAGTGACTTGCGAAACAGGGGTTTAAAAGTGGCGATAGAGCTGCCTACTATGCCAATGCCTAATTCCACAAACGTCCACATGCCCAGAGTGGCAGCGTTATTTAGGTAGTCCTTGGTGCTAGTGTTGGAAGCGAAGTATACAAGACGGATGATCGTTGCAAAACTAGCACTATACATACGTCAGTTTAGCTAAACATACAGCTTGCAAATCGTGTACTTACAGAAAACCCAAGGCAAATAGGGAAAGGACGCCGATTTTTGACATGAGTCGGAGCTGCACATCCCATAAGACGAATACAGGCAGAATTGCGCAGGCCAAGTCCGACACGATGGACGTGGCTGATAAAAAAAAGGTGATAGCCCTAAGCACATCGGGGCTGCTACAAGTCCCGGCGGTAAGATCCCAATTAGCTGCGACTGTAGTACACCGTGAAAGCAATGCCACAGTTACGGTGATGGTCGCTGCAGTACTCAGGGCCATTACCGTGTACAGTATCGTCTTGTAGGCCCTGCTTTTCGCGAAGCGGAGCAGGCTAGCACAGATACTGCACTTGATAGCCAGTCCTGCCGGCGCGTAAAAGAGTCCAAAAATCCAATACCACTGTATCTAGTCAGCTCGAACAGTAAAGAGCCATGTTATTTTGAGATGTACCTTGGCACCCACAATCAGGGAATTGTAATCTATTTTCTTGTCCGGCCTGCCGATGCCATGGGAGATGGATACGATGGAGCAAGATACAGAGAGTGAGAATAGAATCTAGGTACTGTCAGACGTGCATCATCGGACAGAAAGTGAACATTTTTCATTACCAAGCCCACGACTATTAGCAAATCATCTACACCCAGGCTTCTGATAAATCTACGAACCAATAATCGAAGGATAGCGGTAGCCCAGGAAAGCGCAAGCATGACCGAGGTCAGAGTGACCACGGTGGTTGCAGGGATGATGTCAAGCGCCATACCGTCTTCGGCGACACTGACGAAGGATGGTAAGGATTGTACGTACGGTACAGACAAAGCGCGTTCTTACTGACCATATATAGACCATCAATCGCGCCCTATTAGAAGACCTACTGACGTAGCCTCGTTTTAAACTTCCACTTGATTGTGTGGTAGGCATAGCCACCAGGGTAGCAGCTACGGAAGAAGTCCCGTAGGCTAGTGATACGATCCTAGGATAGTTAGCGCGTAGATCTAGCGGCGATCACAGCTCCCCGTTTCCCCGTACAGATCCGGGATACGCTCTACTCGAGTGGAGGGAAGTCTGATTTGAGGCGCTCCGCATTGCGTGGAGAGTTATTGGGCGCAAGGATAGTATGCTCAGTGTTTTAGCTTCGCAATGGAGTGCGCTGTCAGTTTCGCTATCTCTAGCTATTATGTCTAAAGGAGCGCGCTACCTCGTCGGAGCATGCTATGGTATAAATCCATTAAGTAGGGAAGAAAATGCTTCTGGGGTTGTCTTCCAGTCTCAGTAAGATAGCTTTGTTAGCGAAAACAACCAGCACTAAGACATGTCAGCCAGCCAAGGCAAGTGAACAACTCCCAATTGAGGTGACTTTGCGGGCTCGTGTGCTGCGTTCTATCAGAGGTGCCGAGAGAGGTCGTCAGGCTCTGCTGTGTCCAGGTGTGTTGGAGCGCGACCATCAAACCTTCGAAATTTTGGCGGCGAACAACCGCTTCCGAGTCAGCACTCAATGCAACGACGACAACCTCAGACCGCTTTAGAGATAGCAGCTCGTATGTCACATTCATACACAGAGTAAGTCTTACATTTGAAACTCGCAATGCGCCCTTGCGGCACTCATCGATCAGAGAGCCACAGAATCTGATCCACCGCCCCCAAAGCTCGGCATGCCAGCCCCTCAAAGTTCAGGCTCACTCACCAACCCCCCTCCATGTCTTCCAACGACCCTAGGGCCGTTATAGCTCACTGAAAATGTTTTCGCGTTCCTGATCAGATGGCGAGAGATTTTTTTCGATGTATCGTGCACGGCCGTTGTCATGTAAATGGGGACAGTGCAAAGAAGAAGCGCTGACACGCTCAGTCCCGATTAGGTTGTTAATCAGAGAAACTGCTAGACCCAAGACGGATTAGCTGCATATTACTACCCCCGCCGCATACTGAATCGAGGAAACACCCCACTCAGCAACGCCAAACGCCGAACCATCGTCCCATCAAATCATCACCATTATAGAATAGGCTTACATGTTCTTCACGATAGCCCGAGCTTGGATCTTTTTTGATGCACACTGTAGCGCAGTGACTATCGCCTTTCTCACATTAATGCCCCGAAATGGCAAGGTTCACTCCGCCTGGTAGTGGTTCCTAGCCGTACAGAGCATCAAGACGATTCGACACACTGGGCACTGCAAAGAAATGCTACTTAAGCCCGATAGACCCCATGGGCTCTACGCCGCTTGCTAGCACGTCGTTTCATTGATTTACTTCTCGTTGAAATATGGATTCTCGCGATGGTTACACATGGACGCCCACCGACGGCCTCAAAGCGGGCGTGCCGTCCCTCGGCGTCATAACACCTTCTACAAACCTTTCGGAATCAGAATCGGAAGAATTCTACGATGTCATCGTTGTGGGCGCTGGCTACTGCGGGCTCACAGCCGCGCGCAACGCCGCGGTGGAAGGGTTGAAAGTGTTGCTACTGGAAGGCCGGGATCGCATTGGCGGCCGATCCTGGTCATCAAACATCCAAGGTTATCCCTTTGAGATGGGGGGGACATGGGTGCACTGGGGCCAATCCAACACTTGGAGAGAGATGGTAAGATATCAGATGATGAATGAGGTGGAGAAGTCGTTTGATTTCTCGCATGGTGTCAATCACTATGAATTGAATATTGGGCTTCAAGGCTCTACCATGAGCCACGACGAGGAGGTCTGTTGCAAAATATCGTTATAGAAAGAGTAACCTACTGATGAGATGAAGGATGCACTGCTTATCGCAGCGTTGAAAAAATTCACAAACATAGATGGAGCGTGTGGGAGAAACATGATTCCTTTACCCTACGACATGTTCCACGTTGCCGATGCGACGCACCTTGATGATCTCTCCGCTCAAGATCGCATCGATGAGATTGCACCATCACTATCGCCACAGGAGCGCGCCGCCGTCGAATCCTTCGTCCTGCTATGCAGTGGGGCCACTCTTGCGACAACGAGCTTCCTCGAATTCATGCATTGGTGGGCTCTGTGTGGCTACACCTACGCAGGCTGCATAGACATGCTTATCACCTGGAAGTTCAAGGGTGGACAATCGAGCTTCGCAATCAAATTCTTCCAGGAAGCACTTGCAACGAAGCGTCTCGCATACGCTTTCAACAGCCCCGTGAACAAGATTCAGGATACGGGTCGAACAGTAAAAGTCACAACGCGGGATGGCCGCCGGTACGAAGCAGCGCGACTCATCTCAGCCATGCCTCTGAACGTCTTGGGCGAAGTGACTTTCGAGCCGCCGCTTTGTACTGGGAAACGAGAGGCTATTGCGACGGGTCATGTTAATCAATGCGTCAAGGTTCACGCAGAGGTGTCGAACAAGGATCTTCGATCTTGGACAGGCGTTACATATCCGCACAACGAGCTCATGTATGCCATTGGCGACGGAACAACACCTGCAGGAAATACACACATCGTCTGCTTTGGCGGTAGTAACAAACATATCGACCCTGAGGACGACATTGACGCAACGAAGCGTGCAGTTACGAACATGTTCGTGCAGCAAAAAGACCAGCCTAACATTGAGAGATTAGTATTCCACAACTGGTCGAAAGATGAGTTTGCAAAGGGTGCGTGGTTTTTCTCATCTCCTGGCTTCCTCGCGAAACATCTGGATCATATGCGGGAGAGGCATGGGAATGTACTGTTTGCGAACTCGGATTGGGCACTTGGTTGGAGGAGTTTCATTGACGGTGCGATTGAGGAAGGGACGAGGGTTGCTTTTGAAGTGCGAAAAGAATTGACGGAGTCACTGGACCATGGTGGGAAAAGCAGTCTGTAAGAAGAGATGATGTATAGTTTCTGTAGCATAAGAAAACATCCTTATCAGTCAGCAACAAACCTTCTTCTGCGCTCAGAAAGTATTTACTTTCCTTTGCATGTACACTAGGTGGCCGAGTAGACCGTGTGTACATTGAGGGTATAGCTTAATTGATCATCCCAGAAGTCAACCATTGCGGTATCTTACTGGATTCCTTCGAATATGTCGTACTCGTACTGCTTTAGTATACTCACATTAAGCCATGCGCCACACACTACTAGAAGAGGAGATCTGGAGACTAGCCAGATATGGAAAAGGCCGCTAGCGCTGTCGCAAAATCAGAAAGCGCCTACCTCGGCTTCCGCTTTCGCGCAGCCATACCAAGTATCTTTTTCCACTCCTACTAAGCCGCACACGTCGCAGATATGCCAGCACTGCAGACGCAGTACAATCCCTATGGATGTTAGTGTAGTGGACTCAGAGCAGGTGAACTGCTGCGACAGCCGTGAACCTACGTCGTAGCCAATCTACCAAGTCATCAACCCTATTGATCTGGGAGTAAACAAATGTCTGAAGCAGTAACTAGGAAGAAAGAGCGGGGCTGTTTCCAGTGCTCACGCCGTAGGGTCGTTTGCGATAGAACCGAGCCATCGTGCCTCAAATGTGCGAAGAAGGGTATCGGGTGCTCTGGACTGAGCAGGATACGATTTGCTGAAGGAGTGGCTAGAAGGGGTCGGCTCAAGGGATGCAGGATCCCGAAGACTAAAGGAGATGGTGGATGCCAGGAGTTGCCAACTATCACCAGGTTTCAAGCAGCACTAGTCTGGCTGGGTGAGGACAGAGCTACAAAGAGGAAATGCGATGTGAATGGGGGCACTGACACGAAAGACCCGACGAAACCGACATCCGATGCACGACAAGAACCAGCAAACGACGGAAATCTAAGAGTTTCTTCTCTGGAGCTTAACAGAACTGATAAAGAAGGTAACACCCGAGTGGAAGACATCTGCCGAAGTGATGATTCGCTTGTGACTGCGTACTCCCGTCACTGCAATGTCGTTCCTTGGATCGCACCAGTAACGCCAACATTACGGATGCTCTTTTCATATTGTATGTTAATGGTCATCCTGGATCAAGTCTCAGATATCGCCCACTGACCCCAACACAGTCTCCGATGTCGTCGCTCCGGTCATGGTCGTTCTTGATGACGACACGAATGGCTATAGATCTCTAGTGCTTCCAATGGCAATCGAGGATGAAGTTTTACGTCGGGCAGTGAGTGTTGTCGCTGCGCAACATCTCAGTCGTCAGCGACCCGAACTCCAGAAAGCCGCTGAAGCTGGACGTGCCGCCGTCATTTCACGATTGCGTAGCGACTCTTTGCAGCAGTCTGCGGAGAAGGTGTTCAACAAGTTCACGTGGGCGACTCTGATTGTGCTGCTGGTAGGCGAGACAGTGACGGGGAGTGCGGATTATGGCTTCCTCATCCAGATGCTGCTCAGCTTGTCCTTGAGCAATCCTGGCCGAGACGCCAATTCTGTTTTACTGAAATTTTTGCAAGCGCAGACTCAACTGTATGTAATCTAGAGGACTACCATACTGCTTCTAACACGTGATAGGTTTGAGCTGCTTGGGGTACCACTGCTTGGCGAAGAAGTCGGCCTACTGACGACGATGAAAGCCACGGAGTCTCTGATGAGCTGGCTGGCATATCCACATCTCGCAGAGAACAGTGACGATCGACGCCTTGCGGATCTGATACGGCAATGTTTCATTTCCGCATGCGACATATATATGCGATCCGCGGCCAACGCCGAAACAAATCCAACTTTCCATGAATCCATTCAATCACATTCCATTCAGCAGCTCATTGGTATGGTATCGCAAATTTCGCCTGACACTCGTGGTGCTCACGCACTGGTCTGGGTATACTTTGTCGCCGGAGCAGCTTCGACCGACCAAGGTCAACGGGATTTCTTCGTGCACCGCATGGAACTGGTTCACTCCCGTACGCAGTTTCAAAATGTTTCTACTGCGATACAAAGCCTCAAGAACATATGGGCGCGCGGGCATGGAGGACGCTGGACCGCCTGTCTTCCTCAATTATCTAACGTGCTAGTCATGTAGGGCATATGCATAAGCATTTCACTTCTGGCACAACAGATCTATCGCCTTCAAAGATTTCCAGTGCACCTCAGTCCCAATCATGTTTAATCTACTCTGGTGCTGTCTTGGTTCATACACATACGCTGTGGTAGCGAGGTCACAGAGCTTTGGATCTAGCACTACACAAGAGCCAAAGTTTCCATTGTTATCAGTGGCTTGTGTATCTTCTAATCAAGCTGCAAGGCAATTCCAAGCTTCTCTGCGACAAGCTCCTCACTCAACTTCCATAGTCTGTGTGCCTTTTCTTTGCTATCTGGATACGGCGGCACATCTATGACTTGACAGTTACTCAAGAATACACCTTTCTCTGGCGTTAACTTTTGATCTAGCGCAGCTACTAACGCGGTCGCAGCACCTTGGTCGATGGTCTTCTCGAATAGATTTGGTAATTTTGCCTTTTGCTCTTTGGCTATTATGCCCAACACCTCGTCCGTTGCTTGAGTCTTCACCCCTCTAGGGTGCAGCGCGAAAGCAAAGATACCTTTGTGTGAAAAGAGTGTGTTCTAGTGAACAGCGAATAGTACGTTAGCTGCTTTGCCTTGTTCGTATGCAATCTGTGCGGAGTAACCTTCGTGCTCCTCAAAGCTGAATATCTCCTGGATGTGAATGAGACTAGGTACGCCGCGGAGTGGTTAAGTCTATCTAATTTGCCCTTACTGAGACTATTGTTGAGGAATGGATATTATTCTATGACCCTATCTCGAGAATGATAGCTGTGAGGATTTAACCTCGGTCTTCTAGGTATGAAAGTTGATGGATCATTGTTCCTGTCGATGTTGCGAAAGCGGGAATCGAGACGTCCGCCAACTACTCGCTACCAAGTGGCCGATAACATGTACCGATATGCGCCTTTTCTCCTAGTCTTCAGGGACTTGAAAGCACGCAATTAAGAAGCGTAGAGTCCTAAGATAGTGTTTTGGCATCCCAGATGACAATCCTGATATGAGTATGACATTCAACCTTGGCACGTAATTGGAGAGTGAGCGACGATAGACTGCATGCAGCCTGGAGATAGTATACGCAACGATTTTGAACCGGCTTACTTGCCGCCATTTACACGATTGAGGCTTGCATTACCTAGCCCTTAGTTTATGTGATACTCAACAAACTGGTTTTCCAGACTAATTTCGCTGCCATCGTTCCTGCTCTGCGACTTTCTCCTCGCAACTTGACCTTGAAGTGCAGTGGGACTAATGATTGAGACCGAGTTAGCCAGCTCGCCATGCTTGCGCATTACTATGGGGCTCGGTAGTCCGCATAATCGAATCAACCGATCATTGACTTGTGTTTCTGCCGAGCAAACGAGTAGGCGAAATCTCCCTGGTTCGTCGGAGATGCTGACATAGCAAATCCTTCGCTTCAATTCCGCCAACAAGTTACACAGATATATCTGAGTTGATATGAATCTGAGGAACCATCTGGGCACTTTTACTCCGTCCATCCAGCGAGTAAGATATATGTTCAATTTGTCCCTCCTTGGCTTAGCAAGTAGTTTTTCCCACTGTGTTCGATCTCTCCAGCCTGGACTTGTGGCCCGAGCGCTAAGGGGCGTAACCTCGAGGGCTAGTTTGGGGTTTCGGGGCGGGAAGAAGAAACCCGACACCTTACATCCGATGTTCTCCGCCCAGCTTACCCACTGAAGCATCGATCGCATATTCTCCAAATGAGAGTTCCTTTCAAGGGCCTCGAAAGTTCTGCTTGTTGCTTGAAAGGATACGCAGCCGCAAATGACCCCAGTATCTTCGGCAAGTACCGACAAGATACGCTGAGCAGGGTCTATGGATACTCGCTGATGAGCACGTTCCTTCTTTACCATCTCTTTAGTCTCAGACGAAATATGGGGATGGCCCCTGAGAAGATCAGTACCAGGAAATCCTGGCAAGTCTCGCCACGCGTTGCTCTTGAAGGTAGACCAATCCGGAACCCATGACGGAGTGTTTTGCATTCTTCGCGTGGCGGCTATAAACAGGATTCGCAGGTTTCCAGTCACTTGTAGCAGACTCACGGTCAGCTGCCAGTAGACCAAGGGTATCTGCGTCCCATCAGCGGCATCGTACGCGGGTTTAGGAAGAACAGTTGCTCCAAGCTTGGGTAGAATGGCCCAGATACCGTATGCCATATCCCTTGGATTGGTAGCTGCTCTCTGATATAGAGCGCCCACCAGGGAGTCTGACCCAGTGTCATCGAGGTCGCGTCGAAAGGGATTGAAAAAGTCGCGCACCTCTATCCATGCGTATAACACGGTTCCAGGAATCGCACCAACAGTCAGGATCATGTACACCAGTTCAGTACCGTAATCAAAACGAAAATTGATTCCCAGTTCGGGAATCTCCGTAGAACAGGTACCGACAATACCGACCAGAAGGGCTGCTGTTAGACATGCCAGCACAAAACAAACCCAGGCAATCTTGAGAGTCCGACGTGCTGCGAGAACTTTCCTTACAATCTCTTCGTGCTCTTGTAGAGAATGTAGTACGTTAGGCTCCGCGGGTCGAACAGCAGAGCTTATCTTACCCCTATCGAAGGCGATGCTCTCCCATGTAATGATGACTTTCGGGAAGTTTGGCCCAGAGGTACTCCGCAACAACAGGAGCGCCCATTCTAGATCTGACCACTTAACATGTTCAGATCCACATACAACCACGGGGTGTGAAGCTAGTAGGATCTCTTGATAAGTCCAAACTCGACCTCTCCACGGCCGGTCGAGAACGTAGATGACATCATACCAGTTGACATATTGCACCCGGCGTGAAACACAAGCTAGCACAGGCTTCTTGTTTTCTTTGACAATCAGCTTGATACAGTCAAGAGATAGGGGGCTGCCTACGCTGAAACGGCAGTGGGTGATATCCGAAACTCAACCCAGCAAAAGAAGAACGCAAAGCTGCAACATAAGGTCGATATCGTGGCGGTTCGTCCGGCGCTGTTTCAACAAATGTACGGAGTCCGCCTTTCGACATGTATCTCATGACTCGGTCAGACCTATCATCCCCACGGCCCAACCATATGTACACCTGCCGGGCCTTGGTGTATATGTCTCCCATGAGAGGAATTTGCCACTCTTTTTCCTGACTGGTCTTTTCTTGGTTGATACATATTGCGTCCACCCAGATGACCAGTCCCTGGAGCTTCTTACTCAGGTGCCATAAAGCTGAGTAGCAATTCTCGGTGACCGGAAACAGAACACCATCACATACGATGCTGCGCTTATGTTCCGGGTCACCCCACACGTACGACAATGCCGTGAAGTCGGGTTGGCGATCGAGATGGATAACGCGCAAAGTACAATTGACAGGTGTGCCTTCGATAGCGTCATTGAGAATAGGTTGTACATCGAGGACTCGTATAGTGTTCGAATTAGGACAAAGCGCATGTCTCTCGTACACGTTCTGGGCATCTTGTGAGGTCTGCTTGAGATGCTGTGTATGCAAGGTTATATCGGCCATGATCGTTGGTAAAGTGGGCGTGTAAGGCTGACGCAGGCTGAGGACTGGTATTATGCAACCTCAGGATGGCATTGACGCAGAAAGGTAGCACTGCCACTAGGTAGCTTCTGAAGATCGGGATGATCAGACAACAAGAGTTCCAATGTGAGCTCATAGGGAGTGAGAAAGAGAAAAAGTGAGGACGCTGCATTATCGAGCGAGGAAGGCTGAGAGATATCCCCCGCTATACCATGTCCGGTGCGCCACGATCCCAAGGCTTTGTCAAGGCGATAGTGAGCCGGCCGAGATATGTCTCCTATTGTCGCGCTTATACCTGACGTGCGCTATCCTCGAAACACTTTGTTAGAGCGAAGCGCAAGGCTTTGCTGTATGAGTGGGTTGTGAGGAAGCGCGATGTCATCGTCGCGTTTTGGTCGTGAATGGCGATGACATGCGCTGTTGGCGCCCCTGTTTGGTGTGCGTGTTATCTTTCGAGAAATTCCGCGGCACGCAAGTTCATTTGTCTTGAAGCTTTTTCCGAAACACCATGCGCGGGCGAACTGTGTGAGCTTTGAGGTGTGCTCAGGAGACCTCGGGACGCTACAAGCGTGCACGAGCGTGGCCACCCTCGTCACCCCGCACTCGGGTTTACCTCACCGTTACAAATCCCACCAGCGATGTACGTGCCACTCGAAATCCGATGGCGCATGCTTTTAAAACGAGCATACGTACTGGGTAGACATTCCTAGACGACAATGACGTAACCGGGTGGGTGATCCCATGAACAGACACCGCTCGTTAATGATACCAGACGCCTGGAAGACATCAGCGGCGCTTACTGACTGAATGCGTTACTCGACTCTTAAGGTTTGAAAACTGGAAACGTATGAACGTAAAGATGCTGTTGATAATATACGAGAGAGTGTTGGAAGGGTCGTACAACTGGAAACCTGGATCCGAACACATAGCTGGACACGCATCAAGGCGATCATCTACTGTCAAGTCCAGTCTACAAAGATATAGACGTTTTACCGAAGGCGTGAGCTTACATGAACCACATAACGCACACCGTGATCAGATTGCATAATGGCTTAGTCACTGGGTATCTGCTTCGTTTGACTGAGATCACCGGCGAGACGACATTGAACAACCGCGACTACCTGAGTCTGGATGTCTGGATATAAGCTGGCTTTCTCACATACGGAAGGATGACCTCGGAAGTTCCATCGTGAAGCTCGCGGGTTGACCGAGGTTCTGGCAGCATTGCAGTCATTGTTGATCACTCATCAACTCTGCTAAGCTAGATGACGTCTCCCAGTGTTGCGTCAGCACAGACTGTGTGATGAGTAATTGCTAACCCCAGTGAAGGGGTTCTGTGTCTGTGTGAGCACTGAAAAGATGCAGGGAAGCTTAATGAGATGCTCAATAACGGCCCCGATCTCCAATACGTAAGGCGGAACAACTAAACCTACAGTCTTCGCCAACCGCGGCCTATAAGAAGGGATGCACCCTACTATAGCAAACGTACAAGGCCAGCAACACACTTGTCTACATTCAACATCAATACCACAACTTCACGATCTCGATCGGCACTATGTCTACCCCATCCCTACCCCCAATAGTTCCCTACACATCCATGGACGTTTCAGGCGATGAGCGAAGCTCAGCCATCGATTTTGTCAATCGGCTCAACTTTCTCTTTGAAGAATGGGACACACCAAAGATCCTACAAGCCTTTGTTCCAGATGCGAAAGTTTTGCATGTCCACGGCACACTTCATGGACATGAGGATATCATCGAGTTCTGGAAGAAGGTATACCCTACTTTCATACCCGGTGTTCATCGGCACGCTTCCAATCATATTGTGGACCGAGACGAGGAAACTGGTGGCGTCTCTGTGCGCTACCATAACTATCTCTACCGCTACGCATGGCCAGACGACACCGAGGGGATCAAGGGCACTGTGTTACAGTATAAGGAGGACACGGAAGGATTGCCAGCACTCTGGAACGGAGTCACGATGATGGACCGATTGGTTCTTTCAGCAGATGGGTGGAAGCTCAAGGAACGAGTGCTTGGCGGATTGGTGGCTAACAAGAAGCTGATGCCTGATGCTAAATTGACAAAATGAGACATGATATTAGGAACAACTCTAGACAGAATATATGTTCCTAAACCCTTTCAGATTGAATACAGCACATATTCTACCCCTCTATGGCAATCAAAGATCTGTAATTTGACAGGTATGTTGCGAGACATGTGCATAAATTTGGGAAAATGGCACTCCAGATGCATAGAGGTCAAAGAGACTACCAGAGAATGAAGAAGCTAGAGGGGCGCGTAATGTCATGCTCTGAGTGTGACTGAATCCATCTGCAAGAGTCATGCGCGACGTGACCTTGGTGACAGTGATGGGCGGTGGTGCGAAAGTGAGCGACAGATTATCGGTGCACATTGCTGCAAGGGTCATTTGCGTTGGAAACCCGCATATTTGTGCCGATTTCGACTGGATATACGACCGTGCCGAAAACTGCAGACGCGCATCAAGCAGCCGATTGAGCAACAACTTGCTCGTCCCAAGGCCACAGATCTCCAGGCCATAGATGATGCGGCGAATGATACGACGTCATGAGACTTCTTGGTCGGCAGCGCAAGCAATATACATGCCGCAGCGCAATAGATTAAACCGCCCGAGGTGAACCGGGAAACTCAACCTCGTAAACCAGCGTTGAGCCCTGTTTTCATCTACTGAACCGGGTTGCAGGTATTCGCTCTGTGGGGGCGCCACACGCATCGCGACGTCGAAAAACATAGTAATGAAGATTTCGCAGCGCAATGGAGGTTGCATGGCTCGGGAGGATGCTGAGGTGGAGGCACACGCGAAGGCTTGTGTTGGAGCGCGCTAAGGGCCAGAGCAACCGAGCTCCGCCTTCTCTAGACTCTACCCAACCACGTCCCACGAACCACCCGCCCACCGAACCCTCATCTGCGCTAAGTACCATTGCAGTTGCACCGACCGACCGCCATGGACGCGACAATGTTCATATATGAAGTCGAGACAATCTAGTACCCCTCCGTCTCTAGTCAGCCTCAATCTTGCGTTCGCTTCTAACGACGTCAAGACATTCCAAGCTTGTACTGCACCAAGAGCCACCGGCACAGACCCAGGACCCTGCTCGGCAACCGGAGTACACTGCCTAGTACCCGTTGGTAGCACATCACCTCTAATACACCATCATCAAATGTGGAGGCGGGCCGAGTCAGGAGGCAGCACGTTCTGTGCATGCTTCGAGAAGATCTGGGGGCGCAGGTACCATGTCGACATGGTCAACTGACCGAAAGTATGTCTGGGGAAGTTTTGAAACGCATCAACGGCGGCATCACGGACATTGACACCGGCTGAAGTAATTTGGGTATTGATGAAGGCTAAGTTGATCGCCAGTACTAGGGTTGAGCGAGAACATACATATATGTCTTCCTGACGACGGTGTTGTTCTTCACGCACTCCATCTCACAATCTCTTCTTCGGTCAAGATGCTATCCAACATCCTTCTTACTGCTGCGCTCGCAGCAGGCGTGGCTCAGGCCTTGCCCCAAGCGACCAGTGTCACGAAGACTACCTCTACGGCTCGCGCCACGACCACCGCTGCAGCAACTGGTAACCCTTTTGCTGGCAAGGACTTCTACGCCAACCCATACTACTCGTCTGAAGTCTACACTCTGGCCATGCCTTCGCTTGCTGCATCTTTGAAACCCGCTGCATCCGCCGTCGCCAAAGTCGGTTCATTCGTTTGGATGGACACGATGGCCAAGGTGCCCACCATGGACACCTACCTCGCCGATATCAAGGCCAAGAACGCTGCAGGAGCAAAGCTCATGGGAACCTTTGTCGTCTACGACCTGCCCGACCGCGACTGCGCAGCCCTTGCTTCCAACGGCGAGCTCAAGATCGCCGAAGGCGGTGCAGACAAGTACAAGACGCAGTACATTGACAAGATTGCCGCCATCATCAAGAAGTACCCGGACGTCAAGATCAACCTTGCCATTGAGCCCGATTCTCTGGCTAACATGATCACAAACATGGGCGTTCAAAAGTGCGCAAACGCCGCGTCAACCTACAAAGACCTCACTGTCTACGCCCTCAAGACACTCAACTTCCCCAACGTGGACATGTACCTCGATGGCGGTCACGCCGGCTGGCTAGGCTGGGACGCCAACATCGGGCCAGCTGCAAAGCTATACGCCGAGGTATACAAGGCGGCTGGCTCGCCCCGTGGCGTCCGTGGTATCGTCACCAACGTCAGCAACTACAACGCCTTCCGCATCGCTACCTGCCCTGCCATTACCCAAGGAAGCAAGAACTGCGACGAGGAGCGCTTCATCAATGCTTTCGCTCCTTTGCTGAAGGCTGAAGGTTTCCCAGCTCACTTCATCGTCGACACTGGACGCAGCGGTAAGCAGCCCACTGGCCAGCAGGCTTGGGGTGACTGGTGCAATGTTTCGGGCGCTGGCTTTGGCATCCGCCCTACTACTAACACTGACAATGCGCTTGTCGATGCTTTCGTTTGGGTCAAGCCCGGTGGCGAGGTATGTAATGGTCTTTTGAAAGGTTGTCTGATGAAATGCATGCTAACGGTAGTGTAGTCTGATGGTACTTCTGACCAGTCTGCTGCGAGATACGATGGCTTCTGCGGCAAGGCTTCTGCTTTCAAGCCTGCGCCTGAGGCGGGTACTTGGTTCCAGGCTTACTTTGAGATGTTATTGAAGAACGCCAACCCTGCTCTCGCATAGAGTGGAAACACTGGGGTTGAATAGAAGATTGGGACTAGACCTGTGTAAGCATAGAAGGGAGAGTCAGAGGATGCACTGTACATAGCCACGATAGCATCTTACTCTTCAAAGCCAAGATTGAACGAACTTGTGAATGAGGAATTGGTATGATTGGTCTCTTCGCGTTTGTCAAGCTCTCCTCTGTGTCGACTTCAGTGTATGCAGCTGTTCATGTTCAGCCCTGGTGTGTACCCACGTGGGGGTCTGGCAGCGGGAAGCCACATGTCTTGGCGGAGCTAACAACGGCCGATCTTCACTTTCGCGCGACTCTACGCCACACTTGACCTGACAGGCCGCCCCCCACTACTCCTTCACCACTACCCTTTGACGTACTAAACCGAATCATCATTTGCGCGCATCGCTTCCCCCTACACGTGCGATTGCTCCACGCTCGTTCACCTCGCAGCGCACCCATTGCGCCCACCAGACACTCATGCGGCTCCAGTTCTATCGATAAGGCAGCGGAGAGGGCAATGCAACGCCCCCAGCTTTCACCTCTGCGGTCGAGACTGCTTCCATACCTCGCCGCTACAGGCGCCTGTATCGCGCTATGGAGCTCCCCGATACCTGGCGCCCACGCTGCCGAAGTCCCTGCGGCCCCCGACCACGACGTCCTTGATAGCCCCGTACTTTACGCCCTTCCCAACGGCGAAATGTCGCAGATTGGGCATGGAGGACACAATCGCATAGAGAGTGACGGCTATGAGCCGGACTTTGCCTACCTCGATCGCAGTCTGATTGGGCGGCAGGCCGACGTGCTTGACACGTTGGTCAACAACGAGGGGATGCCAAAGGACATCAACCCGGAGGAGACGATGCACTTTGTGTTCAAGAAGGGCGAATTGCGCGTGAGAAGTGCTCTTGACGTTCCCACGGAAGCTCTGGAAGCACGGGGAACGGAGAATGTTTCGGACGGAGTTGGATCGGCGGATGATGTTGCGCCTGGCACAGGCAATGCGAGTGACGAGGATGAGGCTGGACTGGACAAGCGCCAGTCTGGTGGCAGTCGCGTCTGGCTAACTGCCAACACTTGTCGTCAGCCTATGCCGAACGGAAATACGACGGACGCCATGAAGAACCATCCTCAGCTCGTCATGTACGTCTCCACATCAGCGCAGAATCAGCGGCCAGGCCCAGATGCAACGCAAGACACTCTAACCAACATAACGGGCGTGCTGTTCGATGGTGGCTACGCCAGTTTTGAGCTCAATGCTACGTCAGATGTGTACATTGGCATTGGAGCGCCCAAGCTAGAAGAAGACTGGTTCGGCAGCTGGCATTTTGAACTGGCTGCCAGCACCGACGGACCCTACCACAGCTACAACGCCACTGAACCGTTCCTGTACATGGTGGATACTGACAGCGAGTCTGCGTTATTCATCACGTACGACCTGGGCGATTCGAACAAGACGGAGGATGTCGATAAATGGAAGGCGCAGAACCCTTTCCACATGTACGCTTTTCCAGATGACGAGTGGACTCCAGTTACGGGGCTGGAACGGTCATATTGCGCGCTCAAGGAACAGTTCAATGTGAACACCACGAGGAACTTCACCATTGACACGAGTATCACGACGAAGTTTAGCGGCGACAGCTTCATGCCCAAGAGCCAGTTCCATGTCAGGAACTTGCAAGCCGCGAAGACATACAATGGTTTCGTAGTAGTTGAGGGGAGCCAAGAGCCACTATACATTGACCGCGTAGGCACAACGCGAGGCGGAGGCCGGGTCTTCCAGGCCTTCAACTGGACCACAAAAGCCGGTTCGTAACACACTCTCCCCCACTCAATCGCTCTACTAACGACCATACCCAGACGACTCCTGCCAAGTCCTCTTCGACCTCGACTTTTGTGACACGGTCGCCTACGCCGTACCATCCAACACCCGCTTCAAATACAACGACACGGCCCTTGCAACAATCTACGACGATCAAGCCCGTGAGTACTACGACAACTTCACAAAGTCGCTGGCACAGGTTGCTTGCGACACCGTCTCTGAATCGCAATACTCGCTCGCCCGCACCTGCGACGACTGTGCAAAAGACTACAAATCCTGGCTCTGCATGGTTCTCATGCCGCGCTGCGAGGACTGGACCGCAAACGACTCGTCGCTCGTCCCGCGTAATGTCAAGACACCTTTTGCCAATGGCTCCTTGCCCGACATGATTCCTGGCTTCAACGACAGCGCGGCGTTTGCTCGCAGTAGGAATCCGCTCATCGACGAGGTCATCCAACCGGGTCCGTACAAGGAGATGAAGCCCTGTGAGGACATGTGCTTTGATATTGTGAGGAGTTGTCCTGCGCAGATGGGGTTTAGTTGTCCGAATGGGGCGCAGAGGGAGAGCATGTATGGCCGGAGGGATCCGGATAATGATCGGTTGACGTGTAATTTTCCGGGAGCGGTCGTCAAGTTGAATGCGAATAGTAGTGGCGAGGCGTTGGGGGTGCAGATGCAGGGTGTGATGGCTGTTGTTGGTATAGTCGCTGCTATGTTGTTGGTTTGAGATGGAAAGAAGACGTTGTGCTCCCCTGGCATTCAGGTAGAGAAGTGCATGGGGGCTAGCATTGTCCTGGCGTTGCAACGAATATCATATATGACCTTTGCTTCACCAAGGTATCTCACACACTAAACTCCAACCTGTTTCCCGCAAAGTCTCGTGCAAAGAACCTCGTTGGATACTCGACGCCCTCCGCCCCACTATTCTTCGCACCAGGCTTATCAGCCATCAATGGCGCGCTCTCGCTCTCCCCTTTTCTCTCAAAGTGCTCCCATACCCTGATTTGCAGCTCGTTCAGCGCTTCTACGCTCCCAACCCGGAAACAAGGGTGGCGTGAGGAAGGATGAGCAAAGTCCTCGGGCTTGCCGATTGCGACGTGGACTTGCTGGCCTGATGTGCCGATGTCGAACCAGGCGAGTGTTTCGCGCTGGAGATGGGGTACGGGGCGTGGTGTGAGGCCGAGGGTTTGGGAGTAGAATTCGTGGGCGAGGTGGAGGGTTGATGCGGGGACCACGAGGTTGATGTGGTGAATGCCTGTTATCATGTTGGACGAAGGTGTGAGATGGATTGGTTGTGTGGTTGATGGCTGGGGGGTATGAGGACTTGGCGCTGCACGATGGGGTGAATGCTGATTGCGGGGTCAAGACGTGGAGGCGGGCGCAAGCCCCCAGGCTACTGGTAGTGAGTCGTTGAAAACGATGATTAGCCTGCGCCTCATGCAACATATCTCACCCAATGAACACTCAGCTTTGTATGCTGTCGACAAGATGATTGCCTGGATGCAGTATACGCTCAGCCTCTTACGTCCTCCGAAGCCAGATACGTGCTGCTGTGGTTTCATCAGTCTGGCCTGCTTACCCCGCATAGCAGGCTGCCAGTGCTACTTACATACTCTGATATAGAGTGCAATCAAACCATATTTACCATTCAGACGACACATTTAGCTATCACATTCTAGATAGCAGCGGGAATGTCATCTACCACGCTGCCCAGCGCATACGATTCTTCTTTGTCTGGTGTGAACCACGTCTGTGATGAGTGCAGCAATATGGGTCACGAGATTAAGCAGCTTTGTGAAGGCAATAACCTCGAGATTCGCAAGTCCCGAGTATCAGTGCAGCGAAATAGATCGATTTGTGCATTCTGTGAGGTGATCGCATCTCATTTTCGGCTCGAATCTGGAGAGGACGAAGGAGATTTCAAAATCCACAATGCAGATATCTACGGATCATTACACGGATTGAATATTTGGGATGGAGAGCGTCCCGGGTTTCAACATCTCGAGCTGGATGTTTTCACCATGGAAGGTTTGAAGCCGTTCCTTCTTTCCGATGATAGAAAGATAATCCTAAGGCTGATTATGGACTCAGGTAGCATTCCCGCCACCACCAAGCATATTACAGGTAGATGTATCAGGGCCGCTTCGAATCTTGACCAAGCGAGAAATTGGTTAGATAACTGCCTTCTCAACCATAACCACGGCTCGAATGCAGCTACCACCCGTCCGGCTAGATTGGTGGCAGTAGGTGCTGCTGACGGGTCTGAGTTCATCAGGATTGTAAATGGCTCAGATGCAGACACAGAATACTTAGCAGTCAGCTATCGCTGGGGGAACGAGACGTTGCTTACTACAACCGAAACCCTCGAACTATTTCACACCTCAATACCTTGGGTGCAACTCCCTCAAACATTCAAAGACGCTATCTTTATCGCACGCCAGCTCGGTATAGGCCATGTGTGGATAGACTCTCTGTGTATTATCCAAGACAAGTTGGACGATTGGGAAATCGAGTCAGCTAAGATGGCAGACATCTACAAGAGCGCTCTTTTGACTATCATGGCTGCCTCCGCATCAGACAGTCAAGGAAGCCTCTTCCGATATCGTCATACGACCAAGGAATTGGCAGTTTTACCATACACGGATGCCAGTGGAGCAACACAGTTTAGTGTTCTCGTTCGTAAAGCACTCCCATACTATCAGAGCTTTATATCCGCCACCCAGCTGTTCCGGCGCGGCTGGGTTTTCCAGGAGCGATTAATGTCGAGAAGGAAGTTGATCTTTGGCAAAGACCAAACATACTGGGAGTGTAGCGACGTTGTCCAGTCTGAGTCGAAGAAACCAAATCAACCCCGGCATGAAGCTTGGAAGACGAGAATCACCGGGACGTTTCGAGCCTTCTCTGACCCAATATGCAAAGCTGTCGGCGTAGACCATGACGGATCACCGGAATCCTTGTGGGAAACTGTAGTGTTGCAATATTCTCCATGCGCCCTGACCTACGAAGCAGACAGACTTCCTGCTCTGAGCGGACTTGCGCGAACATTCGCACAACGATTCGGTGGCACTTATGCCGCAGGACTGTGGAAAGAACACATGCCCAACAGCCTTTTGTGGTATGTATCTTCAGGACGATCGAGAGCGACCTGCAAAGGGGAATACTGTGCCCCATCGTGGTCTTGGGCATCGACAATGAATCAGGTTGTTTTCCATGGACTTGGTGGGAACAGCGAACTGGAGATCATAAGCATCAACATAAAACTCGCCGGTCAGGATCCATATGGCAGAGTTTGCCCCGGTAGTTGCATGTGCGTTCGAGGTAGATTGCGCAGGGGCAGAATGGTCGAGGGAGAGAGATATGGACCAGCAGTGTGTCTGAAAACTGGACACAAACTCTTGGAAAGCAGAATATTCATGGACAGAGACAACAAAGACCTGCCTGTCGAAGTCGTCTACTTGGAGGTCACAAGCGGCAACGGTAAGAGACATGACATTGCGATTTGTCTCTTGCTACGTGGAACAGGAGCAGACAAACATTTTCGAAGAGTAGGCTTGGCTACTCTTGAGCCCGTTCGTCGAGACGAAGAATACCTCTTTCACGGCCTTCATAAAGAAGTTATCACATTAGTGTAATTCAAAGATACCTTCCCATCTTCAATTGTACTGGTTGTTCATACATACAAGCATTAGTAAGGAAATCACTTCCTTAGAGGTAGTTCCTCTAATACCGAAGTCTAGACTAGCTTTGAGAGTAGTTGTGAACTTTAGCTCTAAATTTCTTGTTACCTTTACTATTTATATAATACAGGAAGTATTTTAGAGTTCAAGTAATATACATCTAACTGTAAAAGTGACGAATACATTCGATGTTGTGGTGGAATCCTACTGTAAAGCGTGGGGTTGCGATCTTTTAGGGGGCAAATCTTGTTAGCCGCCTTAGCTATGCTGTTGGGTGTCACTTCGGGGCGCTCCAAAGACCGGTCTAGAAGCGTGGGATGAGTGCATGTTTATGTTAGGCTGTAGGCTGTAGTCGCGGTGGAGATGTCGCAGTGCATGCCAAGGAGCCAATCATCTGTCTTCTGTCTCAGCTATGATATATGTGGCTGACAACGGGACCAGCAACATGTGTGCCATGGCGAAGCGAAAGCTGAAAAATAAATGAGAAGAAACTGTATAAGAGCAGGGTGATCTCCGACTGCATGCTTATAATTGATCCACATTCGGCAGTAACATCTCTGCTCGTATAAAATGACCTTCGTGCATTTTACTTCCGACCACCCAGGGCTCGACTTAGGCAACCTTCTAAGTCTCTGGACACTCGCCCTTGCTCCTCTCATTGCCCACGTAATAGCAGGCGCCCCGGAGCCAATATACCTCTGCGCCAAGCCACCAAGATGGATCGACTATGCTGTATTCTGGAACCCTACATCAATCATCTGGCGTTACTTTATCATATCCGATCGCAGGATTCGTGCCAGAAACTGGAATCGCGAAATTCTGGCCTCGTCCAATGCGCTTTTTTGGACGACGAATGGCTGGAATGGAAGTGAAGATATGATAAGAGAGGGGGGGAAGTATTGTGTAAGGTTACCGCCTAAAAGTCACGCAGAGCTGTTGTCGAAGTCGTTCATGAAAACTGTAATCGTGACATTGCAGGGCGTGCAGGCTTTGTACGAGTTGCTCTTAACGGAGGAATTCAACAACGACATGAATTTGGCTACCGTGTTCCTGCCACTTGCGCTGCTGGGTCTCATACGGCTTCCCTCAGCTCTCTGGATCACGGATGGTTTCGCGTACAATCACTACGACATAAATCTAAGCAACAAGAGGGCCAGTCAAGTCACCACAACGACAAAAGCAGGATACCACGAGTTGAGCACCGTACCATTGTCAGACGACGACACGCCTCAGTGGCCACCTCAGACAAGGGACGATACCAGCTACGAAGAATTCCGCCCTCGGACAAGCATTCATGGCTACATCGCGAGAATCATCTTCTTAACTCCACTACTAGGCATGGCGAGCCTAAGCGGCTTGTGGACCTATCGGCTTTTGAAAAATACCATTTACTATTCCACTTACATTACCGGCACGGGACTCTTTTCACTCATGCTCTGGTGCACCTTCAGCTTCGGAAGTGCCGTCATCTTCATCCTCAATATCGCAAGAGCACAGGATAGAACTACCGTCGTTCCTGGAGTGTCGACGTTGTGGTACCGCTTATACTCCGCTATCCTTTTCCTTCTCATGCTCGCATTGTTCATCACGGCGAGTATCGAGACTAAACAAACATGGTGCGGAAAAATCACCATCTTGTACGATTACGACGTCTGCCCTTGGATCTCGTACCTACCGCAAGACACATACATGTACTTCAATGCGACGGCTAAAGATGGCTCGCGCAGTTGGACAGGCTACATTAACGCGACGAAGGCGTATTTGGCCGGTGATTACTTTTTGAGAGCTGTGAATGCCTCCCTTGATGCTACCCCTGAGACCGCGCACGCGTTTCTAAATCAGAGTTTAGAAGAGTTTATGAGAAACGTCGATAGTTAGGAGGATTGTATTAAGCAAAGTACCAAGTAAGATATTGCGTACAGGTCAGACAAATCAGTGCGCAAGGCTTTAGAGTTCCTCGCTTTTTAGCTCAAGAAGCACAGCTGACGATTCCTGAATATATTGAAGCAGGGACCGGTAAGCATGCCCTGCGTTTGTGGGTGTGGACTACGGACCCATGGTGTCGAAAACTCTGTTGAGATTAGATGGTCATGGAGACAAGAGAGTCAAGATTCTCATTTGGGATGTACGCGAGATTATCTGTTGTCATAGCATCGTGCAAGCATACTCACGATGTGAAACCCATCTCACACAGCACTCCCAGCTAACGGATTCCTGGTGGTAGCCCTCATGTCACATGCAGAAAAGGTTTTCGAACTCGTCCAAGTATATACTACATAGCGCGATCTACAGCAAAGATCAAACTCGTACGCGTTTTTCCTCCCAGAAATGCTACAAGTCAATTACAATAAAAACGCCGCCCATATGCTCAAAGGGTATCGCTCGTACCGAATGCTTTTTGGTGGCTGGATCGGGGGAAGCGAGCCGAACCAGATGTATGTCCCAAACCATGAAACGCCATGTCAGTTCTTCCATTGCCATCACATCAGCTCTTGTTGCACACTCCTCCGCTCCCCATTCTTACATGCACAATCTCCACATCTTTCGATCAAGCAGACACCAGAGGTCCATGAAAGTCCCTCAACGCAGCAACAAGATCATCCTCGCGCATCAACTGCAGCAGCAGCTTCTCCTGCACCTCCTTCCACTTTCTCAAATCATCCAACTCGCGTGTGCTCAGCCATTTTTCTTCGTTTCCAACGACATCAGAGCGCTCGGCTTTGGTAAGGGTGAACTCAATCTTCTCCCTTTCGTACCTGATCCTCTGCAAGATTCTCACCATACCCTTGTATGTATCATGCAGCAACTTCTCCCTCGCGCGCTGCCGATCGTACCACACGAGATGGAGCGAGTGTTTTGCTTCGCGGCGATCTACCTTGGGTATCTCTTGTGTTTGAACGAAACCTTGAATAGTAAGATCATTCACAATGCCCCGGACGTCTGCAGCCGACATCATCATTACGTTGCACATGGCTCTCTCATCCAGTCTACCCTTTTTGCGCAGGGCGCGTACGAGCTTAACTCCCAACGAGCCTTTGCGTGCCGAGATGGTGTTTTCGATTTCCGTTTGTATCATCTGGCGGGCGATTTCGTCAAACTCAATGTGCCATTGTGAGAAGCCAGCACGAGAATGCCAGGTAACGAAGTGGAAGGGATCTTCAGCCAACATCTGGATGTGTTTATCCACCACCTTGGTCCTCTCTTCCATGTTCAGTTTTGCGGGATCGGTCGGTTGCGTCCAGACGTTTGTGCGGTTGACATGCCCTTTACGGGTGATTTGCACAGCGGCGTTGGGGTCGATGCCCTCGAAGATATCGAGATCACCGCGCTCGCGGCTGAGCTTCGTCGCAACGTCGCGCGCGGTCACAAGGAAGCGAGGGTCAATCGAGGCGTCGCCAGATTCGCCGCCGGGGAGAGGTGGATCGGGCCATTCTTCCCAGCACCGGGGTGTCTTGGATTCGAGCATGCGCAACATGGTTTGGTACACACGCGCGGTGACGGATCCCAGACGTTGCTCTACGAGGTGTACAAGCTGCTCCGACCGCATGGCGACTGCAATCTTCTCCGGGTTGACGCGTATGACAAGATCGTCGTCGGATGAGGGCGTTGCGTAGCCATTTGCGCCGTTCATCTTCATGCGCTTGTTGGCGCCGTTGGCTTGTCCGCCCTTTGCGAACTTGGGGACCGTGAGCCATTCGTCACGCATTGCCCGTTTACGTTCCAGGGTCCCTCTGTTAACGACGTCTTTGTCTTTGGTACCGGTGGGTGTGATACCTGCATTGTCTTGCTCGATGGACTCTTGGTAGAGCATGTCGTGCATGTCACCTGGGGACAGGTATTGCGTTTCGGTCACTGTCCTGACCCACCCACGCTCTATCAATAGCTGTATGAGCTCGTATAGCTCGTCGACAGAGGTGATGTCGCTGTCATCCTGCTCTTGCCCAGGCTCTTCTGGCGCGCCGTTGTGGGTTACGCTGTCGACCTTTGACGCCTTGTCGGCCTTGTGTACGCCGTTAGTTTTTCCATGGCCGTTTGTGAGGTCTGGCTTTGCGTCGTCCAACTCGGACGGCATGCCGTTCGCGACGCCATTTGTCTTCACTGTTCCGTTGACGTGGTTGCCGTTGGTCCGTTTCCGCTTGGAGCCTGCGCCGTTGGCAGTGCCGTTGTCTGAGTCATCGTCGCTTTCGGTTTCGGGCGGGAAGTAAGCTTCCTTCAAATCGGCGATGCGCGTGTGGCCGAGGGCAAGCAGGTTGGACATGACATTTGCGGCTTTCTTGCCGAAGCGGTCTTCGACCAGTTTGACAACCTTGCCGAAGCGGACGATTGCGTAGGAATTTTGCCAGTCGATCTCATAGTAGGTCAAGGGCGCATCGCTGCCGGAGTGGAAGATGAGGTGCTGCTGGAGGAGGATGACGAGGCCGTACTTGATCTGTCGCCCGTTCAAGTAGGAAGCGCGTGCGATGGATGCGAGACTTTGGCGCCCATGACGCGCGAGGATTGAATAGACGCGCTACGAGTAGTTAGAACAGTGTGGTTGAATGCGCCCGTCGCATGCCTGAAGTAGGAAGATTTCTGCGCCTGAGCGCGACAACGCGCGGAAGATAGTCGGGTCAGGAAGATTGTTCGGTCAGACATACAGCCGCAAGTTCACCGTAGACATCCTCGACCAGGAAGGTGCAGAGTTCAGCAAGGACCTGGAGGATGGTTGGTTATGATTCATTCGTCTGGCGCATAGGCGCGGCGGCGTCGCATCTTACCGGAGTCTCTCGCTGGTTGTAAGACATGTTTGGGCCTAGATATTTGCCAGATATCTAGGATGGAGTAATGCTACCGTGGAGACATTGGTGGGCGCGTCTTGATTGCTGTGGTCGAAAAGTGATCTAGTGGTCTTGAAAATGATGGCGGGTGGGGTCGTTCCTTCCCAAGCTCCGGCCAATGGGGAAATGAGCGATTCGCACTTACCTGTCTTGGCGCCTACGAACTTTACGACGACAAAGCTACTACGCCTCACTACCAGACGCCATTCCATCCATTGTCGTCCCCAACACCCGAATCAGCCCTCCGCCAGGCGCCTTTCACACGATGCTCTCCCGAACGACCGCCTGCCGGGGCGCGCAGCGTGCCGCCCGCGTGCCGCCCGTCTCCCAGTGCCAGCGCCGCGGACTCGCTGCCCCAGCTTCAGGCTCCTTTCAGTACCAGTCCGGCGAGGCCAAGGGCGTCAAGTACGCCAGCAGAGACTTTGCCGGCCCTACAACGACGCTGGCCTTGGTTGCAAAGGCCGGCACGCGCTTCCAGCCGCTGCCTGGCCTGACCGAGGGTCTTGCCAACTTCGCTTTCCGGGTACGAACATCTTGTCCAGCAACAAGGCATCCAAGAGCCAACTGACGCTCTGGAACTAGGGAACCGAGAGACGGTCGACGCTGCGCATTGTCCGCGAGTCGGAGCTTCTGGGCGCCAGCCTCAACGCCCACCACTCGCGCGAGAACCTCGTGCTCGAGGCCAAGTTCCTCCGCGATGACCTGCCCTACTTTGTCGAGCTGCTCGGCGAGGTCGCCAGCTCCACCAAGTACCAGCGTATGAACCTTGAAATGACTCAATGGAGATGGAATTGACACAGCACAGCCCACGTCTACGCCGAAGAGGTCCTCCCCATGATCAACTTCGCCCACAAGAAATTCCTCGCCAGCGTCACCGACATGGCCACCCAGTCTGCCCACAGCCTTGCCTTCCACCGCGGCCTCGGTGTCCCCACTGCCTCGGCCGCGCCCACGCCCTACACCAAGTACCTCGACGCCGAGACTATTGAGTGGTACTCCAAGATTGCTTACGCGAAGCCCAACTTTGCTGTTGTAGCCAACGGTGCCGACCACGGCGAGTTCTCCAAGTGGGTCGGTGAGTTCTTCGAGAACGTGCCCAGCGCCCCTCTCCAGGAGTCCAGCATTGGTGCCGACCAATCCAAGTACTTTGGTGGTGAGGAGCGTATCGCGCACGACAGTGGTAACGCCATGGTCATTGGCTTCCCCGGCTCGAGCTCCTTCACCGGCAAGTTCTACAAGCCTGAAATCGCTGTCCTCAGCTCGCTGCTTGGTGGAGAGTCGGCCGTCAAATGGTCGCAGGGTTTCACCAAGCTCGGCCAGGCGGCTGCTCAGGGCGCCAAGGTCAAGACCACCAGCGCCATCTACTCCGACGCCGGCCTCCTCTACACCACCATCACCGGATCTGCCAAGGCTGTTGCCCAAACCGCCCAGGCCTCTGTTGATGCTATCAAGAAGATTGCCGCTGGTGAGATCTCAAGCGAAGAGGTGTCCAAGGCAAAGGCCGCTGCCAAGTTCAAGGAGCTCGAGCACGGCCAGGACATCCGCGCTGGTCTGGAGCTCACCGGCAACGGTTTGATCCACAACACTCAGCCGTACCAGATCGACGAGGTTGCTAAGAAGATCGATGGCGTAACAGAAGAGGCTGTCAAGAAGGTGAGTTTCTGCGACATCATTTCCAATGTGCTACGTGCTAACAAGACGTTCAGGCTGCCAAGGAACTCCTCGAGAACACCGCTTCCGTATCGTCCGTCGGTGATCTCTTCGTACTACCGTACGCTGCGGATCTCGGCCTCAAGGTGTAAATACAGTGATTATGTAGCGCAGTTAGATGGAGAATCTCGTTTGTGTAACATTATCTTGTGATAGTCCCTGATAGATGCGATCTCGTATGAGAGTTCTTTTGTTCGAAAACAGTCCAAGTTATGCTGTGCCTGCGTGAGACAACCTGTGGCATTTCTCCTTGTACGATTGATGCTGCTCTCGCCTGCCACGTGCCAGCGCGTCAACGCACGGACCAAACCGCCCAACATCGACGTCAACCCAAACACGTCTCACTGCACATCTCACAACAAGGCATCCCCGCCCCCACTCGCACCCCCACCGCCAACAGCCCATTGCACGTACCACCTGAAAGTCAGCTACAAAGTTCTCTTGTAGTGCGTTCCAGATCCAACCATGGCGCCAACTCTGTACCCTCGCGGCACTGTCAAGAAGATTGTTAAGGCGCATTCGAACCGGCAGATGAGCAAGAATGTGGATATACTGGTACGTCTGGTGGATACAGGTGAACCGAAGAGGAACGGAAAGCCATGCAAGAAAACAAGACTGACATGCAACACAGATCTACCTCAATTATGCGTTGTTCATGCAAGAGTACGTACCGACCACCTGACAATATTCCACTACGTGATGGCGACACGACGCCCATACCTTGCACTGCGATACGCAATGGGATCGATAGCGAGTTCTCTGAGAGATGCGGAACAGTGGGAGGGAAAGCGGGGGGAATCGGGATGTGTCGCCGTGGACGTTGGGGGGAAATTAGTGGAAAGGGAGACGTGGGCTGACGCGCAATCACAGACTCATCAACGAAGCGAGTATCAAAAGTAAACAACGTGGCGAAAGGGCTTTGTCAGCGAGGAGCGTGAAGAGGGTTAGTGAGGATGTGTTGAGGAAGTACAAGGGCTAGGGTGAAGCGGGCTGGATTGAGCATATGCTTGATCCTTGAATGAGCGAACCAGTATCTATCGGCGTATGTCTGGTGATGGATCAGACGAGGGTATAATTGGCGTTTTGGGAGGGAGATTGATTGCGTTGTTAGGATACCCGGGCAATTACTACTGGCGTTTTGGGAGTAGTGGTTCATTGACTTGTTGGTTTCGATAATCACAGAGAGCTGTGGAGAGCGTAGGGTAACTAGTCGGTACGCATCACAAATATATCCATACAAGTAATGAACAAGCATGCTATCCGCTGTCGGACAATATACTAGTCAGACGCTGCAGCCAGATCCGTGTCTGGCTCCTTTCTAGAGGTAAACGACACCTTTAATCTCGCCACGCTGTCGCACGATCCACATTCGAGGTGATTTGACACTACTTAACATTCATTTCAGCTATCTGCTCAGGACTCCACACTATACTAAGCCACTTCCCAAAGTGCACGTCAGTCCTGCAGAGATTTTACCACTTCTTCTGCGCCACGCTTCCCAGCTGTGATAGCACCTTCTAGATAGCCCTTCCACTCGTATGCGGTCTCACCACCTGCGAAATGCAGGTTTCCGAATGGCTCGCGTAGCGCTCGGCCATGGGTCCTCAACATCCCCGGTCCCATAGCACTAGTAGGTGCACCATCAAGATACGGCTCCTTGGTCCATTCGACAGCATTCACCTCGAGGACGTCTCGCGCTTTGTCAGCTAGTTCAGGTCCGACAAAGGAAACTAGGTGGTCGATGAGCGCCTCCTCACGACTCAGCTCGCTCAATTGATGCCAAGCTGCGGCGGTATTACCAGCAACAAACAAAGCAAGCGAGTACTGCTTTGTCGCATCGTCGCTGATATCCCAAGAGAAGCAGATGGGGCCCTTCATGGACATGAACTTGCCCTGTAGCCCTGCGTCTTTCCACCACGACGACGTATACGTTACAATGATTTTCGCATAAATACCAGGCTTCGTACGCGTTACGAGGGCTCTCTTCGAATGGGGTAGTGGAGGACTGAATCGAATGTTTGTATATGTGTTGGTGGGAATGGCAAGGATGACCTTCTTTGCCTGATATCTGGTTCCGTTTGAAGTGGTTACTTCGCAGACATCCCCGTACTGCGTGATGCTGTCAACCGGAGCATTGATCTGTACAGATCCGGGCTCAATAGCACCTGCTAACGCAGTCGCAATAGCGGATGTTCCTTGTTTGATCTTTAATGCTTGCGCTCCCCCTGGACCATCGGTATTGATGCTCGCGAAGCCGCCGGCTGACTTGACGTAATCCAGGATATAATGGATCCCACACTCGTGGGGTTCGCGACCAACCCATGCCGTGGTGAGGAACCTTGCAAGGCCCTGGAGTAAAGCATCGTTATATAGACCTTTCGTAGTCAACCAATCTGAAACACTGATGTCTTCCTCTTTGGGAAACGATTCAAGGTTGTGGATATCTGTCTCCTCTGCGGCCAGGGTTAAGGTTTCCACGAGCTTGCGAAGTCTCTCCTCCATCTCTGGGTTTCTAATCTATCTCAAAGGATTAACATTAGTCTCATCTCCAGGCGCTTCATTCAGATCCACAGGTCTTATCTTACCTCTGGCAGGTTCGTACTGGCCCGTACAAAACTCCCGTCATGCAGCTCCCATATCACATCACCCTGAAGGTATTGGTCCTTGCAGTCGAGTCCAAAATGCCTCGTCAGCTCATAAACGGTTGGTTGTGTGACCTTATTAATCCATGTCGCACCCAATTCCACAAGTCCAGGGCCACTTGTCAGCTTCTGCGTGCGACTCCGGCCGCCGATGCGATGCTTGGCTTCCAAGAGCATGACGCTGAGACCAGCCTGATGGACATCGTATGCTGCCATGCAACCTGAGAACCCACCACCAACGACGACGACATCGACTTCTTTAGCATTCGGTGGCTGACTAGTGCCGTCTTCCTCAGCAGTCCAGAGCTGTGCGAGGCCTCCGACACACACCACTGCTTCAATCTCGAACTTGGCTTCTGGAAAAGCAAGTCTCGGGACTGGTACGAGAGTCGCGGTGGGCTGCAGGGGAGCCCCGCCATCGCTTACTACAAGGAGCGAGAGAGCAGCAAACAGTTCTTCATGCATGTTCTCGCTCCAGTCGACGATATAGAACGTCAGCTTCACAATGTCCTTGGCTGAGGCGCCAGCTGCTCTGACCACGTCGAGGAGGTTTCTGGCTGCTAGTAGTGCTTGTTCCCCGAATGCACTGGGGAACGAGCCATCGCTATGCTGACCCAGCTGGCCGGAGGTGTATATGGTGCGCTTCGCTCCGTTGACTGAAGCCGCATCGCTATAACCCTGCGGCTCGGGAAGATTGGGTCCGTTGAGGAAGCGGGTTGAAGGGCGTACGTCTCTGGGTGCCATGGTCAGGGAATTGGAAGATGGAAACTGAAAGTGATGTGTATTGTGAAATCAAGATGTATCAAATCTGGATGTGATGATGAGGGCTTGAATGACGGCCATCAGTGATGCATTGGTCCCGAGACTTTTATATGCATTTTGTAAAGCTGACTGCTGTAGTCGCCGTAGTCCATCAAGCTCCGTTGACACTTTCCATCGGCCTTCTGGTGTATCGATGGCAGGGAAGTCGCAGTCCTCTGTCTTACCCATCACGACGGTGATTAGTATCATATCTTGGCCTTCGGCTTCCTTGGACAGTCCGAGGTCTTCACCGTCATTACGATGGGAGGTTAGCAGACAGCGGTGCGGCGTTGCCAATGCAGAGCGAAGGTCGTCGAAATCGGGCCGAGGTGTAGCTTTGATAAGCATACAGAAGCCATGAATCGGGTTACCAGTGGTACAGGCTAAGGAAGGTTTTCATAGCCATAAACCATATTTTTGCCGCCCCGCAGAATCAGAATAAAGGGCCGACAGTATCTTATCTAGCCGCGATCCAGTATCTAGCCGCCGTATCGATAAGCAGCTAGCCGCGGCCAGACTCCATCAATCTAGCCGCTGAGTATTCTCCTACGGTCCTATCTGAATGTCTGTACCTGCTCGGACACCACACGCAGAACCCGCCTATTGAGGAATCGCAGCCCGATATCGTATGCCGATGCTAAATGGATACGCGCAGCGCCGTCCCTACAACCAATTCGTTTACGGAAGCATTACGCAGACCTAGCCGCAACTTTCCAAGGTCCACTTCTGGGTGTCTTACGTGTAGACAACGGAAGAAGAAATGTGACGAACAACGACCAATTTGTTCTGGTTGTTTGCGGAGCCATGTGGCGTGTCGTTGGCCTGCTCCCTCTGCATCCACGCGATTGCTTACTCCACTGGCTACAGGGATGCGCCTCAAATCACAAGAACTCCGCCAAAGCTACATCAATACAGAAGCTGTCGCTATCTGGAGCTTGTCACGTCTCACTTTCCTGAGCCCAGAGCGTCCATGTTTTCTGACCAAGATATCTGGAACTTTGCTCGAGCACTACGTCACCCGGACGGGTTCTCAGCTCGTACCTTTCCCACCCTCGTGCAATCCTTTTGTGCGATTGCTCTTGCACACGGCAATTTCCGACGATCTGATCATGCATAGCCTGCTCGCTCTTAGTGGAGTCCATTTTTCAGGGTACGATAACATCGAAGAAGGGCTTGTGTTGCGTGCAACATGGAGTCACTATGCCGCCGTCGTTCGCAGCCTGCGGACGGAGCTTGCGTCTTTCGGGACCGGCCCTGAAGATTCTATGAAGACTTTACGCCTTCTTGTTGTTCTCATTATACTATGTCACTATGAGGTATGTGCGTAGCGTAGATGCTTCCATGCACACTTCCCATCCTGCTGTAAACCTGCTAACACCAGGCTCGGTTTGCCTTTGAAGGTGATATCTGGCGATACCCAAGGAAAGATGTTTCAGCATCTTCGTGCAAGCAGACAACTCATCCTGTCATTACGGGTTCACTCACGGAGTCTACCCACTGACTCTTGCCGTCAACTGTTTGGCCTTATGTGTGAGCTATACGCATACCTTGTCCTTGCCAATACCTTGACTCCATATGCTGCTATTCAAGAACGCTCGATAGTCTTTGATTCGTTCATCATTCACCTTGATGAGATTGGCGAGTCTGCCTATCGCGGCATTATGCTTGGAGGTTTACATGGCCTGTTGGAACTCATACCTTTGGTTTCAGTACTTGCTGCCAGTCGGTTGAGAGAAGATGCTGTCGAAAGTGATAGCGTCGCACAAGATAGGGATGGTGAGGCAAAGTCTCGACCTGTCTTGTTGGACACATACAGGATACTTAAAGCTCGGATAGATGGTTGGTCTTTGCCTCCCTTATCAGAACAAGCAAGCGATTTAAGCACCGTGGCACCCACGAATTGCGCAGCAGCTATCAGAAGTCGGTACAAAGAGCGCCGCATTGCTGGAGACGTCTATCGCCACGCCCTTTACATTTACCTGTCTTCTTCGATGGCTGGCCAGCTATGTACAGATCAAGACGTTCGTGCCTCGCTCCACACGCACGCATGCGCCATTCTGGATCTTGCCACAAACCTCGCAGAGCTATCATTTGATTACACCATGCTCTGGCCTGTCATCATCTGTGGCTCATGCTTGACATTCAAGTCACACCAGGATTTTCTGCTCGCAGCTCTCGACTTTTCTCGATACCACATGGGTCATGTGAAGACAGCGTCGAAATTGCTGAAGTTGCTGTGGGACGATCCGGATCCGAGGGCTTTTGGTCCTTATGGATTGTATCTTGTCATAGAAAAGTACAAGATCGGCTTTTGTACGATATGATAGATAAAGCGTTCACTACCTGTGGGCAACGAACTAGACTTGACACTCTGTCCTAAGCATTGGCGCACGTTCTATCTTATACTCTTCATGGGCCGATGTTGGCAGACTCAAGAGTGTACCTCGTATTAGAGTTAGTCGCTGCGATGCGATAGGGACTGCATCCATTTGACCCGCACCCTCATATGTTGCACTCTTATCTCTCAACAACAAACCCTTCCCAATCCGGCATTGCAGCCCTGCACGACCTGTCATACTCGACCAAGCCTTTCAGATAATTCAACATCTCTCTCTTCTTCCCAGGAATGTTTGCGCCCATGTACCAGCTGTCCGCATCCTCGAACACCAACATCTTGCTCGTTACTGCAATGTCATCTGCCCATGCTTGTGCCGCTTCAGGGGTGGCATCAAGGTACTTGATCTTTTCCTCCCGCACCTTTTTGATCATGTCCACAACGATGTCGACCTGAACCTCAACTATCGTTGGTCCGTTACCTAATGCAGTTGGCGCTTCATCGCTGTTAGCTGTATCATCTCGATGTTTGAGCGATGCAGCTTACCTTGAGGCCCGTATACCATCCACATATTAGGATAACGAGGAGCCGCCAAACCCAGATGCGTTCGAACACCATCCTTCCACTGATCCATCAATGTTTTTCCATCAGTTCCTTCGATGCCCATGGTAGAGAATGCGCCTGTGTAATTGTCGAAGCCTGTCGCCAGTACGATGATATCAAGTGGTATCTCTTCCCCTCCAACTTGCAAGCCTGCCTTTGTAAAGGTCTCAATAGGCGTCGCTTTCAGATCCACAATTCTGACATGATCCTGATCACACACCTCGTAGTAATCCTGCTCAAGACCATTCCGTTTCGCTATGATGGGATGTGGTGGCTCGAGAGGCGCGAGGATATCTCGCTTCACTGGGTCCTGGATTCGCGCACGCGTTTTCCGGGCCCAGTAGTCGTATACCATGCGGTTGTCTTTATGATCGACCAAAGCAGAGGAAAAGTTTCCACCTGCAAAGTTGAAGCCGCCGCGTTGATACAGCTCTTCGAGAAACTTCTCTCTTTCCTCTTCCGATAGCATCTGCGGTGATGGAACAGGTGGTGGATTGTATGGGAATCCGCTGAATGAATTTCGAGCAGCGGTCCTCAGCACGCTGTTCAAAATCCCCTTGAGCGAATCCTGCTCCTCCAAAGAGAGTTTACGCTGTCTCATAGGAAGTGCCATGTTTGGCGTACGGATTAAGGCCACGAGCTGTTTAGCTTCTCTTGCCATCTCCGGCACGATCTGCAGAGCTGTTGAGCCACTTCCAACGACTGCAACTCGTTTGCCGTGTGTGTCCACGCCTTCCTTCGGCCACTTACTAGAGTGTAATAGCGTTCCAGTGTATTGGTCGAGGCCCTCCCATGTTGGCATATGTTGCTTGTAAGTCGAGCCCGTACACAGCAAAAGGTGCTTGCAGGTAGCCACATGGCCTTGTTCAGTCTGTACTGTCCAGCGACCGAGCTCGGTATCGAAAGTGGCCTTGTTTACCCGTGCATTGAACGTGCAGTCTTTGCCAATGCTGAGAACTTTGTCAACATGGTCGAAGTATCCTTGCAATTCCTGCCACCCGGGAAACCGTTCGGACCAGGTCCATGTCTTGTATACTTCAGGGATTGAAAGCTGATAAAAGGGAAACTCCGAGTCGACTCGAGCTCCGGGATAGGTGTTGTTGCTCCATACACCGCCTAGCCGCGGAGTGCCTTCGAACAGATGGATTTTGAAACCTTCAGCCCGTAATCGCCATACTGCATACACACCACCGAATCCTCCGCCTACAATGAGGATGTCAGTATCAATCGCTTTGCTGGTCGCCATGGTGTCCTGTTCACTGAAGAATTGGATCTTGACAGGAATTGGTCGTGCATCAACCTGCAATATATGCTACAAGTGTGGCGATGGCCTGTACGCCCTGTCGCCCCACGGGCCCCTCGATATCCAGGCAAACATGTCAATCCAAAGTGCCGAGGTTATTACCAGAACTTTTAATCTACTAGTATCAAGTCGCTGGGCGTAAGGCATCCTGTTGCATCGAACCGTCTGACATTCACGCCCCGTAAGCACCACCAACGGCTGTAAGGCCTGCTTCCTCGGAATTATCATCGCATGTATTGCCGAATCGCGCACGTCAAGGGGCTGAATGACACTTTGTGCCGTGTTTGCATGATCGATGTAGCGATAGCGTATAAGGCTGATGCAGGTGCTACATTTCCGGTGATGGGGTCAGCGCTAAGCTGCCAGATACCGGAACGGATCTCACCCCATGCCCAAGAAGTATTACTTTCTGTTAGGTCTGAGGTACTTTGAAAGCGATGATGATTGGGTAGATACACTCAGCCGCTCGTCAGGGCGGATGCTAGGTGCGGGGTAAAGACGTAAAGACCCAGACTATGCATTGGAGGAAGTCGTCTTCAGAGTATGGAAGATACGAGATATAAGCTAGGTGTATCATTCAGCGACATAAAATCGTCGTCGCAAGGCTTTCGGCCTTCGGAGTAATGACTTCGGTATCGGTTCATTGATATCAGATGAACGACACAGCCTCGCGCTGAGCTCGCGGAGGTTTTGGAAGTTCACAGCATCACTACTGGTGGGAAAGTGCAGGGCTGTCCTTAGCTGTCTTGGCTGAAACGTCACCCGCTAGGTTAGGCGGGATCTGTGCGCAACATTCAATTAGATGCTAAACTCGAAGAAATCACCTTCGTTACAATGTTCAAATACTGATCATTACAAGTTAGCACAGAGGTTTGTCCGGATGGTATCCAGTCAGTTCACCCCGGTGAAGATACCCCGGCTTGGTCGCGCATCAGCACGAAGTTTCGCCATGACTGGTGTATAGGTGTGGTCGGTCCAGTCCGAGCAAAAACTGATCGAGGTATAAAGGGCGTCTAGTCGCAGAGTATAGTTGTAACAACGAGTGCACAGTCTCGGATATCTATAAGCTCTTTGATCATATGCAAAAGTAACCCGAGACAATGAAGAGATTCTTTCATGTTCTCCTCTCTGCTGCGGCGTGTGCAGTAGCATCCCAAGCAACAAAGCGGCAATCCTCACCTCGACCGATGGAAAACCTTGCGCGAGGTATCGTCGCTGTTCGTGCCCAGAACGACAGCGCTTTCATCAGCTGGCGACTACTTGGTCTTGATCCAGAAGACATCGCTTTCAATATCTATCGCTCAACTGATGGCGCCAACGCGACGAGGCTCAATCCAGAGCCTGTCACTGGCGGCACAAACTATCTCGACTCCGGACCTGATCTCAGCCGATCTAACGAATACTGGGTACGGTCAGTTATCGATGGGAATGAGCGATCATGTACCAATTCGAGCTACATACTCCAGGCTGATACGAAGCAAGAGCCGCTTATACGTGTTCCCATCAGATCAGGTGATCAGATCAAGTACGTGTGGGTTGGCGATCTTGATGGAAGCGGCGAGTACGGTTACCTTGTTGACAGACATGGCGTTCAGCAAAGCTTTGAAGCCTATCGCAGCAACGGTGAATTCCTGTGGGAGGCGGGTATGGGGCCAAATAGCAAGAACCAGAACAACATCGAGCCGGGATCAGCAGCCATTGACGTCGGTCATTGGGATGGCTTGACCGTGTACGATCTCGACAGCGATGGATTCGCCGAAGTCATCGTACGCATAGCGAATGGTGTTGTATTTGGCGACGGGGCCATATTTGACGAAGGCAGCAACGACGACGAGCAATTCATCGCTGTTCTAGACGGCCAAACAGGTGCTCTTCGCGCATCAATCTCTATTCCAAATGACTATATAGAGCACGGCCCTTTCGCCGCACGTTTGGGCATCGGTTACCTCGACGGCACCACACCGCACATTGTAGGCTTCATGAAGAACCGCCGTGACGACAAAGTCTTCAACCGTATCATGGCCGCATGGACCTTTGACGGCATCAGACTCAACCAAAAATGGATCTGGGACGACCAGAACGCTGGAGCAGGATCTGACGGACACAACACGCGCATTCTTGATGTCGACGGCGACGGCGTCGATGAGGTTGGCGAGATTATGTTCCTCCTTGAAGGAAACGGAACCATGCGCTACTCGCTCACAGACTCAGGTATCGGGCACGGCGACCGCTGGCAAGTCGCCAAGATCGATCCAGAAAGATCGGGTCTACAGGGTTATGGCGTCCAGCAAGATAACCCATCCAAGTTGTGGGAGTACTACTACGACGCACGTACAGGCGAGGTACTATGGAAGCACTACGGTGACGCTGTCGGAGATATTGGTCGAGGCATGATTGGCGATATCGATCCTAATCATCCCGGCATGGAGTCCTGGAGTGCAGGCGGAAACGGACTGTACAACGCGCCCAGCAACTCCAGCATCACCAATAGTAGCGAACTCGCTCCCTGGGCTCATCTGGGTCTCTGGTGGGACGGTGACGACACAATGGAGCTGTACAACGACGGCAAAGTGGAAAAATGGAACCCAGAGGCTCCTACTACATCTTCCTCGCTACCCCGCTTGTTCCGCATCAGCGATTACGGTGCAGTGAACCCTGGTGACCCCAATCCAGCTTTTCTAGGCGACATATTTGGTGATTGGAGGGAAGAGGTCGTCACAACGAATGAGGATATGAGTGAGCTGATCATCTTTACCACTGATCAGCCGACGAAAAGGAGACTGTACACACTGGCGCACAATCCAAATTACCGAAACGGTATGACGCTGAAGGGCTATCTGCAGAATGCCCATGTAGATTACTTCATTGGAAATGGCATGGAGACACCACCGCAGCCGAACATTCGGTACGTAGGCGTCTGACTTCGATGATGGAAACTTTCGACAAAGATGGTTCCTGCCTCGGAGGATAGGCGGAGTCTTATTGCAACTCTTGTCATTTCGAGTGCGGCTGATGAGCGCTGATATGAGATTGAAGGATACAAGTCCAGAGCGAGATTTTGGGAACCCAAGGTCACGTAACGGGTAGCAGTATGAATGAAGACCATATGATCTGTGAGATACTAGGTTATGAAGAAGAGAGAGCCATTGTTCGAGTTTGATGTTCCCGCACGGATCGTCTCGCCTAGCCAGCACGTCCCACGATCTAAAACAAGTTGACGGTCTGATCCATGACATTGAGCTGTGAGAAGTGCTAAAAGAAGATTGAGGCTATTGTAGCAGAAAATTACTGCAGGTTTACCATCAAAACTGATCATAGCTTGAGATCGCCAGCAACCTACTCAATACGCATCTACACGCGGTTCAGGCGCCCATCACGTGGCCGCGCGAGTTGCAGCCAGAATTGTGCCTCGCCTTCCAGTCACAGGGATACGAGAATGACATGGTCTAGGACCAAATGCCTAGGTACAGGTACGGCGCTCATGGAGCGCAGCGAGCCGTGCCGGTATGCAACTGCGTGCGAAACCAAAACGGCCGAGTACACAGCGCCGAACGACAAATTTAGCTTGCTAAGGCGGGGCACGATCGAATTTCAGGAGTCTTCGCTAGCCACGGACCAAGTACACGAGCTACCTCGTAATCACAAATTGTGAGAGGACTGTCATGCGTTGCGCACCCAATATAAGTATGCAAAAAGTCGCTGTTGCTTCCACCTTATTCGTCTTTCGATTATCGAGTAAGGCCACAAGATAGTCGTTGGCGACACAGTCGTTTCACTCAACCACATTCTTTAGTCTGTATTCAGTCATGCAGATTTACATTCGTTACATGCATATTGCATTTTCTTTGTTATTATCATCTGTACCCCAGACCTCTGCAGCGCAAGATGGCCTTCGTCCTGAGCGCGTGGCCTCGCCACAACTGAAGAACATACATGCCGAAGATTTCGAAAGCCTTGACAAACGCCAGAGCAACGGGACTGAGAATTCGCCTGTCTTCTTCAGAGACAACAATGTCTGGTACCGGGATTCGAATGGGCGAGAGGTGCAAATGTCGACAACAGGAACGGAAGATAGTCCCTTCAGCAACATAACGTACCCCTCACCGGACAACGAATTTGTCGTCGTATTCCAATCTACGCCCGCCCAGGATCACATCGTGTACGAAGTCGAGTCGAGCCCTTACGACCAGCTGCAACCCCGCTTGCATCAATTCCAGTATCTTAAGCCTGGTGACAATGTGACCATTGATCGGCCTCGAATGTTCGATTTGACGAACAAACGCGAGGTTGCCACGGACAATACGTTATTCGAGAATCCATACCAGATCTACTCACTGGATGGTGGGTGGAACGTGGAAGGCACCGAATTTCGCTTCATTTACAATCAACGGGGACATCAGATTGTGCGTATAGTTGGCATGAGTACTAACGGACATGTGCGCGCCCTAGTAGAGGAGAAAAGCGATACCTTTGTTGATTATTCACAAAAGCTCTACTACAAGGAGCTCAAGAGTTCGAACTCAAGCGAGTTGATTTGGGCCAGTGAGCGCGACGGTTGGAATCATCTCTATCTGTACGACATGGAAAGCGGGAAAGTGAAAAACCAGATCACGGAAGGAGAATGGGTTGTGCGCTCCGTGGACTACGTCGACGAGATGAAACGAAAAATCTGGATCAAGGTTCTTGGTGCTGTATCTGGCCAGGATCCCTACTACGCCCACCTAGCGCGAGTAAATTTCGATGGTTCAGATTTCAAGGTTTTGACCGAAGGCGACGGCGACCATTCCTGGTTATTCAACGACGACAGATCGGCCTTTACAGATACATGGTCTCGCATGGATATGGCCGAGAAGACCGTCACGCGTGACGCCGAGACTGGAAACAAGACCGCCGATGTTTACGAAGGCAATCTTGACTCTCTTCTCTGGCCCATACCCGAGCGCTTTGCAGCCCCAGGCAGGGACAACTCTACCCTGATCTACGGCCTTGTTTTCCGCCCTTACCAAATGGACAACAGCACAAAGTACCCCGTTATCGAGAAGATTTACGCTGGACCACATGACTTCTTTGTACCAAAAGCGTATATGAGCCACGACGAGGCCCATCGGATTGCGAACCAGGGTTTTGTTGTCGTTCTCATCGACGGCATGGGCACCAACTGGCGCTCCAAGGCTTTCCATGACGTATGCCACAAGAATCTCAAAGACGCAGGATTCCCCGATCGGATTGCATGGATGAAGGCGGCCGGGTCAACCCGCCCTTGGATGGATATCAGCCGCGTTGGAGTATATGGAGGTTCCGCTGGCGGTCAAAATGCCATGAGTGCTCTCCTCTTTCATAATGATTTTTACAGCGTCGCTGCAGCAGATTGCGGATGTCATGATAATCGCATGGACAAGTTGTGGTGGAACGAGGCATGGATGGGGTACCCCGTCGACCAGAGCTACGAAGATAGCTCCAACGTTGTGAATGCAGGAAAGCTGAAAGGTAGCCTGCTACTTACTGTTGGCGAGCTGGACACGAACGTCGATCCGGCAAGCACGATGCAGGTTGTCAACGCGCTCACCCAAGCAGACAAAGATTTCGACTTGGTGGTTATCCCGGGAGGCGAGCATGGAGTCGCAACCACGAATTCATATGCGTTGCGAAGGACCAAGGATTTCTTGTACCGGAAGTTGAAGGGCACAGAGCCACCGAAGTCTTGGATCTAGAGCGAACTTGATTTCCCGTATATAGACGTACCCCAATGCGATGCAACATCTTGCGCACGCTGTGAAGTGGCCACGAATGGACTTCACGAAGAGGCCGTATGTGGCCTCGCGCCACTTCTTTATCCTATTTTCGATTTGTCTACGGTTCGCGTGAAGCCATGGCATGCATTGACCGTTTTTGACGCGTTATTTAGGCAAATTACCACGGGTCTAGACTCCCGAATAGTGAATACGCGGTACAGGGCCTATAAAGACGTTGATTGCGCGTGAATGAAGACATGATCTAGCAGCGTGACAAGATTTGCAGTGCACCAACGGGTTTTCCAGCTTCTAGATCGGTAGGAGAGCATAGGATTTGGAAAGGACTAATCGCTATCTATGTTCCTGTATACCTCCAGATTGATGAAGTTGATGATTGCGGCTACGCTTTGAGGAATGAAATTTGAGGCGGGACGTTGGTGAGAATATTACCCGACTGTTGTAGGATCTGCAGGTCCATTGCGTGGAGATACATCCTATAGTGGTAAGACTCCGCTCGGTTGCAGACACCCTTGCTCTTCACCTTCATGTAGCGTCTATTCTTCCCCAATCAGGCAGGTCTCTCATATTTGCAGATGTCGAATGCGGAAGATACTCCACTAAGGCGTAATCCCATCCACAACTACACCTTGGCGTAATTAAGTATCCTACGCCCGATACCTCGCTTGGTGACAACTTTCGGAAAGTGGATGTCGTTCTGATTCTGGGATCACATTGGAGTTCATAGATCCATTATGGTCTAAGGTCCTATCCAAAGACTTCCGTAGGGTGTTTGGACGGGCGCCATCACGAGGACATAAGGACGACTCATTGTCTTGTGGTGTCTTGTCTCGCTCATCATCTGTAACTTCACAAGGCGGGTCGTTCGTTCGAGTCGTTGTTTGCATTGACCATGTGAAAATGGCCTCCAAGTTCGGTGGTGGATAAATGTTGTTGTAACGATGCACGGGTGGCCTTGCATGAGTTTTCAAGGCATCCAACTCTACCATTCAGGCCCAGCTAGTAGCGCATTCCTTCACCAAAGTTGCTCGCACGCGGGTTGGCCGACAGTGCCTGTGATACCCAATTTTCCTTCAAGGAACATCGCTAATCAGGATTCCAGTCTCTTTGATGCCATAGTCGACATGCGCCCAGCCTGAGCTGAAGATTGGAAAATGTAGCCCGGTCCATCAGTAGTCAACTATGTCGAGTATAAGAACAGTCGCGCGCCTCCCCATTGTTGTCCCTCACCACCATCAGATTCCGAGTCAACAGCACCGACATTCAATCTCAGCTCTTCTTGAACCAAAATCTTCACGATGAAGCTTTCTACCTCTCTCGTTCTCTTAGCCTCGGTCACCGGCACCATGGCCGGCTGCTACTCCGGCGGTCAAAGCTGGATTGACGATTGCAACAAGAATTCGTTCAAGGGTGCTATTAGAGACCTGTGCAACAACGGCCAGCTTGCAGGCTGGTTCCAGAATACTGGTACAACCAAGACCTGGTGTGCCAACAGTCGTTGCAACGGTATCAGGGTGGACCTCGCAGTGGGCTGGAGAGGAAACGGAGGATATACCTTGGCCGCCAAAGACTGCATATCAAGACTGGAGGATGAGATCAATGGCTGCTGGCAAGGAGGCGAGTCTACCAAGTACGACTGGTATGTCAAGTAAGTGTCTAACCCTAACCCTGATTGTGGAACGACAACGATAGCTAACGGCGTTCGTCTATAGGGCTGACCCTAACGACGGTTGGTGTCCATAGAACTCGCTTGGCAGATACGACAGCCAGCGTTACACGACTTGTTACCAGGATGGTCTGGATAATAGGCCGAGGAACGAATTCAGTCAGCGGATGCTAGAGTAAATGTTCAATGAATTGCCATAATAACTGCCTTGACCGCATCTGCTATCAATTCTCTCTTCCGCTGTTGAAGTACCTATGCTTGTAGCTCGCTGCCAATTTCGTAAGCCAGTCTTGCGGATGCGCATAAGCTTTTGTCAGGTCTGAATGTAAGTGTTGAAAGGGAGAGGTCAAGAAAACTAGATGACCAAACTATGCGATCAGCTTGAGGTGATAGCTAACAACGCAAGAGAGCATCTTCGTAATCCTTATAAGTATCTTTCAAGACTCCAGATCGTGCTTTTCAAAGCGTGCTTCAAGACTCTCTAATAACTGATGTCTCTTTACGACTGTCTATCTATATAGATCTCTAGTGTATACTTCAATGAGCTACGCTCTTTGAGGTGTCTAGGCTAAAGTTCGGATTATGAACGAGAACTCTCAAGCGGGAAGAGAATAACAAAGGATATTATATGCTTTGAGCTCATCAAACGTAATGACAAAGCCTCGCTTCGCAGCGCTCGATCAACCGCTATGGCCTCTTCTTCTACGGGCAAGACTAGGCGTTCGTTATGAGGCTTTGTGACTTACAACCATAATCTTCAAGGTCTCACAGCTTCTGAAAGGGTGAATGATGCGTTGTGCCTCTCTGTCGTTCCGGTATAGTCTGCGCAACTTACGATCATGCTGCGTAACCTTCCACTGAACTCACATCTCGTGATGTACTCAAAAATTTGCATCCCACACGATTGTTTGTCGTGGAGCTGACAGCCTCTAAGATCCCTTTCGCCTATCTTTTGCGCTACGATTCATAACTCCAATCGTACCTTGAAGATAATCTGTTTATTCACATGCGTTCTTATCACCGGCGATGCTAGAATTTCAGACGGCTTCTATAGCTCTTTGCGACATGCCCTGATATCAGCAAGACTATGGTAGGCGTATGATACGTGCCAGCACGTCATCACTATCAGGAGACGGACCCTCCATCTTGATCAAGGACCAACAATCACAACGAATGGATATCGTGTTGGTGTGCGCATCTACGCGTTCTCCTAGTGCCACGCCATAATATGCTCTTCGCGCACGGAAGAGAAGCTGCGACTGATATACAAGTTGACGTGCTCGGCCCACGCACGATGACGGCATCACACTTCCGCAGCACCGATCAGGGTTCTTGCAGGTCCACCCTCCCTGGCAGAGTCTGTCCGCCTCGTTCGCTCCTGCTCCACTCCGTGTCCACTATGCCGAGTCTCTGCAACCATCTCACTTGTCATTATTTCCGATTCCAATTGTCCGCGAAAGAGCGCCACCACCTCCGAGACCTTACGTGATGCAAGCTTAGCGTATGCGCAACAACATGCGAGTCACTCCTTCACCCAGCAGATCTGGCTCAAGACACCTAAGGTGAGTACCCATTCTGTGTGCGCCACAGATACAATAGAGGAAGTGCGCGGTTACATGACCCTGGTGACCGATGGCTCAATGCTTGTGATCAGCTAAGCTTCTGCCACGAGCTTGATCGGCAACACGCGAGCCTTAACACCCCACACTCTATTGGTTGCCGTTGCTCTTCTGCATCTCGGCAACGCGCATGTCTCCGCTAAGTAGACCACGACGTACCTCCAGCTCGAGAATGAAGGGCTTTCTAACTCTGTCAATAAGACGATTGGCGGCATCGACACGCTTGCGTTTGACGGACAAAATCGACGATACTTAGGGCAGATTTCAGGTCTTTCGCCACATCTAGTTCTCGCATCGCACAACGTGCGACCATTGTAACGGATTACCAAGGAGTGCCGGAGAACATAGCTGGTTGGTGGTGCCTGCATTACTAGATACGTCGCAACACAGAGCTCACCTATACTTTTAGGTACAAGAGCAACGGGCAGCTAGCGACTATCAAATCCATCTAAGAAGAGATGATAGACCACTCTACTCCGAAATGATTGCACACCCAAGACTGCATTATCCTTCTACTGAACGCGTCCAATCCTCTGCATCCTAGAATGTCCAAGAGCGGTCTTGCCAGCAGGCTCAGCCTGGAATCTGATAAAGCGATACGTCAATCAGCTAGGGAAGGACGCCACGGTTGAGGGACTCGCCTCTCCGCTCGTTGCCGACGCATACGCCTCGCGCATATCGCATCATTGCGTTTTCCATGGGAAGAGCACATGCCATCATACACGGCGGGCTGTCGATCCAGAGATCAGCTATCGGTGTATCGCCCGTTACCTCATCGCGCAAGTCCGTGCGACTAATATCTCCGGAGCTTGAAGCAGAGTTGCAGGGTTCGCAAACGGCCGAAGTAGGGCTTGCCGCTTAAACCTAGGACCCTCATGGTCAGATCACGACATCATGTGGAACTACTCTAAACTCGAAGTGGAAGTATCGTTGCGGTAGTTAGCAGGATATGGATATGACACACCTCGAGTAGTCATGAAGAAGTAGCAGATGCGCCGATGCCCGACTAACCCATGAGGGGATGGCCGCGAGGGAACTTGCCGTTACCAATTACGAGTGATCCAGCTGCCGAGACAACCACCGTCTGTCAAACTGTAAGAGCGGCACACGTGATGCAGTGTTGCAGGAGAGAAAAGCAATGGTCTAACTCTGCACCGTGAAACAAGTCTTCCTCGATGGGGCAGCTTTGTGCGGCTTGAAGCGATCACGCTTAACGCCCGTCATGCCGCGCTGCCCATGCTGCAATCCCGTAGACCGGCTATCATCTTCTGCAAAGATGGCGCTCCTACAAACTGCTCACCGTCTTTTTCGAGATCCGCCGCGTTTCATGATCACAATGAATGCTTCGACTCGGATCAAGTACTTCCAACTTTTACGCGGAAAAGGTCGAGGCCTTCTCGCTCTGCCCTGCAACCCATCGCTACTTCTATTTAGCCATGGACCGGCCCTATTTCCCGTCTCCCTCGCTTTTGAGGCCGTTTAAAACGCTTGGAGAGGCTAGCGAGTCATTGTCAAATTCATCGCTACGAATTCCCTATCACGTCCATAGCCAAGCACGACTGGAGACACGAAATGTATCGCAGCACTGTTTGCACAACACTTCTTCTGCTAGCATGTAGGCTACGAGGGACCGCTGCGTATAAAATGATCTTGATCTTGATTTGCTTCGCGAGCTTCACGCACTGAGTGCAGCATAACAGAACGCGTTCCAATATTGAAGCAACAGTCTTCTCTCATGACGGCTCAGACCCTCTGGATCACAGGTGTTGTGGAACATTCGGGATTCATGCTCCGTATACCCAGTTTTCAAGGTTGTGAATAGCCGTTATCTCGGCACGCTCGGTGGTATTCGCAAGCGTTACGTGCTTCGCTAGCTTGCCCCCGCTGTTCACGTCGGACATCTCCACTTCTGAATCCCACATGTTCCGTCAGTGCGACCCTTCGAAAGATCAGGCGTCCGGCCCTTCCCGTTTCTGACGCACAAACAGGTTCTTGACCTGGATCATCGCGCGTTTGCCCTATCTTGTCGCAAGGTTTCTCGTCTAGGCTCATGCAGGTGACAGATTGAAACGGCGGTGCCAAACTTGGATTGCAGGACGTGTGACAGCGGCAGCAGCCGTGACGTACAGCATGGCAAAAGCGCCTTTCTCCACGACGTGATTCCGCGCTTAAGCTGTGCACACAGTAAATACATACGCAGTCACTTGTGCAGGTGATGGAATCGGCAGTAACAACATATTGCTCTCCAACATAGGGTGAACGCCTCGGCATTCAGTTGCATACGCTAAGGACTGCCGATCGCGTGGCTGCACAGACCTGCAGAAGGCACATGGCAACGGACGCTAGGATGATGCCAGCGAATGAACGCTGGCCAGAGCCAAAATTTTGCTCGGCGTTGCGTGGCCTCCCCGGTACCCGGTACCCCTTAAGCCTATCTTGAAAGTGACAGCTGCACGAGCTGCTTGCGCCATCGACCTAAAACCAGGGTCATTAGTAACAACTGACCCCATGAGCTTCACCCAGTGATGTCTGAACAGGCGCTCAAAAGGAACATAGTGCTCGGTCTTGCATTCAAGAGAGGCAAACGTACCGTCACTGATAATCATGGTAAACCGATGTCGGGTTAGTATGCATGTCCACATCGATCAGGGTCTATTCTCACAATGATTGAAGCCTTCTCGTCCGGCTCCTCCACGATGTGAAGTCTCTGTCAGCTCTCGCGAAAAAGACATTGTGCTGTGACTGTCTCGAATACACGAGAGATTTCTATCCGCTGGTAGCAAAAACATGCAGTGCATGGATGCGCGCCAGCCACCTACTACGCAAGCCTACCAAGGCCTACCGAGGTTCTCGGCGGGATCATCATCAAGGACTACGCGACGCCGTTAAATTAACGGCGTCCAAAGGATGTATGCATGCGAAGACACTACCAGCTACTCAGCTCTGTATCAGACCTTTGCCGAGGCCGACAATGCCGTTACCCACTGGCTCGAATCATGTTTCCAGTGGCGGCCTGATGCAGCTATTGTCACCAGACTTAGATCAGAATGGACAAGATGAGCAGCCGAGAGATAGAACGCTTCAAAATATATATTCATGGCTCCAAAGCATGGCCTGACCTTCCGCTATATCAACGAAATAACGAGTCGCTTCCCGGTTTCATCTACGCTCACATGCCCGGCGGTCCACATCCTCCTCTATCGGTCGTTGCCTCATGGCCGGCTCCGAACTATGTTAATCCTGAAGGGAGGGGCAGGGTGACGACTATCATTGCGGGTATCCTGTCACCAATTACCTTCTTTGTTATTTTCGCAAGAATTTGGGTCCGATTCTATCTACAGCGAAATCCTGGCTTGGATGACTGGCTTATGATAGCTGCCCTTGTATGCTCCCTATCTCCAATTAAGACATACACGCACTCACGTTCAGTAGCCATTCATTATTGCCTTAGCTATCCTTGTACCGTACAGTAAGATTGTATGATATGGAAATCACTGATCACAGCTAACGTCTTACAGCCGCAGATGCCTATCACAGCGGCATACATATATGGGATGTCGATCTCACCTTGTTCACAATACAGAGGAAGCTCATATTAGCGATAGAGATGCTTGTGCTCCTCGTTGGAGGACTTGTGAAAGTCTCTATTCTACTGTTCTTTCGTCGCCTGGGTTCACGCGGTGTCTCGAAAGCCTTTCGATTCGTCACCTGGACTGCAATTGGGGTCCAAACCGCTTCCACTATCGCTTTCGTTACCGGTTTCTTTTTTGTCTGTCGCCCTATGTCTGCTTACTGGGAGCAGTCGGATGTCATCAAGATAGCACAAGGAGTGAAGTTCAATTGCTACGACGAGGGCGCTGCCATAGTCTCTGCCGGCGTGATTTCCACGGTGCAGGACGTAGTCACCGCTCTGTTGCCAAACTTCATATACTGGAAAGCAAAGATTCCGATTCGCCAGAAAGTGGCTCTGATGGGAATATTTGCTACCGCTTACGGGGCTGCCACATTTGGGGCACTACGAACGCACGCAACCTGGGTTCTATTCTATGAGACTTACGATGTCTCTTGGCAGCTTTGGGAAGTCTGGAATTGGACACTTCTTGAGGCTCACATAGGCATCATCTGTGCTAATGCACCAGCGCTCAAGGCCTTTGTGAAACAGTACCTCGAACCCATCAAGTCTATTGCATCGAAACCTCGAGGACGGTTTTCGCCAACCAAGTCCAAGTCCTCGCATGCACAATCGTCGCAGACTGGAAGCAAAGCGGAAAGCGATCCATCAAAGAAGTCCAAGAAGTCGTGGAGGAATCCTTATGGACACTTTGGGTACTTCTCCCAGCCGACGGAAGTGACACAGCGGTCCGATGATGAAGAGCTCTTCGGATGCGAAGGGATACGAGGATCCTCATCAGACACCAAGCAAGGCACGACGCATAGTGATGGACAGTCTGCGAAAGATGACATTGAACTGGGATTAGCCCCTCCTATCACGACCTACTTGGCCCCGCCTCCGGAGCTTCACCGAGGGAGTTTGGGAAGTGTTGGCATGGTGTCAGTATACATGTACGACCAGAACGAAGGGGATGGATCGGGTGGAGACATGAGATATATGCGAGCTAGGTTATAGCTTTATACTAGTAATCTGTAATGATCTAAACAATACCTAACCGATGTCGCTGATAGACGGGACGCCACTTTCACTTTCCAGCTTCCTGATGCCAAAACAGCTGCTGGCGACACGAATACATTCAACGTGACTTGATCTTGGAATGACATGCCGTTGGTGGTGTCAGTCAATAATCACAAATTGGAACAGTGGATCTTCCCGTAAGTGTAGTTATCTTCGGAGACGTGCGAGAAACACAAGCTCACCTCGACGCACGTACAATCAAATATCACCATGCGCCACTTGAAGTGGTATCACGTGCTGTAACTTAGGTCACAAGTTTGTCTTTCCCACGAGATACCTTAATGGCGATGGTAGAAACGAGATAATCCTGAGCCTACCGTTCAATGCGACTGACTATGAGAGCGCTTTGCTACTAACAAGCGTGTGTGTGTGAATGTGCGTGTGTGTGTGCAATACGATGCGTTATGATCAGAGGTTCGGTAGATACATCTTAACTGGTGCATAATGTACTGCGGACTTGTCAGTGTGTTAAGCGATATGCGCATGGTGTGACCCGATCGCACGGGTCGCAGATGCAGAACAGGAGTAGGATCAACGCCCGGCTTCCCGGACCCCGCGGCCTTCGCCCAAACCTGCTGGCGCCCGAATGCCTCACCTACGTCCTCCAGCGCATATTGACGCAGCAGCTAAGTATTTGTAACTTATGGTCTCGTCACACGATACATTCAGATGAGAATGTAAGAGAAGTGCTAGGTGTTCGTGATGTTGTAGGCCTCTTAGGCAACCCTTCCTCGCCAAAGTCAAGGCTTCCGCCCGATATGACCACTAGCTCATGCACTGCTGATGTCAGCGTCAGACTCCACTTGCGTAGTACGTTCGAATGCTCACAACGTCCCGATGTAGCTTATGCATCTTACACCTGATGCTGATCGGTAACAGTTTGTCTAAGGACAAGAAGTGAAAGTGTTGCATAGTGTTAGGTCATGTCGCACAAGGTGCCGTTCGATCTGGGTACTTAAGCCATGCCTTCGCGCCTGGTAGATACGAACGCCCTAGACTTGAGACTACTATCGAAATAACAGAGGTACGTCTACATGCTGTGATGAGGTCCACCATAGGTATTGTCCTAACAACGATTAGTCAATCGTATTGATAGCTGATGATCGAGTGCGCTGAACACAATGCTCTCTAAGAGAGCTCAGAGTTTAGTTGTTGGATCGACTTTCAACGAGATGTGGGAGGTCATTAGGGAGAAATGGGACATGCTCGAGAACCCCGACGGTTTTGTGAACCTAGGCGTAGCCGAGAACTACCTGATGCGTAGAGAATTGGAGGCCTACCTGACAGAACACGTTCAAATCGCTGGCAGCAACGCGACGTACGACGACGGACCAGTGGGCAGTCAACGGTTACGAACCGCCTTAGCTCATTTCTTAAGCGCGCAGCTGGAGACAGCGCAGCCACTGGAGGCAGACCAAATTGTGGTTTCCAATGGAGTCTCGAGTGCGCTCGAGCATGTCGCCTGGGCGCTCGCTGATGAGGGCGATGTCTTCTTGCTAGGTCGGCCGTACTATGGAGAGGCTACCTTGGGCCTGCGCCCCCACGTTCGAACTGTTGCCGTCACGTTTGGTACGACAGATCCGTTCAGCCTGGCAGCAATCGTGTGCTACGAAAAGGCGTTGATGCGCGCTCAGGCACGTGGAATTGTAGTTAGGGGCCTGCTATTGTGCTCGCCTCACAATCCACTAGGTCGCTGCTATCCGCGCGAAGTGCTATGCGCCCTGGTCGCACTTTGTGCAAAGCATAGCCTGCATCTCGTAAGCGACGAAATATACGCACTCTCAGTTTGGCGCGAACCTTGCTTCACTTCGGTCCTGTCGCTGCCGCTCGCCGGTGTCATAGATCCCGCTCTGGTTCACGTTGTCTGGGGTATCTCCAAGGACTTTTGCGCCAACGGATGGCGGCTGGGTTGTCTTCTATCTCCTGCCAACCCCGTGTTGCGCGCCGCTGTGGCTGCTGTTGCCATCTACTCCTACCCGTCTTCCATCACGGACCATGTAGTCGCGCAGATGCTTGAGGACCGGGCCTTCACCATCAAGTACTTGCGCAAGAATCGTCAGCGGCTAAACGCTGCCTATACACTTGTTACCGGTCTTCTGGAGAAACAAAGCATTCCCTTCGCTACCAGTACCCACGCCGGCCTGTTCGTGTGGGTGGACCTTGGCCACGCATACCGCCGCCATCACAACCTGAAGCAAACCGACATAGACGACAAAGCTGTAGCGCACAGGATACGAGAAGCACTGTACACGCAAAAGGTATATTTGGCATGGGGAGGCAACTTCGATAGTGAGACGCCGGGTATGTTCCGTGTCAGCTTTGCGCACCCAAGCAAGTACATAGAAGAAGGGTTTCGACGCATTGAGCTAGCACTTCAAAGTGAGGCTCTGCTACTAAGCGTGCCGTAGAGATGCGTCCGACGTGCTACTCAATTGAGATTATCCTTGGCTCATCCTTGTGGAACCACTTTTGTATTAATGCATGTTCCTCCTCACCACTGCACTCAAAGTAGCCAACACGCTCAAAAGCCTCCTGTCCCTTTTCGACGAGGATCAAACCCGAAGTCATGGAAGAACCGACAACTTCGAAACACCAAACGTTTTTCGGATCTATGTCGCCAGCGATGTCCCACGTTATAGTGACAGGCATCACCTCCCAAGATGCGACATGTGCGACAAGAACAAACCCTAACTAGTGTGCTTGTTGGAGCCGGCCTTGCAAAACAAGGCGACCGCGTTCCACTTCGGCGAACGGGGATTGCTCAAATTTGTGCTCGATTTGACTGTCTATGTATTGGGCTTCTGCTTTTAAAGTAAGATTGGATAACGTTAGGTAACGCTCGAAGAACCGAACTGGCTCATTGAGAGACGCCCATGACCAAGTTGGTCCAAGACATGTTGGCGAATTTGTGACCGGGACATCGGGTATTTTGAGCCGATACCACAGCAACTGCACTATGAGATCAGGCTTCCACAACCCTGCAAGATAATCAGAAGAGGGCAAGCCCATTATCTCGCCAAAGTTTTCCGCCAGAGCTACACAAGCGGGCAATCTATCGCTTACTTTCGAGAGTTTTCGAAGCGTGTATTGTTTGATATTACGCTGCCAGCTTTCGTATACGTTAGACAATGCTAGAGGACCTTCCTTAAGCATTCTTGATCGCACTTCAGCATTCCGACTAGGAACGTAAACATCAAAGGCCGGGTCTATGTTTGTCCTAATAGGGCAACTTCCACCGTCAATGTTAATACCTTCAGGATATGTCGGACATCTCCACGTTGTTTGCTTTAATCCAAATCTTAGGAGGCGGAGAGATAGCATGTCTTCCTGCATTGTCCAGCCTCGTTTGTTAAGGGGCTCTTGATATTCGTTACTTATTAGTAGCTCGGACAGGAATAGATAACCTTCTATAGTGTAATTGTCTTGCTTGCGATAATACAGTATGCGGAACAGTTTACTGTACGCTTCTTTGAATGTACGGTCTTAAAGAAAGCTGTCTGTACTATTAGCTGCGCTTGCAGCGCCGACTGTAAGCGCTGCGTTCTAGTAGATGCTTTGCATCTTAGCAATCTCTAATGCCTTTTCATCATCGTTGTCTTAAATAATACAGAGAGCGTCGATCTATATGTAATAGAATCCGAGCGAATAGCAGACTTAAATAGCATCTCGTATCGTCTTCGGAAACCCAGACATGTTAGTCACGTTATGTCGGCACCGCGAATTAGCTTTCGTGGTCTTAACTTGCTCTAGTTGCGTATCTCCCTACCCTAGAGGATGTGCGCGATTGCACTACAATCGCGCTGTTTTGTTAGTAGCGATAAGAATGCGATAAGAAGCGAGGCGTAGGATCGCGGTAGTAGGATCGCGGTTAGCTAGCTACACTAGAGAGCTAGCTAGAGAAAATTAAAAGAAGCTATTTTGTGCAGATTTACGCTAGGATTTTGAATCTCTATTTAGTTTGTTAATAGCTACTCTCCTTGTTAAGATATCTGCGCTTAAGTGTAGAGGTGGAGTTTTAATGTTCCTTACGTAACTGCACGCTGCACAGCTACTATTGCAGCGCTCTAGCTACACAATTTAATATAGAATTACGCTACAATTTTAAATCTGTATTTAGTTTGTAAATAGCTACTCTACTTATAGAGATATTAATATATAACGTTGTAAACTACTAGACCTTGCGCAAACTACTAGACCTTGCGCAAACTACTAGACTTAAAACTTTACGATATTAATTAGTATACAGCTTATATAAGCTAGTTTATGCTAGAAACTAGTATACTTAGCGCGAACTACTAGACTCTATACTTTGCAGAATTGCTTTATAGTTTATATAGGGCTGCGCATGTCTATATAGTTTTCTATATAAGAAACTATACTTCTAAGCTATTTTCTACTACCTAAACTCTACAACGTAAATCTTAAGCTAAACGCTGTTCCTATACTATATAAGAGAGCACCTAATTATTAACTAAAGCTAATAGCTAGTTAAGACACCTAAATCTTAGCTTGCTAAGAGTGCGTTAGTTAATAGGTAGGCTCTTACTCTAAGAGATAATAATAACAAAATAGACAAGTAGTAGAAGGCGAGCAACTATCTTTAAGGATAGGCGCGTAGTTAAGTGCTTAGGCAACTAAGCTACCTCCTGTAAAAACGTACTCTCTTAAAGGATAGTAATTAAAGTATAGAAAGTAAGCTGTCTAAGGGACTTAAGTGTCTTTAACTAGTAAAACTTTTAATAGTTTTAGAAGTTTTTATAATAGTAAGCTTAACTAAGGAATAGTAGATAGGTGCCTATCTTTAAAGATAGGCGCTAATAGTAGTTAAGTGCCTTAATACGTTAAGGCGCCTACAAACGTTAGGTGCCTAAGTAACTAAGCTACTTAAAGGAATTTAGATACTACTTTAAAAAAACATAACCTCTTAGAAAGGATAGTAGTTAAGCTATAGAAAGGAAGTAATCTAGTGTTACGATCTATACCTAGGAGGAGACAGAGGTAAGCGTAATTACTTTAAAGGATTAAGCGGCACAGTTAAAGGATTAAGCAGCACAGTTAAAGGATTGCGGCACAGCAACTACGCTAAGGTTACGTAACTGCTTAGTAGTAAGCAGATACACGCTAGGCCCGAAACAGGTGCTTAGTAGTAAGCAAGACTAGTTAGCTAATAACTAGGGCTAGCACTGTATTGCTTATTAATAAGCACTTACACGCTTAATACTAAGCGCGATACTTATTAGTATATAGCTTAGACACTAAACCCTTATAGCTTAGTGTGTTTAACTTTGTATAAGACTCTAGTATTTAATCTAAGGATTATACTTCGTTCTCCTACAACCCCTTATAATATTACATCGATCTACTAATTATGCTATTACACTAACCTTGTCTATTGCACTTACTTATTCCCTAAGAACTAACTCTTAGGTTATCTAAGGATAACCTTTACACTTTAAACACCCTTAAGATAAGTAACGTTGTAATAGATACCTCTGCTAATTTCTAGACTGCTAGAGGAACTAACGTTCGCGCTAATAAGCCTAACACCTACTATAGTAACCGCAATAAGCTTAAGGCATAGCTACTCTAAGTTAACTAATACTTCTACTTTAAAAGAGACAAGATTAAAGATAAGGACAAAGTTGTTTAGGCCTCTACTTTTTTCTAAGAAGACGCAGAGAAATAGGCTAATCTGTTTATCTAACGCTATATAGATTCTACTATTGTTAACAGAGGCAATACGAACCTTGTTGAGGATTAGACTACGTTTAAAATAAAAATGCAAGAAGTATTCTTACCTTTTAAAGAAGATGTAATTGCTAAGCAGAAAATCTAGAAACTACAACAAACTAAATCTGCCGCTAACTACACAACTGAATTTTAGCAGTACAAAACACTAATTAATTAGGACAACAACGCTTTAATACAAATATACTTAGGGTTAGGGTTAGGGTTAGGGTTAGGGTTAGGGTTAGGGTTAGGGTTAGGGTTAGGGTTAGGGTTAGGGTTAGGGTTAGGGTTAGGGTTAGG